TTTTTGAAATCATGATTTTTGAAGTTGAACTTTTGCCATGTTGATTTGATTCATGACGGATGTCCAGATCAGGCAAAAATTAATAAGTTTTCACGTGTCATGGTACAGTTTAAGTTTGCTCTGGCATGTGAGGAGAGATGGAGGTTTGGGTATTGGGTTCAGGAGGAGCATTCTGGGTCGAGATAAAATTATTTACTTCCCATTAGTGGCGTTCTTTTTCTTCTTTCAGATTTCAGTCTGAAAAGTCTCTACAGTCTGAGATCTATTTCAGAAACTGGTGGTGGTGACTATCACCTAACATAGTATAGACATCCTTTATTGTAGCCCTTCTATTTTGAGTGTATTCATAAGGATGAGTTTTTCGGGGGTCTTAAGAGTATACATTCCTAGTGTAGCTCTCAGACGTCAAAAGTTGCAAAGAACGACAAGAGAAATTTATTGATCGGTTGCACACCTTGTATCTTCAAACTCAACATGACGTGAACAACTGTAAAGTTTCATCTTGTTCACGCTATAGAGATTATCAACTTAGAGAATGCGAACTAGGTTATCAGCTTCTAAGCCAGTAGCAGTTCTTAAGCTATAGTTCCGTGGTACTTTTATGAATGTATGAAAAGCGTTTCCCCTTTGTCGAGGGGTCACGCGATCTAACTTTTGAAGTTGATTTTAGGAATATATTATACCAACAACGGTGATAGTATCTGGTGGTACTTCACAAAGAAGCATATTTTCTTTCAGTTCATATGTGTTAATTCTTAATTTCTCTACGTGTGCTTCTGTGTCTGTGTTTGTGTGAATGTTTTTCTTTTCAGATCATAATTTTCGTCTGGATCTTAACTAGAACCAAGTGTCATCTAGCCAACACCCTTGGTTGCTAAATCAGTAAGCATCAGGCCTCCGTCCACATCAAAATATAACTAGTTATGGCTCGAAATTGTCATAGTTTCCAAACAAGGAAACATATTAGTCTCGAAATTGTCATGTTCAGATCACATCATGAAAATTATGTGCAAGAAAGCCAGTTCTTGAGTGTGGCGGGCACAATACAGCAGTAATTTTTTAATTTAATTGAATTCTTCTTTCCACGCTTAGTGGACAAGATCTGCTCGTTGACCAACCCATATTATCTGACTTTGCAGCCCAAGAGTAGAATTCTGTGGATACAGCATTCCCCATCCTTCAGAAAACCGGGTCAACATAAGAGTGCAGACCACTGGTATGCATGCTAAGCTCCTCCTCCCTCATTGCCTATTTGTATCGACCATTTTCAGGTGATTATTGCACCTTTCTTTCATTATAGTCAGAAATAACCGAAAGTCTTAGCTTTCTGAAGATCCCTCTTCCATTTTGTCACGTCATGAGCCACTTAGTCAGGCAAACGCTGTCACCAAAACGTATATCGGGATAGAAAATATGCTAGGAAGGCGGGCTCATAGTCCGGCATAAACAGTCTCTCCAATGCTGTACATTGTTTGAAGAGAACCCAAAGTTTGGTAAGTTAATTTCATTAATTTCAATCCCATTTCAGCCCTGGGGAAGTTTAGTTTCGCTTGTATGCGGTCATCTTCAGGCAAATTTTGGGGCCATATGTAATGAAGGTAGGAATCAAAATCAGTGTGATTATTCGATTTATGATGGTGTTGGTAATGATGGAAAAAAAAAAAAAAGTGGTTCTGGGAACAAAATTAATAAAAAAAAGGCAGAAATGATTAAAATCAGAGGGTCTTGGAACAGACGGAAGCTTCTGGGCATCTGCAGGGTGTGATTATGGATAAGAATGAGAGGTTCATGAGAGAGAGAATCTTGTGGGCATGGAGATTTATCTTTTAGATGTTCTTGAAAGGAGATGTTAATCTTGTGGGTGTATTGTTTTTGGGGTGACATCTCTCGTGCTCTGCTCAATCCGGAGGATATTCTTGTTCTTGGGAGTGTGTTTTTATATTATAGTAGGGAGGAGGGGGTAACTGAGAGGGTTTTCCCGGTGTTTTCCATGTTGGGCAGGTGATCCGGCCAAGGAGGTGTTCAAGGATGCCCTCCAGAATCTGCTCGTGATGTCCCAGCACGTGAGAACCACCTTCGACCGAGCTGTCCAGGATTACAGAGCCCAACCCCACAACACAATCGGCTCCGACGGACGACTCTAGGCGCCTCTCTCTCTCTCTCTCTCTCTCTCTCTCTCTCTCTCTCTACTCTCTACTCTCTCTAAAAAAAACCCTCTCTAGTTTTCTTCCTTGAAATATGATTCAAAGTTGCGCCAATGGAAATCAGTCCCACGTCAGGCCTTCTTCACTCACTAGACTCTCTCTCTCTCTCTCTCTCTCTCTCTCTCTCTCTCTCTCTACTCTCTACTCTCTACTCTGCGTATAGTGGGGTGGGGTGGGGAAGGACTACTAAAGTGATGCTTCACCCTCTCTACTTAAATAAATTTGTATTTATCAGTATACATTAAAATTATGCAAAAAAACCTCTGTAAATAGGAATTATTTGGCAATATTTCCCCTTCATGGCGCCCTAAGTCGACCGTCTCCCCCTCCTAATGGACCCAACTTAATTTGAATGGGTCCCAGAAACTACTTATAAATTCCCTCAACGAACTATAAACCCTAAAAGAAATCAGAGATCATCCCCCCAACATTCTCAATCTCCTCCTTCCTCTTCTTCTAAGGAGATCTGAATCGTTAGGGTTCTTCCCAGGAAGAGAAAACCCAAGCCCAGCGAAGAAACTGCACCTAGGGTTTCCCCAACCGTGAATAATCAATCACACCGGCTACAGCAAACAATCCATCACAGGTTCATCCTTTTTACACATGCTGTCCCCAGAGGAGACAAAGAAGCCCGCGAAGATATTTTTTTTCAAAAAAAAAAAAAAAAAAAAAAAAAAAGGAGACATGAAAAACAGAGGAAAGTACTCATGAGAAGCAAAACCCTAATTCTTCCAAGTCAAAGAAGTCCTCGGCGCGTCTCTCAGGCTCACGCCGCCCTCTCGAACCCGCAGCCAACCTGCATGTGGAGCCACTCCTGCGGCGGCTCCTGACCCACGAACTCCCTGGTCGGCGGCTGCCCCACGAATCCCGCTGACCTGGAGGAGGGCTCGAATGCTTGGACGCCGAACTGGGGAGGTCAACGAGGGGAGGGGGGAGGGAGTAGGAGACATTTCATAAGAAAAAAATAAAAAAGATCAATCAGGATTGAAGAATGATCTCCCCCTTCTTCATATCTCAGACGGGTATGTTGACTGGTTGGCTGGTGCTTTCAGGACTGGTTGGAATCACAACGGATGGAAGACTATTTATTATTTATTCAAAGACAATCGTTTTTTGTTTCTCATGGCTTATAAAGTCAACGGCTGTGAACAGGCTGCTAGGGTTCATGTGCTCAGCCACAGTTTCTAACTCCTGGGTACAAGCGAAAAAGAAAAAAAAAAAAAATCTTCATTTTTTTCTCAAAACGAATGGATCTGTGTGCGTTTTATCCATGGTTTTCTTCTTCTTCTGATTTTTATTTTTATTTTTTATTTCTCGGATCTGACGCAGAAAGACTTCACTTAAATGAAAAGTGTGATTAGAACATTAGCAAGAGGCCCTTACATCTTTAGCAGGGAACCCTTCACCGCCAGTGTTCATCCTCGAGTTCACTGCTTCGAGCTTCATGGAAAGGAACTGGAATCGCAACAAGAACAGGGAAGAAATTACAATAACAGAAGAGATTCATGGCTAATTCAGGAAAACACAGCCCTGGAGCCTACCTCAACCTGGCACTGCAGTGATTGGATGTAGTTGATTATCTCATCGAGCACAGATGCTTTGCCAATAACCTTTCAACGAGCAATTCAGTGAGAAGAAAGAGATTCATGAAACAGAAACAGGAGCTCGATCTCCCCCGGTGGTGAAGAACATGATAGTTGCTCTACCTTGTTACAGCCGGGCACCAGGTCCTGAAGAATCTTCATCCTCTCACTGATCTTTTCCCTTCTAGCCTGATGAATGAGCGGAAGTCCAGCAGGAAATCATGTAAGTTTATGATGCCGTATTAAGGAAGAAACTTAGCCCAATACGACATGAAAACTAGGTGGACTAAATAGATTGCATCAATGTCCATCCCCATCATGCATAACAAAAAATAGATATCATCTGGATTATAATGAGCGTTTTATTTTTTATAGAATGAGGATTATTAGAGTGAGAGATGCAGTCTCTTTTACTACTTCACCTGCTTCTCAAGCCCCTCTCTCCCTCTCTAGAGAACAGCCTTAGATATAATCGATGTGTAGTCAATTTCAGTCAACTTGTTTGTGATGGGTATCAACACAGAGTTTGACCAGTTCAAAAGAAGTGCTTGATCTCTAAACAAGTTCTACAGGTCAACTATTTAATTAATACGTTTTAATTCTATAATATTAAAGGCAAATATACCAAGATATTCCGGGGAATGCAGGGTGTGTGTGTGTGTGTGTGTGTGTGTGAGTGTGTGTGTGTGTTCCAAACCATCCGAGATAGATGCCATTGACTCAGAATGATGATTGAAGATTATCCAGTACGGAAACATGATGCAAGTATGGGATTCATTGTGAAGGATCCATATATCACTAATGTTCATACCAATGAATAATAAATATAAATAAATAAACATAACCACCACACAGATCACCTCGAATACATCGATTGAATACTCTACCCTTGAATCAACGAAATAATGTATGTTAGAACACGAAATAAATTTGTGATGGATCCATATTCTTCCAGTAAAAGAACCCGTGCATTTTCGCCACTAAAACTATGTAAATCTTTTCAAAAAAAAAAAAAAGTGACCAAGCTGATTTCCTTAAAACATTGAATAATTAGCGGAACTAACAATATCAGGAGACAACTGCCATTCTCCTAATCATAGATAATTAAGGAGCTCAAATCCAAGTTTTATACCTTTTGCACGCTGTTCAACAATGCTGTAACGCAGGATATTGGCAGAAAATAATGTGAGGTATCAATATTAACAAGAAAAAAAATCTGGCATACTCGCTCTGCAAGGCTGTGGCTGTCAGTGGCTTGCCCTCTTCTTGCTCTGACATGGATGTAATCTTGCTTGGACGCCTCAGAAGTTTGGGCACATTGACCAGGCAACTTGTTACAAACGCCTGAACTTGTTTCAACCTCAAGCTTTGACTCCCCATTTTCATCTCTTGAAACACCAACTTTAAGACGTTTAGGCTCACAATCTGTCTGTAATGTTCAAAGACAAAATATGAGGATAAAAGCAGCTCAAAAAAATGATTAGACTCACACGAACTTTCTTCAGAACATCGCAGACTCATTAATGCCATGAGGTAATTATTTACAGAAATGAATGACCGTAAGCAACGGATCCAAAGATATTTTGGGTGAATCCTGTTGCACATACATAGAATTTTGCTAGATAAGTGGAGAAAATAGTAATCGATCATATTCTCAGCTGAACAGTCATTGTTATAGTCACAACCCGCCCAAAAGAAGAACAAACAGATAGCCATCAGTCTTCCACCTTATGTAAAAACAAAGCAGATCATTTTTCTGTTGCTATATTGCTGAATATACAGCTAAAGAGGCATGCCTGCTACGCAGAGCAAAGTTTACAGAATGCATGCTTCCTAAGTAGGCAGAAATCTTTTGCCCATTATTCAAGCCAATTTGCAGTGGAATCCTCAAAAGAGTAGCAACCAGGATGAAACTTCAGACAGGGTTCACAGATATTTTTTTCTCTAAATAGAATACTTCCTTCAGGGAACAGCCAGGACACATGCTTTTACATGACATTGCCGTGTTTGACCCAGAATATTGACAAGTTAGTTGTATGGTTATGCAATTGGGAAATGATAGTAGCATTAAGAACTGCAGTATAGAAAGAAAAAAGACCTATGCATGTCAATAGAAGACATTAAGCCATTCATCAGTGCAAAGGCGAGCAGCCTACACCAGAATACAAAACCAGATAAAGCGAGATTTTAAGAAATATCTGCATGGGGCATAGTAAAACAAAAAGAAAATGGGACAAAGAGGGATCTAAGAAGTAAATTGCACTTATGAACCCATAAGATACCAGAAACATGTAAGTAATTATACATTGAATATGACAAACTATCCATCTCATTTAACTCACAGAGTCCAATTTCATAAGAAAAAAATTTACCTTTCAAGGACAAAACTCTCTCTAACCTCAACATCAGGAAGATCTACTTCCTACTATCACCAAAAAGTTTTTTAAGGGATCTAACGATCAGTACTCAATTTCTATTCATCTCCAACATCTGTTGCCATTTTGGACGCCTCTCGCTGTAGTATGATGAAGGATTTTAACAAGCATGACACAATCAGTAATATTGTTCTCTTTAGTTTTTCTGATAAATAGCCCCCGTGTGTTTTTTCTTGTCTCAAAATGCATTTTACAGCTGCTAAAATTTCCAAAAAAAGAATTTAATATCCCCACAAATTTGAGTATCCTCCTATTAACCATTTGATAACAAATATAAGTCATAAAGACTTCTGTTACTTCGGAATTTTATTTCCATGTTGGAGAAACTCAAGAGCTACTCAGTAGGAGCGAACATCATCTCTCCGCCAATGTCAACTCGTAAGTAGTTGCTCTCTCCTGTCGTCCATCACCATTTGGCAGGAAATGCCTTGCTGAGTAAGACAATTAACTAGACTTACTTTTTTATTGGTCTGCACACTGTACCCCACTTCCTTAGGTGGGCTCTGTTTGAATTACTAACTGCCAAAGTCCAAAAGAGCTTGTTTCAAGATTGATGTGACAGTAGATGGAACACTCTTTTCAAGAGTCCATCTCCCTTCAACCAAAAAGAGTTTTACTTTCGATTTTTCAAATGCAGAGTCAAAACTTTTAAGTTGATTCACTCCACTACTGTGGTCTTATTCCCCAAAGGATAATGGGAGACCAAGGCACTTAGATGAGAATTTTACCTACCTTACAGACAAATGTATAAGCATGGTCAGCAATCCCATTTTACCAAAAGCTTCAATTCTCGTAACTTCTGATGGTTAAGTTTATCCACAATCCTGCAACCATTTCTTGCATTAATAGAAGCCATTTAGCTTTGGAATTTTGTTCATATCATCCATAAAATAGATCTAGCAAATCGGAAATGCACATGAGATGTTACTTTGACTTAAAGTCATTCAATTAACCGTTCAAGAAATGATGCTTGATGATAAACAGCAATAGAGGCGGAATTAGAATAAGAAATTTTCTAGGGTGAACATTAACCATTCAACTAGGTAAGCCTTGCTCCAGATGAACAAGTCACAACTATGATGCCATCCACCATCACGAAGATACATTATTAGCGACCCAGAAAAAAATTGGCTAAATTATGATGCTATAAGCCTCCACAAAGCAAAAAAGACAGGATAACTTTTACGCTCATTTTTAATCTTGATTGTCGAAACTTGGAAAGATACTCCAAGCATCTAATGCCTATAATCTTTGAAATCAAGCTTCACAAAAAAATAAACAATACGTAAGGGAAGTTCCACGTCTTTACATCCAAAGCAAGAAATTGGAGAAGATTCCAAATTTAACGATAGAGTCACTCATTGACCATACGCTAGCGAGGCATCTCCAGGCATGGTTGCTACAGAGATTTGAAGGATATCCAAACACAGAAATACGAGGAATCAACAGCACATGGACAATGAGTAGCAGTTATAACATTAATAATAATAATAATAATAATAATAATAATAATAATAATAATAATAATAATAATAACCGAGAAAGGATTAAATATAAAAGGGTCAAGAGGAAAGGGCTTAATATATGGAAAATTGACGAAAATAGAAAATTCACCTATCTCATAAGTCTCATAGGTCCAGAAAAGAGCCTGCAACTTCAATCATGATCTCACATGTCTCACCTATTACCTTTACCCCCCATATATAGAGTAGCAGGGGCTTGTAAAATGCACGTTTACAGGCATTCAAACAGACAATTCATGTATAGAAGAACAAAGCTATTTTTCCCCAAAAGAAAAACTTTGTATCAATAAAATTCGAATCCGAAACTTAATGAAACTTCAATTAAATAGTATTAAGTAAAATAGCCAGAGTATTTATAATTCCAATCGTTAAGGGAGATTTTTTAGTCCCGAGGTTGGCCAGGGTGTTCTTTCCGCATTCATTGAATGAAAAGGTAACATTATTTGAAAAGTTTCTACTTTCAGAGAAACACACCCAGATTCTATAGAATCATGGATGAAACTTAAGCTCCATGCAAAATCCGATTGAGTTTTCCGTCAAAATAACTGTCAAGTTTCAGCAATTTATAGATCAATGACCCACCAAAAGTCATCTTTTACAAGTCCTAATTAATCTCGGTTTCCTATCCACTATCTGGAGATATGGGTAATCAGGAACATGTTTTCGTCTACAGACCAATTTTTAATCATCGAAGAAATAGTTTTAACAACTCCAAAAGTTTTCATAAGATAGCTATTATACATCAGCCAATAGAATCTTCCCTTGGAAATTATTCATCTGCGTTTCATTGGAAACTCTAGGAAGCTAGTGCAGTGACATCGTTAAGAAACTACCAAGGTCCAAATTAACAAATGGAAAGGGAAGGGAACGGATAGAAGAACAGAACAATACAACGGGAATTGCTCTACAGGCTTCTTCTGAAGGATAGATTACATACTAAGCTGTTCTTCACCATACATCCAAAACAGAGGCCCCCAACAATAATAAGAAAGGCTGAAGAAAGATGCACGAGAATCCAGACATAAATCCTCAGCAGGGATATCAAGAAAGTGCGAATAAGTCGCATTATACTTCGCATGTGTGTAGGTAGTTTCCACTCCCATTTCACTTTCGAGATGAAAAAATGCAATGAACTTTTCTCATCGGTTCCTTCCGAGATGATAAAATGAATATAAAAATTAAATGTAATGTGAATCACTCACAATCCACCACTATCTGATTTCAGAAAGAAGAAGGTGAAGAAATTTTATAGGCGTTCGGCAGGATAACCTAATAAGTCATCGAAATCAAACAGGAGGAGGCAACCATGACTGTGCATCAGTCTAACAAACCGGGCAAGGTCCGAGATCTCGCGAAAGAAACCCACAAAGACAATCGCTGGGTAAACCGCAGCTAACCAGAGCGCAAAAAAAGCCAACATTTCGAAAATCACCAGGGCAATGCCTTCACCACGACGAACAAGCGCGAATTCCGCCGGGCAAGGGGGGCCAGAGAGGAACTAGGACAGGACATTACCGACTCATTGCCGCTGCAGGTGGAACCGAGCTTGGAAGGCTCCTCCTCCGACCACGTCCCCAAATCCCTCCGTTTCCGCCGACGGCGGATCCCGACGCTCTGCTGCGAGACGGCCGCTTCCTCCCCGGAGGCGCCTTCCCTGTGCCCACCACCCTCCCCGCAGACCCCCTTCTGCCCCACCGGGGCCATCCTCGCTGGCCCCGGGTGCATCCCCAGCATCCCTCCCACAGCCGAGCCGAGCTGAAGACTCAGTAGCGAGAGAAACTATAGAGAGAGAGAGAGAGAGAAACTAGAGAGAGAAACTAGAGAGAGAGATTAGAGAGTAAACACAGAGAGAGAGAGAGAGACGGAAGTGTGTAGAACTCCCGTTGTGCGGGAACAACCGGCAGACAGCGCCAGTAGTACTCTCAGCTGGAGTGTGGGTTTTTTCCTCTAAATAACCTTTAAAATACTCACATTTGCATTTATTGCCCATAAACTTCATAAATGTCACACCTACTTAAAAAATATCACTTACATTAATGCCGCAAGAGACCAGCAGGCACGGGTCCCCCTCCACTGGCCCAGCGAAAAAATATTATATTATTATTTAAAACTTCATCCAGAAGACAAGTGGGAGGGGTGCCAATGGGCTGGCCCAATTGGGAATGGCCCAATAGTGCACGAAAATGGGCCTCTTTTGAGAACTTGGGTTCTAAGATCCAAGTCTCCAGCATTCAAACCTGTTTGACTAAGAGAAGGAGCAGATTTCCATTAGGTGGAGAGAGAGAGAGAGAGAGAGAGAGAGAGAAGGTCAACTCGTTAAAAAAAAGGAAAAAAAGGAAAATGGACCAGTATTACTTGAGTTGTACTAGCAGCATTAAGCTATTTTATTCTTAACTCATTAAAAAAATGAAAAAAAGTCAACTCCCCCCTCTTCTTGTCCGTTTGGGCTCATTAGACCGACCTTAGCTATACCTATTTAATGAACCATATATGTACAGATAAAATATTTAGAAGCGTCAAACTTTTAAAATACATTATTTCTTTATTTTAAAAAATAAAAGTCACGTATGAAATTAGGCAAAGAATGAGATTTCCATTAGGTGGGGAGAGAGAGAGAAGTCAACTTGCCTGAATTGCACTAGAAACATCAAGTTTTTTTATTCTTGACCATTTCATAAAAGAGAAAAAGTCAACTCCCCCCTCTTCTTGTCCCTTTGGGTTCATTAGACTCACCTTAATTGTACATATTTAATGAACCATATATTAAAAAAATATGGAAATCTCTAAATTTTCAAATACATTATTTATTTATTTTTAAAGTAAATGTCACTAATGAAATGAGCCAAAGAACGAGATTCTTCTTAATCTCTAGCCATGGCTCTCCATTATTCAGCATTATTATATTCACATATAATTTCAAATACCATTTATTATTATTCCATAATGCATAATTTTAAAAAACCTAAAATTTGAATTATTTCTAAAGTTTTCACTTAACATCATTGTGTTACTAAAAATACCCACAGATAAAACCATTTGAATCACATGGGAGAGAGAGACACAGATAGAGACATAGTGACAGAGGACCATTTTTCTTTTTCACGATTAATTTAATACTTAAAATTAGAGAATACTTAGCCCTTTTTTATTAAAGATAAAGTCATAATAATTCTAATTATATCAAAAATATTTAGGAGCATAATTTGGTCGTGGTATCTTTGTTCAGCTGGCTAGTTAGGAAAGTGGTAGGTGAACATCCACAACAAAGTCAGTCCAAACCATTTGACTTTTCCCAAAATATGTTTGGTTCTGCCCAAGTTAAACACATTAAGTCAACTATCTCATGTCGTTAAAATTGCAGAAGTTGAGAAGGTCTACCTTGGAAATTTGGCTTACGTACACACTTGTGATTTTTAGTTCAAACCCCGCCAATTATTCAAAATACGATGAGTTTTGTTATCATCGTTGACTGTGACAAACAACGTCGATCTCGGTGAGTCGAATGCACAATTTCCGATTTTGTAGTACATAAAAAATTAATAATAATTTGAAAGTAACCGTCCAACAGCCCAACAACTCTCTCTCCCTCTCTCTCTCTCTCTTTCTGTGTGTATATATATATATGTATATGTATATATATCGTTGTTCTGTCTCTGTCTCTGTCTCGAAGGGAGGGGGGGAGGGGTTGACCACCGCGTCGAAGCAACGCGGGAGAGGTTGTCGCCGCCGTTTGGCCAGCCGCTGACGTTCTCATCGGTGATGGAAGTCGTCTCCGCGTTTGGACGGAGGATGGTCGCCGTCTCCCGCTTTCCTCTGCATCCTCTTCTTCTACCGTTTCCCATGGGGTCCGATCTCCTGGCACGATCCGGTCTCCATCTTCAACCACCATTTCCAGAAGAAGAGAACAAGGCCAGGGGTCGGAGATGAAGACCTAACCGCACCATCGGAGAGGTACTCCGTCGTCCTCTCAGGCAGGAAGCATCAGAATTTTCCAGTCCGAGCTGCAGGGAAGGGAGAGAGAGGGGTGGGGAGGAGGGAGAGGGATCAGCAAGAGCAGAATCATGGGGCTCTCTTGCTGCACCTGCCTGACACCGGTCTCTGAAGAGCTAGAAGAAGGCGGAGATCTGTACCCCGTTCCGACGAGTGAGCGGCATCGGAAGAGTCGGCAGAAGAAGAACAGCAAGGGAAGCGAAGTGGTGGTGCCGAAGGGGGTCAAGATCCGTTCGAATCCTTACGCAGAAGATCCCTCCGCCTCGCCTCATCAGATACAGGTTCTCAAGGATCTGATCCCTCTGCACAGCGTCAGCGTCCGCGTGGGAGACAAGTATGTGCTCGGCCGCGAGCTAGGGCGGGGCGAGTTTGGAGTCACCTACCTCTGCTCCGATCGAGTGACCAAGGAGGAGTACGCCTGCAAATCGATCTCCAAGAGCAAGCTCCGTGCCGCCGTCGATGTAGAGGACGTCCGCCGCGAGGTCGCCATCATGTCCGCCCTCCCCCAGCACCCGAACATCGTCGGCCTCCACGCCGTGTACGAGGACGCAGACGCTGTTCACATCATCATGGAGCTCTGCGCCGGCGGCGAGCTCTTCGATCGCATCGTCAGCCGCGGGCACTACTCGGAGCGCGCCGCCGCCGCAGTTCTTCGGACCGTCGCGGAGGTCATCCGGATGTGCCACGCCCACGGCATCATCCACCGCGACCTGAAGCCCGAGAACTTCCTCTACGCCGACAGCTCGGAGACCTCTCCGCTCAAGGCCATAGACTTCGGCCTGTCCGTCTTCTTCCGCCCCGGGGTCCGTCTATCAGAGATTGTGGGCAGCCCTTACTACATGGCCCCGGAGGTGCTCAGGCGCAACTACGGCCCAGAGGTGGACATCTGGAGCGCCGGCGTCATCCTCTACATCCTGCTGTGCGGCTTCCCCCCATTCTGGGCAGGTCAGCGCCAGAAGAAGAACCTCGTTACTCGCCACAACCCCATCTGGAAATTTCCGTTCGGCTGGTTCATCTGCTCTTCCTAGATACAGCAGAACAGTTTCAGTTTTTTCCAAGATCTCAGATTATTCTTTTCTCCTCGAATTTGGCTCCAATTCTTCCCATCTTCCTCCTCACTGGGTGGCTGGGCATTGCAGAGAATGATCAAGGAGTCGCCCGGGCAATTCTTCGCGACCCTGTAGACTTCGAGAGAGAGCCTTGGCCCCAAGTTTCTGAGAGTGCAAAGAATCTTGTCCGGCAGATGCTTGATCGAGATCCGAATCGCAGGTTAACAGCTCAACAGGTGCTTGGTAAGTCATCTTTAGCTCTAAGTTTGTTCTTCTTAGGGTCACCTGCAACCATATTAGGCTTTAAACCTCCAAACTCCTGATTGCCCGACCGTCAATTTGACCTCCCAATATCTGGGTACATGAGAGCTCGATGTGCGTTTGTTTGTCAACTAGGATCAGGTCCTTTTCACATGTTACAAAGCATTTTCTCATTTATTTCTGGAAAAAAAAAAGTTTGGCATTGCCAGTGCTTTCCCCCCCTCTAAATGGTACAATCAACAAGTCTACAAAATAAAAATAGGGAAAATATGGAATTAAATTTTCTCGTTCGTATATGTCAAGGCACATATTTTTTTATAATTTCCTCCCATCAAATCATGCATGTTTAATGCAAGGGTCGCATGCTATTTTCTCTTAGAAGAAGAAAGGATGTCATTTGTTTCTGCCATGTGATAAGCACAAAACGGTCTAAAGTTGATTAATGGGTGGAGCTGAAATCAGATATTAATATTCTTTGATAATTATAGGCTACCGCTTAGCAAAGCAACCTAGCATCAGATATTAAAAAGGCATCATAGCTTTTTTCTCCAAGGTTAGAAACTACTTCTACCAGGAAAAATCATGATAACTCTAATGTTTACCTTTTTCAAATGGATAAAACCTCGACTTCGCAGAATATAGTGTTCCGTACAGTGTTAGGTCACAAGGATATATGTGGTTCAGTCTCAAGGATATAAATGGTTAATAGGTAGTTGAGTGTTGCATCAAGCAGAGCCCAATTGTGAAGGTTAAGTTTCTGATAAAAGTGGAAATGATTCCAGGTAAAGGCTCACTCTTTCCTTGCAAGGATTGTATACCCTATCTAGATGGATATTGAATGGAGAAACAAGCATTTATGAATAGGATACGAGTGAAACATAAAGTGACAAACGGAATTCACCTCTTTTGGATTATAATTCCCCTCTATCGCCCTCGCCAAAATTGCTTGGATGGGCTCAATCAGCCCATATTATTTTCTAAGAAGAAAACGCTCCAGGGGGGTGATAACACTAGAATTGCCAAAATGGCACCTGCTAACACCACTTTGTCCCCGCTCAAAGAGAGTTACTGATGTGGTTTGTCTGCGGTTTTTGACTCGATTGGATGGCTTTTGAGGTGGACACCTGCCATTAATCTCCCAAGGGAACATGAAGATCCTGGTTGTATCCTGAGGCAGCTGGAGTCCTCATTGAATGAGCGCAACTCTAGCCACCAATGGGCCACCCTCTTTCGTCCCCAGAGATCGAAAGAAGAGAAGCATTTCCAGTGATCATTTTCTTGATCTTGGCCGTTGCTTCAGGATAACCTGAAGTCTATTATCCCCATACTTCACTGAGCAGAGTAAATATTGCAAGATGCGCCATGGGATTATCATAAATTCCGGTAATCCATGGTTATGATTCCATCAGAAGAGACCAGGAACTGGGATAGTGGAGATGCTTCAGTAAAATATTTTTTTTACTGCCCCATTCTGAAAAACAAGAGGGCGCCGCATGTTTACCAAGTTCATGCGATGTCTTCAAACGGAGTGGGCCATCTGGGAGTGTTTGCTGCTTGCCACTGATGGTCAGCACGCTTCTGTTGACTTTTATCTGAGTTCTCATTATTTTTCACTGCAGAATCAAACATGTTGACTATTATCCCAGTTCCTGCTGTATTCGACGAACTCAGTGGCAGAATCATTTTTCACTTCTGCCGGAATATTTGGGTAATCTCGAGCTGATAGATGAGATGTTGTTGCTGGTCAATATTTCCTTGTCGACTGAGCTAGAGTCAACACTGGATGTTTTAGGATTGATATGAGGTTTGCGTTGACCCTAAAGTTATGTGGGTCAGGATGCTTCTGTTGATTCCATTCTCTGAGTTCTCATCATTTTTCACTACAGAATCAACCATGTTGACTTTTTTTTTGCCCTTGGTCAAAATATTCACGCGGTATTATGATCTTGTATCTGTTAAATAGCTTTTTTCCGATTGGGGTGACAATTTTACAGCGCACCCGTGGTTACAAAATATGAAGAAGACATCGAACGTTCCATTGGGAGATTTTGTGAGATCAAGGCTCAAGCAGTTCTCTGTGATGCATAAATTCAAAAAGCAGGCCATCAGGGTTAGTCTCCTTCCATCTGATTTCCTGATATGCCAAATATCTGATATATATATATATATATATATATTTATATATTTATTTCCATAAAACCACGACTGCCAGTCTCTTACTATTTGATTTCCTGGTATTTTAAAATATTTTTTAAAAGAAATCGAGGGGGTTCTATGTCAATTATATTTCCTGATATATTAAGTAGCTAGCGTTTGCTTCAGTCTTTTTAAAAGTTATTAGTCGTATCCGAATCAGGTAATTGCTGAGCACTTGTCAGTGGAAGAAGTGGAAGTCATCAGAGATATGTTCGCTTTGATGGACACCGATAACAACGGGAAAATAACGTTTGAGGAGCTGAAGGTCGGCCTGCTGAAGGTCGGCTCCATGCTGGGCGAGACGGAGATGAAGATGCTGATGAAATCAGTAAGCATTTCCCCTCTTCTTTTTCATCTGATTCATGTTCCAGAGATATAGATAGATAGATAGAGGAGAGAGAGAGAGAGAGAGAGAGAGAGAGAGAGAGAGAGAGAGAGAGAGAGAGAGAGTACCAGTTGAGCATCATTTATCCTTAAAAGTCACAAATTTGTCAAATTACCTTGATTCCTGGAAGCAATCCTTTTATATTACGGTGATCTAAATAAATAGTCAAGGTTACAAGGATCTCACCAGACTTCTCTTCAGGCGGACACCGACGGCAATGGCGTGTTGGACTACGGGGAGTTCGCCGCAGTCTCCTTTCACCTGCTGAAGCTGGAGAACGATGACCACCTCCGGAAGGCTTTCTCCTTCTTCGACCAGGATGGCAGCGGCTTCATCGAATTCGACGAACTCAGAAAGGGCCTGACGAACGGCTCTGCTCTGATCGACGACAAGACCTTGGGAGACATCCTTCGAGAAGTCGACACTGACAAGGTGCTCTCTTCTCTCCATCCCATTTTCTTCCACGGTCGCATCATTCCATTTCGTCCATTTGTCAGCCAGTTGACTTGGCCCGGGTGGTCAACTGCCGTGTGGTGCATGGAGGATAGGCCACCTGGCCAATTGCTCATTTTAGAAGACCAATCCCTTATTGGTACGCCCGTTGACCATAATCCCATATTAGTTACCCTATAAGAGGAAAAGCCTGTGAGTACGAAAATTTTCACCCTTTGTTCATTGAAAAGTTCCATATTGCTCATTATAGAAGATGAATCCCTTATTAGTATGCCCGTTGACCGCAATCCCATATTAGTTACCCCATACGAGGAAAACCTGTGAATACGAAAATTTACACTCTATGTTCATTGAAAAGTCCCATATTGCTCACTATAGAAGACGAATCCCTTATTAGTAGGCCCGTTGACCATAATCCCATGTTAGTTGCCAAAGAAGAGGAAAATCTGCGGGTTCAAAGATGTGCACTCGCTGTTCATTGGTGGTGTGGGCTTTGAGGCTATTTGTCCCGTTGACTTTCCCACTCCGTGGTCAACGTTCTTCGTGGGGCCATTGCAGGATGGCCGCATCAGCTACGAGGAATTCGTTGCGATGATGAAGGCCGGCGCTGACTGGAGGAAGGCCTCTCGACAGTACTCCAGAGAGAGGTTCCGGAGCATGAGCATGGACCTCATAAAGGACGGCTCGTTGATGATCGGCCATGAAGGGCTCGAACCGGTTGCCCCTCAAGATCATGGATCTTATCAGGCTCAACGTGAGTGATTTTCTCGAGATATATATATATATATATATATATATTTTTTTTTTTTCTTGTGATCTCATATTAGAAATCATGTGTATATTGATGCGGGCAATTGCCCTGTTAAGATCCCACTTTTCTGGAGTCTTGAAAGTGTTAATTATTTGCAAAATCTGACTTAAAAAATAGATTCCACTACTTTGTACATGAAAAATATCATTCGAAATTTTTTATTCTCAATATTATTGACAAGTTAAAATATCCTCCTCGACATATTGAAAATATCTTTGTTATTGTTCCTATGTTCCCATTATTATTATATATTTCAAATAACATCTTTTTTAGGCATATTCCTTGTAATTTAAAAAACGTGGAGGAAATTAAATATCTTCATTAATAATTCAATAGAAAAAAAGATGGATGAAATAGGGAATAAAAGGCCGCAGCTTTTTCTTTGGAGCTCATCGCCCCCTCCGTGGTCCACGTGTCCACGGGATTGTGGGTCCCGCGCCGGGTTTTGGAAAATCTAGATGCAGCCACTGGGGCGTCCCAAGTGGGGAATGCTGTGTGAAGGTGGCCGGCGTGAATAACAGGCTGGCGGACCCCAGGGAGAAAGATCTGGACCGCCTCTCTAACTCTCCCGCAGAATCGTGAAAAAAAGGAATGACGAGGTTTTTTCTGAGTGTGGCAGACCATCCGGATTGTGCCACGTACCCGCCGTGATCTTCCGACTAAAACCGACATCTGACCGATCGGTACGTCTGCCTTGCGATAAGGTGGGGCCCGGGGGAATCGTTGACCAGCCGGCAAATCGTAGAAGTCCAGAAAAGAGGACGGGACCCACACCGTAAGATTTAGACCCGGCCCGTGTTCGGTTCGGTGGGGTTGGGGGGGGGGGGGGGTCAAAGGTCCACGCTTCTAAATTTATGGTAATATTAGGCCTGATTAAGCTGCATTTATTATTTAATACACTGGGTAATTAAAATTCAGACCATTTTTTAAAAGTTCTGGGGGTTGAAATAAATAATATATAATAAAATTAATGTACTGGAATAAGGTGTGTGTCGGATTTGGGGGGGCGGGGGTTAGTGAGGCCCTCTCTCTCTCTCTCTCCTCTCCCCATCGCTCTCTTTCTCTCTCTTTCGGTCGCTGGGTTACCACGTTGCCCTCTCTCTCTCTGGCTCTTTGTTTCTCCATCGCTCTCGCTACCTTTCTGTCGCTGGGTTTCTACTTTGCCCTCTCTCCCTCCTCCACGTCTCTCTCTCTCTATCTCTTTCGGCCGCTGGGTTTCTACTTTAAGCTCTCTCTCTCTCTCTCTCTTTCGGCCGCTCGGTACTGTGTCTCACTCCCTTTCACTATCCATCTCTCTCTACCTCTCTGACTGTCTGCGCTGCTATGCGATCTCGATCTGTCTCTCTGCCCACGTCTCGCTCTCTATCTCTTTCTCTCTCTATGTCTCTTTGCCTGTCTCTGTCTGCGCTAACAACGGAGAAGCGGCCGAGCGACGTTCACGTGGCAACCGCTTCACAACCTTTCTTCAGTTTTACTTTTTTCTTCTTCTAAAATGGTCGCATACTCATTTTCCCCACATAAAGTATGATATTTTTATCACGGGAAGAAGCTAATATATAATAAATAACTCTTACAAGGGCCTTTTTGAAAAATCCCCTAATTTCGTTTATATCGAGGGAAATTACTCTTTACTCTCACGTTTTCTCAGCTAAATCGTTATTAAAAATATTTTATATTATTATTTATTTAAAAGTGCCTAAATATAACTATTTATGGTCTAGTTTCTCTCTCTCTCTCTCTCTCACTCACTCTATCTGAATATCACTTCTCTCTCTAAAACTCTTCAAATCCTTTTACGCGGCCCACACACACAAATGGGGTCGTTGAGAGAGAGGGAAAGGGTGAAGAGTGAGAAACGGAATATTCTGTTACCATTTTCTTAATCCGTTAAAATAACCGTCTCCCCCACAATAAATACTTACTCTTCAAGCGTAATATGTGATTACTAACAATGTTACCCGTTTTATGTAATAAATTAGAGAGATAGACAGCGAGAGAGAGAGAGAGAGAGGGTTTGTCGACTAATTTAAGAGGAGTACGGCAATGTTTTCAAATATGTTAAAAATACGTAGATTAGATATTGCAATAAAAACAATTATAGGGTTTAAACGTAAGAGCTCATGAAAAGTGGGTTTTTCCGAAAGGGAAGGAATCAGAGGAAGGGTGCGCGGCGGTGGGGGGAAGGACGTACCGGATCTCCATTTTTGTTCGCTACTCGTTTGATTCCTCGCTCTTCCTTCTCCCCACTTTCTCCCTCCGCCGCCTTCCTTCGTCGTCGACGAGAAGACCATACGCTCCGGTCATCCGCCGCCGCGTCGTCGAGCTCGGCGGAGCCAGCGCCGCCCCGCTGGTGGTATTCGCAGGTGGTGCTGAAGGCTGAAGTGAAGAAGAGGGGGGGGGGGACGCGTGCCCTTCAGCCTTCGTTGTTGTGCAGGTCCGTGGAGGGGAGGAGTTGTTGGGTGTTGGGGAAGGTGGGACGCGGGTGGATGGTCCTAGAGACATGCGGAGAGATGGTTTGCCTGTCGGGAATGGGGACTTCTTCTCACCAGCCTCGTCTCCATCTTCCTCCGTCCTCGTCTTTTTCCTCGCCTGCTGCTCTCTTTCCCATCCGGATTTGCCCTAGCCTGGCCTCCACCAGCGGTGCCGGCATCAGCGTCTATTCTGCTTCTTCTTCTTCTTCTTCTTCTTCTTATTCTTCTTCCTCTGCTTCGTCATCCTGCTCCTCTGTCTTCTCTTCTTCTCTCCCTTTTGCTACGGGTGGTCAGCGGAGGAGGAGGACATGTCCCGCTGCTGCCTCTGGGTCCTTGCGAGAAGAATACGATGCTCTCACCTCGCCTTCTCTCCAACCTTTATCGGTGCAGCCTGGGAATCTCTGTGCTCTGTCCGGGGAACGGGATAAGATTGAAAGCCATGGGTTGTGGAGGAAGCGGGTGACGGATTCTTTTTCCTGCGGAGTTAGTCAAAAGGTGGTGGTGGTAGAAGAGGCGGAGCAGGACGAGGAGGAGGAGGAGGAGGAGGAGGAGGAGGAGGAGGAGGAGGAGGAGGAGAATATGGACGGTGCTAGCCTTCTGGCCTTGGAGACTGATATATATGACTTCATGCAGAAATCTGGGAAACCTAAATATTTCCCCACCAAGGACGACCTGATTAGAGCTGGGAGGATGGATCTGGTAAAAGCAATTGCTTCTCATGGCGGTTGGCTTGCCTATGGCTGGGATTTTGATGACGCGGATGATACCAATGACGATGATGGGGATTGGATTTATGGTGATGATGAGGAGAGGAAGTGGGAAAAATTATATGGAGTAGAACTGAAGACAGATAGCTTCAGTTTCCTTCTGCCTGAGACAAATTCATCGACTAGAGAGAACAATGAGTTTGCCGTTAATTGCTTTGATGAAGGAATCCTTGAGCAGCAAAGGTTCGGCAGCTCTATGGACCCCACTTCTTCTTCCATTGCCTCGTCTTCTGGCAGACCTATGTAAGTGTTGTATCCTTCTTTTCTTTCTTTGATCTAGGTTACTGCATTTCTTTAACTTTTATGTACATCAGAGACATTAAAGTTGAAGATGAAAGTGGAATTGATGGCATTTTGAAGCGGCTAGAGAAGGAGAGAAGTTTCTCTTATACAGTCACTTGCAAGGACTCAAATATTGATGATAGGATCTTATCCAGGGACTATGAATTGAGCTCTTCTGGTATGTTTATATATTGAGGTGGAGAAATTTTAAGTTTTAGATTAATTTATTGAAACATAACTGTTCGCTTGAAATTATGACTTTGTTGAAGCAATTTCGCTGGAAAACTATCTGGTGTTTGTATAACCTTGAAGCTTCCATTAAAATTTGGGTTCCTGTGGTACTGATGCATGGATATCTTATGCGGGCACGCTATTGAAAAATTGGGAGGCGTTTTTCGAATTTTATCTTTCTGTTATGTCTTCAACCATAACTGTCCAGTCAGAAAATTCAAACACTGTTCAGGAAAAAAAAGCCAAACATAGCCTTCGATGCCAACTTTGACAGATAATGAAAAGTGACTTTATAATACAACATACTTTTCAAAATAATTTTTTTTTCCAAAATGGAATATAATAGCGACATTTTATTTATTCAGTAAAAAAATGGAAGTTCTCACATCAGGAACATGCAAACGCTGCTTTTAGAGGCCATGTTTAAAGAAATAATGTGAACTGGCTCGAAGATAAATTCGAATTTTCAGATGGAATATTTCTTCATTTCAATATGACGGCCACCAGACTGGGGATGACATGGAACTTGTAGCACCCCCAAGCAATTCAACGTATTTATGTTATAGTGCTAATTATCTATGACCCCATTTATCTTTCTGTGCTCTGGTGCTTCAGTAGAAGAACATAATTGGGAGTCAAATCATCTCATGATAGATGGACAATTTTCCAATTCACTTCCCACTTTGCTCACAACATGTTTAGGGAATCCGAAAGTGTTTGCCAAACTAATATGGGATTCTTCCTGGTCAAGCCCAAAACAAGGATGATAGGGATGGAACTGAAACTGGAACTTAATTGGTTCCAGTTTCAGTTCCATTTTATTCAACTGGCTGCAACAATGGACTCTAGCATGTTTTCTAAAACATAATCCATATAAGCTTCGAAAATGAAAGTTAAAGAGTATAGAAAAAGACATGGGAATTATATCAATAGCTCTTTAAAAAACCTAATAGAGTGTAATTATACATTTGGGGAGATGGCAGGACATTAAATGAGTATCTCCAATCATCACTTTCGATGTTATAAATGGCAGAACCATATAACGTTGTCCGTTCTAGTTATATGCCTGAATGTCCTCTTATTAGTTGGTATTTGTTTGCAAGCAGCAACGTTAAACGAATGAGAAGAATTGCATTATTTCCCTGAACGGTCCTCTCTGGCATCACCTTCTAATTGGTGCGTACAGATAACTGTGCTGATTAATAGCTGTCTATTAACGAAATTCTTTGAAAATGAAACAGAAGTCTAGACAATTAGGCTTGTAGTTGTGGCTTTGATGATCTACCTTGGATAAACTGGATAAGAACTGCAAAAAGAATTGATGAAAACTATTTTAAAAAATGGCATTTATTTACATATTTGGAGCTCTAATTCCTTGATTATGTATTGCAGTTAATGATAAGTCAATATGATCCTAATCTATGCTTTCTCCTTGATATTAAAAGGACAGTTGGTGGCACTACAAGAGCTAGAAGAGACTTTTCATCAGATCATAAGAAGCAGGGATCTGAAAAATGTATGTTCATTGATGCCATTAGGTTTTTACTGATTTTTTGTTAAAAATAATTCTTTGCATTTTCTTTACTTCCTAATTATTTGATATGCAGCTGATGAAAGGTTTGCTGATGGAAAGGTAAATGGAGTGGAAAACTTTTTATATGGTATCCGTAGGAATGGTTTTGCACATTCTATGGATCAGAGAGCCATGGATGTAAGAAACGTAAAGAAGGAATCAAGTTCTACTGCTGGACCTGGTCAAAATCATATACATTCACGTCTTCGATACCTGGAATCCGAGCTTTCTTCTGTGCTGAGCTCCCTTAGGTCTCAAAAGGACACAGTTGCGTCACTCAAGGTATTTAATATTTTTTTAACTTGTAATTGACTTCTTTGAGGTCATAATTTCATCATGATATCATTAATGCTGAACATAACTAAGAGCTGTTACACATTCAATATAGCCTTCTAGTATCCTTTATGTTATTGGTATTGTTAATTATCTCAGACATTGGTCGATATATATACTTGGAAAGGAGACACTCTATGGCTTTTGACCTATTTGCGTTGTTTTCAAGTTATTTTCTATAATGAATATGTAATCTCTTACTGACCACTGGCCTCAACATTAATTTGGGTAATTTTATTAGTTATTATCTCCATCTTTGCGTGGTCATGTTTGGATGGTTCCTGCAACCTAATTCTCACGAAGGGAAAGTCCCATGTATCTTTCTGCTTTTTTATGTGTTATGCTTTGTTTTAATTTCCGTCCTAGTGAGAATATGGAAGTTCTTAACTTGGTAAAAGCTTATTAGTTCTTATTCCCATATTTTCCAGTCCAGGTGTCGGAACCCAAAAAATAGAAGGTTTTGTGGATCTTTCTACTTTTGGTAGACTGATGTTGTCTTTAACTTATTTCCTGTGATCAATTTACTTCTGTTAGGGCAGTCTCATATTAGTTAAATACTCAAATAAACCTGTTATTTTACAGATAGGCCCATCTTACTTACAGCCATCTGTTTTAAGTAGAATGCCTTTCGAGCTATAATGTGGTCTTTGAGACACTGGTTGCTCTTTTAGACTGCCCACATCCATTTTTGGTTAATTTTGTCTGTCTTTTTTATTGATACATATTTTTTCTTCTTCTTTTGGCGATTTTGTTAATTTCATGTTATTTTAGATTTTATTTTTGTAAGGGGATCTAGTTTTCCACCTTAAAATCAGATCAGCGCTGGAGAGCCTTGCAAAGTGTTATTAGAATGCTATCATGGTATATAGCAGTATGTTATAAGGAATATTATAATGCATTTGGGTTAAGAAATTGGCAAATTCTCAATCCAAATGAGGAGACGATGTTTACTATTTTACATCTTTAATTATAAGCTAGTTTATGCAAGTTCTATTGTCTTTTTAAGATCGAGAGTGCATTCTAAGATTTATTTTTCCATTACGTAATCTATATTTAAATCGTAACAATCTTCTGAAACTCATGAAACCCTTTTAACTTTCTATAATCTATTTGGACATAAAACTCATGAATTTTAACTTTTAACAAATCTTAACGTTTGGACACTTCTATTTCTCTCAAACGGATATAGTTGTGAGATTACCCAGCTCACCATGTTTTCATCCCCTTTTCTGGGGTTGAGATTTGTTGTTGAGATATAGGTTCCCCTTTTATTTTGAGAGTGCAAGAATTTGTTCTTTTTTTTATGTTATAGATATTTCGCCCCCTCTTCACGTAGGAGTAAAGAGCATCTTCTGTCATCTGCTAGTTTAATTCATGGCTCCGTACAACATATTTCTCGCTATATGGTAATTTTTAGAAAAAAGGCTTGTTTCTTCCGTCAGCTCCACTGTGATCATTTAGCATATGCACTCGTTCTCATAATATGCTATTCTTTAGGGTGAAGGAAGCTCCCTGAAGGAACTGCACAAGCTTACTGATGCTCGGGAGTTCGTTGAAACTGAAATAATGAACACACAAGACAGATTACGATCAACAAAAGCTAAACTAGCGGTATTGGAAGGCAAGATGGCACTTCAAGTAATGTATGTAATGTTCTGTTCGATCTTCGCAACTCATGGCTATCTTTATTCTGCCATGATGACCCTTTATTTCCCATTTAAAGTGAATCACAGAAGATTATTGAAGAGAAGCAGAAAAGGATTGACGCAACTCAGAGAGCAGTGCATCTCCTCAGGACAGCTTATGTGGTTTGGCCCAACTCAGCATCAGAAGTTTTACTGGCTGGATCTTTTGACGGCTGGAGTAGTCAGGTTGGTTCTTTTAACGATTCCTGTTAGCCAATAAACCTCATTTGTGTCCTTAGTTTATGACCCTGTTGATGTTGTTACGATTTTGTGTCTGAGTTGGATTCTTTTTTATTTTTGTGAGCATTAATATCCTCTGTTTGCTCCATCGATCAGTAATGTCGTGGGTTTATCAACATTATTATCTTTCTACATTGAAGGTTGCCAAGAATCTATTGAAGGTTTATCCTTCAATCCACTCGCAGCCTCCATCTCAAGAAGCCGCTGTACCCTGTCTGAATAAAAAATTACTGTAAGAAACCTGCATAAATTTTATCGGACTAGAAGCCGCAGAAGCCTATTCTCCTTCAAATTTGTGGAAGAAAGATCTCCTTCCTTACCTTTTAACGGCTCATTGTCTTAGTTAACATATCCTTTTCCATTGTGGATTAGGATCTTTCTAGTTACCGTTAGAAGGGGGTTGTGAGATAATTTATGGCCTTTAGTAGAGTCTTTTGTGTGCTGCCTTGGTCACAGCGAAGTTGGTATGTTAATTATTGCTCAAAACCCTGCAGATCTCATCACATTTCCCTTCCTACACTATTTTACGATTGATTCCCCTCACCTCTTCTGATATAAACCGGTGTACATATCTTGGTGCTCTGCAGCGAAGGATGGAAAGATCAAGTTTGGGGATCTTCTCTCTACACCTGAATCTCTACCCTGGACAGTACGAGGTGGGATGCCACCACCAGTATCACCATCATTGCCGTCTTCTTCTTCTACTACCTATTCTGCTAGATTTTTCTGCCTTCCCTGTGCCCACTTGTTCTTTGCCTGCAGATCAAGTTCATCGTTGATGGCGTGTGGAAGATTGATCCCCTCCGTCCAATTGTCTATAACCATGGGTTTGAGAACAACCTCCTCATCGTCTCCTAGGCTGACTCAACATCTAATCCGTGGTGATCCTCTCTCTCAAGTTGCATAACCTGTGTTCTCCTATGATTGTGATTGTTGATGGGACCCATAATCTCGAGGATGGCTGGTTATGTTTTTTGAAAATTATGGATATATGTTAAGAGGAATGTGTCGATACCATTTACGACTGTCAATATACTCTGAAGATCCTCTTGTTCCTATTACATCTTCTCACTTGTCATATTGACACAGTTTCTTATTTTGTTTTCAGTTACAAGTGTCTAGAATCTTTACACCAAACCCCTCTCCACATTGTAAACAATATTTTCAAAGTGAGAACAAAACCCTTCCTATTTGAACTTGGAGTTTTCTCCTGGGTGGTCGGAGCTCATTTAGGCGTGATTGTTCTTTTCCTTCTTATTTAATAGTGATCTATTTTTTCTATAGTAATGGAATTTAAACCATTTGTCCTCTTACGAATTGATTGAATGTTGATGCGATATCAGATCTAGTGAATTTGGCTGGTTTCTTGTCGCTCTATGTCAAATATGGGATATCTTTCTTCTTCTTGATGGATTTTAATTATGATCATGGTGCCCCACAACTATTGGTAGAACTCTTTACATTGTCTATGAAAGTTATGAGAAAATGCCATTTCTATTTAAACTTTTAAATTTTCTCACAAGCACAAGCATGATCTTTCTAATGCACTAGACCTAGTTCAATCTATAATTGATCATGTTGAATACAGGTTGATAGTGTTGTGTCTATGTTTTGTTTTTGATTGTATAAACCTATTAAATGAATTAAATAATGAAATAAAATATAAATAATTTCATTATCCTTAAAAATCTTACATCGGAAGAAATGAGGGCAGAATAAAATGAGGATGGAGTTAAAAGATGCTATTTATGATTGAAATTCATTGGCATCTTACCATTGGTCATAATATCTAATGATTACACTTAGTATATAAATGATACATGATGACATGCCAACCTAGAAGAACAACGATTTTGGACTTTCTCATGTAGAAAATATATCATCTTACCCCTCTTCATGTTATCCAGATATTTTACTTTGATAAAGATGAAATTTTTAATAGGTTGTGTGCAGAATCAATTTTTGGCTTTCTATCTTTAGTATATGTAAGTATCTTAGTTGTATTTATAACTCTTGGTGACTTAACTGAGGAAATCTGGCAAGTGAAGATAAAACTGACCCAAAAAGACACTTAATTGGGCTTTCTTGGGGTTAAACTATGTCGAAATATTACTCATTACTATGACCTAGTTGATGACTTGGAATAAAATGACACATGCAGACGGGTGGGGCTAGGTTTCAGCAAATTCAGGCTTCCATGTCTAAAATTACAAAATATATGATGCCATTACCTTAGCATGAATGATAGATGAAGATGACATGAGCCCAAAGATCATTAGTTTTGGGCTAAACTATGTTTATGATAGTTCCCTGCAACACCACACTTATTTGGTTGTACATGTGATAGTTTTCACTACCTTGGCCTTTTCTTCATCTGAGGGTTTACCTACCCAGTTTAGCTCAGATATGATGGGAAAATACAAGATAGCCTAAGATAGATGATAGTTATGTATATATATATATATATATATATATATATACATACATACATACATATAGAGAGAGAGAGGTCTCAATAACTTTATTTCAAGATAGAGTGAAGACTAAGAATGTGATATAGCTCCACCAACAAAAGAAAAGTAACTAGATAATAAGCTATAAAGCAAAGAGAAGACATAATGAAAGTAAGTGGGCTCACAAAGAACCCTAAAATAATTCCTGTTGCATCATGTCAGCTCTCTCCTTTTCTGTTGCATGGACATGCCTTTCTTATCTCATTGTTGGTGCCTTCGATTTCAAGTTCCAAGTTATCAAAATGATTGTTATTGATCTTGGGTGTCATCTTGCTCTAACACCAAATGTTATTGGTCCTGGGTATAAGAAAAAGAGAATACAATGAAAGTGGGCAGGGTCACAAGGAACCCTAAAACAATTCTGGAGGACTTCCGCTCAGATTCTCCCTTGACTCTAAATACTTTCCACCCTCTCCCATTCAGGTTCCAATAATCTTTTCCATAAGGGAGAGGTATTTGCTAATTTACCCTCCCTTTACATGGCTGTTCACTTGGGTGAGACGGTCCTTTTTTTAACATGAAATAAATGATGGTTTGGTTTTGTATCAAACTGAGTCTTGTGAGCCTCAAGTATGCTAATTCATAGATGAATACATATTATGCATGTCAACATCATGTGGCACACATAGAGTGCAGGCATATCATGAACGAACACATGCAACTTGATTATATTACTTTGTCAAGGCAAAAGAGGGTTTATGATATCTTCTTATGAACCCTAAGAGGTCATTGTCATGGCTTAGCATGGGATGGCATAACATGATATGATGCAGCCTAAGCCATACACACATGGGGGCATGTGGCAAAATGCAACATGGCCTGGCATGAGTTGACACTACACATAAGTGTGTAGTGTGGGCATTGGAGGAGTAGTAGACTTGGAAGGATGCTAATCACATAGTAATAAGGAAGAGAACCTTATTCATGGGTCCCTGAGAACTTTTGTTTAAGCATAGAATTAAAGGAATGGTTGTGGTACCAACCCATGAGCTCTAAATTACTTTGCTGTATCATCAAGGATAGGGGGGTCAACTAATTATAAGAGTGAAATGGGGAAAGGTTGTGAGGGTTGTCCTTGTGCATATAATGGGGAAAAGCCCATGCAACCTTGTTGAGTTTGTTACCCTCTCCTTCATAACTGTAAACATGTGTTACAAGGACACATGACCTTTTGATAAACCAAGGTGCTTACATAATGAGAAGGCTACTTGAGGTCACCAACACTGACCAAGAGTAGCGTTAGTGGAGTTGGCTAAATAAGCCTAAACTAACCACCTAGTGACAAAAATCTTGGGCCTTTCTAATGCTTTACTTGAAAGGCAGCGTATGAGAGGTAACTTCGTCTCAATCATGCAAAAGTGTTGTTGCTACATTGGTTCAAGGTAAGAGGGGAATTTGAGACATAATTGTGCTACTTTCTTTGTTGTGGATGGTAAATGTGTTAATTCTAGTTATTTATTCTGGAAAGCAACATGACATAGAGCTTATTGCAAAGATGGGTGCCTTGACATCACCTAGAAACACCATTCTCAATCAGTTTTCACCATAATAAGGTAATTAATATTTTACTCGAGCCCTCTTGATATTTCACCTCATGCTCTAAACTTCCATTCCTTATAAGTAAAGTCACACCATCATTATACACCTACATCTCACCTATATATTCATATGCATATATTTATATATTTATTTATTTATACATGGGCTTGATTTTGACAACCAAAGTTGAAAATATTGGGTTAAACTCCTCTGACTTACATGACAATTGTGCATTTTCTTCGAAGATTTATGTATTCTCAAGTGTAATGATGAGATGAGTTAATCTTGGAACCATTCTAGAAGAAGTAGGTCAGGTGCTGTGGCCAATCAATTTCCAAAAACTATAGGTATTATTCACTCTATATAAAACTAAAGTTTAATGCCCTATCTTATAAGAAAAGATGTATCCTATGTTATATCCCACTAGTTCTCTCTCAAACTAGAACTGCGCACCGTCCAACTTTTCTATGAGCTCACTAGTTATTCACACCATTGGGATATAAGTCTTGTGTATGTTGTCCTTCATTTCAGGTTAAATAGAAATTAACCGGCATCTCTAGTGACATCACTTTTGACATATAGCCCATTTCAGGTTGATGAATGAATAAATATAAATCAGGGTTGTGAGAAACCAGCAGCTCCGAGAGTGTTTGTCAGTCAGATGTCACGGCCGTAACTCGAAAGAGTGAGGTTCTGCTAGTGAAACATTGACGCACGCTACAGTGTGCACGTACGTGCGTGCGCATTCAGCAGGCGCCCCCCCCCCACACTGCGCAACTCGACACAACACACATGGAATGGCGTCATGTGCAATGACATGTGCAGGTTAGGGATGTGCGTGGCACACGCGATCGACCCCATCAAGACATGGTGAGATTCACCGGGGCATCCCATGAACTTCCTAGGCCGCTAGCATGACACTGGTATGGTACATCATCGACACAGTAGTGCCGCAAGACGGGGGGCCTAGCGAGGTTCATGTGGGCTTCCCATGAACCTTGGCAACTACTAGCATGGCTGCAGCAGGGCAAACACGAGAATGTGGGAATGCACAGCATGGTATGCGCGCCGCCACATATGTAGAGGTGACGGCACAATGTGCTAATCTAGCGTAGGCATGCGTGTGGGTGGCATGCACATTGTGCGCGTGTTGCAGAGTTAACTAGGTCAACCTACTAGTCTCGTGACCATGCCCACTACGGGGACGTGCTGTTGAGCTACTCTCTTGGGAGAGCACCTCAACCTACTAGTCTCGTGACCATGCCGCCACATATCTCTCCCTTATGAATAGGAGGGTCGCACTGCCATGTATGGTGGAAGGGTGGTTCCCTCCTCCTCCTACCAGTGTATCTCTTAGTCAGAGTGAATCTTCTTTCATGCATCATCTTCTGCAAGCCCCAAAGGAAGGGAAGAAGGCTGCTTGGACTTCGGGCAGGCGTCCAAGGCCGCACACGGTGCAACAAGGGAGGTTGATCTTCCGCTCACCTGTTTGACGGCATGAAACCAGAGGCCATGGGCGAGAAACGTCGACCTCACGTGGGCAAGAGGATCCAAAGGCCCATTCTTTGCCTCACGCGTTCCCTTCTTTCTCAATGCTCCCATTCTTACGGTTCTCTTGTCTCTCTTCCCTCTCCGAGTCTCTTCCTCCCCTTATTCGTGTGTAGTTAGTTCCACAGGAATCTGCTTCTTTTAAGGGGAGAAACTATCATGGATCAGCCCTCTACAAGGCCCTATCATTCCAGTCTTGAATATTTTACAAATCTTCAAAGTAGTTTAAAATAAAAATAAAAATAAAAATAAAAATCCGTCATCAAACCATCGATGCATGTACTGTTTCAAGATTACCTCTTCATCCTTGGGCTAAGTTGTCTGAATGAAGATCATTACCAACTAAAAATTCAAGTCAAAGGGATCGATCCACAGCAAGATACAATGGAGGAGACCCTTCTCGACCAGCTTTCCATGGTCGCGGTAAAAATTATTTATCCCGTGGTAAAGCTGCGAGTTTTGTGTTCTTGCATGCATTTATGGGAGTTTGCTGCTGTCGAGGATAGCTTCATCTACTCGTTGAAGGCAGCTCAACCTCCTCCTCCATGGAGGCAGCCGAGCCTTTGTACCTGTACCATCTAGAGATGGCGAGGAAGTAGAGGAAGTTGATCACCTCCAACCCGGCGATCAACAAGTAGAAGCGGTCGAGATGCCCGCGGTTGAGGTCCTCCGTCAGCCAGCCGCCGACTCCGTCGCCGGTGACCCGGTGAACCACCGTTACGAGGAACCCGCTGAGGTAGCTCCCCACCGCCATGGCCAGGAAGAGGAATGACCCGGCGACGCTCCGCATGTTCTCCGGGAACTGCTTGTAGTAGAACTCCACCTGCCCGATGGAGGCGAAGGCCTCGGAGAGCCCGGAGATTGCCTGCTGTGGCACCAGCCAGAGACCCTGCATGGGCACCGCTGCGCTTGCCCCCCGGCGGCGCCGCTCCACCACGGCGGCGGTTACGGTGGAGACGACGGAGAGGACGAGCCCTGTGCCGATCCTCTGGAGGAGCGACAGCCCTTCCTCTCTCCCCGTGCGACGGCGCAACCAGGGGACCGCCACCCGGTCGTAGAAGGGCAGCCAGAGGGTGGTGGCTAGCATGGAGAAGACGATGAAGGAGGCCGCAGGGATGACGAAGGTGGTGCCCCGGAGGCGGCGGTCAGTCTGGAGGCCCTGGAGAGTGGCGAAGGTCGACTGCTGGGTGATGCCGAGGAAGAAGACTGTGCCGGCCCACAAGATGGGGATTATCCTTATGAGGCATTTGACCTCCTCCACCTGCTGGAGGCTGCACAGCCGCCATGGGTCAACCGGAGACGACCCCTCTGGGTCAACCTCGTCCTCGGAAGTTTTGACGGCCGCCTTGTCGAGAAACCTGGTGCAACCGAGGATTCCCAAATGGTGCCCAAACCCAAGTTAATCATGGAAATTATATCTTCGTTAATCATAGAAAATCATGGTGTTGGAAATATACTTCTAAATAATAATTTTTAATTGTTTCCTGCCAAATATTACTCATTACTATTTTGTTTGCCTAAAAAATCAACACATCGAGTGGCCAGTATGAATTACCAATTTGAGTAATAATTAATCAATAAATTTTGGACAATGAGAAATAGTGACAAATCAAGAATACACTTGAATTAACTTATCTCATGTGGGAAATATGAAAAATGAAAGATGAAGTGGATCAAATTGCAAGCATGCGGAAGCAACTTTGAATTAATTTAAATGCTGAATTCTTCATAGATAAGCTGTGGGGAAAATTGCAGCTCATTAAAAATCATTTGGAGATAATTATCTGATAAAGTGGATTGTACCTAACTATTTAAGCTGATTACCTTTGCCAAGGTGGCACTCACGGTCAACTAATGCGTTCATCACACAACTTTCTGGGGATTGTGAGAGAATGATATAAATTCATAAATGATAATTTTGAACTAAATATGTTTTAAAATTAGCAGAGAATATGTAGTCGATTTCAGTTAATTATCTCTATCAAGGTGGCTATAATCAATTACCATGAAAAAAATAACATTATGGATCGATTAAACCAATATTTTGTTCTAAAGTAATGGTGCCCATTATCAATTGAGACACACAATAATTTAACATGTCTACACCCATAATTTCTAGAAAATAACTGTGATCATAAATTACCATGCGAATCTAATTAACTATACATGGTTGAATCAATTTTCTGGACAAGATATGTGCCAATGATCAGATCTCAACACAAAGTAGATCTTTTTTGTCATGTAGTTTCCTCTATGATCGTAGTAAAATAAATATGAACATAAATTAGTGTGAGGAACTTCCCGGAATTACTAGATTCAATCAATATTTGCTCAAAAGAAAAAATGAGCCCATGATCAATTTCAAGACAGAGTACAATGCTGAGCGTAAATTATCTCCGGAATCATTTACTTTACTAGATTCAGTGAAAACCTTCTACCAAGTGCATGAGTTAATTGTCACTTTCAATATAGCAAATAAATTTTCCATGTACTTTCTCCTATAATGCTTGATGCATTAATGAAGAAGAAGGCTGGGAACGCATCCACATCACTCGACGGTGGTCGGTTTGATGAGTGAACGGAAGCTAGACAAGTGTTCCCTTGTGATTGGCTAAAAAGTTGCCGCCGGGTTGATCAGATCTGGTTCCGACAATGATGGAACAAGATCTGGCACGTGGCAATCAGATCGAGGGATCTCTCTGGAGTGTGGTGCGAAAGTACAATTCGGCAAAACCCAGATAAGTAGAAAGGTAGGAAGGAGGAGGAAGACGAGGGGATCACCTGAACTGGTCGGTGCGTGGGAGCCTGGTGTTGATCGAGGCGGCGGCGGCCGGCGGGTTGAAGAAGGCGGCGGCGGAGGAGGAGCCGCCGTCGGAGGGAAGCTCCACGCGGCGCTTCCTGACGGCGGCCACCGCCACCCGCGCTATCCCGGCGAAGGGGCTCCCCTCCGGTGAGACCTTCACGTAGATTGAGGACCCGGAGAAGAAGAAGATGCAGGAGAGCAGCATGAGGAAAGCGGGGATGGCCAGCCCCACCGCCCAGCTGATGCTGCTCTGCACGTAAACGATGATGGTGACGGAGATCATGACAGAGGCCGTGAAGGTCACGTAGTAGAGGTTGAAGAAGCTGTTGATACCCCTCTTCCCCGCCACCGTCCGTGGGTTGAACTGGTCCACCCCAAAGGCCAGGTTGCAGGGGCGGATCCCTCCGGCGCCGACCACCATGAGCCCCATCCCGGAGAGGAGGAAGGCCAGCTGCCATGGCGTCGGCCCCCGGCAGGGACCGTCGGGGCCGCCGCAGCGCGGGGGATGGAGGGTCCCCACGGCGGCCGTGAGGGTCAGCACCGTCATGCCCTGGGAAGAACCACGAAGGTTGGAGCTTTGATTATCTACTGGGGATTTTGCATGGGAGATGGAGGTGGATTTTGGGGGGTGGTACCAGGAAGGAGGCGACGGAGGAGAAGCCGAGGGTGGCGTAGCGGCCGAAATAGGCGTCGGAGAGGAAGGCGCCGGCGATGGTGGCGATGTTGGTGCTGCCGTTCCAGACATTGATGAGGGTGGTGGCTTGGACTCCCTTGATGTGGAAGACGGTGGTCAGGTAGACCAGGAGGTTCGACGAGGTTCCAATGGTGCCCAGCTTCTCAAAAGTCTCGTTCCCTGCAAGAACAACACGAAGAATGTGAAGAAGACGACGATGAAGAAGATGATGATGATGAAGACGATGGCCAAGGCTTACCGACGACGTAGGGCATGGCTTTCCAGCCTCTGTACTTCACATGCCCATCTTCCTGCTTCGCCTTCGAGCTCATTTCTCCTTCTGCGGTTTCCTCTCTCTTCTGGTTGGCCTCCATCTGCCCTCCTTCCTACTTCAGCTTCGGCGGTGCTGGTCTGTGGCGTTACCGGATCACATAAGGTTACAACTTGTGGTTTTAGGTGATTTCCTCGCGTAGTCAGCGTTCCGTCCCATACCACCCATCCACTATATTTTGCGACTCAAGAACAAGTCTTTGGGGGAAACAGTTTCCTCTCTCTCTCTCTCTCTCTCCGCTCCCGTTCTCTCTCTAGTGCCGCCAGTCTTCTGTCTGTAGCAGGCGCGATTTAACTTCTGCCGAGGAGGTAGCACCAGGACAAAACGTGCACGACTTATTTCGTCCCTTCTTTGGCTCTCATAAATAGGACAAGGAGGTCCCATACGTTTTAAATTTGTCTCTTGTTAAAAAATCACTTTTAGCATTGAATTAAAGGAAATAAAATCTATGGCAAGAAATTCAAGCGGCCAGGAATTTTGGATGCGCGGAACCCACCAGAGTTCTAAGATTTATTGCGTATCTTAGCATCTGGAGACGATTTAATGAAATCACTTTGCAGCATTATCATCATCTTAAACCAGTGACTTTTAAATCTACCACAAAAATTCAAGGCTTTTAAAAAAAAAAAACAGATTTTTCCTCTCTCGTTCTCTAAAATATCCAAAATTAGGGTTCCCAAGGGGATGCTTCTCAAATCTGTTTACAATTCAAGGGGTTTAAAATTGTGAAATTTTTCACCTCAAAGGACTCTCTTTCTCTCTCTCTCTCTCTCTCTCTTTCTCTCTTTCTCTCTTTCTCTCTCTCTCTCTCTCTCTCTCTCTCTCTCTCTTTCTCTCTTTCTCTCTCTCTCTCTCTCTCTCTCTCTCTTTCTCTCTCTCTCTTTCTCTCTCTCTCTCTCTCTCTCTCTCTCTCTCTCTCTTTCTCTCTCTCTGCAAATGTTTAAAAGGGGCTTTATGAGGGATGACTCAGCCTGTCGAGAGAGGATTTGAGGAGCCATGTCTAAGAGGTCTTCCTAAGGCTACCATATATGTCAATCTTCTTAGCATGTATTCTGACATACAGAAGCTCTTACTCTCCTTTTTTCTTGACGAATTTTCCTTGCGTTATTCCTTGGATGCATATAAGACACAATTAGAAAGAACAACCATATCAGTCCAAATCCCATTTGTGATTCTTGTACGTGTAAAAGATGCCACTTTTATATTGATCCCAAGTGAGCCAAAAGAGGAAGCAAAATGGGTTGACCTCGTCCTTCTTGATTTTCTATTTGAAATTTGTTTTCAATATAACTTAATATTGAACGGTCTTCACCATCTTCTTCATAATTTTCTTAAATAGTATTTCAAAAGACTCAACCAAAGTCAACCCACTCCATGGTTCCTATCCTCAAGTGTCCCTAGTTTTATCCTTTGAGTTAACCCATCACTAAATTCATTTGGAGCTTTGAATACAACTGAAGAGAGATGAAACATGGCTGATAGTCCCAGCAATTTTATTCGATTTTGGATCACTTATAAACCTTATAAAAATATGTGCAGTTGACTTTGGAATAAGGTGCTCATAAATGACCTTTGAAATGGTGGAAATTTCCTAGCTGTTTGCAAGAAAATTTCAAAATATATCCCACTAATGCATATTTTAACAGAGGAATAATTTCTTAATAAAAAATCTAGAATGATCATATCTTTGGTATTAGTTTGATCAACATTTAAAAGTTCTTGACATAAATATAAAGCATTCTTCTATTTATTTTGACGAACAATTTCACCATGTCTTTTGAACAGATAATTGGCCATATTTAATTTCAAATATATTTTTTATATTTTTCATTAAAAAAATTAAATAAGATGCTTTGTTTTCTCTTTGAAAAAGGCCTGACTATTGTTTCTCTAAGTTGGTATTCTAAGTCTTTTTAGTTTTGATCTTCAAAAATACATAGAAGGGTAAACTAATGATTTCATACTACTAAAATTTGGATGATAGTTTACAAAAATAATTTTCTATTAAACTAATTTTTTAACCCTTAGAAAATCCTCATGTGATTTTGGGATTGGTTGCAAGAACATTGTACCTCTTTTACAAACTTTAATATCTTTTTCAAATATTTAAGTGGTTTCTTTAAAGAATTTGAATGCAAAATAGAGCACGTAAAATATGATGAATAAAATCAAGGTATTAGTTATATATTTTTATTTTGAAAAATATATTTAAAATTATTAAATTCTGGATATATAAACCACACTCATTTCGTTTATTATGGAGCCCCTCTCTCTCTCTCTCTCTCTCTCTCTCTGTTACGTAGGTCTATACGAAGGACCAGTAGACCCAGCAAGCTTTGAAGTCTACTTTCTATACCTCTTTGTAGGCTCAAGCCCCTTGTAGGCTGTGCAAACGACAAATGGTCCCCGCCTTTCGAGATGGCTACATACTTACTATTTAATAATAAATATAGGAAATAACCGCAAAAAGGGCAAACTTAGTTTAAAATAAATTAAATCAAAATTCATACAGGGTAATTTTTTTTATAAAAAAATGCATTTTTGACCCATCGGATTGATTACTTTGGATCCGATTGGGAGACCCATAGAGATCTGACTTCATCTCGATGAGATCAATCTAGATGGTCACAAATTTACGATTTAACTAAAACCATATAATAAATAAATAAATAAATAAATAATAGTGGGGGGGGGGAAAGATAGATAGTTTTTAGTAATCATAAAAGAGTTTTTTTAATAAAATAAATAAATCAAACAGGAGTCCGTGTGATGAGGGGGGAATACTAAAAAAGGGTCGCATTTTTTTACCCGCTTGGTGATGGGTTTGGGCCGGCGTGGGCCGTCCGATGAGGAGAGACCCGTGGAGATCTGCCCAGCTGCTCTTCCCCATGCAGAGAGTAGCAGATCCAGGTCAAAGTCCGAGGAGGAAGAAGGTAGCGTCAGCAGCAGCGAGGGAGACGGGGAGACGGAGAGAAGCCTTGGCTACCTCCCGCGGTTTTGGTTCGGGGAACCCTCCTCTGAGCTCTGGAAGAAGGTTTTCTCCGGTATCGCCCTCGCCGGAAGGAAGCCGCCGGAGACGAAGGCGAAACTCGCGTTGGCGGGGACCCGGGCACGGGATTCTTTCCGTGTTGGGAGCTTTCGATTGATCTGATCTCTGTATGTCTGCCGTCCTTCTCATGCCGCCGGGGTAAGCAATCGGCTTCAGTGGGGCCCGCACTGGCTCCCGACCTCTGGGTTCTTCTCTGGTCGGCTGGAGCAGCTCGTGTTATTGGGGAGGAGGCGGAGGAGAGGCTCTGTCGAGGTAGAGATGGAGTCGCATTGGGGGCGGAGCTTGGCCATTGCGGTGGTTCTCTCTGCCCTGTTCTTGGAGCTCGGTTCAGCTTCCTCAGGAGATGATTACCGGCGGGCGTAAGTCTCTTACTCTCGGCCTGTCTGTAAGATGAATGCTCGTTTTCATCAGTTTGACGTCTAAGCTAGGGCTCCGTATATGTAGGTAGCTTGGAGTTTTGCTAGGCCATTGATATTTTAGTCTTTGGAGTTTCTTGGTGGATCACATAGTGCAGGTGGAAGATGAGATGTTTTATCAATTTTTTCTCTGCCCCATCACAAGAGGGAAGTTGTGTCTGTCGTCTGTAGGTGCGAAGGATGCTTTTACGGGATACTGGGAACTTAAATTTCTGTGCAATATCTTGCGACATTTTGTAGTAGAGGGTTTCTGGCCTATAGAAGCTTACGATGAGGGAATCAGGGGAAAATATGAATTTTATTCTGTGTTTTAGAAAAATGAAGCATATCTGAAGTCAATCATTAGAAGCGACTGGATAATGGCTTCTAGATCAGCTCAATGCCTTGTGCCATGAGATGTCATAGATGAAACGGAGAGCAATTGGGATTACGCTTGGTGACCTAGTAGCTATCTAGAATTATAGGAGAGAAAGCTTGGATTCGTTTGCTATTTTGTGGGCGATAAAAAAAAGTTCACACTCGCCTGGCTGCATAATGGCTACCAGATGGGCTGATAGTGTGATGGATTAACACATTTGTTTGAGAAAACAACATTTTCAGAGAGAGGAAAACCAGATTAAATAGAATGAAACTGATGCCCGACTTGGAGGTAAAATGGCTGTCAAGATAGAAAGGAAGATAACGTGTGGATTTGTTATTTCTCATGCATTGTAGACCTCTTAAAAAAATCCTTGCGCACATGTGGATTCATCATTTGCTCTAGACTATGGCTGTCTGAGGCATTCTAACATGCTGCGAGACGGCAAAGGTTCTTTTGATTCGGTGTGTGTAGTGTTCTACAGCAGATGCTTGTCAGGTCATCCTTCTGATCCCCACAGGGATGACTTCTGTCTTCCCAAGTTTTCTATGAATAGGAAGTTTTGGCCGTTGGCTAGTGGGATTGACACTCCTGTGCTGGCTGTTGTAACTGGTCGTGGATGTGTTAGCTGATTTTTTATGCTTGGATTTTCTTCATCTGTATGTAGTTTATGTCAATTCTGGCAAGTGATACTGTGTTAATCTTGCCTTTACCTAATATATATCAAATACGGTTTTATTTTATTCTGTCTCTAAAGAGTTGGCTGATCCTGTATATTAAGTGCTATTGCAGTTAACATCGTTATGGAAATCTTAGACTTAATCAACATAGAAGAGGTGCCACAACTGCTAATGAAGGATAGTGGCATACAGATTTCAAAGTTGATGGAAGGACAAAGAGAACCGTGTTAACTTCAGTCAAACTTCATGTCAATCTCCAATCATTGGGAAATGATATTTGGGAGGGTGGAATGGCAATGGAATTAACCACGATCACCTGATATGAAATAGGGTGCATTTTTTAGCTTACGATTATTGTGAGAAACGGCGAATCATTCACATCCAGATGAATCAAAGCTGATATGCACTGTATATGACGAGAAAATAGTTTCGAGAAAGTGGTACATCCGAACCCTCAGAAGTGTATAAACTTGAGGGGAGGGTTTAGGTTCTGTTGCTCGCTGTTGTCTCGATAGCCTTGAACCTCCGTTTGTAGAGTATATGTCCTTTGGTAGGAATGTCAACCAGGAGGATTGTTGGGGCTCCTCAAGCAGGAAGGTAAATGTTCTTGATTATCAGAGGCTGCAAAGTCAGTAACTTCATTCCATTGTGCTTTTCAAGGGAACAGTGACTTGCATCTCTGTTGACTTAATAGAACCTGGAAGAAAGTGCAAATTGGTAATCTCCCAAGAGAAAGAAGTAGGTGTGCACTATCTTTCTAATCCTGAGAAGCGTATTGATCTCTGCAGTCCTTCAAGAAGCAACCCTATTATAATATTCTAAATTTGCATGGAACTTTTCACCTCAATTCTGGGGCTATGTGTTCCTTGTTACATCATTGCTTGTGATATAACCCAAAATTAATGTTTGCAGGTTTCCAATTGTTGAACCTGACTCTGGGCACACAAAACTTCTTCTTTCTAGAGATGGGTTAGATGCAATTGAGAGAATTACGACCCCAATAGCAGCGGTTGCTGTAAGTCCTTTTTTGGTGTTATGTTTTCCTTTGAAAGATTAAACATATCTTTCTTAGTTCGATTCTTTGACCCATTTCTTGGTTCATTTGTGATCATTAGGTCATTGTTCGAAACTTGGATTTTTCTAAAAAAGGGAAAGGGTCTTTATAGCTTTGTTCACTTCTCAATCTGTACACGTTTCAATCATGATTTGAACTTAAATTTCGTTCACAATGAATTTTCTACCATTTGTAGCTATTGTTCTTACTTGTTGACCCATTTGTGAGAGCTAATAAAAAAACTACTTTTTTTCATTTAACTTTGAATTATCTGATACCATTTCAACCCCCATGGCATAATGACTTATTTTTACTGCTAAATGCATCTATTTGATTTACTTGGCGTGTAATCTAGTATTTTTTCAGATGTTCTTTTAGGATTGTAGCTTTTTGAAATTTATTGATGTCTATCTAATTCCTTCATGTTGTGAGGAAGATGGTTGTTTTGTTCCCTTGGAGTCTTGCACTTAAGGCTTTGTTTACACCATCTTCAAGTAGACTACTGCTCTTTTTTTTTTGGAGTTCTTGATATTTCGTCAGACACGTTGTTATCAAAAACTGTCTTGGTGATAAGAGTGCCTGACTTGGGTGAGTAGTTGTCCATGACTGGGTGCTTGTATTAGTGAACATGTGGATGATTATTTGCAAATGGGAGCTGCCATTTGCAAAAGGCTGCATGCTCAGTTCCTTTAAAACTATTTAGTAATATAAGTAAATAATACTAGTAATCAATTAATAGTTAGATGATAATTAAGAGAATTTCTAAAATATATGTAAAAATTGTCCTTAAAACTTATACTTTAATTTTTCAAAATATTAAATTTATTTTATTATTTAAAACTGCTTTCAAACATTCAAAGAACATGTTGCCTAAGTGGCTTGGATTGCTTGTCACCAGAAGGTGGTGGAACTACCATCTTGGTCACATTAAAAACTTTAGTTGTACATAGCTCCGTAATCCCTTCATTTATTTTGGATGCGAGGAATGCATGCCACTACATTTCAGAGAAAATACAGAAGATTTAGGTATGGTCGGTGTATGAATTATTCAAAAATATTTTATCAGTGAATTCTTACTTTTTATATTTATGAAATGCATAATATTTTTGACCAAGATAGATCAGTCTGTCAGGATTTCCTTGTATATTTTATGTTGCACAGATGAATCCCTTTATAGTTGGTAGGATATCCATCTTATAAAACTGAATTTGGACGATACTTGATCTTCTTTATCCCTGGAACTTATGAAGTTTACGCTTGAGAAAGACTTTAAATCTTTGGGATGCTTGGTAGATGTGCAATTTTTTCTCTCTGGCTTTAACAGGGGAATTGAGTGGGTAAAAAAGTTTGAAAGATTCATAGGCAGTAACCATGGTAGCATGTGTTTTTGTTGACCCTAGTGGATAGTTTTTTTTCTAGGGTTGACGATTTCTGGTTTTCTTTGGCTGCAATCGAAATGTATTTTTTCGATCATATTTATCCATATGAAAAGCTTTGTTGCTGATTAATAGGGTCAGTGAATACAGAAAATATTAGATGAGAACCCAGTGGTTAGGAGATGCGTGTTCTCTTATGGAGTACATCAAGGCAGTGGAACTTCTTTGCTTTTGTCCTCTGTACTGCTCAATTGAGTGCCTTGATCATCCTTTAGTTGTATTTTGGGTTTCAGTGAGATGCTATTATGAGCTACAATGGCTATTACTTAACTACACGTGAGAAACCCTGCGATTTACTCCATTAACCTAAATCCGTAGTATTTGATAGTTTCTGTTATTCATCCATGGATGCTATGTTTTTTATTCCACTGCATTCTAGTATTTCATAAATTCCTATATTTTATTGATCTCATGTCGTCTCAGGTCATTGGTCCGTACCGTTCAGGCAAATCTTTTCTCCTCAACCAGCTCCTCTCTCTTTCTTGTGATGAAGGTGTGGGTTTTATTGCAGTAGGAGATCTCCTTGATTCTTATGCATACTTGAATCTACTCTTCTGATATACTCTCTGTTTTTTCAGGTTTTGGGGTGGGGCATATGCGGGATACAAAGACAAAAGGTTTAATGAATATTTTAGAGTGCTGACTTTGGAGTTGACTTCCCTTGCTCGTTATTTTCCTGTAGGCCCAATGAGTGTACTTTGTATCGTTTTCCTCAATTTTCTTTTCAAAATTTTCAGGTATATGGGTCTGGGGTGATCCTTTGGAATTGGTTATTGATGGAGTAAAAACATCTGTTATTTATCTTGACACTGAAGGTTTTGAAAGTATTGGCAAATCCAATGTCTATGATGATAGGTCACTTATGGACCCGTCTTTATTGATTTCTCTTGATGTTTTTAGTCTTGTTTGTGTGATTACTTCAAGCCCTGAACAATATCTACGATGCCTTCTACATTTCACAGGATTTTTGCTTTGGCAACTGTTCTTAGTTCTGTGCTCATCTACAACCTTCCTGAGACGGTTTGTGTCTTATCTGGAATGTTATGGTTGAATGATAATTAATGCTTTTTTAATTAATTTTTTTAAAGAGTGTTTCTTGTTAGAAAACCATCGCTTCTGATATATAACATTTTTGTGCAGGTACGTGAAGCAGACATTTCTCGGTTGTCATTTGCGGTTGAACTTGCAGAGGAGTTCTATGGGAGGTCTGCTTAATTCATACTCAGTACTTTTCATTTTTCATTGAAATACTATTGAAAATCTCAAAATTGCTCACAACAACTTTGTAGCCCCTATCTAACCTATTTGTTCTACTTTTTCTTCGTTGTCCCCTGATAAATAGAGTGAAGGTAACCATCATATCGTATTCTTTTCTTAAATCTGCTAGCATGTGGTTGTCCATTGGAAATAACTTTCTTCTTCTTCTTCAGGGACAAGATGTTGCATTTGAGCCTGCTAAACTTTTGTGGCTTATCCAACGTGATTTCCTTCGTAAGTTCTTCCCTAGGAGCTTGTCTAAGAGCATTATAATCCATTATGTTGTGAATAGAGAAGCCTTCATTTCATTTTTTCTGTTCTCTAATATTATCCTGGGAAGGTTCTGAAAGGCTGATCCTGGTTATATTTGATTCAAGGTCAGGTGGCTGGTTTTTAGGGTTTATCTTCCAATTTTATTTTTTGTGATTGCCAAAGGATCGGAACGGGGGCGCGGATATGTGCACCTTTGTTCACATCTAAATCAATCAAGTCTTGAATCCTGTGTAGGAACTAAGAAAATATTCTTGGAATGGTGTCTTGACACTCTCCTCCTGATGGTTCTTGTTACGACGAACATAGTGATAAAATCTAAAATGCATTCCGTGTTTGGGGCACCAAACCTGTGTTTATATCCAGACTTTGTAAAAATCTGGCCACCGAATTTTGATCAAGTTGGCCAATCATATGGGATCACTTGTTTCTGAAGGGATCAGCTATTTTTTTTGGTTGATCTGACCTGATTTCGTTTGGATGAAGCGATTTTTGGCATGAGTACTGTTATTGGGGAAAGAATATAGAAGAGCGATACTTTTAGCTTTCCAGTTGATGGTGGAGAAAGGAAAAGAGGGAAGAAGAACCATACTAGCACAAAGCCTAAAAGTTGGCTTGCACATGAAAGAGTATGCTGATAATAGCCCTGAATTTATTACTACATCGGGAAATCTGAGACTATAAAACATGGCCTATTCCACTCATTGGCAATTTGTTTTAAGTTGGATGACCCAACAATTTAACAAGCAATTTGGATGATCAGCTTGAAAAGTCTTTTAAGGAGAACTGTAAATAAAGAAAAGAGGGAAAATTAAAGAGGATATTATAGGAAACATATTTAAAGTGAAGGAGAGAGTTTCCTCTTTCATTGATAGGTGAGTAGGTGATATCTTATTGTGTAATAGAAACATGAACCCGAGACTGTGGAAGCATGAAGAGACAGAAAGGTTTCAAAATCAGGATTGAGTGAGGTTCTTTGGTGTGACTTGATGTCAACCTATAATCGTAGGATTAACACACATTAAAAAAAACCCAATAATTTGAAAAATGAAAACTGAAGAGATGGGGAAAGTAAGAATAAAGAAGAAAATGAGGTACAGGAAGAGATAATTAAAGGAGGTATGTAAGATTGCAGAAATAAAGAACAAATTGATGCTTCAGATCCATGCTGCATTTGACTAGGTGCCAAATCAGCCATAGAGGTAAATTTAACATTTTGTAATCAGGACCCCTTGCAACACAATCTGATTGGGCCTTTATTGATTACTCTGTTAACTAACTCTTTACTCCACAGTAGCATGTCTGACTGAGAAATTTTCCCATTCGTATCATAAATTCCTCAACAAAATGTCTATCGTGTACTTAAAGAGGGAATTTTCGACTTCAAATGTTGTAGAGTTAAATCTTATTACCCATTCTAGGGCTTGTCCAACTACATAGACTACGGCATAGATTTAGGTGATTACAAAGTAATCAGTATCCATCTCAGTGGTCGGGTTTTTTTTATCCTTGTCTTTTGTTTGTGTCTGGATTTCATCACATCCATTTTTTCTTTTCTATTTTCCTTTATTTTTAGTGAATTCTGTTTCATTGATATTAAATTGTTTATATTTCTGCTGATGATTGACAGAGGGCAAGTCAGTTCAAGAGATGGTTACTGATGCTCTCCAAGAGGTTCCCAACCCGAATGGTCTGTTCCTTTTTAATCCGCACATTTGTGTATAACAATGTTATCAAAAGCACATCAAGCTATCTTTAGTACTGAATTGGTTCACTGATTTCACTGCAGATGATAAAAATATTGACCAGGTATTCTCTTTGTTTCCCATAATTAAGCTTTTCCTGTTGTATGTTGTTCTGAAATCTTTTGGCATTTCTTTGATTCAAACAGGTCAACCAGATACGGAAGTCTTTGGCAGCTATGGGTGATAATAGTACGGCCTTTAGCTTACCACAGGTGCACGTTCTAAACTTTGTTTGTCGTTTTCAGTTTTCTGTCTTCATATTTAAACAGAATAATGAGTCCTGTTTGTGGGTGTAGGCCTCCATCATCCAGTGCAATACGAAGCAACTTAAATTTCTTTGTTCCATTTCATTTGCTTTTGTTTTTTAAACGTAGGAAGATACTTCAGTTTCGTTTATAATGTCATGGAAAGCCTATACAAGATGGACTATGACCAATTTGCAAGGTTTGCTAGGTTTGTCTCCTGGAGCTCTTTTAAAAGTGAGCAAATAGCTTTGGGCCAGGAGAATCTAAAGCTATCCTCTTTGCATTTGTCAATGTCTATTCCAACATTTTGCTGTGCGAGACAGCTCTGAAACATTTTATCATAGAAATTGTATTAAATAATGATCTGTAGATGTTTGCATTTGAATTTAGTATACCAGCTAATTGTAGCTTTGTTTTTCTCAGGTGCATATTACATCTGAAGTGTCAAATTTATCCTTTCATTTCTGCCTGGTTTCTGGAAATTTCCATGCACCCATCGGCCAGATTAAATAATTAATATATTGTGAGAAAGCTACCCTAATGTGGAATCCTACAGGGCGGACATTGACCAGAGATGAGAAGGTTTTAGCACTTTTTTACGATTATCACGTAGGTTCTCTTCCACAGGGACGGCTCTTACTCGGTGATTTCATCCTAGTCATTCATAATATAGAAAAACTATCTTTTTTAATATTACGTTTGTTACGAGACATTTTGAGTCAATGGAGATTAGATTCTTCAATGCTTTTCTTGACTTACTCCATATCCAAAGTTTCACACATTGAACACCCATACTCTATCAATGCTTCGATGAGATTAGATTCTTGATATAACACCCATAGTTTCACACATTCAGTTGGATTTAGATCTCCATATATTGCTAGGTTTAGGCTTGAGCCTGCCTTCATATCATCTCCATGATTTAACTTTCGGAATGTGATGGTTATGTAAGGTTCTCGGATTTACTCGAATCAAACAATAGGATCATTCTGTGTACTGAATCATGAGGCTGAAGCCTGATTCAGAGATCTCTACGAGTTATATGTTCAGGATGTGATTAATATGTAATCTTGTGTGTACCAGAAACAAACAACACGATCATGCTATCTCTATCAGAACGCCATAATTTTCCCATGTTACATATTCAAATGGTGCGTGAGGTAGTTCTTTAATATCCAGTTGCCCTTTTTCTCCTCTCTGATATTGACTTTCGCATTCTACATTCCACTGTTCCTGAGATTCCATCTTCGTTTTTATCACTGTTAAGCAATGCAACGCACGGTTTCCAGTTGATGTCTGCTTTTGACAGTATGGTTGTGGATACCATTTCTGTGAATGGGGGCGCTCTTTTTTCATTTCATAATCTCTGCTGTCAAGATGTTGTTTTCTCAGGGCCTACTCTTCGCATAGACAATTTTCTTGTAAGGACAATATCACGACGGTGACATTTATTTTAACATTTCATTATCTGGGGCTCTATTGTTCAAGTTAAATGAGAAACTATCATTTTATTCCTTTAATCGTGAAAATATATGCTATCTATGTTGACAACTTTATTATTATTTCATATTATGCCCTTCATTTGATGCTGACTCTGTGGTTGAACCTGATTAGCCTCATCTCCAAAGAACGAAGCTTTGTGACATGAAGGATGGCGACCTTGACCCAAGTTATGTAAGAAAGAAGGAGCAACTAAAAGGACTTGTCACATCCATTATTCGCCCAAAAGTTGTGCAGAGAAAGATGCTGAATGGAAAGGAATTCGTGTCTTTTCTTGAGCAGGTATGTTTCATGACTTTTCGTTCTCCAATACAGTAGTAGTGGGGCTATTTTTTTCAGGCTTTTAGTGAACCTTGCATTACTTATTTTTAATATGGGTGATGTTTTTCTCCTTTACCATTGTAGTACATCAGCACATAGTTCACTAAAACTTAAATAGCAATAATAGCTATACAAACTCTTGCTGCAAGATGTAATCCAGATATGAAGAGTTACCTCCCTGTCAGATATGTACATATAATTTTTTTTTCGCGGGAAATGTGAGAAGAAAAACAAACTTTCCTGGAAAAACAAATCACCCGTGCAGCCAAGTATCCTCTTGATCTATTCATCATAAACACAGTTATCTATTCCTGATAGCGCATAATAGCTTCCTTCGTCCCTCTTGTTTCCATAACAGCATCTTTCCTTCTTGAGGCGTTAATCATGTAGCCCTGTTATAACGTGTATCCTACCTTCTATCTTTTCTTTTGCATCGAGAACCTGATTCAATGATGTCAATGGATAACCTTCTGAACATAGTATGTAAGTCAGGCTCCCTACAGAAAAGTTTCATATGTGTCTGAGAGTGGAAGAAAAAAATGCTCCATCATGTGAATCGAGCCATCTATTTTTCGTTTTGAATGTTCACGATTCTCGTCAATTTTTTGCTTCATTCGTCGTTGATATTTAAAAAGACAGGCATATTATGGTGGACTAGATCCTTGGTGAGGCAAGCCTATATATGACTCCTGGTCTATGACCTTTTGGTGCCTAATTTGATGGTTCTATTCAGAAAAAATCTCAAATATCAGATTAATAACTCTTAATTTTCAAATAGAAATTAGTTAAATACTAACTTATTTAGATTTTCGGATATTAATCTGTATCTGTATTGATAAAAAATTCACAAGATGTATTAATTTGAAAAGTTTGTTGCAACTTATATGATATTTTTTTTCTAATTGCATTATTATGGATCTCTAAAGTTATTTAGAGGTATCTTGATGTTGATTTCTCTTTTGTTTTTAACACTAGAAGGATATGCTTCTTATAAATGGATCCTTTCAAAACACAGGTTATTTTCTCCATGTGGAAGAGTCAATATGTTACTTTGGAGACCTTTCAATGTAATAATCAATGGCTCAATTTTGGGTTTACAGATTGAGATATGTGATCTTATTCAGTGAACAAAAATCGAAGTGGATCAAAGAGTAAATAGTCTGAAACATGAGTTGGAGTTGGATGTACGTTTTTTATTTTCTGAAATAAAATGTTTCATACAAATGCCTTATTTACACAATTATAATTAAAACAGGATACGAACGTAACAAGATTTCACGATGAACTATGCCAAATTGAGTTTCTCACTCTCTACGCCATTTCATCCCCCTAAAGGGCAGAGGGCGAAGATGTTAGTGAATGGTGCCAAGTGATAAAAGATGAGATATAGATGCGTTGTGCATGTTAGTAACGTTATGTTTACGGCCCAATGCTTCATTTATCCCTTTTTATTTTCTTCTTTTGTTTCAATTTATTGTCATTGCCGGTTGACATATGCTTGGTTGAATTAGAATATTGTTATGATTTTTCGTTGACCATTCTAAACCTTTTGTTTCAGTAGTAATAACACGATACTGGTACAATTTCTTGCTACTGGAGAATTGTGATCCTTGTGTAGCTTTCTAAACCTTTTTGAGTTTAAGACTATTTGATTGACATGTAAATGAGTATCTGGATTTTATTGTACGTAAAATTTGTAGAATGAGGTTTTACGGCTTCTGGAATGCTTTGCCCATTTGATAAGTCAAGAGAGTGTTCATTTTATCCTACAATTACTTAATTCTATTGCTTTCAATTTTTTTCAGATCCTTGATGCCTTGAACAAAGGAGAAATTCCATCGACAGGTTCTCTGGTAGAGGTGTTCAATAAAGGGGTTATTGACCATTGTTTGAAACTTTATAACCAACAGATGGAAAGGCTGAAGCTACCTCTTGAAGTGGTACAACTGGAAGAGGCTCATAATGAGGCACAACGCGAAACACTGACAGCTTTTGACAAGCAGCATTTTGGTCGTAATCATGCCAAGCAGTCTGCCTCTAAGCTTGAGGAGGACATGCAGAAGGTACGATTGAGAGGCTCTTTGTTGAACTTTATGGTTGACGTGAGAAAGCGTAAACTATGATGCATCTATTTAATGATTATTGTTTCACAATCATTCACAAACACCTGATCGGTTTATTTCTTGTACTGTCAGTTACAACTGAAGAAATTTTGTTCTCAAAATGTTTTTACAATATATGATGTGATTTAAGTGAAACATGACCCGATTTGTATAGAACTCTTTTGAAATATGAATTTCAATATCCTAGAGATTGCATTAGCACTGTTTGCATCAAGTTTACTGAGAAAGGTATCTGCCTCTTTAAAGCTTTTTCTGCGAATTGAATGCCTCCTCAGTATTGCATGAATGTTTATATTAGCGTACAAATCTACTATCTGGTTGAGACATCATGATTTACAAACTGGATTGAAGTCAAAAGGGTAGCTTCAAGGCTGATGGTTGGTTTTATTCACGGTTAGACAATTCAGTAACATTTTATCCTTCTCAAAATCTTACCTTTCGAAATACCCCTTTTGATTGCTGCGTGATTGGTCTTTGTGGTGTGCCAGAGTGGTCTAGTTTTTTTTATGGACTTGATTTCGAGTCATACTTTGAGCGACTCAGAGTGGAAGGGAAAGGGGGATCTTGGGGGTAGGGGCTCCGTTCTTGATAAGTCACCCCGAACAAGGGAAGTCTTAGAGATTTTACCAAGGGTAGTCGCTCCACCCGTGGTAAGAGCGACTTTATCCATGTCAGCAGGAAATGGAACACCACCCTGGCGTGTGATGCATGCATGCTGATGACGTGGCGAACAGGGTCAAAATGTGTTATATTCTGTTATAACATATTGCCGGATGCATTTTCTTATCAAAATTTTCATGTGTTAAAAAAAAAGAACATTGGGGTAATTTCAATATGGACGTTAGTGTGTAGGTTCTGAAACTTTATACTCGGTTACTGATAATCTTTCACATGAGAGATCTAATTTCACATGAAGCCCGCAGCTTCCAACATGGAGGTTCTATATTCTTTCAACATCTTTTAGTGCAAATGATAATATTTATTCCTGTAGAAATGGAAAAAAATATTTAAGAAAACAAAATTGACGAACAGAGTTTTACGTCTTTAATGAAGCTCCATTAAGGTCTCTGTTAATCAATTGAGTTATTTCTTTTCTACCAGAAGAGAAAGATGAGTTTTTTTCGAAGGAAATAGAAGCCAATTTTTGGTACCCTTTTATCTTTGGTAATTAATCTAAATATTTTCATGATTATTCTTACCAACTGGTCAAAACGGCCTTCCATTAACTTTAAGTTTGCCGGCCTAGCTTAACATAAACTTCTGGCATTTCACGAGTTTCTCCTTTAACTTTTCCTCGCAGGTTTACAATAATTTCATATTGGCCAATGAATATAGGTCGTCAAAACTTTGTGAGAACTTATACACAGGGTGTGAGGATAAAATGGATCAGCTTCAAGTCCTAAGACTCCCTACCCTGGCGAAATTCAACGCTGGTCTTCTGCAGTGCAATCAAAGCTTTGAAGCGGGATGTGTTGGGCCTTCTAAAACTATCTATGAACAGAAAATGTCGAAGGTTAGCATTATCTCACCATGGTCTTGCTGCTTCAACTGTTTTACAAGGCTTTCGCCGTCATACTAGATGGTGGATGTTGTTCATTTATACACAATTTCCATTTCGTATAGTTAATTTATTTGAGTCATTACAGGGGGAGCATAGCTAAATATGGTATTTCGGAGTTCTGATTATGCCGTTTTGATTATAGTTTGATCTAGTCAGCTGAGTTGTTTGTTGAAATTATGAACCTTTGGTGATCTTTGCCAGTCAAGTTTGAGCTTCCAATGCCAATTTAGCATGCTTCAGTGTACTCATGTCATCATATTGCGTTATATAATCTCAATTTCAGACTTATTTTAATTTCAATTTGGCTAGTTGACTCCAAGACGAACCAAAATACCCTCTGGCCCGTCATCAGTTGACACGATGAGTTTGACTGATCTGAAATTCAGTCCCTTTGAAATTCATCCTGCAGCTGGTTTATATGGATTTCGGAGATTCAGAACTCATAGAAGACTATGTTGGCAATGAAATAGAAGATTACTGAGATTTTTCGTCACAAAAATAGTTGCATGCGAAGATCCGATGAAATAAGTTGGAAGGCTGCACAATCAATTTTTCTTGGATTGTAACTTCGTTTTGTAGATTTCTTCATAAACAGGATCAAGCAGAGTAAATGTATTAAAATATTATTTGGGGGCCTCAAAGGCTTCTTGGATAACTCGTGGTTCTAATCAGATTGTTTTCTCTTAAGGTTGGTCTATCCATGTTAATTTATCTGGTAGTATATGAGTCAACCCCGCATCTGAGATGAACCTTGTCAGAATTCGCGGGGGAGTTGAGACAAGCAGACCCCCTTCATGTTTTGACCATCTGGATTGATTGGCTCTAAGCAGGTGGTGGACCATGGGTGTGTCAACTGGGCTTCCTAAATCCTTTATAATGTGGGGGCATTCTACATTGCCTTCAATATTCTGGTGACTCCATTTTATTTGCGGGTGATGATAGAGGTTAAACCCTAAACTTGGGGAAGCTGTTCATCATGCCGGAAGTAATGACTAGGTTTACCCTAAACTTGTGTTTCTGACCATAGCTATTGCTTTCGGACTGTCAATTTCCCACACTTTCCTCATCAGACATTTAGGTTAGATAAATTAACCCTAGTTTGGAAGAATAGAAAGACATTAACCCTAGGTTAGAATCTACCACTGCTGTGGTAGATTCTATCTGAATTAACCCTTTCTTATTTGGGTTACTCAAGAGGTTTTCAAAATACTGCAGCCATTGGGAGAACGATTTTAGTGATCAGGAACTCCATTAGAAAGAGGGGAAATAAATAGAAAAGCAGAAGAGAACTGCACTTGTTGTGGGATATGGTGTGTGAAGGTCGAAGAAAAATGAGGGAAGTGGAGGATTGTTGGAGATTAGGGCATGAAAGAAAGCGCTACTATCAAAATGGTTTGGAAATGGGTGCATGACAGCAATGCAGTATGCGTATAGATTGTTAGAATGAGATGCGATATGGATGTTGACAATGGAAGCATTAAACCTGCCAGTTCCTCACCAATCTCACCAGCTTGAACGCAGATCTCTGAGAATGACATTTTTCATAGCTTAGTTGAACTTTTAGCAAATAATGGCTCTGCGAGGATGATTTGGTAGCCAAATAAACAATTAGCTGGTACTCTTCTAAGTCCTTTTGCCTTCATATTGGGCAAAGTAAAAGTGATAGATTAAATCATATTGTGATATGATTAGGAATTATGTGAAGAAGTCTCCACAGGCAGATTATCAGACTGTTTGTGCTTTACTAAAATTCAGATTATTAGGAGACTCTTTCCCAACCTGCAGGATGGACAGTTGATTATTTGCTGATGGGTTTTGAAGGGCGTCAGTTTGGCTGAGGATCGAGGTATCCTAGGGCTTGCTAAAATCGCTGGGTATAATTGAATTCATCCTCGCTGCTATATTTGGTGATATTACTCCCTCTTAGTTATTTCCAAGCAAAGAAAAACTTGTGTACCTGACCATTCTGACAAGGATCGAATTTAATAGCGGATGAGACAGTCAACGAGGTGAAGATGATTTCACAACCATGCATCATGTTATAAAAAAGCAGTCTTATGCAGATGTCTTATGTTTTCTTTATTTTTAGTGAAGAAAAAAGTGTTAGAAACACATATAATTGCAGTGTGTAGATCCACAACAAACATTATATAAAGTTTTTCTTTTTTTACATATTTTCTATTTTTTTAATTTCTGGGCAAAGTCAAGAGTGTTAATAAAATGCTGACTGTGGCTCCTTAGTATATATATATATATATAGATACATTGCATGCTGTGTCTAATATCATACTGGGGGATCTCTAAATTAAATCTCCCTCTGCAGATGCTTGGGAAGTCCCGCTCTCTTTTCATCAAGGAATATAATCAGAGGCTCTTCAATTGGTTGGTGACTTTCTCTCTCGTCATGGTTGTTCTGGGCCGCTTCGTTGTCAAGTTCATTTTGCTGGAGGTGGCTGCATGGATTCTGTTCATATTCTTGGAGACGTACACGAGGATGTTCTGGTCTTCAGAGTCCCTTTACTACAATCCTGGTTGGCATTTCATTGTGACTACCTGGGAGACTATAGTTTATAACCCTATACTTGATCTAGACAGGTAATGCAAATGCTGAACTTCTCTCCTCTTTTTTTTCTTTTTTTTATTTTTTATAATCCTGTTTTGTACCCGAGTTTAGCATTTTTATTTTTTTATTCATTGTATAATTATACTGTAAGAACCATGCTGATAGTAGAAAGAATTTGAGACATACATTCAATAAACCAATCAAGAGATGTTTGATTTTTCTCACCTTCTTTATTCATTCATAAGAAATCAGCAATCTCAAATGATAACCATTTAAACCTGGAAAATATAATAAATAGAGACATAACGGGGCCATTTAAACCTGGAATATCTGTTTTCAAGCAATCAATCAATCATGAGGAATGCATAATTTTTTCACTTTTTTATGATCCTGTTCTACAGGTGGGTGATTCCCATAGGAGTAGGTCTTGTCGTTTTGCTTCTCTACTGGCGTTGTTATGGGAGGAAGCAGCACGGCTCAAACTCCTTGTTACCTATGTACAATAGCCGGCACAGTGGCCCCAATCGCCCCAGATCAGAGTGAAGAAAATTACCCACAAGAGGCATCAACTTTGGAGAAATTAATGACATCAAAGTTTATGATTTCTGATATTCTAGGAAGCCCACGGAATCGACGAACACGGCAGGGGAGAAAAGGGGAGATGATCAAGGCCACATTCCTGCTGAAATCTCATCTCCCATCCATCCGTCTCTTACATTCTATTAGTGTTCATATCTTGGTGGGATTGTCGGATAATTCCCCATTTGATTGGATCCCACTGTTCTAAGCAGCATGACTTGTCACATTGCCTGTGGGGAATGCGTCTTTGCAGTGATGATTTTCTCATTTAAATTAAATCATCCATTAGTTGAATTCTCTACTCTGGAATTGGCCATGCTTCCTCCTCTCCCTTGACAGCACTGAAGAACAGAAATGATGGGAACATGACTAGGGTGTTCAACCTCAGATGAACAACAACAGGGAAATCCATTCAGTTATTTATGTTCATGCACTTATTTTAGGGGTTTATTTATCTCTAATTAGATAAAAATAGTAATGGGCAGATTCAGTTATGTGCAAATATACTTGCTTGAGGTTTTATTTATCCCCAATTAGATAACACCAATGACTGCATTTGGGTAACTATGTTGCACCCGGAATGGAGTTCATGAACATTGATGGGCTAAAAGTAGATGAGGAAAGCTTCTCATTCAGGTATCGCCGCTGAATTTCTCTTAAATTTATATAAGCAAGAGTTTGTAGAGTACTAATCAAGCCTTGAGATAACCTCGGCTCTCTTGAGATAACTTCTTTTTTTTTTTTCTATTTCCGGTTGAACAGAAAATCTTGGACAATTCGAATAAACAGAAGAAAAAAAAAACACTGCAACTCCTCTTTCATGAATGAAGAGTCCATGACAAGCTTGAAGTGCTTACTTAGAAGGTGTTATTTATATTCTCCACCTTTCCCTCTCCTTGGATGCAGTAGACAGAGAGAGAGAGAGAGAGAGGAGAGTTGTAAAAATCACACTCCGAGAAAATAAAAATAAGAATTGTCTTATTCACATCAAGGTTTGTCAAATTGCTTCCAGACCCAATCCCTGATATTAATCATAAATCGAAGAATGATGATGTTTTTAGCATAGTGGAAAAAAAGTGATGTTCCAAGTCAGAAAGATCACTCTCGTTCATGGGAACAAGTGATTATTGGACAGAACACTCCAAGATGGAGTGACTTCAATCTCTCCCCAAATGGTCATCTACAGAATTTCTTGAACCAAACACCGATATTTACAAAGCTTTCAAAATCAGATTGTGGCCTGCAAGAGAGGGAATCATTTCTCGGTAGGTCGAATCACTTCTTGGAAAATTAGGAAAACTAAACAAAAAAAAAGAGAGGGTTGAGATGAGAAGAAAGAATGACCTGTCGATTGAATGGATATCTTTAGGGAATACGATCACTTTGACCTCAGCTCCTCTTTCCTTCAGGGCTCGCGCATACTGCCAAGCATATTTGTGAGAACACCAAACTAATTAATTATCCAAAATGATTTTTCAAGTTTGAGTGAGAAATAGATTTGAAGCAATCAAGTATCAGGAGAAATCATTCATAACTCGACTTGAATGGGTTCCTAAAAGATTTTGGACCCGTAAATCATTCAAGAACATATACGGTAGAGAAAGTATTGGGTACCAAAATGAACCAAAAAAAAAAAAAGGGCATCTGAAACGAAGTAATTTCAGCCTAATTAATGTCCAAACCTGCAAGCCATTAGAGACCGGAACTCGAAGATCCTGTGCTCCGAGGAGAAAAAGAATAGGAGTCTTCACCTGAAAAGTGCTTCGAAATCACATAACACACACCGGAGAGCTATTCTTTTGGAATCAAGATTGGAAAATTAAATCACCCGCATCACATTTTCCTTCAGCTTCGCTAAAATATATTAAAAATTGCTTGAGATAGCCCCACAAGAACATGCTATAAAATCCCTCCATTGGAATATCCTCATCTAAAGATTAAAAGTTTGATGCTAGCCGCTGAAAAGTTCCCAGCATTGTAGCAATTTCCATACCAGGGAATCAACCGGTTAAAATGAAAGAAATAATCCAAAAGGGTACCTTGGAGATATGCGAAATAGGAGATTTTGAATACATATCACCCAGCTGATCCACCGAGGGAGCCTCTGTGAAGTGATCTTTACCATCTTTGCCGTAGGTCTCCACATAGCACCAGTCAGGAATGTCTGTAGTACCAACCATTAAAGAGAGATTGCAAACAGGATTTCGAACGGCAGCAACAGCGAACCTTTCTGGAGCCTTGATAATACGAGTCCACAGAAATAAAATATTTCAGAGAAGCTTTGAGCTAACATAAATGAATGGATTAAATTAAAAGATACAAAGAATAAATAATAACTTTGAATCTTTAGCATTGATCAGATTATGTTTCAATCTAGGCCAACAACTTAGACATGACAGAAATATATATATATTTTTTTCAATCCATATCAACAACTGAGGCACGCCTTTCACTTGTACTGATGATCTCATCCATGAAAATGGTAAAATATTTCTTTCATTACAAATCAAGAACTAAGGGCTGCCTTTCAGTCTTTACCAGCAATCTCAAGCAAAGGAAACTAGAAAAATTAATTATGGGTATAGAAGTGTTCACTAGCAAAGGCCTGATGCAAACCCAACAAGAATAAAATTAGGAGTGGGGAAATTTTCCTGACGTATCAATTCATAGAACAATTTCTTGTCGTGTACCATTACCCCGTCATCATAAAATGAGAACAACCTTGGCTGAATCCCACGATTTACAGGATACTAAACCAAATTAGGAGATTGACCAACAGCCTAACCCTTAATTATAAGTTTCTTCCCACTAATAAAATAGATAATATGTTGCCCTGATAACACTTGATCATGACTACAATCCTGTTATTTATTCAACCTGTCACTGCTCTATGCCGTGCAACAGGAAATCATTTATCCATTTGTTTTCGGCAAAAAGCCAAATAAAAAACTTACCCATAGTAAAAATTCGGGTCAGATCCCCGAAAAAGATTTTTTTTCCCAAACTCGGTGCACAATTCCATCCACGAGAGATATGTTTAAAACTACCCAAAAAGGCCTCCGTGAACGAGATGAGATCATTTGAAGGAAACTGAAATGGTACAGAGATGCATATGTTTGAATGTGAAACCTATGTCTTCGTAGGGATCAAGATCAAAACATGACGATCACATGAGACACAATGTCAGAGAACTTCATCATTAATGTTATATTGTCTTTAAATAGGCTTACATGACTTCATGCCATAAGAATATAACGTGAAAATCATTTTTGGGAAGGCTATTTAATCACATTGCGACAATAATCAGCGTCCTCAACAAACAGCCAACAATAATTTAAAAAGTTTTTTAGTGAAAAGTAGAATAAACAGAGAAGAGTCCTGAAAAAAAAACCAACCTGGCCAATTAAATGAGTTGTTAAAAAACCACCATGTGACCCACCAAGAACAGCTATTTTTGATGGATCAGCCAGTTTAGTCTCGATGACATGATCAATGGCTTTAAGCACATCTCCGACATCCTACAAGAACAGTTAAGGTTTGAAATAAACTCTTGAGAGAAAAACTACAGTAAAAGCATAGCCATGTCAAGAAAAAACAGAAAACCTGGGAACCAATTTTGCCAGGAAGAGTTTGCAAAGCTTCCTCACCAAAGCCTAAGGAACCCCTGAAATGAATGCATAATTGGGCCGAATAACTTTTCGGAAAAGACTGCTTAATTATAAAAGGAAATGAAGAAACATAAAAAATGAATTTTATCAGGACAACATCAAGTTCAAGGACAAAATCCAGATACATCATTTTAATAATTTATTTATCAACTTTATAGATATAAATAATGACCATAGTAAAAAGACACAACAATGTGTCTAGCATCTAACATCGAATGGAAAAGATAAAAGAATCTCACATGCCACCAAGTTTCTCTTTTACCTAGTCAATTCCACAGAGCAAAAGTCTCTATAACACCAAAATTATACAACCATTACCTATATGAATCTGAAAATGCATGATGAAGAACCAAACTACCGAAAGGAGACTCATCTGGATGCATGGTACAATCAATCATGAGATTAAAAGGTACTTCCAACTAATATTGACCAATGAAATTATTCAATTAATAAAACTACTGAATCGAGATGAAAATGAGGACAGGCCAGAATAGGACTTGAACTTGTTTATATCAAGCCACGTTTAAAAGAGATATGCAGATGTGGATCATCCTAAACACAGATTCATATTCTATTTAATGCAAAGCACTTTCGCTATTACTTGTCATTGTTCAACTTCCCTTTCATTTAGACGGAATAACTACTTTCAATAAAAACTTCAAGCTATTATTGCCCAAGCCCCAAAAGCATGATGATTCCACAACAGGGGTGACGGGCTGTAATGAAGACGGGGTGGTATCCCATCCAGGCTTTCTATATGCTTCTTCTAAGTTTATACAGGTTTCTGGGTACGCAATCCGAGCTGTATCTGTAAAATCTACTCTTAAGATTCCAATAAAAGATAAGTACTCACCCCATTCACACCCCTTCTATTACTCGTTCTTCTTTATCCTACTTATCACAGCCAAAAAAATAGCCTGAGATTAGGAGAGGACCAGTTCAGATAAAATATTTTGAAATTTTTAAGGTAATACTACAGATACTTCCAACGAAAAAGGTAATTGCATGATAGGTTTGATTAGTTAGCAAAATACCCCACCTTTCCTGCCTATTGATTCTAGTTTTAATGATAACACAAAGGAGGGGAATGGGTGATACAGAGATGTGAACTCATTTTTCCCTTCTCTTCTTTTGCACTCTCATTTTCTGTTCTTCCTCTAATTTCTGCTAGCAAGTGGTTTCCTTTAGTCTTTTTCTTGGGGGGAAGGGATTGTTGTTTTGTCGAGTGGGGCAAAGAGGGATTGTTTTTTCTTGGTTGAGTTCTCTTCCATATTTCTATTCCATCTTCTTCCTCAGCGCTCTCCACTCTTCTCTGGTAACAGAATAAATTTTGAATAAAAATAAAGGAGCACCAACGCGAGGTGTTCAACAGGATGTTACAATTTTGTCTATTGTAACTTTAAGAGTGTAATTTTGAACCATACAGTAAATTGACCAGCATCATAAAACATTCTCTGTAGTCATCTGGGTCCATTTTTGCTTATGCTATGTTGAAATACAAAATAATAGCACGTTGGTTCTCTTAAATAGAATTGCACGCTAGTTACAGACCCAACTATCATAGTGATGGTATGAGACAAATATTAAAGAGTTCGAAAGATAAAAGGTAGCTTGCTAGAAAGATAAAGAAAAAGTTCGGAGACGAACCTATAATTTACAATGAGCAAATTGAAGCCCAGAGAGGCAAGAAAGGCAAGAGATTTCGAATAGCTTGTCAACGAGACTGAATGTGGGCCACCATGAATGACCACGATTAATGGGTTCAGTGAGCCACTCTTCTGATTCACTTGGAATGGCTCCTTAGACTGAGAGTTCGAAGAAGACACAAAAATAGCTTCCATAGGTAACTGCGCACCTGCAGTCAACCGTGGGCAAAAAAATAAAGACTCGAATTTTCACGTTGTTAGATTGTGCAGGAAACTATAACTGAAGCAGGCTGAAATACATATAACTTTTCATGTGATCTCTAGGTACTAAAAATGAGAATCATCGGCATTATCCCCTGGAGTGTATCATAATATAAATACAATGCATGAGTTCATCTGCTAATAAACATATCGACACCTAGTCAGAAACCATGCATTTATGTACACTCGAATAGAATATAAACTACATAAATTACATGACCGGTTTTGAAGCAGACATGTCGCAGAAAGACGCTAATGGCCAGCCAACCTTTTGGAAGAGTATCCGAATTGCCAATCGGTATCTTCATTATGCTGAATTGATGCATTGATAGCATATTTCTGACCTGATGCAAAAAAAGTCATCAACTCTATGCTTCGACAGATAATAGCATATTAGCCGTGAACTCATAAAGAAAAGTGCTCCTGAGACCTTCTCAGAATGTTGCAAGAATGGGCTAGAGATATCAAGCCAATTCCAACTAAGGGTCCCGCCTGAGTGATCCGCAGGACAACCATACTTGATTTGAGGAGGATCTATGGGACTGCTACACACTTTAAGAGAAAAATGAAAGAAAATATTAATCTCATTTTACCACCTTGCCATTTTCCATTAACTAAAGGATAATAATAGACTATTTTTTATTTTAAAGAAAAACTAAAATGAATCCAACTGGGGATATACCAGCAAGAATCTTGCCACCATCAACTGCAAGGACATTCCATGAATGGTTGGAATCAGCAGGAGTGATGTTTGATAGCTTGTAACTGTATAGAAACAAAGAAGATTAATTATCCTAAACCTGCGCACAAAACCATAACCATTGTTAATGATAGAAATATCACGGCTTACCTTAAAATGTCTACAGAAAGAATAACTTGCCTACTACCCCAGTAGGAACACAAAACCATGGTGTGACCATCTGGAAGCCACGGGTCGTTAAGAAAAAATGGGCAATATAATCCCGGGAAGCAGCCATCCTCCGCACACATCACAACAGGGACCTGTACAAACACAGAACTTGATATGTAAAATATAAACTTAAGTAAACAAAGAGCCCTGTTAGTCAATACCCAGAATGCTGAATGCACATATGTACGAGAGCATTAATCAATATAATAAAGCAGGGAGCAGTCACTGGAGGCGTTTGAGACTAAAAAACGCCAGGCATGATTATCAGTGATAAAGAAGTGTACCAGCTATCCAAGGATGACAAACAAACTGATATCTCATATGTGACGAAGATTTTCACGATCAGGATTGGCATATAAATTGACTTCTCAACCAAGATTAGAACTGGCATCATTTAGATGGCCCAGATGATAATGGGCCACACAGTTCTGCCAAATTTAGAAATCTCCTATCACCATTTCCAAAGAAGAGATCATGAGGACCAAGTAGCCAAAGTCTTTGATAAAAAAATACTCTTTGCGAGCGAAATAACCCGGGAATCGATATTGAAGGGCTTACACTAGAAGCTGTGAACATCATCTTTTGTTTTCTAACTACAACAGTTTAATCTATTCCATCACTTTTGTCTTTCCTTCTTTCGTATTCGATTGTCACTATAACACCCCTCATTTTTATATAGATAACTATTTATAAATGAGTCCTATAATTATTTATAACGGATATAATTTTAGCCTTTAACTTTGCTCGTTGCGTGTATTTCTGTAATAAACCAAAACACTAGATGTCAGGTGCCTCATAGACAGCCAGATTCACTCAGCTCAGTGAGTACCAATATAAACAGCTCGCTCCCCAGACATACTCACACAACTCTACAAATATAAAATTTTACACCTGCATATGTAAATTTCAGCAGTGTTCAGACCAAAATTCTAAACTCATGGTCCAGTTCTACGCCAAAATTCAGCAAGTTATGGGTACAGACTAATGTTTCATTCGGCTAGTCCACTTTAGATTAAAGTGTAGTCAAGACCCTCCAGACCCAAGAGAATATGCTCAGGGCACAGGTTCAGGAGGCAATCCATCCAAGATGAATGCTTGCCGGTGGTTGTACAATAAAAAGCAATACTCCTAATTTTACTCTAATGTGGAAATGAGAGAAATATGGGAAGAGTAAACAAGGATAAATTTATACCTAAAATTAAAGAGCTGGGAGTTATTACTTTATGAACGTTTTTCGGGGTAGATCTTCAGTAAAAATACAAGTTGTGATAGATATGCACTTTACAAAATTTTCACGACGATCTCATCAATAAATTGTCTTCAATGAGAAGCGGGAAGTTACCACATCAATGACATTTCCCGATGAACAAGGTTTTCCATCAGCAGGCCAATCCATTCTATGAAGCGAATTAGTAGCAGAATGTGCTCCACTGTCAACAGCAGATTTCGCGGAAAGAAAAACAAGATACTTCCCATCCGGACTGCATGCGTGAATCGTTTCAGTCAGTCAGTTCACTGAGGCTACATCAATTAATATTACAAAGATGGCAGATTTATCTGGTAACCCAAACGAAATGGAAATCATTGCAAGAAGAAAGAAAACGAATAATGGCTACTAACAGTAAAGTTGATGTTAAAATATCTTGTTTCAATAAGACACAATAAGGCAGGAAAAAATTATATGAAAAATTGTTCAATGTAACAATGATCAGCCACAATTGTACGTTTATAGTTCAAGGGTAAGATATGATAACCCTGTGACAGCCAGAGGAAAATTCAGATATTGAATATTTAATCTAAATGAATTGCTTTCTAGGAAGTGATTACCCAGATCCAACATGGTAAGCCGTTATGTAACAAGCAAAGAATGAAAAAGGAATAGTATTAGATTAAAAAAATAATGATTAAAATAAAAAAATAGAATGCCACCGCACAGAACTCAGTGAAAAAGTTCATAACGACAATTTCTATATTTCTCTTCCCTAAAAAATGAAAGAAATATTTTCACCAATATCGCAAGCTCTAGTTATCCACATTAGATTCGATCAGAGTTCCTATACAATTATATTTAATTGGAACAATCTCAGATTGCTGATCAGAGGAATAGATGAATTATTCCAGATCGTAGTTCCCACTACATCACAACCTTGCAACAGGGTACATCAATGAAAAAGTCGAATAAATCATTAAAAAAAGTGCATGGAATTGGAACACAAAATATGCAGCACTGACAGCAACCTTAGCATCAACGTCAACTCTTGCAGCATAACATCATAGCAGCAGCAGAGGCAGCAGTAGACCAACTCAAGAAACGGATAAATAAAATGAATATGATACATTGAGAAACCCTCACAAGATTATCCAATACAACAAGGTATAGATAACAATGTCAACATTAAGGACAAAAAAGGCAGTCACAACAAAAGAGGCGGTGCGTGAGCTGATGAGGATTACAACTACTGCATTATATGATCACCAGAATTTGTAGACCTTGCTGGCACCTCCTCTCAAAGCTCAAAAAGGTTAGTGCACAAGGCTGTGGCTAAGCACATTAAACTAAACCAGGCGGCCAACCAGAGTTACCCTGGCTTACTCACGATCTCTGGTATTTAACTGGGCTCAATCTGCTGCCAAGTTGGAGGCAGGTTTCAAATGTCCTACTCCTGCGTAGACATGAGAAAAGGGGAAATGCGAACATCAAAAGATGGGTAAGAATGTTATCTCCGCAACCCCATTCGTCCATAATGAGCTCGGCCTATGTTAAAGGGTCTCAACATACCTAAACTCAGTGAAAAAACCTGGTCAAGAAGATTGGTTCTCATGTAGCCGAGAGAGGCAAATGGAATTTGTTCTAAGTTCACCTTGGCACCAAGGCATCTAATATGAGTAATATAGCTCAAATTTTCAAATACCATAGGTTTTAGATCGCAAAACTCTAATGACGAGAAATGGTGATCCAGAGCCTCACTTCCTCATATCAACAAGTTACCTCTTTCATTTTGCAGGACCAAATAAAAAGAATAAAGGACAGGGATCAGAAAAATCATTCCTAGTCTCCATAGAGCAAATGGAAGAACGTAGAAGATAAGCCCCTGAAGGCACAATTTTTCACAGATCTCAGTACAGCCCCGTAAAAGTGAATAATATGCAGTTTAATGTGGCATCAAAGAATCAAAGGCGATTACAAGATCAAAATACTTCAGCAAGAAAGAAATGGAGACCTGAAGACCAGAACAGCATGGATTACCTGAATCGAGGAAAGAAAGCACTGTTCAGTCTGTCAGTTAATTTGATCGCAGTTATTGCGCAACCAGTTGCATTGGCACTAAAACATTATAAGAGAAGGAGCTCCTGATTCAGAATGGTGTTCAGAATAACATGAAGAAAATAGAAGGTTACACAAGCAACAATCCTGTGAAAGCAAACGTACTTTTCTGATTCATTGGAAGTTGACTCTTGAGCAGGAGCCTGGACTGCATATAGGGCACATGGCCTATTATTGCAGTACTTGATACCAAGCTTTCTTGAAGATCTTTCTCGAGCATTTTCTGGGGTCCAGCCAACAAAAATCAGGTATTTTTCAGGGGAATCTGAAGAATATGGTGCCCAGACAACTTGACCAGCACTTAGAGATTCGTCAATTCCCTTGACAACCTGAGCTTTCCCACTACAAATAGAAATATTGGATTATGCTAGTTTAATCTCATCAACTCACCACTATGCATCCTAGAAAAGCATCATGGGTCGCAAAAAAATAAATAACAAACCTATTTATATCGAGGACAAAAAGGGCAGGCTTCTGCTTCCCAGGATAGGTTTCACCCCAGTCTTCTTCCCAGTCTCCTTGACCTTTCCAGCTGCCACACTCTTTTTCAGAAGCTCCATCTATTTTGAAGCCTAAATGATTGAAGGTTGGCCTTGGTCGACTTGCCTCTTCTGCAACATAGGCAATCATATTTTCTTCTTGATTCCATGAAATCCCTTCAAACCTATGAAAAAGACAGTCAAATACACCAAAATTTCATGAAAGGTAATTCAAATGTATGGACCATCACAGAATTTCATAATAGAAATGTTCAATGTAATTACCATGCATCAGTATACACTGAACCATGTACAGTCCGTGGAATCTGCCATTCCTTTTCCAACTGAGAAGGACCCCAAATTTCAAGAATTGTTGGCGAATCATTTTCCTTGTTCCTAACGACTAGTAGCTTTGACCCAGATGGTGACGGAATAATGGCAGATGCACCTGACATCTCAATAGGAAAGGGTGACCAATGGGAGCTTACAGAAGAGTCTGTCTTCTTTGATATGTAAGATGATAACATGAACGTCCTCTTTCTGTTTTCTACGAGATTAGGCTGTCCAATCGAAAACATAGCCCAAGAACCATCACCTACAAACACAGAGTTCTCAAAGAAAACAAAAATTTTAGGTGAGGATAAACAACGAACCAATCAACTAACAGAACCTTCTCCCATTAACAACATCCAATCAGGAAGCAAAGAAAACACAGTGCATATGGGAATCCATCATCACCACAATAAATTCAAAAATAACGAAAAAAACCATAAAAGATCATACCATCGCCAGACTTTATGGTCCATGCTCTGTCAATGCTCGGAATATCAGTAAATTCTTTAAGTAACTTAACCTGAGAAGCATATTCTTCCACACTTGTTTCTTCTACTCCAGGTGGCGTCTTCTTAGGAGATGCAGTGCTAGGCATTTGCATCTTTGCAGAAGAGAATGTCTTCAAAAAGTTACTGAAGAAAACAAGTGCTTACTAAGTCAGCGACAATAAAGGTCTACTGCAGGGAGTTCAAGGTAGCAATAACAGAAACATAACAGTCACATTGTCAATATGGGAGGATTAGTTTGTTGCCGAGAAAAGGTTCTAGTCAGTGTCTCAATAAAACACGACCACATCGCATAATCACACATCTCATCTCAATAAAATATCTAGGTGATTTCAAAATATAGCGTATGAAACATGATAGTTGTGGCTTTCAAACAGGAAGCCAAAGAAAAACCCAATTATATGGAAATGATCACCCGCTAGCCGTCTCTCTCATCTGCTATGTTTCCTAGATGTGAAAGCTTCTTTCTTTTGGTCAAAGGTCCCTCACTGACAGCACAATCTAGCAGATTGAGGGCGGAGAAGTTGATCCCGGTACGCATGGACTAGTCAGAGGCTACCACTGAATCCATCCATAAGCACCTAACAGCTGGTCGGATTGCCCAAAAATTTCAATGTCGCTAGTTAGAATACAGCTGTTTATTGGGAAAATGACCTACGTGAATTATAAGCAATATTATAACTCCCTATTACGATGCTAAGTAGACAGATATTCTGAGCAATTACTTGAACATCCCAATTTTTTAACACACCATTTTTGGTTTATTAAAGCCATGGAGGCCACCTCCTAAGGCTATCTTGAACATCAAACAGTCCATATCCTCATAATACATCAAAAAGTGTGCAACTAATACCCAAGAGGTCAAAAACTGTACAGACGTCGATCACACTCCCCGCGTCAATTTACCAACTAAGAACCATTTCTTAGTCACTAAACTCTCCATACCAAATAAGAACGACCACATTTCATAGGATATGAATTCAAGCTGTAATCCCACGTCACCCATCTGAAGCATATTGCACTCCAGTCATCCCCACATAGATCGGCGGCCCTCAACGTACAATGGAAATGCGAAAACAGCACAACCGTGGAAACAAGGGCTCGGAGGTTCGAACAATCGAATCCAATGCACACCACCACCCAATCCCAGACTTCCGTCCGGAGCAGCAGAAAGAACAGAAGCACCAAACACTGAAGATGAGGTAAAAAGCTCCAGTCCTGCAAGAACGCGGGAGGGAGGAGATTGCCTTCGCTCAGGGAGACGACGGTGCTGCCAGAAGTCAGAGATGGATGTCACGGGCAGATGCCGGGAGCCCGCGAGGGGAGGGAGCCGCTGGCGAATCCGAACTCCACCTCCACTCCACCGTTCGACCACATGGGTTCGAATTCCCCTCATCTCCTCTTCATCTTTAGTCCCCACCCAAACGTTCTTCGCAAGCTCATCCCCTCCATCTTCCTTCCACAAGGCCCGGGTCGAGCCTAGGCCCAAATAAAAAGCCCATAAACTGTTCTTAAAAAGCCCACAAGCACACACCAGACAGAGAAAGAGGGAGAGAGAGAAAGAGAGAGAGAGAGAGAGAGAGAGAGAGAGAGAGAGAGAGTGCGTAAGACTTAATATTATTGCTTTAATGGATTAATATCATGCTTAAATAAGCCATGGAATAAAAGTATGAAGATTGAGTATCATATGATCAAGGAAATTATAATCTTAGAATGAAGGGAATTGCATTATGTAATCAGTAAAATAGTAGAAAATTCTTGTAAGACAAAGTACAAAAATTCCCTCAAATTTTTCATTTTATTTTTATTTTTAATGGTTGATTGAACCTCTCACTCAAATAATGACGAGAAAATCATTGTTTGCTGAATATTATTCATCATATATATATGCATTAAAGTTAACACAAAATTCTGGGGATTACTATTTCGGTATCTGTTAAATCTGATGGTTGACTTATATATTATATATATTTCCGATAATTTTTGGGATGGTCAAATCAGTCAATTGAAGTATGAATGGAGTTTGGGTTGGATCATTAACTTTCGCTATATTTTAAATTAAATCATACTTAACTCTTATAAATTTGGATTATTATGATCTTGCATTAGAGCTCGATTGGCTGCACTCAATGTACAAAAAATGGGCACGTTTTATACATTTTTAATTATTTACTATTTTTAGATAAGCCAATGAAATATAATAACCTTCTTTTAATCTCTGAAAGTGTTCAGATTTTACAAAGTGGAACCTCATATTCTAGGACATGAGGGGACAAATAATTTTTAAAACATTGAAAATGCTGAAATTTTAATTTACTAAAAGTCAGAAAATGTCACATATTGAAATGTTCAATGCTTTACTTAAATAAAAACCCCAACTAATAAAACATACAAATATCTGTCCTATAAATCTGCATTTTGTAGGTTGGAGATTGGAAAAATATATATTTAATTATAGATTTGATTTTAGGGTTTTTTGGTAATTGTGTCAAGTTCATATTCTAGGAAAATGAGGGGAGAGATAATTGCTTAAAAAATGTTATAATTGAGAGTACCAACAAAAGAAGGTGTACTAGTTTAAAAATTCAAAAAAAATATTTTATTAAAATTCGGTAAAAATAAAAATGCCACATCTTGAAAATGTTCAATGCCTTACTTAAATAAAAATCTCAACTAATGTCCCAAAGAAAAATCCAAAAGTTTTAAAAATGATTTATGCAAACAATTAAATTAAATTAAATTCAATTCAATTTAGCACAATAAAAAAAGAAAATTGTGATCCACTTTTCTGATCATTAATTCCAAGTCAAAATTGTGTCGTCAGGTAGATCGAACCAAACCTGGATCATACCCAATGAATCAATCATTTTATCTAATGGAGAATACCCATCTGGTTTTTCAGGCCATATGTGAATCAGATTTTGGCAATAATTCTTTATTAAAAAAACATATATTAACAAAATTGTATAATATATGAACTGGTTTAATAGGGACAATAATCCACTTTATAAAATCACACTGGATTAAAAAAATTCAGGCCATATGTGAATCATATTTGGAATTTAAAAAAAAAAAAGATATATTAATAAATTTTATAAGGTATGAACTGGTTTAATGGGGACATAATGGGTTCTATTAATTGGCCAACTCTGGTTATCTTGAGCATTTTAATTTAAGCTACACATGGAAACCCAATGCTTGTCCAAACAACTATCCACCCAAGCAAACCCAACAAAGACTACAAGGATCTATACAAAACCCTTGATTTGATCGCCACATTCAGATCGAGCTCTTCCAATCAAGAACCCTAATTCTTCCATTGTTCTTCAACAGACAAAAATGGATAGACGTGTGTGGTTACATTATTGGAGAACATTAAAAAAAAATGCAGACTTTGCACCCAATGCATCGATGTTCTTTCTTCATTTAATTAATACACAGCTGATGACGAGGATGATTCATTAACCGGTCCCGATTGACCATCCATTCCATCTTCTCTTCTTCAAACCTGAGTTGACTTACTTGTTGCCACTCCCATGGGATTCGGAATCCCAACCAGGAGCTTCCCACTGAACCGAGCCAGGTGAGCCCTGGGCCCCTCGCATCCTGGTCTGAAGATGATCCAGGCCGGCGACATGTTGATGCATCAAATCCAATGGCTCCGGCAGAGAGCGGCTGCAGCCATGGTCAACCTGGGCTGCACCGGGAACGAGCCCAGGGGAGCTGGGGCTCACTCTTTGTTCATGAGGCAGAGATTGGAGGAAGTGACTTGGGTCACTGGGCAGGGGAATGGAGGAATCAGAAGCTGCATCTGGGCTCCCAGCAATGGGCAAGATCAGAGAGGAGATGTCTGCCACACTTGGGTACATGGGATTCAATCCAGTAACCCTCTTGACTGTATCCTCCGCCATCTTCACCTGCATGGGAACAAGAGCCGACCCATTACATTAGGTGATGCCCCCGTGAGCAACAAGTGTCTGAAAAATTCAATGTATGAGTTGGCAAGTGAACCAGCAGGAAAGAATACGGTAGTTCATGTTAGGTTTGTTTTTTATTTTTTTATTTTTTTTTATGAAACAGATGAGTAATGGCTATGGAACCTGGCAAGATCAAGGGGAGTACTTGCCCATGACCACATTATTTTCTGTAGATTTCAGCTGAGTCTGTTCAGCTGAAGGGCTGGATTATTTTGGAAAGGAAATGGGTGGCAGGAGGATTGACATTATGCTGTAATTATGCCTAAATAATGAGCCTTTTTGCTCAACAATGAGATATACTATTCTTGAGTTGTAGCCATAGAGGAAGAAATCTGATGGGATGAGAAAAATAATTGGGAAGAAATCAAGAGAAATTTAAAGGTAGATGAACGTCATCATCATCGTGCTCCAAATCCGACAGAACTATTTTTGCCATACCTATCATTTACGAAATTGGTAAAATTTTCAAAAAGAAAGTCAACTTTATGGGATGATACTTAAAGGGTCTGTTGTTTTCTCAATCCACCACAAGATCCACGGATTACCAGTGAGTCCTAGTGTATATTGATATTCGCTGTCTTTTACCACAAGCTACCTTATTTTTTAGTCTAGTCTCCTGGTTATCCCTGGCATAGAGCCTAAATGGGCAAAAACCCAGGGATAGGGGAAGAACCAGGGGCATTTCCCTTGGAAGAAAATGTGGGAGAGAGGGGCTGAAGAGAGGGAGATCGAAGCTCTTTGGGGAAAAGTCAGGTGAGTGTGAAAGGAGATTAGGGTACAAACAAGTGGGCTTGAGAGGCTCCTTCGGAGATTAAGAGTAAGGTAGGGTGTGGGAACTTACATAGTATATTGATGAATGTACAGAGCAGAGCAATCAATAATTCATGAGCTTTTCAATGAAAAAAAAAACCTATTTTAAGACCCCCCATTAAATCCATCGCATGCTTAAAATAAGTCACAACTGGACAACCAAAATGGATTATGACTACTGATACATGCATTCTCAATGACAGTCACTGTATAACAGGTGTGAAGATCACTGGCAATATTAGAAATTAATTGCTCTTTTGCTTTTGTGTCCAAGGAATCTTGCTTCAATGCTTTATCAGCAAATAGTAAACTTTCAGAATCCTATTGTTGACAGCAGCTTCACTGAACGTTTGGTTCATGTGGGCAAGATGCTATGAATATACCATGTACAAAGGTGGGTTCATTTACCTTAGCTCTCCATGTTTCTACATCAGCCTTTAGAATCCTATTGTTGACCGCAGCGTCATTGAACTTTTGGTTTATGTCCGTAAGACGCTTCAGAAGTGAAGAATTTTCAACTCTCAACTGAGATACCTATTCATGAAAAGATAATAGATCAGGGAAGAGAGAGAAGGAGAGAGAGACAATGGTAAGATAATTGAAGGAACCTGTGCCTCAAGCTCATTCAAATGCTCTTGCTTCCTCCTCCGAGACCGTCTTGCTGACTCTCGATTCGATAGCATCCTGGGTAAGGTCAACTCAGTCAAAATACGACTGGGTATTTCTAAAAGCTAGTCATATGCATGTCTGCATGATCACGTGAACTTGATATATTGATCAAAGTACCACATCAACACTTGTTTAATGATAGTTGGGCATTTCTTGCAAACGATGCAAATCATAACAAAGAATAAAGAATTCTTCCTAGAATAATCATCAATCTGTATGTGACTAGATCTTAAGAGACACTGTAACACGTGGTGTATTCTGCAGCAGTTAAGAGGCAAATATTTTCACAGAATATCTTGGAGATTAGATGATTCATTACTATAATACAACTCTGCCAGAATCTTCAAGGTCGAACCACATCCAGATGTTATATTTTGTCTGTTACATATGTACTTCTATGGTTTTCCCCATTAGCGTCTAAAAAAAGGAGTCGGCATTTTTTATACAGCGCATCCCACAGGTTGCCATTTCACCGCTCAACAGTTATCCAGTTATGAATATGACATCAGAAAATATTTAATTTCACCACCCAGTAGCTCCTGAGTCTACTTGAAAGATATGGCAATACTTTTATTCTTCATGGTCATAAATTGGCATTATGAAAAAAAAAAGATTTTTTAAATTAAAATAAAAGTAGTAATCTCCTGAAACACGTTTAATAAAAAAATTGTGGGTAGAAATTGAGAAAATCAACTTAAGGAGAAGAAATTACTTTTTTTTTATTCTCACTGCTTTCGTTATGTAATGCGCCAAGTACAACCAGTTGGCTGAATCATTCTACTGACGAAAATATGGGCCATAATATGAAGAAACAGACGGGAATGAAATGCAACTCTGGTGAGGAATGAGATTAATGTAAAAAATTTACAAGAGGAGAAGATTTGCAGCGAAACAAGCAGGACTGAGTTCCAGAGTTTTCTCGAAAATATGACTAGAAAAAAAAATATAGCCATAGTAATTTTTTGAAAATAAATTAATAACATTAAAGTAAAAAAACCGAGATCAAGACATTTGTTACAAACAAGATGGCATTCAATTTAACTGGCTCACTTAAGAAAAAAATCACGAGACCACTCTGACTGGGGTATAATAATTTCTACGAGAAAAAAAAATCAATGTTATACTTGGAAGAACCTCATTACTAGTCAGAATTCATGAAGCCCACATCACAAAGCAGAAGCCATTTATAAACACCCAGAGTCAAAGAAGAAGAGATATAGGGTGAGGATGCTCTTATGTCCCCAATACTCACCCATCACCAGCCAGGCTTACACCTTATTTATTCATTTTTTATTGCTTTTTGGAACATCGCGAATTGCAAAACCTCCAATTAATATCCTTTTGACTGTGTGGTGTTTAACGGGTATCTACCCCCATGAAAAGAAGCTTGTTTGAAATGGTTCAAGATAAGCATGTTCTATTGCCAGGATTTTATGCATAAAAAAGTCCATGAAAAATGAATCAGCCATTTGAGAAAAAAAAAAATTACCTCCTGACACGTTTTACATCTCCAGGATTGTTATCTGTCATTTCAGTTTCTCCTTCTAGTTCTTCATCATCTGATTGCTCTCTTGATGAACCACTTGTAGTTGGCCTGGTAGGACCTGAACTGCTATTCATCGTAGGTAAAGCGGGAGCTCCAGTATGTCCACAGCTAGAATTCTGTATACTCGAACCAGGTTCTGATTCATTCTCAAATATGAAAGTCAAAATAAAATATATCGATTACTGTTCATTTTCTGCCATTTTGCTTTGCCAAAATATAATTCATTGACAAAAGCAAATGTACTGAAGGACAAACTGAAAAGTCACTCTTAACAACATAGGGTACCATCTAGGAATGAGGCTGAGAAACAGAAAGCAACACTTAATGAGAAAGGGCATCAGTTCAACCCAATGCCATCATACTGCCAATAGCATCACGTTTATACACAAATTTAGGCATCAGATGACCTGTGGCTGAGCATTCCTGCACCCATAAAACCTACCACAGGATTAAGAATTTGGGTCGTGGTGCAAGAAGAAAAAGAACTACCGTACACTACATGCAAACAGAACTGACGTCAATGGCAACATGGTTGATGATGGGCAGCCATGATCTATGACTAGATTGGACGGGTAATTCAACTACACTGAAATGGGGACTTCAATAATCTTAATAGGAGGCCTACAAACATTAATGAAATTATGACATAGTCACCATGCAGTGAGGAGTGTCGTGCCATTATCTGATATAAGAATGCAGATGTTCTTAAAAAGCGAAAAATGTATGATTCAATACAGGGTAGTTATGCATTGATCCAAAGGAAAGAAGATCAAGAACAACGTTGGTTCTATTATCTTCAAGGGGACGGAACGACCACTGTATTTGAACGCTGTTTTTCAATCTTACATAGAAACCTCCTGGACGTGTGAAAACTATTCTAAGTCTATGATGCTTTCCAACATCTCCCGCTTTCTTTCTCTAGATCTGTTACACCCAATATTTTCTTTTCTATTTTATAATAGCGGGCTCTCTTTTCCACGCTAAAAAACGAAAACACAGCATATCCTGAAAGATCATTTGTGATGGTTCATAACACCACCTATAGAGAGTGTCAGCGTGGCGGATGAATTTAGATACGACAGCACAATTTTTGTTATTCATCCGTAAATATTGGAATCATCTGGGTTTAAAATTGGTCTGTCATAAAATCCATGAAAAGATGCAATTTCATTTCCATTGCTGTGAAAGGTCTAGCAAAAAATTCAACATCATCAATATGGGAGAAAAACCATCAACGACTAACCATAAAACAGTCAAGGAAACACCCACATAAATGAAATTTTCCCTCGAGATTTCCATTCCCCTAGATTAGGAAGACGTACACAAATCGAAAGTTTACAAGATGCCTCCATGATGGAGCAATGGTTGCGTATTATTCATAATTTTCAGCCATACTAACTAGATGCAGCTACAATAAAACCAATGGTGTGTCAGGGTTTTGCCCAACTCAACTGCATCTCAATGTCAAGAATAAGCTTCTTGTGCATAAAACCTGTTTATTAAAACAGGCTCCACAGAAACAAGGTCATCTTAATTGGCTATTTAATGCCCCACGTTCTAGAATGTTACAAAATATCTATATCATGAACTCGTAGTACACTCATAGAGACAGCACTGACCTTCATACTAATAGCCTACATGCACCTTTTTCATTTTTATGCAAAACAATGCCGATCAGATGGGCAAAAATAATACCTTTTTTATTTTTATCCAAACAATTTAGCTTTTCATATAAAAATAATACCTTTTTTCATTTTTATCCAAACAATATAGCTTTTCATATAAAAATAATACCTTTTTCATTTACCCAAAACAGCGTCACCAGTGATCAGATGGGCAAAAAATGTTAAGACTTTAAGAAAAAAGGGGGAAGAGAGCACGGTGGGTGGTGGGTTGGGGTACTAATTTAAAAGATCCATGTGAAGCTATATAGCCATCCTCTCCCTCTCCCTCCCATATGAACCAAATAACCTCCTTCCATCCTCTCTCTCTCTCTCTCTCTCTCACGCACACAACAACAGAGTTCAGATTAAATCAGGTAGGCTGATTGCAATCGAGATCAACCAGAGAGGACAGGAATTCCCCCATCCAAGTCAGATAAGGTAGAGTATCAATTCCGAGAATAAATCAATTCTGATAGAGTCCTTTAATTATTGACCTTTTCTGCCCCAACTTGCCTTATATCGTCCATTTGGCTGGAAAGAATCTAGTAGAATAGACACGAAACCTTTTGATCATCAAAGTAATCTAATACTCACAGTTAGCAGAAAGAGATTAGGTTATAATAATCATCACTAGAACAGTGAAGTGGATAGCAGGGGGAAAAGATCAAAAAGCATTTAAATACAATAAGCCAGGCAACAGTACAAAATTGTTAAGTTCTTGGAAAACATCTGGGAAGAAAGTATAACTGCAAATTGACAGAGAATGTTGGCAATCACTCAATCTTTAAGTCCCGCCTACATGCTATGGACAAGAAATTCCAAACGAAGAACTGCGTACCTTTACTAGGAGCTTGGTTTCCAATCTTTAAACCATCAGAAGCGAGAGATTTTTGGTCGGCCAGAGAAGTAGATTCTTGAAGCTTCATGCCAGGAGTCTGCAGAAAGGTTTTTGTGAAAAATAAGACATATTCAACTTATTTGGAGAAAGATAAAGTAGTTCCATTCAATACACGAAAGAACACTCTGACACTTTGCACTCAAAGCTCAACATTCATCAATCTGAACCATATGCATTACAATAAACTATTGTTTATAACAATATCAAAGGAGCATCGAAATTATTATTCCACTTAGGTTCATTTTTTAAAAAAAATGGATACTGCGAATTCATTATGTAGAAAAAGTAGAGGCACGGATATACAAGTTTGAATTGTCAGATCCAAAAAATGTACCTTATATGAGAGCATAAGACACCCAAAAATTCAATGCTCTCAGAATAGAGGAATCGCCTCATTATTACAAAATACTCTTGCCACGTCTTTTACCCTCAAAGAAATAAAGAGGAAACTATGTCAGTCGAGCCTAGTGAAACACTCATTTAAAAATTTGGTAGCTCCTCACGCCTTGTCAAAGACAGACAAATGATGAATCACAACCATGTATTCCGGTCCTCTTTCACTATCCAATTCCTCTCCCAACCACTCCATATCTCGCCCATAATCACTGGAATGCGCCAATTAGTACGCCTTTTACAGATCTGATATGACAAAGAGATCGAGGAAATAGAGAGACACAGTCTCCTCCTCATCACATAGATCCCAAGGTGTAACATTATCCTATTACACTGGCACAAAAGGCAGTCACATTTGGAGAGATGTCTGTATCAAATTCACCATAATAAGATCTTCAATTTCAACATGGATGGGGCCTCCAAACCAGATGTGGCGCCTCATGGAAAACTCTGTTTTCAATGAAAATAGAGGACAATAAAACAGCCAACCTACCTCACGTTCCCTAACCCTAATTCCACACGTCAACATCAAAGAAGTGTTTTGAGACACTGGAAATGAGCATATCTTGGCTGACATACATATCCTAAAAGTGTTTAAAAACCAGCACTAATTATACTTATGCAGCCAGAAGTTGTTAGAACTGGTAATGTGAAGAAAAAATCTTTTTAAGTTTGAAGTAGCTTGGTTAGTAAATATAGATCAACTTCTTAGTAAAATATTTATCCAAAAGAGGCCCCAATAAATTTTAGAAACAGATCATGGGAAGCAGTGATCCGTTATTAATCAATGATAAATTAGATCCAAGTTCCATTGATGAATGAAGATAAATTTACTAAATCTATGACAGTCTACAGGAAGATACCACCTATGATTACGTTTCAAAAGAGGAAACGGAGAATTTCTCCTGATGCCACAAGATCTCTCAAAAAGGACTAGAAAATGGAGACAGGAGCTCCCAAAGTTGAGTTCTTAGTCAGCTCATTTGTGCAGCAGGTCTCATTTCATTGCTTTACCAGTTACCAAGCAATCATCAAACAGGAAATATTTTTTTCAATGCAACATAAGTCACCTCTCTTCTTGGTTCACTTTCGGCATCTCCTCTAGCAGGACCTATTGGAAGCTATCAAATTCATTAAAAGTTTTAATTACATACTGATAAATTTGAAAATTTTCTTTTCAAAGCGGTTCGTGTGCATCATTTATTTGCATATCCATCTTTTCTACAGTAATAAATTTCACCCATGGCTGCAAATTTTTTTAATGAAGATAATATGCAAGATAAAAAATCAAGGATTGTCCTGTTAACTTCATCCGTCAGAGAATTCACACCTTCACTATGTGTTAACCAAAACTTCATGACTACATGTAGTTACTGAAATGATAATGATATTTGGTTATATATGAAAACAAACCAATTTTCTCCTTCTGAAGTTCTAATATTAGCATCGCCCATTTTCATATCAATCATTTTTACGGAAATCAACCTTACCCATATACGTTACTAAGTCTTTCATTATTATTTTTTTTCAATAAGAAGAGAACAGAAAATCAGATATCCTGTTTCTTAAACATCACAGGAAGCAAGAGGCCACTACGAACCCGAGACAGTGCGGCGGCTGCGGCGCAGGCCAGATTGAGCTGCTTCTGGAGGTATTCTGGGCACTGAGGAGCGGCAACCGGAGCGTTGACCTTGGATGCCTGGGGAGGAAGCGTGGGGGTTGCCGGAAGATTCCTCGTCTCGACCATTTCATCCTCCTTGCCTCCCTTTCTCGAGCGGCATTCCGAAGACGCAGAGGACTTGAAGTCAGCCTTCGAGGCCCCGGCGTCGGAAGCGCGGGGGCAAGCAGCAGCGGTGGAGACAACGGAGGCGGAAGGGCCGTCGGCGTCGGCCTCCTGCAGGAACCTCTGGAAGGCCCACTCCGAGGGGCTCCGGTTCATCAATTTCGAGTTGGAGGAGGCGGCCCCAGAGCGAGGCGACGAAGATGAGGACGCCCAGTAGGCATCGGAGATCTCCTCCACGGGGAAAGCCCTCTCCATCTTTCTCCCCTCCCTTCTCCCTCTCTCTCTTACTCTTGGTTGCACGGAGGATGAGGACGAAAGTAGTCACCTTTCTCTCTCCCTCTCTACCGGAAGTCGTCCTTCCACCTCGATCAGCTCGGCCCAGACGGGACAAGGACCAGTGGGCCTGTCCTCTTCCGTAGTTTGGACCCTTTTCTAAAAAAATCATGTATTACACGCACACTCTTGTCCATATCTTCAATTTTTTTATGCGTAAACATATCTATAAATCTCTGCATAAATTATAATTATTGAACAATTTTTTGGTGATATCGGTCATAATCCAAGAACTAAGTTATTTAAATCATATTTTTACTGAAAAAATAATATTATTTTTTATGTTTCAGTAGACAAGCAACAAGCTCATACAAAGGTCATGGCCATCCATAGATGTGCTATCTTGAGCATATCCATAAATCTATGTGGTGATAATAATTAACGATTAAATTTTCTAGTGATGTATCTGATAATTCTAGAATTATTTTACTATTATTCTTTTTAGCTTTATGTCAATGATAATATTTTTTACCAAAATATAATATTCTTTAATAGTCGACAAGACAAGCAACAAAAGGCCATACCCATTCATATATATGCCATCTTAGAGCATTGAAAATATCTATACTCCCCAAACCCTAACCCCCCAATCCTATTCATATGATCTTAGAAAGTCCCCTTACATTTATCAAGGCTATTTTAGAAAGTTTTGCAGAAGAAAGTAACATGCCTGGTGAGCTAACCAATTTTTGGTCTTATGGTGTAACATCCAACCTCCTCTTCATGTATAGATGAGTGGGATAATCTCTCCCTTTCTATTAGGCACTCTTTTCTTCTTTGTTGACAAAGGGTGCAGACCTAAACCCTGTTGTGCATCAATGGTTGTAGATGGTGTTGCCAAGGGCATGACCCCTTCCTTAAGTATTAGACTTACATAATATCTTGTCTAGCTTTAGCATTGAAAAGATAGGTAGCTCTTACCCATTATCTCTATATAGACTCCTAAAACCCTAACTATTTTGAATGGAGGAAATTGAATTCTTGGGACATGTGGATAACTACTACCAAGTGCAGATGGATTGACAAGAGGTCCAAGAAATTGACAAATGACCTAATGTAAAAGGGTCTAAGGACTTAAGTCTTCTTCTTCTACAATATATCTTTTAGGTCTACTTGAAAATTATTCATGCATTTTCTATATTTTCAGGGATGGCCAAACAGTTGAGTTTTGAGACCTAAAATATGTTTTGATGTTAAGAAAAGTTTTTGATGACAAAAAGGTTATTCAAGTTATTCTAAATAACATAGTATGAAAATTTTGATATTATATGAAATTTATGTTACCAATTAGTGCAAGATATTTACATTATAGAACCATGTACTATATCAAGGTAGTATATCAAGGTTGATATCTATCAAAAATGTAATTCAAAAAGGGTTGACATCACTTGATACAATTATATGATCAGTTGTATTGCAAATATTGGCTTTGGAAGCCTGAATAATTTTAATGATGACAAAAATTAATATATTGGTAATCTTATAACTATAGAAGTGCATTAACTTAGATGATTTAATTCATAGTAGTTGAGAAGAGCATTTAAAATTGAGGAAAAAAATTTGAAAAGTGAAATGATCATATTTTTTAGTATAAAATAATTGAACATCAATTTGACCCTTGCTCAAATAAGTTGCAAACACTCTACCATGATTTATAGAATTTATTAAATACCTTAGAGTAATTTTCTCTACAAGATTTTGTATCATCGTTTACACAAGTAAAAGAATAAACACATGGGTAAGACATGTTCTGATACATCTGCTGACACTGGGAAAGAAGAGGAGAAAAACAAGGCATAGCTACTAAAGCATACTACTACTACAAGATCAATTTGATTGTAAGATAATATTTTTAAAATTTCAAAAATAATAAGAAAAATTAGGAATTATAAAATGATTTCTCTCCCCAAATGTTAGTACTAAGCAATCAAGAATCAGTCAAGGTCAAAAAGTAGATCTTCAACTAGAGTCACTTGTGTGCCATCAATAATTAAATTTAAGCTTCCATATGCATAGAGTGGTCACACCTACAATGATAACTCATTCATCTTTGTATTAGAATACTTCTAGCACTATGACCAATCTAGATCCCTCCTTTGGTTGGCCCCTTGGAGCCATGAATTTGGAAAATAATTTCTAGGTGAAGTGTATGAATTGGTTATACTTGCTAAATCAAGTGAAAGCCAATTGGCACCTTTATAATCAATCTAAAACACTAAATAATAATTGCTAGAACTTGAGGACATGGTCCTCAATGGGTAGACTAGGTTCACATCTTACTCACTGAAATCACTTTAATCATTCATAGGGAGCTAATTCACTTGAATATGTTGTGTCTCTGATCTATTGCATTTAATTCATCTCCATCCTACTCATTTAGAGAACGATGACTAATTCACCCTCTCACCAATCTCCCTCTTGGTTCTTTCATGGGTCACTAGACCCAATACAAACTTCATGAAGAAAGATGCTTAGTGTTCATGCTTATTATTATTATTTTTTAAAATATCATGTTTTTTTATTATTGATAATGATATTTTGAACATAAGACTCTCAATTACTCAAGTTGAACATACCCAATTATGGTTAAATTCATTTCCATGAAACTATAATTTTTTTAAGAGTTTAAATGTTTAGTGTACGATTGCACAAGAGTCCTCCTTTCAAGACAAGTAATTCAAAATAGATTCTTAGTAATGGATTTTTTTACTCCAAATGGGATAGAACATTTTTTTTAACCAATTAAATTATAATGTCTATTTGATTAAATGATATTTAAAATGAAGAATCAAGCCAATGGATAATATGCATTGATTTCTCAAACAAAACTCTATTAAGCTCAAAATCATCGAAGATGAAATTTATGTAATCAATATGGTTAGTTAATTTATACCTTTTTCATTGAATCTAAAATATATGTGGAAGAAAAGGGCCATTAACCATTATGAGTATTGTTCTACAATTGAATAATGCTATTTTATTTAGAGAAAGTTACTCACTTTTAAAAATAAAAAATGTAATTTCTTCATATAATCTTAAAATTTAAATAAAGAGGTAACTCATTAATTAAATAGATGTGGAACCATTTACGGACTTGCAACTCTTTAACTTTCATCTCATAACTTATATTGTATGACAATCAATCTATCCTCTTTATTTGCTTATAATCTCATATCTCATGAACATGATAAAAATATTGAGATTATTTGCCATGCTTTTTAGATAAAGCTTAAGATAATTTTCTCCATACTCGTCATCAAAGTAGCTAACATGTGATCTAAAAGGTTGCCTTCACCAAAGTTTCATGAAATATTTTCCTATGGTTAGGTAGAATATGGATGTGATATCAATAAATCCTCTAGAATTTGATTCCAATTGACTAACCTACGTTAAGTATCATCATGAGGTGACGTCTATTCCCCCTCTCCGTTGAAAGTAGGTGATGAGAGGGCTACGATTCCCATACTCAAGGGATTGAACTTTCTCTACAAACATATTGTGAACGGTATAAAACTAATATTTTACTTTTAGGGGTAATAAAAAGCTAACAATATTTTTAACGTGTTGAATTAAAAAAAGCCTCCAGTGTGAAGAAGAAACCAGCAGCGGGCGCCGCTCGCTCCGCCTGGACCCGGCGCCCTCCTCCGCCTTGCTCCTCTGGACCTCGAAGACCCTCTTCTGGTCCTCCTTCCTCCGGCGGAGGGCCGGGGGTGGCGGCGGAGAAACCTCGTAGGAAGGGTGGCGCCGTCCACCTCTTTCTCATCCTTCCGGCCAAAACAGTGACGTTCGCATTCGCCATGCTCTGCAGCCACTGGTTCCTCTGAGAGCGAGGGAAGAACTGTACAGTCTTCCGATTCTTCCGTGTTGTGGTGGTGGATAATGCTGGAAACCAAGGCCAGTTCGTCCCCCTTTTCACTCTACCGGAAAATTTTGAACAAATTTTGGCGGTAACTTAGCCTTCTCCGCCAATCCAATGGCTTGGTGGGAGTGTACGAGGTGTTGAAATTGGTTTATCCATCGCCCTGATCCCTGTAGGAGGGTCTTCACTGTGGATATTCCTTCCGCCGAGTCCTTGATCGTTGTTTGAATTTGATCGTCGGTGTCCCCAAATGGTGAAGATTCACGGAAAGATGGTGAAATTTTCTGTGAAAAATATTTGGGACCTTGCTGACGGAGAAACCAACGCAGAGATGTAGATCAGATTCCTGATATTTTTGGTAGTAATGTGAGAAAATTAACCTGGCATTAATACATGCTTCGTTTTGGCAAACTTACCCGGTTTCTCTCTTCCTCTCCCTCTTCTTCTGTTGCTGCTGCTGCTTCAGAGAGTTGTAGAAGCAGCTGGGATCCCACTGCCTCACTGAGGCTTGATCATCCAGCTCTGATTATTCTAGAGAAATGTGAAACCAGAGAGCAATTCAAGCAGATCCTCGCCCACATGACGAGGTCTCATCTCATTTTCCAAACCTTCCCTTTGAGCAGGCTCCTCCAATTCTCCGCAGCATCCCACCCTGAGAATTTGGACCTAGCCATCGTCCTCTTCGAGCATTTCGCACATCACCCTAATCTTTACATCTACAACACCATGCTGCGAGCTCTATCCTTCTCTGCAACGCAGTCCACTGCTTACTACAGATCCATGCTCAGCTGCCGCATAATTCCCAATCAGCACACCTTCCTCGCCATGCTCAAGTCCTCCAGGAGCTTCTCAGAGGGGAAGCAGATTCATGCTCATGCTGTAGTCATGGGGTTGTCTTCGGATACATACCTGCAAAATTCTCTGATCAAGATGTACTCGGAGAACGGAAAGATGGGCCTTGCTCGAGAGCTGTTCCGGCATCTGAACAGGAAGGATATTGCCTCATGTAACATTCTGATTACTGCCCTTGCCAGGAATGGACGCAACTTGGAAGCTCTCGAGATCATCCATGGTCTACCACTTTCTGATTTTGAACCAGACCAGTATACGGCCGTGGGGCTCCTCCTCTGCTGCAGCCAGCTAAGAGACTGGTCTAGGGGGAAGTCCATCCATTCATGGATGATCCGAAGAACACCTGTGGAAGAATGGGGCCTGGTTTTGTGCAATTCACTCCTGGATTTATATGCCAGAAGCGGGAAGATGGACACTGCCTTGAAAATTTTTGAAGGGCTCAAGGAGAAAGATGCTGTTTCATGGAACATAATGATCGCGAGGTCTGCAGGCTATGGGGACTTTGATCTCGCCCTGAGACTATTCGATCAAATGCCCCACAGAGAGCTGGTTTCCTGGAATTCTCTCCTCAGCGGGTATGCACAGAATGGGTGCTGGAACTCAGCAGTCAAGTTATTCGAGGAAATGCTTCTACATGATGTCAGCCCAGATAAGGTCTCGATGGTCGCTTTACTCTGTGCTTCTTCAGAGCTTGGTCTTCTGCACCAAGGGAGGCTGCTCCATGGCTGGGTGCTCAAGAACAACATGAAGCTTGATCCTTTCTTGGGCTCAGCTTTGGTGGACATGTACTGCAAGTGCGGGAGTCTCCAGAGGGCAATCACTACTTTCAGAAGCATCCCCAAGAGGGATGTTGCCGTGTGGACTGCCATGATGTCCGGGCTTGCCTTTCATGGCTGTGGAGTTGATGCTCTCCTTCTATTTCAGGAAATGCAGGCAGATGGTGCAGCCCCAAATGAGTTGACTTTCATTGCCATCCTCACGGCCTGTGCCCATGCTGGGTTAGTTGACACTGGGTGCATCATCTTTGACTCCATCAAGAAGAATCACGGCATTGATCCGACGGTGGAGCACTATGGGTGCCTTGTTGATCTTCTGGCTCGAGCAGGAAGGTTGACAGAGGTACAGGGGGTCATTGAGGCGATGCCGATGAGGCCAAGCCGTTCCATATGGGGGGCATTCTTGGCTGCCTCCAGAGCCCATGGCGATCTGGACATGGCGAGGCTTGCCTCTGAAGAACTCCTGAAGCTGGAGCCAGAGGAGGAAGGAGGCTATGTGCTTCTGTCCAGTGCGTATGCTTCTGGCGGCAGGTGGAGCTGTTCGGGCTGCATTAGAGAGATGATGAATAGCAGAGGAGTGAAGAAGGCGGCTGGCTGCAGTAGGGTTTTCATTGATGGTGTGGCTCACAGGTTTGTTGCTTCAGATTACACCCACCCAATGTGGGAAATGATTTATTGTGTTCTAAGCAGCTTGAACAAGGAGATGAGATCAGATGTAGCAGGCTTGTGGCGAACCTCATATGGTTGTATGTGCTCCTAAGGTGTCCTCTCTCTCTCTCTCCCTCTCTCTCTCTCTCTCTCAGTTATTGCTTTATTTCCTTTTATACGATTTGATAATCCTGAATATCGATTTGTAATGACCGCTCAGAGTCCTTTGTATCGCTTGATAAAAGTTTGTTTTTTTTGTTTACTGATTGTAGGAAATTAACCAACTTCTGGGAAGCCAAAGAAATAAACTTTGTCCTAAAGGTTTTTATTCTTTCTCTGATTCGCAAAAAAACAAGAAAAAGAAAACTTTTGTCCATTTTCCATAAGATTTGCTCTATTGGGCCTATCAATGTTAAATGTCCATCTTCCATAGATCCTGCATGTGCATGTGGCTCTCTAGATCTTTTGGACACAAGAATCTGCTACATTTTCTAAAAATAAAATAAAATTAAGCTGATAGAAAATTTATGATTGGGTCAAAGCGTGGGTCAAACTTTTCCATAGTAAAATACGAGCTCAAAATTTTCAATTCCCTTTTTTTCCTTTCTCTTTTTCGTTTACATTGAGTATTTGAAACTACCCGCGTTCCAAAAGCCAGATTTCTTCATGATTCTTCTGACCTCATTCTTGTCAAATTTCGACTTACAGTTCCGCCGTTCTGTTCAATATCAGTGAACCCTGAGATGAATCCAATGGTTGCTGCTAGTTCTACTTTTTGGCTTCATCGTGGGTTTGCTCTCTCTCTCTCTCTCTCTCTCTCTCTCTCTCTCACACACACACACACACACAACACACACACTATCTCTATCTCTCTATCTATCAATCGCTAATTAATTAATCATGCTACCAATATGCAGCGGAGCGTTTTCTGACTGGGATGCCGAGAGGATCTGAGGTCATCTACGCCAATCAAGGGATATTATGGTGGGTATAATAGACAGTAGTCAATGCCAGATCACCTGCATGAGTTATTGCCTTCGGTTTTACTTGTCTTATCTTGTCCCCCTTGGCTTTTTTCTTCCTTCTCATAGCTTCTCATCACAAATGATGGGCAGTGCTGGCTGGCCAATGCTGAGACAAATCTGGGGCTGAATCTGCCGGTATGTTTTCTTATGATTAAGTAATATCTTATCCATTTATCGTTGGGCTCTACTTTTAAGTCTTATGGGATACTTTGGTTTTAGCTCCCTGCAAACCAGGTAAATTACTTGCAAGCCCCTTTTGCTTTTCAGTACGAATCCTAGGTCCCCAAAAGTTTTCATAATTCTTATTAGTATTTAGTTACTCTTCTAATTAGTCATGGTTAATGTGTAATTTGGGATGCATAAAGACTAAATATACTCATCATCTCTCTCTCTCTTTCTCTCTCTCTCTCTCTCTCTCTCCCTCCCTCCCCCATTTCGCCTGTAAGGTCCATTGGCTCCATTCCCTTTTTCACCCGGACAGATCACTAGACAAAGGGGAGATCAACATAGAGAGAGAGAGAGAGAGGGTAGTTTGCCCCTTTTTTCTTGTCAAATCATTTGCTAGCACTGATTAACTAGACCGATGGGATAAATAAACAGGACATGATGGTTTTAAAAACCCATTGAAGAAAGGGCTCATCAACAATTTAGTTGGTTAGCAGGGATGTAAAAAAAATTATCTGAAGCTTACTTCTTAGCCGTTATTTCTTCTCCCCCATTGCAATGAGCCCTGTATCTGATGAAAACCTTGGATCTTACTAGTCAGTAAAATTAGGGAAGTCAACGGGCACCCCAGGCTCGGGCCTGACAAAGAAGCTTGTGTGGAAGTCAACTTGTCCTTGCCCAGTTCAGTATTTTTGGGTTAGGTTGACTTTACCAAGATCTAGATCGTCTGTCTACATGGCAATCCTTTCCCTTTCTCCATCCACACGCAACCCACCCCCCATGCCCAATGCTCTCCCTGCTGCCTCCCCAATAGCATCTCCTCACCTGAGCCCATGTTTTTGTGTTGGGTTGACTTTACTGAATCTTGGTTGTGCATCCACATAGAAGTCTTCGTCAACCGCATAGGGGTTGACTTTATCAAACCCATCCAGTAGAATGGGGCTTTGTTAGAGTATTCTCTGATTTTTCTGCGAGTTGGGTTATTGAAACAGTTAGCTGAATTGAGGGTAATTTTGGACCTCATGGAGTTTCCATGTGTTGTATTATTGATGAGCTCACATGGGTTCTCATTCAGAAGATGAGAAGATCATAAATTGATTGAACTCATTTATCATCTGTAGACGAATGACCTGATGTTGCCGAAGTTTAGGGTTGACCTCATTTCGCGATAATTTTTATTTCTTCAGGCTTTGAAGGTGTATGTGAGGCTGGCTCTCAAGCAAGCTCAGACCCCAACCCAGTAAGCTCTCTCTCTCTCTCTCTCTCTCTCTCTCTCTCTCTCTCTCTCTCTCTCTCTCTCTCTCTCTCTCTCTCTCTCTCTCTCTCTCTCTCTCTCCTCTCTCTCTCTCCTCTCTCCTCTCTCTCCCCTTCCTCTCTCCTCTCTCTCCTCTCTCTCCCCTTCCTCTCTCCTCTCTCTCCTCTCTCTCCCCTTCCTCTCTCCTCTCTCTCTCTGTCTCTCTCTCCTCTCTCTCCTCTCTGTCCCCTCCCTCGCTCCCCTCTCTCTCTCGACTGTGGGTATGTAATGACCGGATGTTAATCATAGAGGAACCCTGTGATCGTATGTATCTAAACTAGGGAGAAGCTCGGTATGTAGCACTCTACAAACGAGAAAAGTATGAATAAATTGGCCACCAAATAGGCCATCATGACCTAAAAGACTTAAAGTTCAGGCATGGGCAACGCCCAGCCTGGGTCTGACCCATTGACGACCTGACACTTAGAGTGAGAAAATTTGTCTTTTAATCACCAGCTAAAGAAGTTCCTTAGTTTTCATTATGCGTCAGACATGAATGTTCTAGCTATGTAGGGAAGAGAGTGTAGCCTAACCATGGAAGTCAAAATAAGTTTCACAAAGTGCCATGAAGTTTTAGCATTTTAGTCAGTCCTCAAGCCTATCTTACTATCCAAGTTTCCCCATATGGGCATTTCTACAAGATTAATCATTAATTTGTAAATTGAAAAGCAACGTTCTTTACAAGCTCATAAGCCTTGATTAACATTTAAGTTTTTTTCAAGCTTGTTGTAGGAACATTAAGTACTCACTTGGAGTATCTCCAATATAGATGGAGATGTGCATGAACGGCTCATAGTAACCTTTGTAAATTTCATACATAATTCTTTCACTCTTCAATTCATTAAATTTTCAACCCGACCATTTGAGGGGGAGTTTGGTATCTTTTGGGGTGTAGGTTGAAAAAACTGTGTTTATTGCAAATTAGGTTTAGTGTGTGTGTGTGTGTGTGTGTGTGTGTGAGAGAGAGAGAGAGAGAGAGAGAGGGAGAGGCAAAGATAGAAGCTTATTAATGGAGAAGATTAAAGTTTGTTATAGTAGAGGTAGTTTCTAATTATATAAAAAAAAAGATGATTATTTGTAATGGCAAAATTAGTGTCTTTTAAGGTCTAATCCATTTATTGAATTATCTCTCTAGTCATTGGTGACGGAACAAGATCAATGAAATAAAGGCAGGTATTATCTTATTTAGAAAGAAACAAAGCATACAAGGCACCATCAATTTTAGGTTTTTTTTTATAAAAAAAACTAGGGATTGAAATCCAAGGACCCTATGTTTATATTAGTAATTGGTTAAAATGAACTTTAGCCTAAGAGTAAGCTTTTATTCACTTACAAAAAAGTAACTCATTTGTGAAGCAATGACCTCTTGTGACTTCTAACAATTTCATGACTTAGCATGGTTTTTTTAACATTGGTAAATGAGGCTGCTATTCAACTTCTATATATGTGTTATATAACCCACATGAATTCAATATCATAGTTCAAGCATTCTAAAAGGTAGGTTTATAAAAAATTATTTACTTCAATTTCATAAGGTAAAGTGCAAATACTTGTTTCTTTAATAGGCCAACTTATAATTTTGGAAATATCATAAATACAAGGAGTATACTTAGTAAGTATCTAATCATAAATATTCTTTAAGAAGCTTTGCTTATGATGGCTCCCAACATTCAATTATCTTTACAATGAAAGGTTAACCACATCTGAGCATCCACCTTAGACTAATTAATAAAGCTAAAAAATCATATATATAATTTTGTAAAATCATCTACAAAGGAAACAATTCTCAAGATTATTCCTTATAAGGATCTCCCTCGTTCAGTTCTCAATGAATCATTTTGGAAGTTTATTAACTTCTCATATTTCAGTGGCCCCAGAAAAAAAAAGTCAGCTACTATTTCACAAAGAATAACTGAAAATGTACAATTTCTATCCAACATAGCAGTCTTACAATGAAATAGTGAGGTACTATATATATATATATATATATATATATATAGAGAGAGAGAGAGAGAGTAATGGACTGAACAAATAACTAAGTTTCACATCACACCATTGAAGCCATATTTAGTTAATTTATCTGTTCTTCTAGATCACATGGCAACCAGAACAAAATTATTAGAGGTAGAAAAAAACTATTTCTTTAGAGAAATTCTTATTCTTGTTTGAATTAGAAAAAACTCAGAGTGGGTAGGGAGTGTCAACCCAAAGAATGGGCCTCCCCCAGGCAGCCTAAGCCAATAAAAGAAGGGGGGAAGCTCAAGAACTGATAAATATTGGGCAACATTAGGATAGGCTTTAATTAATTTTCTTTTTCTAGTCTTGTTTTTAACCCCAAACTTAGAAGAGATGTGCTCACCATGAAAAAAACGAGTAGACGATGCCAAGGCAGCTGTGTCACCTTAATCTAGTCACTTGTTGTGTGTCATAAAAGGCATGACCAAGGTAGCTGTTTTTCCAACACAAGAACAAAGAGTCTCCACAATCCACACGGCAATCCATCAACTCTGATCCACAACATGAACCAAGTAAAGTACACTGGATGTGGGAAGATTTTTAGTCTTGTTATGCAGCAGGCATCAACCAAAACATTTCCACTTTGAGGGTAAGCCAGAACATTTCCCACTCCAGAAGATAATCTACCAAAAACAGATTCGGCCATTTTCTTTGCCAAGAAAAAACATAAGTTATCCTCACAAGGATCCAGGAAGAACAGATGCCTTCAGATCTTCTTGGGTCAGAAGTTTCTTCTCAAAATCAAACCCAGCCTGATCCCTGAGAATCAGTTTCTATCCATCTAACAACAGTGGTGGGGAGAAATCAACAAGAGTGGGGCAATTTCCATGGATTTCTGGATTTCTGCAACTTATGTTTTATTCATCACAGAGCAGGGGGGGTTAGGGTGAGAAATTAATAGAATCAGAGCTAGAACCATGCTCCATGGTTCTCCTTCAGGGAATAAAAATAGTCTCAAAAGCGCAAAGTAATCCATGAAAATAACTCCTGTTCATTTTCCAACCCATGACACCCACTGATAAATATAGATGGCAACTGTTCTTGACAAAATTCTGAGGCCGGAGGAGAACTGACCACCTAATACACAGTGTTGAAGGCACCGCCTGTTGTGATCCCGGAGAGCTCTGGCATCTAAAAGCAGCATGTTCTAGAGATCGTCAGGCAGCCACAATTCAAGCTCTCCCTTAAAAATGCCAACGGAAAATTTTACAACACTCACCAGTTCACCTGTACAAAGGAGACAATCTCATAATCTGACTATTTTTACAGAGGAGATCTTCATCTCTCCTGATTCTATAAATAGTAGTAGTAGTAGTACCCTGGAAAGCTCCAGTCACCTCAACTCTCTTCGGAAGAAACCTAGCCCTGACACTCGATCATCCCCATGATTTCACCTGCCCAGAAAGGCCTCAACGCCTGTACAGCCGCCTCTCACCTGATGGAGATGAGAAGAAACGGTTCTCATGGAGCGAAGAAGCCGCCGCAACCGGAGACAACACGAGCCAGCGGTACTTGACTGTCAGATGATGCTAAAATAAGTTAGGATGTCACGGAGGTAGAAGTGGGAGTCCCATCCCTCAGCTGCTGCAACTGCATTTGCAGTGATTTTTGCAATGTCTCAGCAACTGATCTGAGCCGGCCCTGGTTCTCCACCACAGCATTAGTGTTGGCAAATTCGACTGCTCGAGCAACCCTTATCTTGCATCTCTCCCAGTCCTCCAGTCGCGACCAGCAAGCTCTTCCGCCATGGCTTCCCTCCACTCCCATAAGAGAAATGACTGAAGAGTCTCCAAACGAATACCTTAGCCGGACTGAGACGCAGTAGGGAAGCCAGGCAGCACCACCAGCTGCATTTATATGAGGTATGAGAGCAGGATCAAGAACAAAGGTCAGGCCAAAGTCGACTGAACTGTGAGCTCTGTCATGGTGGATGTCGCTCTTTGATGCAGGAGACTTGGTGCTCTCTTCTGCTGCGGAACCAGAATGGTTCTCCAAGCACAGCTCGACACGGGCCCTCTGCGCTGGGGTTACTTCTCCACTTTGAAATAGTCCCTTCTCCCAGGCAATCAACTTCAGAAATTCTCGGAGCACTGAGATGGGGAGGGTGAGAAGAGTGATGAAGGATGAAACCCTAGAGGTGTCATAGGGCTCCGAGGCGACCCGTCGACTGAAGTAATCACATATCTCAATTATTTCAGACGAGGCTAATTCCTCCTGGGCACTAGTTTGGGCCTGCTGTTGCGGTTGCTGTGGGTGATGAACCCGCTTCACACTTATGATTTGCAGAAGTAATTGGACCCTATGAACACTAACACTGAAGACATAACCACTGCAGAGAAAAAAAACAGAGAGAATACAATTAGCAATTTCAAATCATGCAATGGATATGAGATAACATTACAGGTGAACTGTAAACCACTGTGAGAAAATAAATGTAACTATACAGTCTGGAAGTTTATTTATTCAATGCATATCAGAGACGGGTTAAGAGATGAAAATACTGACAAGGCAAGGAAATTTACTTTCTCTCTCTTACCCAACAAAGAAGCGCAGAGCTGGCTGCTCCTGATCCAAATTGAGCATGCCCCCTTCGTTCTCCTTTAAAATTGAACCAAGTATTTCCTTTAAAAGCTCAGGCAGCTGAGCAAACAACCACAGCACTCCGAGGTACTTCAAAATGCCCCTCAGCACCTTCTTAAGTGCAGCAAGGGGAACCCAACTTCCTCCGTAGCCTCCATCATCCCCAAGTCCAATGAAAGCCGTATTGAGCTCCCCTCTCAGATGCACTGGAGATATGCGGAAGGGCAACCCCGGCCCCACTGCAGCCAAAGCTGAAGATGGCAACACATTGTTCCCAACTCGGTTCAAGCTGCCAGTTCCCTGAGCTCCACCCATGGAAGCTGGTCTCTGCATTCCACCGGAAGCTGTAATGCCAACACGGTTAGCACCAGAAACTAAAGGCTGAGAACCCAGAGCTGGGTTGGGATTATTTGAGCCCATTAGACCACCTGCATGAGCACCACCAGGGAAACTGGGTTCCAGAGCATTCAGCCCCTGAGCAACATGTTCCATGATGAAAGGCCGGAACTGTGGACATGGCAGTGAGCCTCCTGTGGCAGCTCCTCCCTTGGGAGGCGTGGCGGGCTGTAGCCAAACCTGATCCCCAGCAAAGCAACGCATGTCTACTGCAAATTTTTTGCGGTAGATAATGCGTATCCAATATGGACCTCGAAGCACAACAGAGACATCAAAGGGAAGCAGCGAGCTGGGAACGATTCCAGGGCCGCCTCTCCCAGGAACAGCAGATAAGATGGCCGTACTGTGAAGGCCATGATTAGCCATTGGAGCTAAAGAAGCACCAGCCACAGGGCCATAAGATGCAGGCTGGTTAGTACCCGCTGATGAAGTATTTTGCAATAGCCCCTGGGAGTGTCCAAAACCATTCTGTTTCAGGATAGGCGGTGGAACAGAAGCAACAGGACCTGGCATCCTCGCAGGACGTATGGCATTAGCAAGAGCAAGCAAAGGTCCAGCCGTAAGACGAATGCAATCCAGAAACGATGCGACCTCACCACCATTGATGAAATCCTCTAAAAACTGCATGATGAAGATAAAAATTCAAAAACTGAGTTTCTGCGACCACCATGCATAAAACGCTGAACTTTGTGCATTAAAAAAAAAACCAGGCAACAAACTGAATGTACTTAGCAGAATAACTCAAAATCAGTTCGTTGAAATTGCTGAAACACTTTCCCAGCATTAAATCCGAATTTCCTTCCTAGTTATTTAATACCACAAGCTGCAAAAGCATCAAGGTACCCGGAGCTGGCTGCTAGCCCCAGTTCCACACCCCAAGATGGAGAAAATTGCCCACTACCCCACCGGACGGCAGACAGCGTACCAATAATTTTGAAATACAGAATCAGGGACTAGCTGCATCAAGAACCTTATCATTCCAAACGGAGAGTCAGCTTAGTCATTGACATCAACTTTTCCGTGTATTCTAAACTAAAAAGACCAAAGTACGTCAGTAAACAAGTTACTATTTACCCAAAGAGGTAAACCTTCAACTAAAGAGTAACATCCCCAAGGAGACTAGCATAATCAGAGTGTGAAACAGACTTTAGTTGATTCACACGTTCATATTCCAAGTAAGAAATATAATAGTTGATTAAACGTAAATTACAGATATTTCGTCTAGCATCCATCCCTATTCTTATCATAACATGACAGAGAGCCCTAGGAAACAAATTAGCGACAACGATGTTTTCTTATTTTAAGATAAATACCCTTCAATCCTAGATCTTAACAGTCGAGAATCAAAAAAATTATGTTTAAAAGCAAGAAAAAAAAAAAAAAAAAAGGGAAAACATACCTTAGTATGAGGCCACAGTTGATCCGGAGATACATGCATTGTACAGCCTTCCTTACCTGCTTCCCACTCAACAACAAAGTGTGCCATAACAGGCATTGTACCATAACAAAACCACAGACTCATCAGACCAACTGCTTCGATCTTGAAGGTCCTCTTTATCTGTTCTGATATCTTATCTCCAATCTCCAAACTACCTTTTCCTGAGGATTGTACCTTGGTATCAGAGCTCTCTTCAAACTTGTCATCAGATCTTACTCCAAGCAAGTTTCGCATCCCACGGACAAATAAGCGTGCATTAGAGAGCCTTTGAAGATCTGAAACTAGCTTTTTGATGCTATCAATTTCAACAGTTTCGTAATTAAGTACAACACCTTCCGGATCAAAGCAGATATGAGAGTCTGTATCTGACACATTTGCAATTCTAACACCGCAACCCCATCCTGTACTGGTGCTCCCTTTTTGTAACTCCCACAACTCCTTGAAATATGGATCATTAACTTTAACATCCCAAGTCATGCTTCCAAGTTTCCCTAAGCACAAGCATATATGATCCCACAAGTCATCTCTAGCAAATGGTAACCGGAACCACAAGTTTGAGGATGGAATATGCAGACCCACTTCTTCAACATACGGGATTTCAAGCGCATCCATCTGACTTGTTACTTGAGCATGCTTTATACAAAGTGAACAATGCCTGACCACATGGAGAAGAGCTGAGACATACACATTGTGAGGAGCAAGCCCATGATTCGCTTCAGAAAGTATACTCCCATAAGTATGTACATCAGTTCTGGATTTCAAAGTGGATGAGAGTATTTGTGAAGCAGAAGAATGACAAGCAGTGGAGTCTCCAATTTTCCTTCTCTTTCTCAACCCCAGAGTAGCATAAAATTCTTGCAATGATGGAATAAGGGATCCCATATCAGCAAAAGAACGCTTTCGTAACCGTTCATCACGTCTCAAAACACCATCATCACCTGAGGAACGAGAAATATGAGCCATCGATACATTAGCAAAGCACAGACCTTTGCCCAGTGAACTAATGGTACAAAATTGTATAATTATATATAAGGAAAAATTAAAAAAGTACGAACACAACTAACTGTAGGTAGCATGATGACACTCAATCTTACTTATGGAAGTGCCGGTGGATAGTGTGGAGCCATCCATTCTGAAAGGGCTAACCGCGGGGTCACTCAGTGAGTTTTTAACACCATTCAGTTTGGTGTTACTCACTGGCAGTCGAGAACCTAATGTGGCGGTTGAAGATACCAGTTGAACTGGCCGACTTCCGACAATATCTACACATCCTTCTTTTGGCAACACATTTTGCAGTCTCTCTTGGTCATTGTCAATGGAATAATAAAGGCCACTACCACCAGACTGCAAATTTGACTTCACAGGACTCGAATCCTGGTTAGACTGTGATGACGAAAACCGGTACAGTTGTGCAGACCTCAGTGGGGTAGAAGAAAGAGAGTTGATAGGTGCACTCTGGAGCAAGCCCTTTATGTTGTTCGATGAATAATTAGGAGTATTTATAGCAGAACCACCAGAAGACACCTTCACTGCACTGCCATTCTGAGAATACTGTGATCCTCCTTCCCACTTGGGAGAGCTTATTCCAGCTCTAGTTCCTTGAATAGAGCCTATCAGTGACGACGAAATGTGATTCTGGACGGGCTGACGGTGTTCCAATGCACCTTTCTCAAGCTCAAACACTTCATCGACTATTGATGAAAAACTTGACGGTAAACGTCCTTTATAGTGCAACAAATTCTCTGAATCGACATCAGAAAGCAGGCTACGATTTGATGTCTGTTTAGAATCTCCAGTAATAGTTAAAGACGACTGTATCTTCTCCCAATTAAAAAGGCTCAGATTCAATTCATCTTCAACAACTCCTATCTGACTAATGTCAATATTATTATATCGTGCAACATGTTTACATTCACCAGTATGGGAATCTCCATCGGAATCAGCTTGCGTTTCCAATAATTTAAAAAGTGGCCTAAAATCCCTGTCAAGGTGCATGAGCAAATAATAGCAACTACCACATTGTGAAAACTCCATCAGAAGCATATCTGATCCATTTACAATGGACTTCGGTATCTTAAGTGTTGTCAACTCCCTTTCATAAACCTGCAGAAACCATAGCAAATATAGTCAGGTAAATTGTTGCGGCTGGCACTATGCGAAACATTTGCAAACGATTTGGATGATGTCCAAGCAAAAGAAAATAGTTAATCATATCCTTCACATTCTTGGGCAATAGCAGTGTTCCCAATCACTGGATGGTAAAAAGAATACCGTGATAAACACCAAAACGAACCAAACTGCAAATCCAAAACCATTTTCATCCATTTTTAATATAAAATATCATAATGCCCCATTTTGTATGCCTGAGGAGCAAGATGAAGTTAAGAATGATATGACATCTGCGGATGAAGACAGCAGAGAAAGAGCTACACATTCAGGTAGTCGAGGGAACAGGAGAAAAGTCACATGGAGGGATGATACTTTGGGTAAATATCCTCCGTGAATTTATCTCATGTAAGATCCTAGAATTTCATGAGATGATGTAAAATAAACCTCAAGGTAGACCACGTTTGTCTTTTCATTACTTTTGATCGAAAAATCAATCTGATTTATTTTGTACCCTTCACTCAATGAGAAAATGGGTCACATTCTACAGGATCAAAATTATGGGACTTAAAAATCATGGAAGGGAATAAAAAAAGGACTGGAAAAGACAAAAAATCGAAACGAAATACAGTAAAAAAATATAAAAATAAATAAATTAGTAAGTATTTTCACTGTTTGCGGGCCCAGTCCATCAGCAAAATATTTCTTTCATTCCTTATTATTGCGTCCTTTGATGTGGACGACTGCTACATATTTGCATTTTGGATATTATCCAGCGGACAGAATATCACCTTTCACTTATAAAAGAATCAAGACAAAGAACAAGAGACGTTACACGCAGATATGTACCCAGATATTAAAGCGTCAGGTTCATCAACTGAAGTAAATTATGAGGCAAGTTCTACACAGCTTTCATTGAGGCCACAACACTCAATAGCGAATGAATTCTTCCTGGGAGAACAACTCCAAGCCCTAGACATCTAATATGTCAACCTCAAAACAAGCCTTATTGGGTATCCAACGTCAAATATTCCGTCTGAAGACCTAGAGATGCAAGAAGTCAAGATTTTCAAGTCTGACATAATAAGATGCTCAAAAAATTAGCTTCAAAAGATCTGCTGAAACTAAGAGGTAGATCCATAAAAACTGAAATGTCTGACTAGGTAAGGGATATTGTCTGATTATGGAAACCAACATGTGGGATATACTTGGACCTCTGTTTAACTCAACAGTGATATGCTGACAATTTAGCCTTTTCTACCAGTATGCAGATGAGCCACTAAATCTCACCAAATCACTTATTAGCGACTAAAAGCTATCAAGAGCCTAAGTTAGCATCTTCTGTGAAATTCGATGATCATTTTCCAGTCAAACATACAAGCATAGACAGATAAAGTATCATGAAATGTGATAGTGATGTAAGGAACAGGTCGAGCAAGTTTCCAAGAAGTAAAATGAACGTACACCTGACCATCATAATGTACAACTAAACGAAATTCAGGCTGTAAAACGAAAATTTTTAGGCATCCAATAAAAATTCCCAAGTACTAAACGAAGGCTTTTATTAAGTCAGTTGTTTCAATGACATAATAGAACTACACGAATCACAATATGAATCTGAATACCTTAAGTCCCAAGAACTTGCCAACTGATGCAAATAAATGCAGGATACTTTTACTTCTCAAGCTTATGAACACTTCTGCTGCGGTCATACTCCCTTGGTTTAGTGCTTCTTCACAATCTGACAAAGCAGATCCCGCAAGGATATTTTTAGAAGACTGAAGAAGGAAACGCCCACTCCTGCATCAAGCAAAGGAAACCAAATAAATGCACAAGCAAATGAAATGAAGAGAATATAATTCAGTTATATAGTCGAACAAATCATGGGAATATATGAAACGAATCCATAACTAGGACAAAAGCATGGAATAATAAATGGACGTTCCAACAATAAAAAGACAATAAAAAACGCTCACCTTGTCCAGACTATAACACAAATAAGGCAGAGAATTTGTCCGAACAGGTAATCATTCACTCTCCAAAACCATGCAGATTAATAGCTAAAATGGGGAAACCAACGAGTGTTCCACATTAAAACATAAATTTTTTGGGCAAGCACTGGATATGTTGGTTGACTGACTTTGCTGCAATCCTAAGTTTATCCCACATACACAGATCAGATGTTCACTATGATTGCAGCTCAAAATCCATCCATAAAAATTATTGGTATTGAGGATGACCAAATTGAATTTGCTGTTCTGACCTGTTTTCCGTCTGTATCTCTAACATGTAGGATGAGTGTTACGTTCATAATTATGATGCGGACTTGATAGAGCACATCAATTTGCACAGCACTTTCACTGACCAAATTCGGGAGAAACTTTGCCAGGATGATTCATGTTGCTTGATTCACATAGAGAGGATTAAAAGACTTGAACTCACTATACAAAAAAGTATAGCAGATGGTACAAGCTACACTGCAGATATTGCAAATGAACTAGGAAAGACAAGCCCAAATGAACTGAGAACATTGTGAGGAAGAGAAAATAAAAAAAGAATTTGAACAGACCGCCCATAGCTTGCAGGAAAGAATAGGAAATGGCACTTGATGTGACGTAAAGTATTTCAAAACCATGAAAACTAGAGTCTTCTGGACTATAAAAGGCGCTATGAGCATCGTAACTAAAGAGGAAAGAGACACGATCATTAGTTTGCAATGTTAAGTGTTCGGGGACTGACCAGCAATGTTAAGTGCAGGAAATGGGTCTGTCAAAGATGAAGAGCATACATCCACGCACTTTTCTATATGTAATGGAAGGCCAATGAGATGTAAAGAAAAGAGAACTACATTTCTACATATAAAGAAAAGCCATTTTGGTCAGGGCAGGGATGGGTCTATATGTAAAGAAAAGATAAAGATGCCTACATTTCTTAACAAAGGTACAATAGGATGCAGAAAATAAATGATTAAGCTTCATAGGATTACAGGATTAAGAACTTCATATGTTCTCTTTTGCTTTCGATAACAGTAAAAGATGTAATCTACATGGCAGTGGAAACAAAATTCTTTGCATGAGAACACAACAAACAAGTTTGAAGGCTCGCATATGTACTTTCCCATTATGCTTTTTAAATATATATATATATGAGATTTTTTTAACCGTTAAATTGTTAATGGGAGAACTACCAAGAAGATATAATATTCCTCTTCTTCTTTTCTTTTTTCCCTGGTGCATTGCTGGGTTGGGGATTTGAGGGTCGCAATCCACAATAATTGTACGTTCTTTTTTTAATGATCACAACAACTACATGAAATAAAATAGAATATAGATCTAGATCATGGATTGCAAACAAGTGTAGGAAAAGTAAAAACCAGATAAAAAAAAGTAGAAAAACAAAACAGAACAAGAGAGATAACTACCTTATGTTAATTCCAAGAGTTATGTAAAGTGAACCATATGCTCGGACACATAGTACTTCATCCCCCCAGCACTCCTACAGAAAAATATCACCAGTAAAAATAAATAATATATCTGTGAGCATGTTATACGCCATAAATATAAAAGAATGAACCTAGCAAACTAAACACTGAAACAAATTGTATGTATAATAAAAGAACGCACTCAACCAATGACAAAAAAAATATTACCGAAATACATAATAGATAAAAAAATGTAATTGAAATGCATCCTAAAACAACTCTACATATACGAAATGGAGGCAACATCAAGACTGCATAATCCTGTTAAAACTACACGCATACAACAATTATGTAAATCGCTAAATTCAGACTATAGTCTCCTCCCTTACTCTAGTATAAAAAAAAGGACCATTCCATAGTTATGTTGACTCCATTGAATCTTTCGCACTTCCCTCAACCCTGAAGTGACATTAAATTTGCACAGTTCGACAACACACTATCTCTGTAATAACTCAACTTAGGTCACTTTTTTTTTCAATCTGATAACACCAGCGTTAAGTTAACCAGACTGAGTTCCACTATTCGACCATTTTGGTCAAACAAGTTGATGCGACTTTATCTGCATGTATCCCCTAACTGGACCTCATATGACTCGCTCAGTCATCCAAGCTTATCAACCTCGGGAAGTTAGGTTATCTCAGGTAAACTTAGATAACCCAGCGTATTCCAGTTCTAATTGGTTATCAAACTGCTACCACATGAATTGGCTTCTGAAATAAATCCCGCTGATCTAGATACGCTGCCTCTGATCCTGGGTAGTAACTTTTCTGAATCTGTCCAACCCTGACAATGACAGGACCTCTCTGAAACTAGACCAAATGGAAAGGGCGGTCAAGGCAACAGCCTGCAGGGCCCACACTTTTACATTCTTTCTTTCTTTCTGTTTAATCAACGATTGCAATGTAACACCCACTTTCATAATAACAAAAGTCAAAATAACAGAATAGCAACATAAATACATTTAACTTTCATCTTAAGGGTCCACTCAATCACTGAATGATATACCTTCTAATGTTTTTTCATTAGAACAGAACAAATATATGACAGCCAGCACCAATGTGCAAAGATCAGTCTTCTGCTCATCAACAAAAATCCACAAATAACTAACCACCTTATTCACCAACGATACACTACAATTGGATGACGATTAGTATAAACAACAGGAGTACAACCCGGGAGAATTCAATCAACAAAATTTCTTGAACGTACAATGTTGACAACATTGACATCAAACTTAAAAACTTTCGTCAAGAATTTGATCCGACACCACGACAACGTCATTTAGTATTAGAGTTCAAAACCTGCTCCAACAATCTAAGAATGCTATTGACTGATGATCCTAGTGAGGCCAACATCAAAACTAATTCGTGGCATGGATCTGGTTTGAGATTGCGAATGCTACCATTGATAGATAGAAAATAACAACAGATTTAATTCTGATAAACTACTGAAAACGATACGTGAACGTTTTTCCTACATGCAATCTACATATATCAAGCACTATTTTCATGCACAAGTGCTTCAATGCAAATTGGCATCCCCTTTGATTATGATCCAGTCAGCTAATTTTCATTAGCAATAACAAATATACGATCAAACACAAGAAAGAAACAAAAATAATTATACGAAAACTTCAAAACAACCACATGATTTGATTATAGGGAATCCGTTCAAAAGCCTCTTTTTTAATGTATTAAAAGGCAGATTATTTCCCTAAGCTCATTGAACTAAGAATATCTATCTTATCGTCGACAACTTAATCTTGTACCTTTTAGAACCGTGTTTTGCTGCTCTAAAGTTAACACTGAAAAATTGGGTTACAGGTTTACAGTTATGATTGTGTTTCTCTCAGGAATTAACAACTGTTTTAATTTCCACATCATTGGGGATGGCCATCTATAGACAACAGATTGACGCATATACTACATATAAAAGTAAAGTCATTCATCATTCCACCAACCTTGTTTGCGTCCTGAAGTATTGCATCTTCTTGGCATTTGAGAACAACATCACCTTCAGCCTGAAAGATTTGAGCAACTTTCATTACGTCCCTTTGTATTTCAAGTAGACGAGTATGTTTGTTGCAGGCAATAGCCCTTTGGAGCAGTCCCTCAACATCAATGCAACTTCGATCAAGTAAAAATTCTGCCTCCCTGTCAGTAATTGGATCTATGACAAAGACACTATGGACGCATCTCATCTGTAGATCTTGACCTGGCTCAATTTTGATAAATGGTGACAAACCAGAATCTACTCCTGCAGCAGTCTTCTCAAAATCTAACCAGTACATAATTTTTATACCTGGGGTTTTCTGAGAAGCTGAATCAAATTCTCCATCTTGAGTTGGCAAAATCTGACCAACAGTACTACTCTGTCCAGGACCACCATCAGAAATAAGCTCAAACCGTATCGCATCTTTCCATCTGCCTTGGCGTAGCAAATGAACTTGCTTGATTACAGTGTCCATAACAAGGGCAACACAAAGCTCATGGAGAACAGAGTACAAAATAGTGAATGGCTTTTCAGAAGATGCCATTCTGCGTTCTAGCTCATCTCCAAGAGCATATCTTCGTAGCTCTTCAAGCTTCACAGGGCCATTCTTTTCACCAATAAGCAATTCTAAGTGCAATATCCTCCACATTGATAGGTGTCCTCGGTAACCCAAAGTAAGAAGAACCTTGAACTCTCCATCCACACGCAGGAGTACAGTACCATTAGATACTGTAATTTCAGATATCTCTTTAGGAAGTTTGGCTTCAAGAAGTTTGGAACGGAGGAGTGTGTCCAAATTCTTTAGCACTGGCTTTTTCTGATCATCAGTGAGTGTTGTCTGAAGCCCTAAATCCTCAATACACTTCGGTAGTCGTCTGTAACTTCCTGTAAGGAGAACTTCAACGGCAGATGGGACATCATAAACAGGAGCACGAGCCTGCTGCAACTCTTCATGCGTGAAAAACAGTGAATCGGCAGCCTGTGTAAAACAGGTATCGTGACTTGAAAGGATTTCTGCGAGTTGTTGGCAGCAATGAACCAATGGAACCTGCAAACATTGAATTATGCTTAAGATTCTTAAGGTAAAGGTCGATTGAAAAGAATAGATACTCAAGGAATCATTTAAGTCTGATGCCACCAAGCGGCAGGCATACCGACTGATTTTTTTTCCTGTATCCCCAATCAATGGGTATCCAATACGAAGGAACAGATGGTACGTGAATTCTTTGTGGCCAGCTGCAGTTCTTTGAATATATGTGCAGATGATGAAGGTCACACGACTTCAGGTTTGTTTCTATGGCACTTCATTCGTTTCATGAACTTGACGAAATAGTTTGACCACCATTTGGATGCTACACGGCTCAGGATGGATTTTCCAGAAGAGGTCACAGGTTTCCACAGAATTAATGGGCACAAACTGCAAACCCCGCAACCTGAGCCCCTCTATGCTCCTTCGACGCTCTAAAGTTTCCTATTAAACCCTTTTCACGTTCAATCCCACAAACCCTGGGATGAACCCTGGGGAGGGGCGGGCACGCGAGGGAGACCAGCCGCGACCGGGTTCTCGAGAGGCAGAGGAGGCACATACCTGCTGGCACCACTTGGCGAGCACGTGGAGGCGCAGCATCCGCTGCCGGGTCTTGAAAATGTACTTGAGGAGGTCGATCTTCTTCTGCGAGTCGGACTGCTCCTCGGCGACCTTGGACCTCTCCACCAGCTCCCTGAGCGCGAGGAACGAATCATCCGTCGCCCTCCGCACCACCTCCGAGAACTCCACCGTCTTCTGCCCCAGCTCCGCCGCCATCTCGGCCCCCGCCCCCTCGTCCTCCCCGCCCCGCAACCGAGCGAGGGAGGGAGGGAAGGGGGAAAACTGGCCTCTTGCTCTGTCTCCTCCCCCGCCCTAGGGTTGCCCCTCCCCCTCCTGCAGGCTTAGCCGCTGCTCCTGGTACGTCCTCTCCGAGATTCGTCGCCGAAGGGTTTCTCTCTCTCTCTCTCTCTCTCTCTCTCTCGCTCTCTCGCTAGCTCTCCTCCCTCTCTCTCTCTTCTGGTTTTCGTTCGCCAACAGGTTGGAGGGGACTGAGGGAGGAGGCGTATAATTATACGCCCACCAATGGAAATATGCCACGCATTTTTCTAGCCCAACGGATCAACTCAAGCAGGCGAGATCTGCACCGTGAAATTTCAGATGGACGGCTAGATTTCTCTGTTGCACAGAACTTGTAGCAGTTTGACTCAGACCTCGACGTCCGCCGTCCGAGCGGCGAAGAACTGAAGCTCGAGGTCAAATCATCATTTACTTATTTTTCAAGTACTAAATGTGGAAAAAAGGTCCTTCACCTATTTCACTAGTTGGGTAAAAAAAATCATACATAAAAAATTTTAAAATTTTAAAATCATAAATATTTCTATAATTATTCAAAAGGTATGATTAAATATATCAAACTAATCTTTTAAAATTATTCAAAATGTATGATTAATCTAATAAATGTCTATAATGAAGATAGCCTTTTAAAAGGGATTAAAAATATTGTGAAGAACTCAGAAATTTGGAAATCTTCAATAAGTTAATAAGAGTGTATCTAGATTACTTATATGCGATGTTAAAACCATTTATTATTATTTAAAAATATATCTCACTATTTAAAGTGGTTTTTTTCATCGTCCATTTAGAGATTTTTCAATGAATTATTTTATTATTTTTTATTTTATGTGCTTAAACTATCCACCTTGAACATGGATAATGTGATTATCATTAAAAATACATGTTTTGTAAAATTACTACTTCAAGAGAGAATCCCATAAACTAAATCACATGATTTATAAGGAAAATAATTGAGAATATGATCACCAAATGTTCCAATTGGAAGAATTTAATAAAATATTTTTTGTTGTGAAGCTTGATTTTGTGAATTAAATGGTACTATAGTGCTAATAGATTCTAAAGAAACGAAAAAAAATGCACAAAGGCAAGGTGTCACCTCTCTCAGCCAATGGGTTGACATTTGCATGGTCAACCCACATCACCATAAACATGTTAACTTGTGAAGGTTAGTAGGTTAGCTCAATATGTAAGGGTACTAGGATGCAAGGTCAACTCAGTTAACCTTGCAATCACTACCTATTTTGAAAAATTATTCGGTATCTTGAGAAAACAATTTGATTGCTTAAATTAGGTGGTGATTTTGAGACACGTATGACAAAGATTGCACATAGTCAAAGGGGACGACATGACAAAGTTAGCTTGAGGATCTACCATGGGCAGCTCTCTCTTTATAATTGGAGGGGCCTTACTACCGAAAAGTCAACATGTGAGCACAAAGTGTAGATTTTGCACTGAATGGTGATGCATGAGCATTATACAAGTTTTTGGTTCCTCTTATCCAATGATCTTCTAAGTAGGAAGATTTTTGCCTCTTTGAGTCAAAGCCTTGACAATAGTCTTGAGGAGAGAGAAGGCCACTTCCACCTATGTGATACAAGGACCTAGACAATTATACATATATATATAGATAGATAGATAGATTTGGTAATTATTTACTTTATTTATGATTTTTTATGCATAAATAGATTTTTTGTATTGAATACTATTTTTTGGAGGGAGAGGACATGCTATAAATGTAAATGGTTTTCTCAAGTGAAGAAAAAAATATCTATTTTTTAAAATTATTTAATAGTATAATACTTTATGAGTATCATCCCATAAACCTTGTTAAGACTTGGGGATTATTTATATTTTATGGGTAGTTATCCCATACTATTTTTCACGCCATTTTGGAATTAATAAAAAATCCAAGACTGCATAAAATAGTTATTAAATATATTTATATATTACATAGGCACATACTATAAATGTAAATGGTTTTCCCAAGTGAAAAAAAGTTATCTTTCCCCAGATTCCAATTAAAGCTCAAATTTTTATCAAAAAAAGCTCAAAAAAAGTTAATCAAACAAAGCCCTAATTTTTATTATTATCGAATAGTATAATATTTTATGAATATCATCCCATAAAACCTTGTTAAGACTTGGGCAAGTAGCCAAGTGATAATGCCAGTGGGTCCCATACTATTTTTCACACCATTTTCGAATTATTAAAATTCCAACAAAACAAATAATATATATATTTATTTATTTATTTATTTATTTATCGCCCAAGCATCTGTCTCCTTTCCCTAATTTTTTTTTAGTCCCATCCGCAATCGAAAGAGAAAAGAGAGGTTGAAGGATCTGAAAGCAGTTCTAACACAGAAATTTCCACACGGGTAGAAGAAATCAGAAAGGGGATCAACATCTATGGCCTCCAAAATCTTTGATACGGAGACAGATGCGCAAACTTTCACTTCTCTGTACAGAAATCTGAAGAACAATCAAGAACAGGGACTCCATGTACAGTTTTGTCTGATCGTCTTCTTCGTGGGGGAGGGATCTCATCTGCAAGATGGAAAATCCCCGATTTGCAGGAGAGTCAAAGAGAAATTACAGCGGCAGATGCAGCTTTTCATCTTCTTGATGGATCTGACGCGGAGATTGCGGGATTCTTCCCCCTGCGGCGGAGAAATCCAAATCCGTGTCTGCTACTGTAGATCTGAGGAAGAAACCCAGGAGAGGGTTTCTGGGAGGAACTCTCGCCAGTTCAAGAGCTGGAGCCCAGCCCTCGCGCCTCGGCCCACTTCATTATCCTCAACTTTTTGCATGATGAAGCGAACATCCTGCGACAAATTGCGAGCAAAACTTGAGTCTCCGGCCTGGATTGAAGGGATTCGATGGAAATAACTGGTTTCCCGGATGTGAATCATGGTTTGGAGGGAGCAGAGTGAGCAAGCGAGCGAGAGAGAGAGATTTTGGTAGTGTTTCATGAGAACACCTTAGATGGAATTAGGATTTGGGCGGTGAAGAAGATGAAGGGATTTTGCCGTATTTCATGAAGAATTGGTCGCCTAGAAATGCAAGGGAGAGCGGATTCAATCTAGAATGTTGGTCTGGGAAACTTACTCCCAAGGGACGTCCCCGGCCAGCATCCAGTCCCCATCCTTGTCCTCGTACGCGATGGCATATTCCGAGCTGCATCCTCCTTCCGTGCTAGAGAACCCCAAGGAGAAGCACTTGAACATGCCGACCAAGCTCTCACGGAGCTCCTTGTACCCTCTGTGCACGCCGAGGTCGATCTTCCTCAGGTACGGAGCCCCGTCCATGCTGACCTTCACGAAGGTTTCCGCATTCTTCTTCTCCTCGAGGTAGCTCTTCCTGTAGGATCGGATCGGCGGCCATCCCACCACCTGCGCCCTGCGGAGAGACTTTGCCCTAATCAGATGGTGCAAAAACCACGGCCCCTCCCGCGGCCGAAATTTCTCCAGATCTGGATAAATCTTCGCCGGATCTGGAGAAAACTCCGCCGGAAATGGAGATACCGGGAGGAAAACTTACTTCGACGGCTGCGCGGCGGCGCCACCTCCGCCATCGCCGGCCTCCGGCGACATTCTCTTGCAGGCCCTGCCGGAGGCCGGCGGAGCACCTTCCTCGGTTCCCGGCAGCGCAAGCCTCAGCTCCGTCGCCTTGAGGCTGTCGAGATTCTCCATGGCCGTTCCTTCCGCTTCCATTCCCAATCCGCCCCTCCAGCACAGATCGCCAGCACCAATGGCGGCCTGCTGCTCCTCTGACGACGACGTTGGAAAACCACGGAGGGCGTGGCAGCGTATATAGAACGGAAGAGAGAGAGAGACAGAGAGTAGAGAGAGAAGCTGCTCCGCCATGGACGGCGGTGGTGGGGGCGGGACAGCTAAGCTGGTCGGAAGAGAAGGGGCAGGCTGGTGAAGGGTGGGGCCCACTTGATCGTACGACAGATCTCATTGGTCCAGTGGACCGGGTCGCGGCAACGTGGCGCGTGCAAAGGGCTGGGGTCCGGTGGGCCCTTGCGCAAGTCAAATCTTACAAACCGCTTCTGTTCGAACCGGGCACGACGAAGGGTATAAAGAAAAATTGGTCTGGTCTCCTTGCATTAAATTATGGTCATCTTACAAGGGTATAAAACATATGTAATATTATAGGAGGACTTTACCTAAATGTATCCCCCCCGCCACTCGACGGAGGGTATAAAAAAAAGTCGGTTTGGTTGACTCATTTTATTAGAATCACGTTACAGGGGCATAAAAAAAAGGTATCTTTAAAAAGGGTCTTTTCTCTAGTGTATCCTCTCTTGTCGCACGACAAAGGGTATAAAGAAAAGTTGGCTTGGTCCACTGGTATTTAATTAATTGGAGTACCTTACAAGGGCATAAAACGGACATATCATTTGAAAGAGGACTTTTCTTTAATGCGCCCCTCTCCTATAATCCTGAGTACTTTTTATCAATGTATTGTATACGCATCATTTTCAAATGATCTAATTAATTAAGATTAATGCGTGGAGGTACTAATTAATGTATAAATATTTTTATGAAGGGAAATGATTTAATTATATATTTATTAAAAAAATTGTATATTTTTACAAAGGAAAAATAATGGCTTATGTACACATGGGATTTTCTTCCACGGTTGTGATGGGAAATTACGGTATTTATTATATCATTTTAAATTGGGAGATATGGAAGTATTTCTAATTTTTTGGGTCCGGCCAATTTATTAAAAAATAAATTCCGCATATTTTTGGTAAAATTAATGCAAAATTAATTATTTTTTAAAAAATAATTAAAATCGATGTGCTATTTTTCGTAACTTTCAGATGCCAATGCGCAAACTATCATGCTGCTCCGATTTTTTTGGAAGGTGATCCGTGCATGAATCTAAACCGAAGGAAGTATATGTACAAATAACACTCACTATAAACTATACAAAAGAACAATCCATGACTCCAAAACTATCGGAACTGAATGGATACATTGCTTCTCTCGCTCTCTCTTCCTCCCCTCTCTATCTCTTAAGTGAAGGACCACATTTAATTGATATCATCTCTAGAAGTCATTCTTAGAGCAGACGTGAAGCTCAGGTTAAGCCACGCCTTCTTCAGAGTTCTCCTTCCACCCCTGCATGCTCTCTCTCTCTCTCTCTCTTCCTGTTAGTTAATAATAAATCAAATAGTTTTATATCTCTTTTAGCTAGGCCACTTTAAGTTGTGTTATGAGTGTGGTAGTAATAAAGCGACTACCCTCTTCGCTCTCTCTCTCTCTCTCTCTCTCATGGATCATCTCTTCTTCAGTTCTGTCTCTCTCCCCCGCTCTCTCTCTCTCTCTCTCTCTCTCTCTCTTCTTCAGTCAATTCATGGTAACCCCTGCTACAGTCGGTGAACTTCACGGGGGCCTTTCCTCCCCGGCAACGGCCGTGTCTGGTGACCGGCGGTGATGGCCCCCCGGAGGGACCGGCGACCGGCGGAGGCCTTTTTCTTGGTTCCCCACCCGCCGTAGTCGTCAATCCCCCTCACGGCGGCGGATTCCGGCCGGGGCTGCCGTCGACAATGGACGCCTTTTCTCCGCCGCTCTCCCTCCGCGACTCGCCGTCGCCGTCACGGCCGCTCAGTGTGATGACGGCTAGAGATGATGAGGCAGAGGGGCCGCCGCCGCCGCCGCAAGATGACGGCGTAGGCCATTATTTGACACGGTGGTCCGGGCCGTCTCTGTCCCTCTTCCTCGCTCCAGCCGGACTGGTCCCCCTGATATAGTTGACGCGATAGTGTATGAACAGGAAGTTCAGTCTTAGCCACACCTTCTCTGGAGCTTGTATTCCTCTCTCTCTCCCTCTCTCTCTCATTTACGTGTTTTATCTCATTTAACGACATATATAATAGCACAAGTGAGAGAGACTTCACATGGAGCGAACGCGTCATCGAAGCCTCCAACAAACAAGCGCACGCGTACGTTTGACAAGGTACGGAGAGAGAGAGAGAGAGAGAGAGAGAGAAAGAGGAATACGAGCTTGTGTGAGTGAGAGAGAGCCACGCAAGTCCATGGGATCCTACATACGTGCCATCCTTGTTTACCACACGCTTAACAGAGGTACGTGCGGCTGATCCTGCATGCATGCATCACTTCCTCTTCGCCCTCATCTTTCTCTCTCATCATCCACCCTCCGTACGCAGGACAGCGACCAATTTACCTTCTTCAAGATTCATCAAGCACTGTGGCCCACTCTGTCTGGCAGGAACTACCTGGTCTAGAGGCGATTGAACTCCTGGATTATCTCTTCCAGATAAGCTTTCTTCTTGGAACACCGTAGACTTCATGTCTCTCACACAATTCCACTTCACAAACCCTGTTCTTCAAAGTCAATCATCTCACAAGCTCCTCGCTACATCATCAATACTTTGCCTACTGCGGGGGGTACCTAATTTTGTGCATATATATTTTTATATGAAATAAAATAGGAAATTGGGGGCTTTAATTTCGCAAAGAATATTCTTATATTGAGACATTATCGAAATAAAACTATGATTATAAACACATGCATACTTCACTCATTGCTTATTGATTTCTGAGTGGGATGGATGGCTTGACAGCTATGATAGTTCCACGCTAAATGGATGGTCTCCTTGTTCTATTTTGACCATCATTTTTGAGGAATTAAGTGATGTGTGCCGCTTTCTATGCGATGTTGGAGCGAGCTCTGTCGTTCTTCTTGTGAGTGATTTCTCAACTACTCGTTTGCATCTACCATAATTATCTTCTGGGACTGCAACTTCCTTGCTAACATCTTTCTTAACCATGCTATTGAAATCTTGATCTTGAGATACCCAGTTTCTTAGGAGTTGAGAGTTTCCTGAAATCTCTAGGGTTTCCTTGTCCTATTCAAGGGGGAGTTCTCAGGTGCCATAGAGAACCACACCTCGTCTTACTTTTGTAGCAAAATTCTTGTCTACTTTTGTTAGTCCTCAGGACTGATCACTGAAAGCCAATGCATGATTGGACAAGGAAACTTTGCACTAGGGCTTTTTAGTAATCTCATGTGGGCAACCCATTGGCTGTGCTGATTAGGTCATTAAGTATATGCACAAGGGCTTTTTAGTAATAGTTGTCACAGAAAGAGTTGGAGCAAAACACGGTTTATTTAATCCAAACAAGATTATATTATACTTTATTTGAATTATTTACGAGCTCAGCATAACTTTGCATTTCACAAAAAAAGTTGATGAATGGAATTAAATCAGACCAACACCGATGGATTTTCTATGGACCCAAACAAAGGTTCTCATCAACATCTAATATGTTTTCTCTCCATAAAATTCACAATCAATATATTTCCTAAGAACTAGGATGCAATTTAAAATTTATATTCTAATCTATATCATGCATATCCGAAGAATATAGCGAGAAGCATAAGTTAATAAGTGCCAATATATGCTCAAAGAACTGTTGGCACAACTGATGAATCATTGTAACACCCCATATCAAATATGATTTCAAAGTGAAGAGTAGAAAAGTTAATGCTTCAAAATAACATAACGAATCATCATCAAGATCTCCATTTATATAAACTATTGATTAATGGGATTATCCTAGAAAATAGCTCATCAACTATGCTTTTGAATGTTCTAATATTTTGTTTATTTATATTGAGAGATTCACATCTTTGTGTATGGTATGGGGATGTACCCATGCTTTATAAGATTGCCATAATTTTTAAGTTGAATCATGATTTATAATGTCATGTGACTATAGCTTGAATCTATGAGTAGTCTATAATATATGTTGAATGAATGCTTGATTAGAGTCTAACCTCCATTATTATGACATGGCTAGATATATCCACAAGAATCGCAATATCTTATCCCATCATACTTAAAAAGGTAAATAAGAATTCCAATCCTTGGCCAACTTTGTCTTCTGAGCGACATTGATAATAACCTTTCTTATTAGTGTGATGGGCACTTCATTTAAGATGTTACACATAGTTAAGTAAAAATATCGATTGTATTGTACAAAACAATGAAAATCATAATGTTTGTAGGATGAAAAAGCCTTCAGTGGTTATACCAAGGACGACTGGTGTAAACAAGACTTCTATCATGGGACATTGACCATGTAGGTATTTAGAACCTTCAAAAGGACCCTTTTGACATACGATAAATATTTTAGAAGAAAGAGACAAATAAACCAATAAAATTTTTTGGTTCTCAAAATTAATCGACAATAAGTGGAGCATGTTCATGTATTCAATACCAAAATTTAATATATGCTTTTATTACATAAAATATTATAAAATCAAATGTAAACTTTAATTATGTTATCACGATGTAAAGTTGGTCACCATCGTATTTAGGAAAATGCAGAGTGAATCTATTTTCTTTCATGTAAAGATCAGCGTGATAATTTAATATCTTATCTTTCAACATGATATCACAATCACAATTAATATTTAGAGGTTGTACAATGCACTCTTCTCATTTTCTAGGCGCGACTTAATGAAAAGTTAATCTTTAAAATATTATAAGGGACCGATTGAATCTTTTGATTTGATTCATGAACGTACCTAAAGTCCTAATGAATTAGTGTCTGATAAGATAACCACTCTTCATAATATTATTACTAAGAACATTATTACGTTACGACTGTTAGTGTCTTTGGTCACTAAGGCCTTTAAAAAGCTCCTAACTTTCTAAACTCGAAGTCACTTGTCCGTCTTGCCATTCAATAATCGGTGTCAATAATGTGACTGGATCTCATTTTCTGCGAACAAATAAATGAATCAAATTACGATTTTCTTTGACTCCATTATAACAGATATTTCCTCCTCTCTATTTGGGTCCTTTTGTGACTTGAGTCGTGACATGGATAGAAGGGAAACATAACAACCCGAGAGAGAGAGAGAGAGAGAGAGAGAGATTGAAGTAGGTGGAGGGAGGGAGCTGTGGCGAGGTGGGTGTCAATAGGTAATTGGACAGGGTCAGGTTGTCCACGGAAAGATATCTGTCATGGCTCCCTCTCTTTTCGTCTCTACCGAAAGATTTCTGGCATATCTGTATCAAAACTTATTCTGACTTTTCTAAGTATATAGAACCAACCTCTATCCGGTCGCTCGCTCACACTTCACATGCCAAGGCGACCCCTCTCTCTCTCTCTCTCTCTCTCTCTCTCTCTCTCTCTCTCTCTCTCTCTCTCTCTCTCTCTCTGTATCTCTCATGTACGATATGTCGGCAAGGTGAGGGGTTTTTCATCGTGTGAAATTCTTCTCGCTTTTCATCGTGCTCATGTTGGTTTGAGTTTTCTATAGTGGCTTGCTCATTCATTGCAACCCTCCTCTCTCTCTCTCTCTCTCGCTGTTGACTTCAACTTCAGTTGACTGCAAAAAATCAGGCCTCAGAAACTTCAACGGGACTTTTCTCCAGTACCCGGGGTCTCGTCTTCCACAATATCTCTCACGACTACCACTGGTCAACCCTTCCTCTCTCTGTCTCTCTTCTCTCTCTTTACACAGGGTTGGGCGGGCCCGATAGAAAATCTTCTGGCCCGGTGCTCATAAAAACCGCCTGGATCGAGCCTAGCCGGTGAGTTATTTCTGACCCTTGAACGTAGACTGGTGCTCCCCCCCACACCCTTCAAGAGACAGCTCCGCTTGTCCTTCGGAGGTGAGGTTCCCATTAATGGCGGCTCCTCCCGCCACGTGAAACCCTAACTGGACGATAGAGACGGGCCCCCTCGTCCGCCAGCTGCACACGAGATGGCGCTGGAGCCACGCTATCTCTCTATCCTATCCGTTCATGGGTTCTTCTTCTTCTTCTTCTTCTTCGCCGCCTTCTTCTTCTTCGTCGTACCCTCAAAGTACGCCCTCCGAAGGGCCTGCGCGCCTGCCCGCTCTTCTCCGGACGAGCAAAAGGGACAGGATTGGCGCACGTGCGCATGGAGACCGGTTCTCTCTCTCGGCCCACTTCAGGAATCAACAGGCATTTGCCGATTCTCTCTAGGGGAGGAAACTAAGGAGTTATCTGCCCCTCACAGTCTGAGCAAATCTCAGAGAGAGAGAGAGAGAGAGAGAACGTTTGTCCCTTTGAACGGCACAGCTCCTCGGAAGGCAGAGCCAGAGAGAGAGAGAGAGATATAGGGAGAGAAAGGGAGAACGAGAGAAAGAACGAAGAGAGAGAGAGAGAGAGATAGAGAGAGATGCTGAGGAGACGGCCGGCAGTAAGTCAGCCTATCTATCTGGATTGGATACTCCGCAGGGAGGCGGACGACTGTGGAAAGCCCACGCGGCCTGTCCGTACTCAAGAACAAGCACGTGTGCACGTGGGACCCCGTTGTCCACAGCAGGGCAGACACACGTGCGCACATGCGCTTGTCTCCGTCCTCCGCATGTGCCAGAAGGGACACACGCTTGTCTCTCCGTCCACAGTCGTACAGCATCCGTAGGCGGGCTAAAACAGAGGATGCGACGAGACAATTAATTTATTATCATAAATTGAAGAGAAAATTAAGCGACCCCAATTGGCCGTTAATGGGCCCGATGAGTCGATTGCCCGGCCCATCTCATCTCCCTCTCTCTCTCTCTCTCATCATTTCTTCAGACTTTTCTAAGCTAGACCCCAATTGGCCGTTGAGAAATTGGGCTTTTTAGACCCACCCCTTCCCAGTTCTTAATCTCTCTTCCTCTCTCTCTCTCTCTCTAAAAGATTTCAAGCATCTCCAAACGAGTTGATTCCCATCATCCTCCTGGGTGATGCCTCAAATGGGTTTTTTCCGATTATATTTTCTTGAGACATTAAAATAGTCTATTTCTCAAGTTGGCCAAAATGGGTAATTAATAATATTCATCCATCTACCGGTCAATTAATTAGGGGTCTAGAATTCGGCCGATTTAGAATTAGAGATGAGCGAGAGAGAGAGAGAGGGAGAGAGAGAGAGAGGGGCGTAAAACCGCACCCCTCGTCCCCATCGTCTTTACTACACCTTCATCACCCCATGCTCCCCCTCCCCCCCCTCTTGCCCCGACATATCATGTCCCCCAATCTACGCTTCCCTCCCTCATTAAAGGCCATGGACACGTCACACGTGCACCGTATCTCTACCTCTCTCTCTCTTCCCTTCTTTCTCTCTCTCCTTCTCTCTCTATCTCTCTCTCTCCCCTTCTTTCTCTCTCTCCTCTCTCTATATCTCTCTCTCTCCCCTTCTTGCTCTCTCTCCTCTCTCTATATCTCTCTCTCTCTCCCCTTCTTGCTCTCTTTCTCTCTATCTCTAGAAGGGCGTGGTAAACAAGGGGGCAGGGTTCTTAATGGCGGGCACACCATCAAGTCCAGCCGCCCACGCCGTTGACCAGCCGCGTCATTTCGCAATAAACGGCTCTCTAGAGGACACCAGCCCCCTCCCTTTAATCCCTCTCTCTCTTCCGTAAATTCTTTCAATAGATAAAAAAAGGTCTCTTAGAACCCCCTAAAATCACACAATTGCAAAAACACCTTCTCAGTTATTCGTATATGACCATTCTCTCTCTCTCTCTCACACACACACACGAAGATATATATATATATATATATTATAGATGTATTTTTAATATAAGTAGTTTATCTCGGGCTGGTTATTCATGTGCCGAAAAATTATTAATATCGTCATATATTATCCAGAATGCTGAGTAATTCAGTTGGAATTTCTGGAGGGCATTTCCTTAAAAAAGAATGGAGTATTTATATATGAGAGATGAAGAACGGTTGTCAATCGGCATTAATAAGAACGGTTGTCAATGGGAGATGAAGAAAGTCACTGGATTTAGGCCGCCCACGATCAGGATGGGAAGATCTCCTCGAGTCAACCCGGCGTAGTTAGGGAGGGGGGGGTTCTGGGTTTAAAGAGTTTTTAGGGTTTTGGGAGCTCGGGGTTTGACTCATCTCAGATTGACGGCGTCATCGTCGTAGTTGATGGGGAGCTTCCCTCCAGAGTCGGGGGCGGGCTTCTGAAACAGCCTTACCACCCATAAGTACAGCTTACTACTATAAATGGCACTGATTAAATAATAATCAAGCATTTAATGGCTGGGGGAGGACGGGAATTGAGAGAGATTGAGGCAGAGGAAAGGGTCGTCGGTCGGAGCACATGGGGGGGTTGGACCTTCAGGGCCAGGAACACGCCGACAAGTATCACATGAAGGGCGGCCGTTCCCCGCCGGCAGCGGGGTTCGGCTGCCTCGTGGCAGGTCCGTTGACCCTGGGTCCGATCTCCGGCGGCGGCGGCGCCTACACGGGCTCCCGGAGGCCCGGGGCTGCCCTCCCCCCCCCGTCCCAGACGGCTGGCACCAGATTGCGGGGCTCTCCGGGTCGACGGGCCTCTGATCGAGTTAGCCGAGAGAGCTAGAGAGAGATATATAGACAGCTAGATAGATAGATAGACAGATAGACAGATATATATATATATATATATATCGAGAGAGAGAGAGAGAGAGAGAGAGAGAGAGGTGAAAGCATTCGTGTGGTGCAGCACAAAGAGATTGCGTTAGTTTCATGGAAGCGACGTGATATTTACATTTAAAAGGGTGCAAAATTGAAAGATTCAATTTTATAGGGGTATATAGATAAAACGGGTTTCCTTTTTATATTTTTCCGTCGCTCCGGCCCCTCTTCTTACCCGAAAAGGTCAGCCGTTTCCGCCGCCACAATCATTCGGCTTCCCGCCGTACTACGCCTCGCCGCCATTAGCTTCTCAGGGTGATGTCATCCGCGGTCATCCCCCGCCGGCAAGCCGCTGTGTCATCCAGCTCACCTTCCGACACGTATCTCTATCATCCGACACCCCCGTATTAAATAGCATTCCCTCTCCCACTGCCCCAACGGGCGCCTTCTCTCTCTCTCTCTCTCTCTCTCTCTCTCTCTCTTGAAACACTCTCTACCGGGAAGGATATTTAGTATATACTCTCTCTAACCCTCGCCTCTAACAGGCAATCTATCCTCTCTCTCTCTCGCTAGCGCGCTACTTTATCTCTGGTCCTCATCGCTGGCTTTGAACGTCGGAAAGAGGAGAGAAGAAGGCGACGGACGATGGCGTCCGTTGAGACGGAGCTGAGACTGGGGCTGCCTGGCGGCGACGGGGAGGCCGCGAGGAGCTCCGGGAAGAGGGGCTACTCGGAGATCCTCGACCTGAAGCTTAAGTTCACGGCGGCAGACGAGGAGGACGGCGCCGGTGTCACCGCTGCTGGAGAGAAAATGAAGAATTCTCCCAGCCAAAAGAGCCTCATCGTCGCTGTGGCGGCGGCGGACACAGAAAAGCCCCCCGCTCCCAAGTGAGACTCACCTTCTCTCTCTCTCTCTCTCTCTCTCTCTCTCTCCTGTTGATTTTTACCGACGGCTTCCGCCGGATGCTTCGAGGAATTCGATCTAGAAGAATTGCCAGGGCTTCCTGAATCTTGGGCTGTTGAAGTGACGGTTGAGATCAGAAGGTCCATATTCAGCTTTTTGCCCATCAGCAGGAATTTTCGTGACTGGGAGATGGATAGAGAGAGAGAGAGAGAGGGAGAGAGAGAGAGAGAGAGGTCTGTTTGTCTCTCTTTCTTTTGTTAGCTTTCGGCTGGTCTTTATTGATATGTAATTGAAGTTCATTGTCTGGTTCGTATTCTCTTCAAATTACTCGCACGATAGATACACATACGTATCTATATATATAAAGAGAGAGAGAGAGAGAGAGAGAGAGAGAGAGAGAGAGAGAGAGAGAGAGAGGGGGGGGGAGAGGGAGAGGTAGAGAGGGTGGGGCAATTTCCCTGTGCCTGGGTTTGTTCTTCTCTCTTTTTCCATTCAAGCAAGCTGCCTCAGATCTCGTCTCACCAAAGACCATTAGGGAAAGAGAGAGAAAGATAGAAGGAGCATAGGGGGGGAGTATCGGAGATAGAGAGAGAAGGAAATTCCCTATTCCCTCCAAGAAAGAGAGAAAGTGAGTATGAGAAGGGAGAACTTTCTTAATCCATTATAACAGAGAGAGGCTGGCTCTATGATTGTGGCAGGGCTCAGGTGGTGGGGTGGCCGCCCGTCAGATCGTTCAGGAAGAACATCCTCTCCGTCCAGTCCGAGAAAGGCGGCGCAAAGGAAGACAAGGACAAGTCCGGCGGCGGTGTGCCGCCATCGTCAGTGGCGGCGGCCGCCTTCGTGAAGGTTAGCATGGACGGCGCACCATACCTGCGCAAGGTAGACCTGAAGACTTACGGGAGCTACGCTGAGCTTTCCAAGGCCCTGGAAGAGATGTTCGGTTCCTTCACTGGCTCCGGTAAGATGCTCTCATCTGATCTCCTTCCTCGTAAAAACTCCGGTTTGAAGACTCTGGTACCTACTGAGCGATGCTGCCCACGAATGCCCATTGAGTTCTTCCCAGCGAGAGAAAGTAAGATAGATAGATAGTGATAGAGAGAGAGAGAGAGACAGTGTCAATCATAGCTGCGGCTATGTTTGAATTCTTTGCCTAGAGAGGTAGCGGTGAAGAGGGCGGGCGCAGGGGAGGGGGGTAGCGCAGAGAGAGAGAGAGAGAGAGAGAGAGAATAGTATCAACTATAGCTGTGTCTATGTTTAAATTCTTCACTCAAGACAGGTAGCGTTAAAGGGAGGGGGAGAGAGAAAACAGTATCAACCATAGCTGGGTCTATGTTCGAATTCTTAGCCTAGCGAGAGAGAGAGGGTGGGGGAGAGATAAAACAGTACCAATCAGAGAAAACAGTATCAACCATAGCTGGGTCTATGTTCGAATTCTTCGCCTAGCGAGAGAGAGAGAGTGAGTGAGAGAGAGAAGATCCTATTGTCCACAGAGAATGTATAACCTTTTTTCTTTGGACGGCTAGAATAGTTGGCAGCCCTTTCTTCCCGGGTCCATCTTCCACCTCATCCCCCCACCCCTCCCTGGGAAAACCCAGCATGCCGCCGCGACTGTTACCTTTCTACGCTAGGGTTTGCACTTTTTCTGGCAATTTGTTAAGATCAATGTTTGAGAAACGTTGCCGAAAGTTTTTTCCGTTTGGTAAACCACCGTGTCATGTCGCTGTTTGAAAGAAAAGAAGTACCTCGACTTTGACAATCTACTTCTTTTGATCTTAGTTCCTAAAACTGAGACAGAGATTAACGGTACTGTTGATAGAGGGCCCGTCTGGTTGATATAGGCAAATAATGGCTGTTGTTCGAGCTCCGCCATTTCGGTGAGGGCATCGTTGACATCTTCCCCTCTGAACTGCTTTTTCGCAGAAGCTGCCAGGGGAGACGGCGGCTCCCACCTGAGGGATTTCATGAGCGAGAGGAGGAAGACGACAGACCTCCTCAAGGGGTCTGATTACGTGCCCACCTACGAGGACAAGGACGGCGACTGGATGCTCGTCGGCGATGTCCCTTGGGAGTACGTAGCTACTGATCTGATCACTCCCCTCCTCATCGTTCCAATCATGATGAACGCGATGAAGACCTCCCTCCTAACCCCATAATGAACTGAGTATTCGCTTCCTCTAACGGCTCTAAAATAATCAAGGCCTCCCCCCCTCTCTCTAGGTTTCTCTCTGTATTATATACACGGGCCGATGGAATCGATCTCCTAACCGGGTACTTCCCTGCAGCATGTTTGTGAACTCCTGCAAGCGTTTGAGGATAATGAGGGGCTCTGAAGCCGTCGGACTGGGTTAGATTTCTCTCTCATCCTCATCTTCTTCTTCTTCTTCATAAAACTAGCCAGAATAATCGTTAGATTTAGATCCAAGTACAAACGGGAGATTAATGTTGACACTTCAGCTTCCATGGCAGTCCCTGGAGGCAAGAACAAAGACTGAGGAAGAACCCTCGCCAAGCCCACCTAACGCCGCGTTCGACATACCGAGAAGAGGCGTGAAAACCCGATCGCGGTCGCTAGGTTGGGCTGCCCCTGATGCGTTCTTTACATATAAATATATGCATTTGAGTGTGAATTTATGTATGTTGGAGTGTATAATTATTTATTACATGTGATTGCCCCCTCCTGTCTTCCGTCTCACTGTTTCTCTGGTTCTGGTACCTACGGACATGGAGGAAAATAAGGACTTCCCCTCGATTTTTCAGAGAAATGAGACCATTTGGAGTCTGTCTGTGAGTGGTTTTTGATCTGATACCCCCCCTCCCTCCCCCACCTTCACCCCTTTCTGTTGGCTGTTTTGTGTCGTTTGTGTGAGCCGTCCTGTTCTATTTCTTGACTTGTTAAAGAAAACAAGGCACGTGTTACGCTTGGCGAAAGCTCTGTGGGCACCTCTCTCTCTCTCTCTCTCCATCTCTTGCTCTCTCTCGCTCCATCTCGCTCTCTCATACATATGCGTGCGCACAGATCCTCTATCTCTTTCTCTCTCCAACACGCGCAGGCACGCTCCTGTCTGTCTTTCTGTCTGTCCCTCTCTCTCTCACCCCCTCCCATGTATACAGACTTATTGTTTCTTTAGTGAGGAGCCAAATAAAGAAGGGCTCCACAGGTCGGCCGGCGAGCGAAGGGAGGAGGGGACAAGCCATGTGCATGGCGAGAGGTGGGGTTTTGTGTGAACGAATAAATACAACCCTTACTTTATATCGGGTATTGAATATCTCCACAAATTCAGAGGTCCATCAGAGGCCACAAGGGAGGAAAGAGAATCCGAAAGCTCCGAACCCATGGGGGTCCGACCAGCAGCAGAAGCAGCAGCAACGCTGCCTTCACCCATTAAGAAGGAGAAGGAGAAGAAGAATCGAGCCACTTAAGCTCATACCGAGCGTCGAAATCCTCTCCCTATCTCACCACCTACAACTCATAAACCACAAGATGGGCTTTCTTCGTTTCTCACGGAGATTTAAACGAACCCTTAATAGCCTTTTATGATGAAATTGTTGGTGGAATTATGAGATAATTTAGAATAACAATCATTATCTAGTAACGTTGTTGGATGCTGATATACCCTCTCGGATCGGTCTTTGTGGGCACTATATTATATCAACGAAATTGTTGGCACGTCGTCAATCATTTAAAATGCAATGTATTGTATCCAGTGAATTTATTCATGATAATACACGCCAGTCTCTAGTGAACATTGTAAAAATGTCTATGAACTTACTGAAACACTAGTGCCATCTAATATTTATCCCACATAATAATAATAAAAAATTCCAATGTTAAGTTGCTGCAGATGTTGACCTATGAACATCAGATGTCATCTAATATTTTAAATCCAAATAACTCGTTAATTTTCAGAATAACATTTATCATTTTTTTCTGAAGCATAAAAATGATTAATATAGAGAATATTTAAATTTTCATTTTAATATATTTAATGCTTACATAAATGAAGAAAATTTAATAATTAACAAAGATATAATGGGAAAACATCAAACGTCAAATATGAAGGTTTTGCATTTATTTGTATACATAGGTTTATCTAAATGGTTTTGCACTTATTTCTCAAAAAATATGATGAAGTCATTTTTTTGTAAATATATGAATTCATATATTGATATTAATATTGATAGTTCATTGATATTTGATTAAATGCATGAAATATGATTCTTCACCAAAATTATATATCTATAAGCCTAAAATGTTACGCTTTATGTTTCTCTTTGACAAGATGAGACATCAAATCAAATAGTAATAATAATTTATTTTTTCTTGTGTAAAATATATTTACAAAGTTAACTAAAGGAACCATTTGACATGAAATGAAATATGATGAGGAAAATGTTGAAGCAAAGATTATTTAATTTTTTTGAAATCAATTAAGTTAATTATAAAAGAACATGACGCTACTTTTATAAGGACTACAAGAAGAACCAATAGGGGAGGAGAATTAGCCTTTCTTGAAAATTTACATAAAGTTTGATCTCCTATTAATATGTGGTTCCACTAATTATAGTGGTTTGATTCACTTGTCTAACTCGACTCTCTAGAGGTCACGTCCTTAGGTTTCATTGATTCTCATTCATATATCGCCTAAAAAGAAAAGCTTTGTCCAGTTTTAAATTATATTTTATAATTCTAGTTGACTCAAGTATTCTCTTAAAACATTTCTTTCATTGATTCATGATTCTAGGGGGCCAACCATGTTAACACCTAGCTTGTTGTTTTTAGATTCATGACTCTAGGTAAGCTAGAATAGTATAAATACTGAAATACAATAGAAAAATGACTATGTTCTCAAACAAGGTTGACACAACTATTCATATAGTGAATTCTTTGGCATTAACGTGTGGAAACATCTTTTAGAGAGAAGAGCTGCTTTAATGTAAGAAAGAGTCCATTAAATTGAGTTTTTGGAGTGATTTTTCATTTAATAAGGATATTTTCCCCCTTAACTTTTACATTTCTAATTGTAAAAAAATAGTTAAAAACTATCATCCCGACAACAACTCCTGGGCTTTAATTCTAATTTCATTGCATAATAGCAGCTTGTCTTATTCCTATTTGGTCATGTAGTGTCACACATGTAATTACATTTCTTCATATTATTTGACTTACAGCTCATAAAAGAGTGAACAGGAAGAAAACTTGCAAAAGATGGACAACAGATTTAATAACATGTAATGATTTAGATTAGAATATTAATATGAGCTTAAGAATAGTAGAAGTTGGAGTATTTTTTGTCATGTGAAATTAGTATTTTACCATTGTATATGCTTCCCTCAATTTACTAGATTGTTAAATGATAAACTGCTTTGAGTATTATCCTTTAGATGAGTCAATTTACTTCCTACGTTGTAAAAGAGCTGAACCTTCTTCATATACAATGAGTTGACTTATTTCTTTATGACAAACTTATTTGAGCTCTTTGCTCTTAGATGAGTAGATTCACTTCCTTTGTCATTGAAGAATAAAATATTCTTCACATGGGATTAGTCGTTTACTTCCATATAAAGTGAGCACCTTATAAGGAAGTGAATGGAAAAAAGCCTTTCAAGCTCAAATGAGTGATAGATTTTGTTATCAGTTTTGGTTGGAATCTTATGAATATGTGATTATTATTCTCCTCAACCAAGTTTCTCACTCTTGTTCGGGTGGGCGCTTGGAGAGATGGAAGTTTATAAGAAACATGTTTCTGAGCATGCTCGATAGATTCTCTTTGTGACACCATCGACACCTATTTTCCTATGATTGTGTTTATAACTTTGAGGGTTTTTATAACACTCATCTAACTAAAAATAGAAATCGATTTTATAGGTCATGAAATCACATGAAACTTTTTATAATATTTTTATAACTCAATATAATTTTGATAGTTCACATTTATTGCTTACCCTGCAATGTATTTTTTTCAACATAAAAACTTGAGAAGCTTCAAAACCAACACATCCAATTATTTTATTTTCTCCTTTTCTTCCAAATAATTGAAATCTAATGATTTATGTTTTTTAGCAAAGCTTTAGATATTTTAAGGTCATTAATAACAAGATAAACAAGACAGATGAAGAGAAAATCCTGATGAAAAAGAAGCTTGTTTAATTTTTCAATTGGGTGGGAAATGGTGGTGTCAGAAATTAATTGTAGTGTAATCTAACCACAAGAGGGAACCCACATGGTATTTACATACAAATTATCTTTTTATAAGTAACAATGAAACTTACAAAGCTGAGTAGACTTTCATTGGGTAAAACCCTAACTTCTTTCAAGCAATTGGACATCAAATAACAGCATATGGAATTAGATCACTTACAACTCATTTTGCATGTACAAGAATGTTATGAAGAGCTTGAATCACTCACTCAAGATGCTTTAGAAATTCTTTTAACTTAAGAATTTATCTAAAGTCAAACTTCATTGACTCAAAAGAATGTATCTCATTTTTTTTAATATTTTATAGTTGGAGATTCTTCCAAAAGGTTGTTCCAAAGAAAATGCCTTTTTTATTTTGTGCAACATAGTCATTACAAATCACTTATGGAATCTTTAAGAATCAATTTGCTTGTTCATGAGAGTCTCCCTTCACATTCTTCATCCTTCAACACAAGTTGACCTTTAGTTCTATGTTTTTCAAATGTCAAACTAAGGGTTGACTTGAGTAGAAACATGTTCTACCACTTTTAAATTTTCGGGAGTTCTATTTAGTTAAACACGTTCAAAAAATTGACAGCTAAAGAAATTGGTCATAGAGATTCACAAATCAGATTTATATATTAAAAAAAAACTTGAAACCCTAATTCCAAGATCTGACTGGCAGAATAACCTGAATGAGAGAACCCGGTAACAGCATCTTCACCGCAAGAAGCACTTGAAGATCAAACGAATCGGGTTAACACATCAGCTTAGCAGGCATCCCCATATATATATATACATATATATAAATTTCAGACAAGTAAAGTACCGTGGAAAACCAAAAGATCTACAAACTAAGAGTTGGAAAAAAAGAAAAGAAAAAAAAGGGGACACCAAGCGAATTCCGAAAGAAGTATTGGATTGAATGAGCAAGCTCGACGCTTTCCAAAAAGGGTGATAAAATCTGCATCCAGAACCAATTCTCACTGCACTGGCTCCAGGGCCCAGGAATGGTCGGTTGATATACACAAGATACACTGGGGCACTCAATGTACATCTAGATGGGCAGATCAAATCTTTCATGAGGCTTAAAAAAAAGACTCAAGTCAAAGGGATCGATTGGCACCTGAGGAGCTCTCTCGTCAAACTATGGATACAGCTACTGTACACACGCTAGCAAGGCAGCCTTGATGGAGGGAGGAGCGGAACACCTCTGCCTCTGCGCTGGTGATGCTCAAAAGATCTACTCAGCTGATCTCAGAACCCCAAGAGAGAGAGAGAGAGAGAGAGAGAGAGGAACAACCATCAGTGTCCAGGGTGCCAATCGATCCCTTTGACTTACCGAGCAGCTGACCGCAATTGGGATCAGTCGGAGATCGAAGGAGCCTTCGCTGCTGAAATATGATACGGTTCTGGAGTTGGGTTGCCACCCTGGTTGGTAGGTGAAGATCATTGCGACGGCTGCTGTTCTTGAACGAGACCCAAGACTTCCAAAATTGTTCTGCTAGCAAACATCACGAAATTAGCTATGCTTGGGTGGGAATACGTGTTGAGAGTTGGTGGAATGAAAATAGAATAATGAGTCAAATCTTAATGGGAACTTTTAAAAAAGGAAATTCTGTTGACTTCTCTGGTGAAATCATATGATTTTATGATCGAAAGCATGCCCTACTTTTGTAGCCTGCTTGTTTTGGTTTGTTGATGGCACAGGATCATTCTCACATAGTCAATACCCAAAAAAAAAAAAAAAAGGTCTTTTAACTCGCGAAGGAGGATAGCTACCAAGAAGAAATCAGAATTCATAATTCTGTCTCAGTAAATGACTCCGAAAATTGTGGGTTGTCACTCCCAACCCCACAGTAATAATAATAATAATAATAATAATAAATGAGATAAAATAAAATAAAAATCTAAATATTATACACCCCTGAGCAAGTTTCCCAGCAAATCGGCGCCCTACTAATTAAAACCCAAACTTTCAACTGGGAGAATATAATAGCATTTATCTCTCGGTCCTAGTTGATTTTCTTGATTCTTCCTCGTGCATCGCCCTGGTGGGCAAAGCTCAACTTTGTTGGAGACGACTAAACTTCTAGACCTCTTATACTGCGACAGAATAGGATGTAATTATAACCCCTCTTCTGAGCAACAACGCTGCACAATCTCATCCACCTCATTCTCTCAGACACGAGACTGTGTGCTAGAATTTTGCAACAATGCAGTCAACTCTTCTATTTCGCAATTGTCTGATACGAGGTTGTGCTAAGTCGGCACATTCATACGATACCTTCCAAAACATCATGCGCTAACATAACTTTTACTTGTTGGATAATCTGTCCGATGTTGGAGGACAGGCCTTGGATACAATGGAGCTTATGATCAATAATAAGCCCACCACAGTCCAAATCTCTTCCCAGAAATAGTCAATTTTCACATTGATTAATATGTGGACATATGAGAGCATACATTGTTTCTAGATCTCGGGCTGACGCCAATCTAACCACATGACAACACGCTTTACACATCTGAACATCAATCTTTTTCTTTTTTCAGATCGCAGACCACTCCCCTCCCCAACTAAGTTGGCAGTTTGTCTTCTTATCTTTATTGATGCACGATGGAGCAAAGGTATGAGTAGTGTGGTGCAAGAGTGTGAGTACCCTTCATATTTGCATCAGCAAACATGAACTATCCAAGGGCTATACGTTGTGGCCATCAATAAGGCATGGGCATTTTATTATTCTTCTATGATGTTTGATTGTACAGATACCTGAATATCAGCTTTAATGATCGTCTGCTACTAAACTTCCCTACAAAAAAGTCTACTTCCATGACATAGATGATGGGTTCTTTCAAACTAGCGTCACTAGTATATCTACGTTACACATCAGAAGGTGATGTAGTTGAAATCAACATCAACCGTATCTATTTTCTTGGTTTTTTCATCTGATATACACTTCTATGCGCTGATAATTTACCATCAAATCCTTCATATCCTAGAAAGTACATTTGGTACAGACGTTCTTTTCAAATACTGCCGCATATATTTCACGTTTGGTTTATCTTTGAACAAGAAGTTGAAGAGGAGAGAATGTATGTCGAAGAATAACATAGTTCCACGGAATTTAGGTGGCTACTCTTGAGGAAAACTCTCACTCAGTATGCCAATGAATTAGGGTATTTGGTAAACTCCCATCAGAGGATAAAAATGACAGTAATACCCACACATATCACTTAATAACATAGCGATAATGGGAAAGGTTAGAAATAAAGATCCCATACGGATCTGTCCACAGGAATCACGATTGTCTAAAGTATAAAATTTTACAGCCATCAGAACCGTTTACCTATAAAGGGGATTTGAGATAATACAGGCAACCAATGAGACAACCAATGTGACGACAACATCAACGATACACCTTGTTTTACATGGATTTACGGTCTTATTTGTTGTTAATTTGAATCAATGCTTTCTAGGCATCTAATGACATAATTTCAATTACAGTTAGTATTCGCTACCTACACCGATGCTAAATGGAACTTCTCAAAGAACTAGATTTGGATAATAGTAATGCAAACATAGTCGCATAATTAATGAGATACGATTTAAATACCTTGGCAATGAGCTACTAATATTGCCCTGACTGGCATGGCTCGAAAGAAGACTTCTGATGTTAGGATGCTTTTGCAAAACGTTCTCAAGCTGTGAAGGGGGCAGCTGCAGGGAGAATACTCCCTAAATGGCATGTTCACAGAAAGCAAAACTATAGACACTGAAGGATCTGAACGGACAATGCAATACCTTCAGTAGCACATTGAAAGAGTGGGGTTGTGTCTGTGATGCACACTTCAGGAACCCAGGCCATAGCTTAGGCATCCTCCATATCTACATAAAAAAATCACCGAATATCAATATTCGCATTTCATGAAGTTCACAGTACTCTGTACAGTGCTCTGTAGCTCATTAAAACATCTCTTGTATCAAGCACAAGATGAACTTTGTTCACAATTACAGCCGGTAACACATCACAGAAGAGAAAAAAGGAATTAAATAACATTCGATCCCACATATTCTCCCATCTCATCAGCTAGGGACAACAACTCGAGGGATCTCCACCACATACTTCCAATAATCCACTGCCATGAGATCTACTTCTTAAGTAAATGGATATGGGTAAAACTGGAAGAAATGCAAGGGCGATGACAAAACCAATTCTCCAAAAAATCGTTCTTAACTATTTTGCTACGTAAACGAGATGTGTTTCAAAATATTCATGGCATGATCCAACACCCAACCAATAGAAGTAAATGCATACCTGCATGGTAACTAAACATCACCAATTCAACTAAACAAACATAATAATCGAACACAAGCATTGATATCAATAAAAGAAGAAGATAACTAAGAGTATGATTAAATGCATACCTGCATGGTAACTAGTTTCGAAAGTATCTCCATGACAAAATCAACCTGATTTAAACAGAAAAGTAAACAAACATGTATATTAGAACATCCTTTTTCAGAACCCACCCACTTTGCTTCTAGTAGAGAAACTGTCAAAAAAACAGTGAGAGACAGTGATAAAAAAGAAAAGCACCTTAATGCTCACGAAGTACGGAGTAATAAATGTATTTGTGCAGATGATTGAAAATAAAAATAAAAATGGAAGTAGATGATTCACATGCATTTGTTTGATACAGATTTTCAAATACCCAATTAGTTCTTTTTTTCCTCAAACACCTTCACAGAGGCCTACATCAATGTCCTACAAATGAAAAAGTAAACAAACATATGGCATTGTGATGGCCTTGACAGAAGGAGAATGGTAGCCAACATAACGGTAGTTAGAATGGTGGCACACTATGACACTATTTGAGGAAGTTAGCAGTCACCAACGGAGGCTGTGGCTAGGAATGAATCGGCAAAAGGACAATAGAAGAACAAGACTTACATAGGAACATTGCACCTACGGTTTCATAATCGTGCAATCACCCTAATTAATGATCGTGGAAATAGAGTTAACGAGGACATTTCGAATGAATTAGATGGAGAAAAGAAATATAGTCATGGCTCTGTGATAGTACGTAGGGCTTTAGCTTCAAGCAGTTCTGAAAATTTCGCTCCAATAATCACGGATACCACCTTACAGGAGCCAATCACATTCAAGGCTATATGATGAAATACTAATTCCATTTCACATGCCAGAATTATACTTGCCGCGTCGTGCACTATTTTTCTGAGTAGTGTATGATACGATCACAACGATAACGTAAATAGACATGGAAAATATATTACTCCAAATATTGCACAAATTTCTGTAAGCCAAAAAGAAGTATTCCATATCAACGCACTTTGAAAAAAAACATTACCATAGCAGGAAAAGCATCGATAGCTTGAATGACAGTTCTCATAAAGAGCAGCGGTAAAGGAGTTCGTTTGATCTGAAAAAAAATCAATGTAAATAAGTAAGAATATTTCGCTTTTTAAAAATTGATCAAAAAAACTAATGGGAGCAAGAAAAGAAGAATATACAACAAGTCGAAACGAGAAATTAATAGAAAGGAAAAACTTTCCCTACACAAAATAAAAAGACTATCTACTATCATTTCTCAAGAATACTGGTGTCCCAAAATTCTACCTAGAATGTCACATAGTAAAAAATCAATCATGACCACCAAATCATTCTTCACCATCTCCGAAAAGAGGCACTTATCTCCAATTTCTAGTGAACCCATCAGTCAGAATTTATGTTAGACTAACGATTCAAGATTGAATATATGTACCCTGCACCTACCAATTCATCGAGTGCTTTGACTAACACATGCTGAGTAAAAACTGTACGCTGCTCAAAACATGTGGTGCAAGCATCCATTATCTGCAGTATTCCATGAACATGCATTCAAAATCAAGCCACAAATAAAATATGGTACTGACATTAAAATAAATTAGCCCTAACCTTTTTTAGAGGCACTCCATCCTTTTCAGGATTAATATCATGAATTGCCACCAGCACTTCTGCAGGAGTCAATGCTGGACCGGTATGGGCAGATCCCTGGTGCCAGAAACCACCAAATCGAGAAAAAAAATCTTGACTAACCAGATACGGAAACAATAGTTTCAGTTTAGTTTTAAATTCACATCATATAAATGGAGTCCACATAGTCTCGGTCTTATCACTTAGAGAAATAAAGGCAAAGCAGGATAGGCAATGCCAGATGTAAAACACCACGGTGACAATACAGAAGAAAAAAAGAAGAGACAAGGCGTGAGATGCCACATTGATAGCCAAAAAGGTTGAAGAAAAATGCATACAGACAAATTGAAAGGAAACATACAACTACATGTATCTACAAGTGAGCAACTATTATCAAATAAGTGGCGAAACCATTTGATCTTGTGAAGAAATATCATCGAAAGATGGTATTAGTTAGAAGCGGAAAAAAAAAAGTTCTGCATAGTATAATCACGCGGACGGCTATTGGCCTATAGTTGACCATACTATTGGATCTACCAAGATAACAGTTCATTTCCAAAGTTAAGGAAGGAATATAGATCAGAATAATGATCTCCTTCTCCAGTAATACCTGTAATATGCGAGCAAGGGCTGTCTGGAACTTCTCTGTTGGAAGATCAACAAGTCGAGGGAATATTGGCAAAACCTGGCACAAAATATTCAGAAAGCTATAAATTTTAAAATATGTCGCGCGTTATCTTCGTACTATTATAAAGCAATCAGATTGGTCAAAGATATCTTCATATTATAACGTAGATATAGGTACCCAGACAGGTTGTACTAGACTGGAACTGTATGATCAGGGTTGGGTGACGAACCCCCTACAGGGAATTCTAGAAACACAAATGTATACTGGAAACATATATTCCTAGAAACACAAATAAAATGCATAAAACCAGTCAAAGCCGGACATTTATTATTGTAAAAAAATTAAGACTACATTTGCAATTTGAGAATATATCAGCAAGACTATCAGTTCGCATAACATGCATGTCATTTTCATAACCATCAAATAAATCCCTATTGGATGTTAATATGCGTGACGAACAGAGCACATGACTCTGTTTCATTTCAATACCGCAATGATATCACAGACTTGCGAAATCATCGGTCATCCAACAATGCTACGGGTATTATGCAGTTTATAGCCTAGATATCAATCCAATATCAAGGTCGTCCGACTAAGTTCTTGGCAAGTAACCACACAGATAATTGTATTCAACAATTACATCAACAGAATAGATGGATCCTCAGAACTTATTCATGGTGCCTACTCTTCAGCCTAGAAGATGAATGAAGAAAAATGAAACATAAGCCACTTGAAGTCATTAAGAAACAATTTTTTAAAAAAAACTATGCCCTTCTCCACCCACCACTGTCCATTAATAAAAGCCACGGCGAAATGTACAGTTGTCCCAAAAGAACCCCAAATGTACAAAGCAGTATACTTTTGTAAAATGACGTCATAGTCCCCTGTCTCCATGAGTACAGTCCCCTCACCAAAATGGCTGAAGAAATTATTCATCCCACCTCTTTATTTTTACAACCTAATCTTATTCCATACGAAACTGAAAATCTTCCCATCCGAACCACTGTACGTGACCTAAAATATGCAGCTCCCCCATGACCTACCGAAACAAACAAGAAATTTTAGCAAAAAGAACAATACAATACTCCTTCCAAAAACGTTCAAAGTCTTATTTTTTGGCATCATTTCTCCCTTCCTATAGAAAGAAAGCAATGAATTTACAAAGACGGGAGAGTTATAACACAAGAAAAATACACAATTCGCACAGTATTCTGGTCCTATCTTTCAGAGACCACAGATAACCAGATTATCTAAAACAACTAGATCTGATCATCACTATTTCAACCGTTATTCAATCTGGACATAAATTCCACCTCTGAAGGTAAACATTGAGGCAAAGTAGACCATGAGATCTACGCTTATCTTCAGATAAATATTTCAATTTACAAAGTCTGTGCAATCAAGGCATTCAAGTTCAGTCAGTTTTAACCCAAAAAATGCATATTACTTTACTCCTCTGGTTACCCAAAATATTAGGTTTGACTTAGGAAAGAAATATTTAAGTAAGGAGCGCAACTTCTGATCTTTCTTTTATACACCTCTCAACTTACTGGCCAATCCTCAGTGCACCTACTGTTCAAAGATGCAGATCACGAATCATTTAGAATGACGAATCCCAAAAGCAAGTCTACAAGGATGAGCCAGTTAAAATCAAAATCGCAACTCAACTAATCCCTAAGATAAGCAAGCGACTAAACCTAGAGAAAAAAAGGACAACCACATGGACCTGTTATGCAATTATATTCTGATAGAGGATGATACTGGAAATCATATGCTCCTAAGGTACCGGTCTAGTCAAATCACAGTCCAGGGGGGGGCGTCCTAGGTTTAAATATTCCAGAGGCATTTCCGGAAAAAAATTCATGCCTCTTAAGCTTTTGAACTTTTGCACACAGAAGATCCTTTTGTTGAAACAATGCTTTAATTACAAACAAGGATAGCCATGGACAAGACAATTTACTTCCGTAAACAGCACTCTACCCATCGCATGCGATATATCCAAAATACCATCCTCATACTATCAATAAACTAGCATTGAACATTCTCAATACTATCTCATGTTATTCATTGCATGAAATTGAAAAAAATGTCTAATCATGGATAAACATTTGGAATACCATCTGTACAAGCAGAAACGGAGATTCAAAGAAATTAAGAAAATTATGTTCAACATATGGCACATAAAATCACTATTTTTGGAGGCAGAACACAGATTTAACATAGATGACAGCATACTAGAAATTTGTCTTATTAGGCAATAGAACCTAAAAGTTTATTAAAATCAAGCAGATGGATAATTAAGAGCATAATTTAAATTGAAGGAACACAAATCTAACCTCATCTTTTGAGAGTGATGATAGTATTGGAATAAGAATCGCAGCATCCTGAAAGGAATCAAAGCATGAGTTTTGCTTAAGGACCCAATGAAACTCAACCCAGAAAGATAGTCAAGCTCATAACCTTTAATTTACTCTGATGCAATTGTTTGACCGTGGTAATCAAATCAGCAGAAGGAGTCATCTCCTCCGTCAGAACTTGCAGTACCTTGAAGGAGAAAATAGCACAATGATTGTATCAATGACAGAGATTTCAGAGGACAACAAATAATTAACACCTAGAAACTTACCAGCGCCATGAGATTTTCACTTCCATCCGGAAAAACAGAGATTATATGCAGCAGTTCAGGGCAAGAGGGCCCTAGCTTCCGGGCAAGGTCAGAAACATGCCAATGTATAGACTGCAAGATTTCAACAAATGTCAATTGCATTTACAGGTACATGTGAGATTAAAAAAAAAAGTTTCATAAGCAAAATTTAGACAATACCTGCTTGACAACTTTTGGAGCCCTTCCATAAACGTCAAACACAAGTTGAAGGAGTTGTGGTTTCTGCAAAAAGCACCCACCCACACCATCAGAGTATAAGATCTCAGAAAGATGTGAATTTGGAAGAACGAGACTAAACCGCAATGATCATGCCAGACCTTGATACATAAAGCAAAGAACAATGAAGAGTATTTCTGAGCTTGAGTTAAGGACACGGCCGGAGTAGTCGGAGAGGTAAGTTGTGCATTTCTACTATTTTCACCTTCTACGGGACCAGAGTCTAACATCCGAGAATCATTAATAGATGATTCCTGACTTTCAACCTTCAAAGAATAAAACAAAAACAATAAACATTAATCAAAACCAGGAGAAATATAGACCAAATATTCTCATCCTAGAAACTCTTTTTTATCACCAAACTTGCAGTGGATTTGATAGGTTTCTTCTACCAAAAGAAAAATAAAATTAAAAGGATCATTACTGAAACATAAAAATCATAGTGTCTAAAAATTTATGATTGAAATTTATCATAATCGATCGCAGAAACTTAAATTCATTATAGCTACTCAATGGTACACAAAGTTATCCGGATGATTCTGCTCTTCAAAGAGAGAATAAATACTTAAGACTATGCCCATACACATGACAAATACAAATCATTATCCCGAGTACAAGTGCCAATACACGTGACAAATACAATATCTTCTGGATATTGTATTACACCAAGAATAAGGGATCAATTAAGGAACCTCAGTGACAATATCTTCTGGAAGAGAACCTCAGTGACAATACTTACATTATCAAAGCAACTGTCCACAGAGAAATAAGGAAAGAGACTTACAGAAATCAATTAAGGAGAAAAAAAGAAGCGAATCACGGAATAAACAATTAGGAGATCTAAGGAGCTGAAGACAATTTTGCCTCTTGATAAAGTAAGATACCATGCGCCAGTTCTGATGGGATTTGTGAAACACGAGGAGTATCAACTGCGACTTCCAATCAAGCCAATATCACGTGATGTTACCATGAAAAAATATTGATTACAAAAGTGAATGTAGAAAGAGGATATGACAATTGCTATGAATTTAGGGCATTTGGTAGTGGACTTTACTCTCCTATATGTGATGTCATCTACAAAGGATATATTAAATTGAAGAGATTGGTGAAAAATCAAACAAATGCTTGACAATACAATATCATGATGGAGTTGAAAGCTGCATCATCTTGGGAGATCATGAAATCCTCCCTTATATTAAGATTGAAAACTGGATGCCATCATCTAAAGGATAGGTACAATCATCCTGGTTATTATGTCAAGCTTATCCACCTATTACTGATCCCAGTTCAGGACAATAAATGCTGTCATTAGAGGCCTAAAAGCAACACAAGGAAAATGGTATGATATTAACCTGAAAAGAAAAGGATACCGTTAAAGGAATTAAGATTTTGACATTTACATCTGCAACCTTACTAAGATGTGTTGAAACGTATGGAAATTGAGAGCTGAAAAAGGGTTCCATGGATAGAGTGAATCAATATACGTTATTGTCAGTTGGGGATGGTTGTACACTACTTGAATAATAGCCACTTAAATCGAACTCTGTCTTCCTGATTTATTTCATGCACAAGTTTTCAAGAATAAACGGTATTTTATTATGTATTTATCAAATAGTTGATCCCTATTAAATATTGCTGAAGATTTTTATGCTAACTCCTATTTGCTGAGCATTCACCCAAGTGTCTTATGCAACACAAAGTATGTTCTGTTTACATTTCGCCATTTGTGCAACCACAAAGGATGTTTCCTCATTTGTGTGAACGTGAGCAGCATTCACATGAAACATGGAAGAAGAAGAGTTGTTAGGGAGGGTGAGAACTAGAGTTGCTTATCAAGGGATATAGACTTGCGCCAAGAGCTCTCGTAAGAGGAGGGAAATGCAAACTTCCAATTTAGCAGGTCTGGATGCATCATACAGCCTTCAACATTTTAGAGAAAATTGGGGAGCTGGTACACAGAGAACTTGACATTTAGAACACAATGAGTATACATATCCAGTTGCCTTCTTTTCTTTATTTTAATGAATATCCGGTTTTACGAACGTGAAAAAAATAATCAATCAGTATCACCCCCTTTGACGAGTTTAAACTATGTAAATTTGACACTAACTATTTTGATACATTTTGGCAGTCGCTTAGAAGATGTTTTTGGCTTTCTTAAGCAAAAATAAGCAGTTCTAGTTCACATCTTTTCCGACAAATTATCCAATCTGAATCTTCACTAGATTTGAATTTAAGTAAAGAAGTAGCTAACCAGAAGCTAGTGCATGGAAACATTTTCATACCTCCATTCCTTGTTCAGAAGAGGGCCTCAGAGTGAGATCTTTGTCTGGTACTCGTTGATCCACAAGTGACAGAATTGTATTTTTGGCAAATTGCTCTATGCTTTCTGTCACAAAGCTGAGCGGATGAAGTTTGTTTGCAACCTGGGTGGTAAGACTAGTAAGAAAAATAGTAAAAATGAACTAATTCTTCAAGGCAAGGTTACGAGAAGTTTAAAAATTCAAGGAACAGTACCAGTCGAATAGCCTTCCCACGTACTTCATCCTGAGAATCGACAGCACACTGAAACCAAAGAGAGATCACCAATTTCAAGATCAAAATATCCATCAACTTCTCACCTTTCCCAAAACAAGACGAGTGTATTTCCATTTCTAACACAAATATTACGGCCCATGGAGGTAAAAACAAAATCCCAAGAAAACCAAAGAGAGATCACCAATTTATCATCTCCACATGTGCATGGCGCTGTTCCATCACATAGAAACGTCACTCAATATCTCACTTCACAATTTTTAATGAAGTCTGAATTTTTTTAGGAACATGGAGGCAGAGGAAGAACTGACATGTAAACAATTCCTTTCCGTTGAATGAAATACTCAGTCAGAGATTTGACGATTAATACCAAACCAACTGTAGGCTAGATCTAGATTACTTATTCACTTCACAGTCACACGAAAAAATCTGTCACGTCCACGTACAGGCATTCATTCAAGTTGTTCCTTTACTCAGTAGACACCTAAATGCACCCAACCGGAATCCATACCTGACCAACAGATAGACATTTTAATCAGCATATTTCTTCCCACTGTTTTAGCACTTGGTGCCGAATTCAAAGGAGATGACTCAGTTTAGAATCCTACTGACAATCTTGTGCCAACTATTCTATTCAATTCGCAGCAACAGGGTTTGAAATTGATTTAAAGTACAAGCTATTGATTATTCACTGGATGCAGTAAATGGTCGATGAGAGTGGCATTTACTTGAAGAGTCAACTAACGGTAGCATGTATCATACGTATGTCATCCACTGCCACCATCCGAGAACAGAATAAAAAATGTGGTGACTCTACAACTTCGGAAAACATGGGTCGTGTGGACTATTGCCCCCATATAGAAATCCTTTCACATACTTACACACATACTTGGATATTCCTTTATTTATTTTCAATGCTTAAATGGTTTCAAGGAACCATCCATCTTCAAGTAAATTGCATACATATATCACAATAGGTGTGGCTATGGTATTCATTCAGAAAAATATATTAGTATACATTAAAGAATCAATAAATAACCCAACATAACTTTCAACTTCATCGAGATCATGAATGAAGTGACAAACAAGAATCCAAATCCATTCGAAAATGCAATGACAAAGATCAACCTCATTACCCCCCCCAGTCAATCACTCAACATACAGGCAGATTAGTTGTCAAATTGACTCATTAATAACTACTTCATTCAGCAGCCAACGACCACAAATCTTACACAAATATATCAATCTCTTCAAAAGATAGCTGTAAAACTAAAAATTATTACCATACAACCCAAATACCAGACAATTCAGAATACCTTCAAAGCAATGTTCAAACAAGTTTGTCGAGTGTGCGGTCGCATTAAAATCAAGCTCCATACAGCACCAAGACCCTGTGTAATACGGTCCCCTTCTCGGGTATCTTTCCCTTGGTGATCATGTCCCAGGGTACGGCAAAGGTCTTCCAATAATTTCATGATAGAATCCGGCAAAAGTGGAGCTTCATTAAGAAGTCTACTAAATGATTTGTCGGAAGCAGGTAAGATGTTGCACAAGAACTTTGCCTGGAAGTAATGGTATGGAAATGTTTATCTTCTGGGACGAAAGAAAGCGGCATGGAAAGGACTGGCTTGAAAAATACTTACTACACCAAGCAGAAACTTTTCATAGATACCAGTAGCAGAAGAGTCACACTGTTCCTTTGTGTCAGAAACAATGACTGAGTGCAAATGATACAGGATGTACATTGCTAGCTCATGACCCTGAAATAATAAGCATTCAAAGATTTGCGTGTATGACAAACAACTAATAATCTATGCTTTCTAAACACGTTCACTAAATAGAGAAGTAAAAACCTCGAAAGTCTGCAAGAGCTTTTTTAGAAATACAAAAAAAATACTTTAAGAGAAGATAAGAGCCACAAACTGAAATGGACGTTACAAAAGGGATATCAGAGCTATCATGAAATTTTCAGGGATAAAAAAAAGTGGAAAACTTTAAAAAAATTCAGACTCTGAGAACAAGAAAAAATAGTCAGAACAGTGGATAACCATCAAATGAATTGTTTCTGATTAATCTATGCCTTATTATCTTAGTACAGACATACCAAAGTATAAAATTGGTACTTTTTTTACTATGCAACTTCCCTCCAGTTCAAATGTATTTGTTCTCATTCTCCACCTCCCTACTGACCATCACCCCTTTCTCTGAAGAATATATCGACTCATAATAATCAAGCAAATAAATCCAAAATGTCCCTTTCACAAACTTTGTCAGTCTCTATGTCTATAAAACAAGTTCGTCACCCTCACTTCTCACCATCCTGTCAAAAAACTTCCATGTAATCATCTTTTATTTTCTCCATCCACACACCATTCTGTTCTTTCGAACACGGGGACTCGATGATTTAAGCAACCTGAGTCATTCATGTTGGCAACCCAAGGTGCAAGAGCAATATGTGAGCCTCTGGAAATTTCTAGGGAGCGATAAATGAATGAGATAGTCGTTTAGATCATTTTTTTACTCACATAAATTTCAGGTGTAAACAGCAAGTTTGCAACATGAATAAAAAAAACCCGTTTACACCAGAGCTAGTTCTGAAAATGTTCCTTGGGCATCATTCTTCCGTCTGCAGCATAATAGAGCCAAACCGTATCGTTTCTCTGAGACAACCACGTATTTAAGAGAATATGGTAGAAGTTTGACATGTAAAAGCCGCCAAAACAAGGTATGTAATCCTACAATCAAATACCCAATGATACTGTGACAAAGTAGACTCTAATCCACACCTGTTACCAGGAAGTTACTGGGTTAACTTGTGAATTAATGCCAGTCAGTAATCTTCTTTAACGTTCTATAGTTGTGACTTATCCTATGTTAAAAGCCACCACATGTAATGAGGACAACGTCCACCAATTGCTGCAAATAAACATAATGGTTCCACTCACATATCTACTACCTGCAGGACTACGTTCATAATAGCCACCTCTCTTAAGCCCAAATCTAAAAAGCATCCTGACCTGGAAACCCATTACAAAAACATATTTTTTTACTGCCAACAAACTGCTAACAGTTCACATATATATAGTGTGGCCCAAACAGAAAAGACAATACCCACATCAGACTTCATAGTCAAGAAAGTGGCCTTTCTCAATACCCAACGTCCATAGCCACTCATATCTTTAACCACCAGGATGATATACTCCAGGCAAAGGCAACAGGATTCAAATGAGCGCATCGGAGGCAGTCTAGTCATCCTAATTAGCTTCATTGTAAACTAGAATATCCTCAACGGCCCAAAAATATAGCCTTGTTTTCACAAAGATCGTAGCATAGTCATCCCCTTTCTAGAATCGACCAAGTCTGCAATTAAACTGGAATCGCCAGTGTCAAATCAGAGTTAGTGGAGGTTTCTGACTCCACAAGATCAAATGATTGAAGGCCTGGCCTGCACTAGGCTATACTCAACGAGGACCTAAAGTTTCTTACGGAGGGAGAGAAGAAAAACAATAAATATTCCCATGTTAGATGTAAAGCGTATAATATAGACGATCAGAACAAAAAACAAAATTACATCCTCATTCCCATTCCATCATGATTTGGTGGTGGCAATGATTATAATAAACATAATGCAGGAAATGGGAAACCTCATGAGCGAATAATAACTCTTCCAAAATTTAAATACAACTGCTCTGAAGAGAAACCTCAATAATATGGTTGATGATTTAACTGAAAAAAAGAAATCAAATGAAAAATAAATTCCCGAACCAATACAACATACCTTCTGATGATGATAATCTTTAACAATATACTTCTCCAACATATCAATGATATCACCACTGGCATCAACCTGTTAATTAATTGTGAAGAGAAAAGATAAATAAATTTTCATAAAGGTAACACAAGATCCACATTTCTAAAACACATGGAAAAATAAAAAAAATAGGCTATTAAAGTATTATTAGCCCTGGATTAGTTTGTCGTTTGTACGAGATGGCATTGACAATCTTAGGAAGGTAGAAAGTATCGTCCTTCAGAAAACCATAATATGTCGCATCCATCACTATTTTGCTACATATAATTCCACATTTCCATACTCCACCCTTTGACTAAGTTGCATGGAAGCATTGACACTTATTCTACTCAAATAGATTTTCAAATTAAGAGTAACTCCAAAAAGTTTACAAATTATCCCCATTGAAGATAATATGAATGGGGTGTAAGCCTATTTTCTCATTTTTTAACCCGGATTAGCTTTTCATTTGTGTATGATGGTACTGACAATGTTCGAAAGAAAGATTCGTCCTCATAATAACCACAATATGCAATATACATCATTAATTTCCTTTATGTAATTCCATGTTATTCATACTTCACCCTTTGAAAAAAAGTCCATGGAAGCACAAATGCATATTCTGCTCAATAGTTTTTCAATCTGGAATAACTCTGAACAGTTCGCGATTGTTTCCATTGAATATCATAGAAATGAGTGTAAACCCATCCTCTCATGTTCTACCTAAATAGACCATCCTACTAAATTATCAACTCTTCACGGATATCATGGACGTGAATTTTCCTGGGAAATAAGAGCCTGTAATTTCTGTCATAAACAAACAATCCATTCCATCCATGAGATTATCCATAGTAGAAATAGCTAAAGATGCAAAGTTCATTATCAACGAAGTTCGAAACATCACTACGTATATTTTATAATGTTTAGATGCTAGCAGATATCTGCAAAAAGCACTTAAATAATGAAATCTACTTTAATCAAGGGATCAAATTGGCTCATAAAGACTGCAGACTTAAACTAACAGGCCATACTTACAAGTCATTAGAAGAGTTCCTAGAGGAGAACGAGTTAATTTATTCAGAATTAAGGGGAACGATGGTAGTTTTTTTCTGAGGGACTTATAAACACAGTGAGCAATTCTTTGTCACAAGCACAATCATCCAAATAATGAGGCCTTTAGAGATTGAAGGAAGACGATATTGATGAGTAAGATTTTGTTTACCTACGGAGTGAACACAAGTACCACAAAACAGAGAATCAGTGGGAACAGGTCGTATTACCTGCAGCTCTACGGACAGTATTGTGAAGAGAAATATGAGGAAATGTCCAACATATAAAACCGTATCCAGGCATTTATCATAAGAGCCATGATAACACTAACACTGGGTGGTTGTTGCTAACATCAGAGAAATTTCAGCGACCAACACTGATTAAAATCATCCATTTGTATGCTATAAAACGCTGAGCATTTTTTTAAATTCGCGAGTTTCCCTCTAGATTTGAATGGGTGCATTTTCAACGATGAGCGGCCCTAAGCTGTACGCTGTTTTCAATGAAACTTGCCTTGCAATCTTCTAGGTCAAATGTTGTAAGGCAGCGTGATAAAGATTGTGTTAATATGGTAACAGGAACAGAAAGCGTACACAGAGGCAAGGGAAACAAATAAAATCTAGACGAATCATATGACAATTATGTAGATTGGGCGGCCAAAACTAGGACAGAAATATAAGAAAAGGTTCCAAGCAATGGAAGGATTTTTAGGTCTATTCTCCTACATTAGATTCACGAACTATGCCAAACTCCCCGGTAAAACTTTTCACACGAATACAGATCCACACAGATGATATGAGAGAGAAAGCCTCTACCTGTGAAACTAAGCGAGCAAGTAAACACAGGCGTTCATGAGTATAGCCTGTAGCTCGGGTTACCTTGTAGGATTCAGTAATACGTGCAACTGCTAATGCACTCAATGATTTTCTCTGCTCATCAGTCAAATCAATAAAAAGTGGAGGCGAGGGCAATTCATGAGCAGGTTCTTCGGAGACTAGTGCACTAGAAACAGTGGAAGAATGATCAGGTTCTAACATGGAAACATCTACACTATCATTTCCAGTTGTTTCTGATGGGGTCAACGTTTCCAATTCTGGCTCAACATGAATGGGAGACCCAGGTACATCTGAAATGGCTTGAACAGCTGAAGACCGCCCCTTCTCCAAAGTCTGATCCAGTATAGCAGGACTTTCTTCTAAAGTCGATTTATCATCTGGCAGCGTAGAAATATCCGAAACGGCTACCTCGCTCTTTGAAATCAAGGGCACCAAGCTACTATCAGTCTTCATGGCGACAGGACTTGGCATAGCTCTACCTGTTAAACCATCAAGCCCAGGTTGGACATCAGAGTCGGTCTCCATGTTTGAGCCAACCGGCTGTGCTCCAACAGTAGCAGTTGATCGACGCGGATCAAGGCGGCGCGGATCCTAAAAAAGTCAGCAATAAAACTTGACTATTACACAGTTTTTAGAACTGAAAATCGAAAAATTCTAGCCACATATTCTGATAAAGTATAGGTTATTACTCTTCGTGGGTCACGCTTAGCCTCAGCCACAGTGTTAGGCGCTGGAGGCGTATCAGGTGTTGATGTACTTAAATTAAACCCACTGGTAGGGGATGACAAAATTTGTGAAGACATATCAGAAGTGTCAACAGTAGCTGTAGCAGCCAATGATGGAACTGTTTGAAGGGTAGAATCAGGTGAGGAGGTTCTTTCCAATCTGCCACATAGCGGTGATGGAGTTTTTGGTAAATATTTCATATTAACAATTACCATATCTGCTAACAAATCTGCCTGCATTTGTGATATCAGAATATCAAGAGATTCTGCCCCTCTTTCCCCTTCAGCTAATAGTGCACCAACCATCACAATCATTTGTTCAGCAGGGGTCAAATCACTATCCAGCAAAGATAACTTTGATGAAAACCCATTTGCTGCATCTACACTGCCATCATCAACATCTCGCGCCAAATCCTTAGCCAACGGAACAGAAGCAGCAGAGCTCACAGTCACACCATGACGTGCTCTTTTCGCAAGCACATCATCAGGAAATGGGATACCATCATTGGCCAGCATCATAGACCTCTTTGAAATGGTATCACCAGGGACAAGTGGCTGACCAGATGTTCTATCATCCTGTCATCATAAAAAAATACTTTGTTGATAAATTTAAATAATTTACCTGCTAAAGCATAAGACTATAAATGGTATAGAGAAAGCACCTTAGAGAGCCGTGCATCTCGAGATATGTGCTCTGCATTCTTTGCCATTTTGTCAATTTGCCGAATAATATGTTCAGTTGCTTCTCCTGGATTCAACGATCTCAGAGCTCGAATTAACTTTTCTCGTGACTAACATAGAATAACGATTAGTTATGTTAGGCTCCCACAGCATGTTAATCATACATTTCACACTAGCCAAGAAAATATGGAGTTAAGACTTGAACACCACTATTAGCCATAGATAACTAGTAGATCACTGTATTTACCTCAGAATTTTTTTTACTCCATATGAAAAAAAAATCCGACAAATATTGTAACCAATCCGAATAATTATTTCATTCCAGCTTAGTAACAATTATCCAGATATAATTGCCACCAGAGATAGTTCAAAATCTTATGAATCAAATTCACAGTAGTTTCGTGCACAGTTATTTGGGTATCTAGACAGAGAAGAGAAACAAGCACAGTTTTAGAAAGGACAGAATACATCTTCCCCGGCTTGCATGTGAGCTTATGTCAAGATGAAGTAGGTACGATTGGAAGAGTTGTTAGATTCTTTATTTTGGTTATACGCCGCATTTATGTAGGACAATTATGATAAATGGAGTCTTTTTGAGAGCTTCTGGTTTACACATCTGTACGTCAGTTTTGCCAATGATATTGTGGTCCTAATCCCTGGCGGAAAAAAAAACACAATATTTAAAACCGAATATGCTAGTATTTAGGAGGACAAGCCCTTCCCATCGATATATTTGAAATGTCAAAATGACACGTTTCAATAAAAGAATAACATACTTTGTTAATCAACTAAGAAGGGATCATTAGTAGGTACTATAATATTATGAAGTGAACAAAAATATTTTACTACGAGTATACCGTTCTGCCCCGGTCTACTCTTTTTGTATGCAGTACCAGACAGAATTTAAAGATTACACAGAACAACTGTTGTTCATTGTTGATCTGCCAAGTCTATTTCCCATTGTTACATTGTTGGCACCCGATAACATATTCTACTTTCATACAAATCTTGAACGAGAAAATAAGAAAGCTCCAAAACCCAATCAGAAAGAGTATCCGGATGAGTTTGGGAACCACAAACAATGAATGGATGAACTCTTAGCAGCTCCGTTTTTCAATTACAATGTTTTACTGATGTCCCAAGTCTAGTATCTCCAATGGATGCATATATGCAAATGATTTAGCATGAATCGTAGTTTAAACTACATTTTATTGTTAATCTTCCAATTTAACATAGTAGTCCACTTTCCTGCCAAGAGAGGGTTGTTTCTAAAGCAATTCATCGCTATCTCACCAATTAGACTCATTTTATGTATGACTCAAAAATAAAAATTAAGAAAACATTAAGCCTTTCTTTGTGATGCTTGCACATAAAGCCAAAACTGAATTTCCATATTCCATATTGAAACCAAGAAATAAAGGAGTGTGGACTAATATTATCGAAAAGATACAGACCAGAAAACTCGTAGTAAGGACCAAAATCTAAGGGGTGGCAAGGACAATGTTTGCCTTCATCAACATGAGAACTAAAAAGATCTGTTTAGTTCACCATAAATGTTTCTACGGAAGTCCATATATTGTTCAACACAAAATTAACGGTCTTCTAGTGCAGGAAAGGGACTTCTAAAGCTGGCATTAAGCAAAGCATATGATCACATTGTCTTGCGTAGAATATTGTGAAATTTCCGTAGAATATTTTGTGTTGAACAATATATGGAAGTCCATATACTTAGTGAAGCATAAAACTTATGCAATATTGTGAAATTCAAATTACTACGATTGAAGCGCCTAAGAAACATTTTATTACATACAGGAAAGACAGTTCATGTGCGAATTAACCCACCTACCGTAGAAAAATTGACCACGGTTATATTAAACATTGCATATTATGAGGCATCCAAAACATGGACTGGAAATAAAAAACAATGATACGGTATTTACTTCTGAGATGGATGGATGATGAGTGCATCTTAAGAATCCTACAAATGCAGTCTTCAATGAATATCGAATACTAGCAGCATGACCTCCTTCTATGGTCTGCGAATCTGGATCAAAAGCAAGCAGTGCAGACAAAATGCGATCGTAGTAAACAGGCCTTTTCCTTGCAATAGCTGAAAGACTTCACAAAACCATTACAGCATTAGTCAAAGCTGAAATCAAAAAGTGAAAAGCAATGGATCCATGAAACAGATAATATGTTCCAACGATTTTAGGACATCAACAACAAATACTATCACATTTAACTTGTTTATTCCAGAACAATCCAAATTATTAACTAAACGAAATAAAATTACCACAGTTTTCTCTTTTCCTTTCAGATATCATTCAAACGGCTTGATTATCACAGTCAGAGAAATGATTCATCCAGGTCCACCACCCACAACACTTGGACATGCCAGTAGTGCTTTAAACATGAAGAGATATACAGATTAAAAATGCGTCCTTTTTCTTCTCCATCTTTTGTTTTTCAGCAGGGGGGAGGAGTTAGGAGCGGAATAACTCATGCCATTTCACCACAAATGCAACCAGCAACGAGTCCTCGGACATTCAACTTGATCTGGTTCACTTCAATCCAAGCCAGCTATCGGAATTGGATTCATATAACGAGTGATTTTGTAATGATATCCAAAAAAAACCTCAGCATACAGGTACATTGTAGAACACAAATCTAAACGATAAAGCTTGGATACTGACTATTCCCAGATGTATCAGGGAGATTGATACGACTTCGAGAAGTTAGTAGGCTTCCATGTGAAGCATCAAAATAAAGGCACTGTAAGACATGCTCAAGAGCTATTAAAGGCTTTTCCAAACTTAAGCATGGGTGTCCAGATTTATCATAAATATTTCGTGGTCACAATAGTGGGGATAAATTGTACCCAACTATTCAATCAACCATGCAATGCTTCTCAATGTACACGAGGGAAAGACCAATTTCTATTTATGAAAATTCAAATTTTAATATAAACTTATATAGCCAATCTGTCCTGGCCCACGCATGAAGAATTCCAGGTTAACTCATGTTCAAATATAAAATCTTATTAAATACTACAATAAAATCAATTATCATCATGAGAAGAAAACTATCAAGATTTCAAAACTAACCAGCTTATGACAACAATCGTCAATGAGACGGGAGCAGTGCTTGCAGACAGCAAAAGATTAAGCAGAAGCCCAAGACATTTGTTCACTTCAAAGGAAAGTAAGGATCGTTCAAAGATTGGATGAAGTCCAACTAATTTTGAAACGTCAAAGCCCCTCGCTTTTTCTGGTTCAAACATCACCAACATGACAAATAAATTAGTTTCATTTTAAGCTTCCAGTTCTCCAACCATTTCAAAAATTAAAATGCGGAAACTCTTCAAGAAACAAGTAATCTGGTTAATATTCCAGTTCAATACCTTCTGTGAGAGCTCCTTCATGACCACTAGCATTAGATGTAAATAGCAAAACATACACTTCCAGAAATTTTACAGCCAGCGCCCTTACTGAAGCCGGACCAGGCTGCAACGTTCAGCATGTCAGTAACAAAAATGAATCACATAAACCATGGAAACGATTTTTTTGGTAATGCTAAGTCAATCAAAATTTCAAGCAATAAAAAAAATATTGAACCGTCATGGAACCACCGACCAGTACACGAAACCAAATGACTATTATGCTATTATGCTTTGTTTCTTCCAAAACCAAATCCTACCTCTGATGCAAGGCTATATACTGCATCCTTGAACTTAACCATCCATACCCACATGTCCTCCAACCATCTTCCAACCTCACCAATAAACTGAAGCTGAAAAATTATTCAAAAGATATTTCATTAACAGACTAGAAATAAACGGGTTTTGAAATTAAAACATTTATGATAAATAAAATATAAAACCAAAACCGAAACTTTCCACGATTAGGAATAGTAATTAAAAAATCCAAACAAAATAGCAGGGAAGAAAGAAAATAAGGCTGAATATCATGCCATTTCCAATTTCCAAATAACAATGTCAGAATAGTCTCAACAGTCTCACAGTTAAATGAGTTATTAAATTCCTCACGTTTCCACACGTGCATAAAGAATAAGAAGATAATTCAGAAAGTTTGGGAAAAGGATAAAAGTTCAAATAATCAAGTACAACCGTCACCTCCGATATGCGAAGTGAACAAATTGATAACTTATGTCTCCTATAAGCTAGTAAGAACGAATTACTCAGTTATTTGGTAATAGCGTAAGCCCATGCATCTTTAGTACCTCTTCAAAATTTTATATGAAAAGGAATAAAAGTTGATAACGGGGATCACTCTCTGGCAATTTGTGAATGTTCAGCTGAACTGGTTTCATGGTATACCATTTTTTTGCACGAAAATCATAATCATAAAGGAAGGACAATAACAGAATCCTCATACAATCACTGCCACATTCAATGCCCAGTAACAAGATAAAATTCAAACTAATAAAATTTTAGGATAAAAAACTCTATACTTCATCCTGAATTATATCTACTAGTGATAGAAAAGGAATCACACGTATCACGCCTATCATAGCACCTTCGAACTAAAACTGTGTTAACACATGTCAAATCAAAGGTAAAAGATTTAAAGATTTGAAGTATAATGTAAACTATAGATAAGATATTAGAGCATGAGAATCGAATTTACTAATGAGCTTAGATTTTTTATCCATGAGATACAGATAATAACCAACACCATTGAAAAACAAATATTCCACCAGAAAGGTTCCTTTTAAGAACTATAATAATTTCACTATGGAATTCAGGCAATCATCGGGTTCTAACAGGGCATACAGATTACCCAGTTCTCAATATAAAATACATGAATGCACATGGGCATGGAAAGCTGGAGATAGAAATAAGACAGAAGCAATTGGAGAATCAGGAAGAGATTGACGTGAGAAGAAAAAAATGATGACGGAAAGCAGGAAGAAAAAGAGAGCATATGAACTCAAATAATCAAATAACAGGATACAGATCTCAATGGCTGGCTTGAAGCTTAAGCTTATCGAATATTCTACAGAAAAAATTATCCCTAGTATGGCGAGGATAAAGGGGGGTTATCGAACTCGCTACCAGTTTTTCAGACAACCATACTGATTGAAATTGGACCAGTACTAGTACACAGCGAAGGGATAGTTTTGAGGGCAGCCTTGCGGAAGGAAGTAATTTGGGATGATCGCTAATGGCTACAATACTTGCAAGCAAACTGAAGAGAACTTTAGAATGCCAAAAAAGGTCCTCCTGATTATGTCAACAAGCTCCAAGAGCAAATTAAGGGAAGTGATCATGAGAAAAGTTAAGGTACCATAGAGGAGGAACAACAATACCGAAGAAAGAATCCCAAGGTAAATGCTCTTAAAAGCATTTAAAAATGGAACTTTCTTGCACGCAGCAACCAAGGGAGAAGAGGGTGGTGGAGTACAGATTCAACAGGCTTTTACAAGTCCCTGAATGTTGAAGTTCTGACAAACAGACATTTACAAATGATGAAGCCATTTTAGGTGACAGGGATCTCAAGAACCATGCTGAGTACTACGTTAAGTAATGCTCAGAGGACAGAAAAATGCTAGATTTTAAAACAAAAACATTTTCCAAGATTTCTTGAAGGGTTATAACCAAGGAAATCAAAATGGCAGTTTGCAATTCCAGTGATAAAGCGCCAAGTTCATATGTATTCCCTGTCATTTCATGATAGCATTTCGGGGAGCTCACCAGTCATCTTCATGGATGAAAAGAACATACAAGGAGACTAAACAAGTTCTATTTTGCGCTTATTGCCAGAGACAAACGGTGAAGACACCTTGTAGATTCAGGTAGAACAACATAGCAAACAATATAATCCAAATTTCATGATCCATGATGGAGGACATGATTGATAAATTAGTGAACCAAAACATCTATGTTATTAAAGGGCGTCACATACGAAGAGCTTCACATGTATGCCATGCAGTACGTTACAGAAAGGAATGGTATCAAACTGAATGCTACAAAACCTTTTGGAAAGGGCACCTAGAGCAATAATTCCCAGACAATTGGAGGAGCAGGGTAGGCTAGGTCGGTGGTGCAGATCAGAGCTCGAATTCCCTAATCTAAATTCTAGGTCCTGACTGAAGGATTGGTTCTTTCTATGGAGGGTAACAATTTCTGCAAGGAGATCCGATCAGTCCTCTCTATTTGTGTCAGTAATGCTACACGTAGAAAAACAAGTACCATAAAGCATATTCAAAGACCAGAACTACACATGTGAGGCATGCAAGTGAAATATGATATGTAATAATAGCAATTGTTTTGCCACAGAAATGGTGAGGGGACCACTAATCATTAGATAAATGTTAGCGCCACTTGAAAAGGTGTCTGGATTGAAAAAGAAAAAAAATTAGCCTAGGCACGGACAATAGAGATGGAGAGAGAGAAATTGAATAGCACCGCTGAGTTCCAAACTTTGTACTTAACCAATTACTCACAAGAGTATACTTTTCAGATGTTCCAATTTGTTTACCCACTGGATCCACGTGGCAATCCACAATGCAGTGTGGTCAACTCTGCCCATCAGGTCTCTATCCTTGGCTACTATTCCAAAGATGATGGTTGTGGATGATTTGCACAAGCTTAAGAGCAAATTATGTGGAGCAAAACAGCCAGCATCTCTTACAGATGAGATGTATCAGTGGATAGATTTGCAACCTTCCTGTCCGACCATGCCCGAGAGTGGTTCTAGAGAAGTAGATAAATCTATCATTTTCGCCAAGTAGATAAATATTCTTCAGTACTATAGGATTTCTTCAGATATATGACTGATGTAGAATAGACCATGCTTTAATGATCCATGGATAAGAATTTTCATAATAGCAAACATATTATGAAGGAATCTTGCCGAAAGGGAGTACCTAAATTATTAGGAAGTTGGTTTTTCCCCAAAAAGGTTGAAAGAAATTGTACAAAACCAACATGTTGAAGATTATTAGAGCCTGAGGTTAAAGAGCGAGGCACACTTAGCAGTAAATAAAGAGATCACTGGCACTGTAAAGTGCCCCTCATTAAAACTTGTCCCATGAAAGATTACATATGAGAATAGTAACTAACGACTGGTTGGTACACTTCACGAAAGGCATTAGAATAAAGAAGTAAAAAATAACATAAACGATAGGTAGAATTGGAGTCCATCAGGAACGGCAAACAAGTGAAAGGGAAGAAAAAATAGAAGAGAGCATCAGAACTTTAAGTGAACTAGAAAGGACTGGGAACTCAGGAGCAGAGTTTTGAAAAAAACTTAAATACTTTTTACAAATAAAAGCCCTCACTTCGTCAGTCTGCAATTAAATACTTTTTTTTACACCCCTAAAAAAGGACCCAGAAACCCACTGTCTACAAAAGAAAAAAAGAAGAAACAAAAGGAAGCTCATATGCAACGTGGATTAGCGTAAAGAACCATTCTCCAACTGTCTCTACTGATGGAATTGTTGGAACTTAAGGAAATGGCATGCAATTGAGTAAAATTCAAGATAACCTGTGGTGTTTCAAAATGTCATTTAAATCTTACACAAAATCTATCCTCAAAAACCAACCTCAGGCCATAAGTATTAAAAATCGAGGATATCCATATATTTCAACAAATTTAACTTTGACATCTTCAGCAGGAACAAGAATGAGTGAACTTCTGCACATTTGTGCATATGGCTGGAATGCAGCGTACAAAACTGGAGCAACATTGTACAAATGACACATATTTTCCCAGTTGTATGGCACTAGATCTCAGTCATCCAGTACAGCAGCAAGAATGGATGAATTTCTGAGGATAGAATAGAAGCATTCTCAATGATTTTAGGGTAAAATTTATTGCCTTTCAACTAGCAGTAAATTTTGAGCATCCACGTTTCAAAAAACAGGAAAAATTATAACAGAGGCCACTGTCAAGGAGAATTTTTTTTGAAGAAGCTAGCGCTATGACGACATTAAATTATAAAAAAGTAAGCACGAGCCTGGAACCCATAAGCTTACACATTATCAAGGTCCTACACCTACATATCTAGGTCATGCACCCATCTGGTATTGGTCAAAATAGGAGACCAGAGTTCTCTAAGAAACTAAATTAATTGCCTTTCTTATTACCAAGGAACTTTCGCAGATAATGATACACATTTGTTCCTCTCAAAATGGGCTAGGCAAACTGAAAATACAGTCCCCTGTTTATGAGAAATCCATACATCCTAAGCTCCACCATACAGGATTTCGTCATTTGTTCCATAACTGAATAGGCACCCACTAATCATCTACTACAATACTCACCCTGTAGAAATTTGATTGGAAGCCATCAGATTATAGGATAACTCTCGAACTTAACTTTTCTGCTTGCACAGAGAAACAAAAGCCTGGCTTCAAATACTTCAACAAAGTCTTACTTTACTCCCATATGATAGACATCTTTGCCACAATGGTATAGATAAATTGCAACATCAATTAAGAATCCTAGAAAAAAAGACATGTCAACATAAAGAACATCACACAAACCAGATACACACGAATGAACATCACTGTGGCCAGAGGGATGCATTTGACCAGAAATCGTAATATTTTTTAGAAATAAATCAGTATAGCCTTTACACTTGTACCTCATTTTTACAGCAAATGAAAATATTTTACACCGCTTTTAGGATAGTATTTAGCCTTTCAATTAAGTCTGCATGTGCTTATCAAAATATACTGCACATACTAAAGAAAAGTACGTAATGACATACAAAATAATAATACAAACTTCTTCCTTTTCACTAGATAGTCATTAAGAAAAGATGTTCAATACACTCCAATTCAGATACTTCTAAACAACTTTAGCCTGTTGGAGAAACGTCAGAATATATGCGCACCATATAGACAAGAATATTCAGAAGAGTCCTTTCTAATTTATCCCCGAAAAATCAGCAAAATTTGTCCACAAACTATGAACACATGCAAACGACACCTAAATGCCAATCTCCCAAAAATCTTTGTTCCATGATTGCAGTTTTTCCAGCGATGAGAGCCAGAGCTACATACAAAACTACGTAGATTAAGTTCATAAGAACGCAAACCATTCAGAAAAGGTAAAATGAAATCTGTGCAAAGAACAATTGGGATGTGGTTTCCTGTTAAAATCAATAAACTAAAATTTTAGTGGTCTTAAAAATTTATTATCTGAAATAAAAATTGACAGGCATTCAGTCTGCCATCAATGAGAAGTGCTCAACATTTTGAAATTACTTTTGACCAGCACTCCTAGTTATGATATGAGGTACTTTCGCCTTTAAAATGTGTTTTGCCTTTCTACAACTTGCTCATTATGGTGGAATGGCTCCTTATATGCAACCTGCTTCTCACTTGCAATCATCTGTTAAACTTATAATTAAGAGTAGAGAGACCATTCAACATCCTTTTCCCTCTGAAAAAAGAAACCGTTTCGTTTGTTGTCTTTGATGTCAGATACGTCTGAAACATCATTTACTGGTATTATATAAAGTTCAAATATAAATATCATTACATATTGTGAAGCAAGCCATATTTGCATAGCATAAGAAGATGTTATAAATAGGTGTCGAAACAACTGAAGCTTCAACTGTAAAACACAGAGTTAGATTACAAGTACAGATCTTGAATAACTGTTTTACAAAAACGACCTGTTGAGCTATCTCTTCCAAAACAGTGCAAAAGAATCTCGTTCCACAAACAATAGATTGTCTAACGACAATTGCAGCTTCATGCTTTAAGAGTGACAGTAGGACTGGCATCAATACAAGTGATCCTTCTGTCACTTTTGAACCAAGTTCTCCCAAGAGCCTACCAAAATGGAAAATAATTTAAGTTAGTGAAAAAGAGAGAAAACCATCAACGCGAAATTAAAAATAGTCAAACTTTCACAGACCAACAAGCCAAGAAGAATTCCACCATTTAGGAATAATGCAAAAGTAAACCAGTCTATTTAGAGATCTTCGAAGAAATAATAATCCCAATAGGAATCAACAGATATGACCACATGGCCGGTCTCTATCATTCCCTAAATAAAAATACGACCTTTTAAACACAATTGCGTCAGGAATCTTATAGAAAATCCGCTATTCCCGTTATTGGAGATGCCAAGACAGACTAAATATGCGGCTGTTTGATTGACATAGGAGCAAAAAATCTCAAGTCGACAAAGTACCACTACCTTCGTTTTTGTAAGCAATTGCCCAGAATCTCAGCATCTATGCCTGAAATGACGGTAGTGCTAACATTCTGCATCCAATAATCCACCCTTTGAGAAGTTAATTATCCTAGATCACAGTTCGAATGCTTGAAAGTATATTACCATGATTTTTTTCTCTTCGAAGCCTAAGTTTAGGATAAATAGAATGATTCAAGGCATTTAAAGACATTTGAACCTCTTAGGGCATTCTGATTGAAAAAGCATAGATGTAGCGAGCAGGACAACCTTCCCAAGATAAGAATACAGTGTCTGCCATATTTTACCATCCCAAACATAGAATTAGAAACAAACGAGGTTGCATAGCTCATGGTAAAATAGATTGTCGCTATTCTAGATCGCCTAGGAGAGATAACCATCCTGAAAATGACATCATAGATAAAACTATGAATGCAAATTCATAGGCAACTGTTCACTCGGTCCAATGGTTCTTGTAAAGTCACATACAACAGGTTAAACAACATCTCAAATCAAAACGCCGTTGGGTGTATCAGACAAGGAGGTATTCCTTTTGAATGATCAGCAAATTTCTTTAATAAAGAACTAAAAGCCATGATAATTCATCACAGAGGACCAAGAGATTTATAAGAAGGAAATGTTCATAAAAATCCTTGACCACTGATAGATATGATCAACCGTACTCGGCTTTCCATTTTGTTAAAAAAAATTAACTGATCGTGTTCGACATTCCACTCACATCTAAAGTATCTCAATGAACAAACCTAAAAAACTTGAAATAGGCCAGTCCATCCGTTCACCAAAATCACATCACAAAGATCTTCTATAATGAACAACCTTAATTCTTCAATTTTAAAAAATAAATAAATCAATGAATAAGGTTTTCATTTTTCATCGGAAACAAATGTTTTCTAACCACCCATCATTTAGTATCAACCCTTGCCAATTCATTTTTGTAAGTATGCGAACCATTTATTATTAATAATGCATTAAAATCACCATTACACTGAATTATAACCACCACCTTTCAGAAGAAAAAAAGCACATCTCCTGCAGTGTAATTTATAGACTGTAATTTTTCACCTCTATATCATTTTGAAGAGCTAGAAATTAGTTAAAAGTTTCGTTTATTTCCATCCGAGGAAAACCCATCCTTCAGAATGCACACGACCAAATACACAGGTCGATTCCGAGGGCAGTGTAGAGAAACCAAATTTTCAGGCGTCTTCATCGTATGCACACGCGACGTGAAAGGAGCCAAGAAAAACACAGTTTCACGCACAATTCCCACAACAGTGGAAAGAAAATTGAGGGATAAAATAAAAAAGAAAGCAAACAGGGGCATTCAAAATCAGCGAACAGAAATAAACCGCCTCTAAATCTTACGCAAGAGCTCGGGAAGGTTCGCGGAGCTCGGCTCCTCCCCGCTCGGTCGCAAACGCCTCCGGCAGGAGCTTCGCCGGCAGCACGAACCCGTCCGCCCCTACCGACCTCCCCCGTCCTTCGAACTCCATCCGGAAGGAAGGGGAGGGAAGACGCAGAGGCAGGAAGCGGACGGCAAGGCAGAGGCCGAGGAGAAGGCGGGTTTGGTGGGGGCAGCCACGAGACCTCCGGTAGGGTTTGGAGGAGCCCCGACAGGAGAAAGGGAGGAAGGGGAAGGAGACAGATGATGGGGGGAGGGAGACCGCGCTTAAAAAGAAGGCCGGCTCGGTTGTCTCGGTCCGACTGGGTTCGGCAACTCCGGTCTTGACTAGGATCCGATACCCGATAATGACCCGGACCCATTTTCTACATATATTTTTTTAAAAAAGAGGCACAAATTATTATGAAATTTGTAGGAAAGAAGGCCGGGTTGGTTGTCCCGGTCCGAATCGGTTTGGCAACTCGGGTCCCGAACAGATTCTATACCCGATAACGATCCGGACCCATGTCCTATGATGCATATTGACCCATTTCCTTTTTTAAAAAAATGTCACAAAAATTATTATAAAGTTTGTAAATCAAATACAGTATATCATCCAAGAAGAGGGCCGGGTTGATTGTCTCGATCCGATTAGGCTGGGCAACTCGGGGTCCTGACTCAGATCCCATACCCGACAACGATCCGGACCATTTTACTATGCATATTAACCCATTTTCTATTAATTTTTTTATTTAAAATGTGGCACAAATTATTACAAAGTTTGTAAATCTAGTACATTATATCATCCAAAAAAGAAAGCCGGGTAGGTTGTCTCAGTCCGACTCAGTTGGGCGACTCAAGTCTTGACTAGGACTGAAGAGATGCAACTCAATAATGACTCGTTCTTCTGTTTACTTACTTAAGGAAATTAACCACTGTTTTTTTATACAAAACACATTATTATTATTATTATTATTATTATTATTATTATTCATTGCTATCCATTTTCTCTTAAAAAATTAAAAAAATGGTAAGAATGATTAAACAATTGTAACTCCAATACTACTTCATCCAAAAAGACTAACTATAAAGCTAACACGTTCCATCCATAAAAAATATGTAAATCTTACACAACTTTTTTTATTTAAGTCGTGTTATTTTTTTAATATTTGTTGTAAATAATAGTTTTACAATTTTTTCAGCATATTGCTAGAAGAAATTATGCATCAAGCTGCAGTCATTTGTATTGTAAAGAGCTTACTTTATGTTTCTATGAGAGAGAGAGAGGGAGAGAGAGAGAGCTGAACACATGTCTAAAGCATCAGGTGTTCTATCCTTATGATTGACATTGAAAGTTCTTCGCATATAGTCAACACATTTTTTCAATTTTTATCATTTATCATCGGCTTATACAATGGTTTTAGCTTCTTAGACTTCTTTTCCCCTTAGTTTCCAATAATCATCTCATTTTTTTACTTTTATTTTTTCACGTTTTTTCCATCAAGTTTGTTATTTTTCTCTATATTTTGATTTTTTTCCTTCCTTTCCTTATGGGTTTATTAACTTCTTTATTCATGCTAAGCATCACGTATGAGTATAATGTGAATGTTCTAAGCAGGTTTTTCTCTTTAGATTTTATGCAATAAAAAAATCATAGTTTTTTTTAATATTGATTTTTATAAGCATAATTTCATAAGCAAACCCTAACACACCAATTTGCCATTAATAACTAAAGAAGCCAAGATGAAACAATCTTGATTTTGCCAAAAAAAACTTAGGCTACACAAGAAATTATTGAAATTATTGAAATTATATCAACCAGAATCGAATCATACACACTCATTTCTTGCATGGTTTTCGTATAATTTATATGAAAATGATTTTTCCAAGGAAGATTAGGATCCGATGGTGAGTGTGAAATGAGTTGGCTATGAACAAATTTAATAACATTCCATTGAATTTAAGGAAAAACTTAAATATTATAATTACAGAAAGTAATCCATAAATGTCTTGGTGCATCCATAACATGGTGATGATCATGGAAAGAACCCAACAAGAGGATTCCCTTGGATATCTTCCTTGGTTGTGCCACACATATCATTTCCATTTTTGAACACATTCATTCATTTTTTTCATAAAAATAAATAACAAAACAAGAGTTTTTAACAAAATCTGCCTCTACTTGGTTGCATCACATAATTTCATTGCTGTTTTTGGATACTCATTTCTTATAAAAATAAATGAAAAAAAAAAACAAGGGTTCATCCCGGATCATTTTCTCCTTATTCGAAGAACATATACCATAAACATATCCATCACTTCTTACCTGGAGTAGAAAACATGTTCATCACTTCTGTTGACTTGTGCTATGAAACTTCTTCCCTTCTTCCACAGCTTCCCTGTTTCAACAGAAAAAAAATGGATGGTATAGAAGAAAAAAATCAGAAAAAAAACAGGGAAAATAATTTTTTTATAAGAAATGATTGTCTAGAATTATCTGAAGATCTTGATCTGTTGAGAATGAAAAACATTGTGGGAATTAATCATGACAAATGAAACAACCCATGAGCTGACTCCTGATATGATTCCTAATCCATGCCTCTTATCCTGCAAGAGAACTCCTTCTCATTCATCAGCTAAGTGATGGCAGACTGTGCAAAATCCAGACTGTCGCAGCCGGGATCACCCAGGCAGACCAGAGAGAGAGAGAGAGAGAGAGAGAGAGAGAGAGAGAGAAAGAGCACCGCTCTGAGAGTGTTACCCGGGTTTTATAGCCCTTTCTCTCCCCCAATAAGAAAACCCTAATGGTGATAGAGAGATTTGACATGAACAGTACCTGAAGGCAGACACAAGCTCCTGGTTTTCGGGATCGAGGAGCACGCCTTCATAGAATGCATTTGCCGCTTCTTCAAACCTCTGGAGAAGCAAAGGAATCCACAGTTGACAGCAATCTGAAGGAAGTGAGACACAAGTTCATGGCGGAGAAATGTGGGAGGAAGGCATGCCTGCAGCAGACGTAAGGCTACGCCCTCCCTGTAGCACGCTTTAGGCCAGTCCGGTCTTATTATTCTACAGGCCTTGGCATCACTCAGGGCACGATCTGCTTGCCCCAATCGAATCCAACACACCGATCTATTCGACAGCAGTGTGGCTTCAGTAGGGTCCAGATCAATCGCCTGTCAATGTGTGCTATATTAGTGAAGGCATTCAAATCCATCTTAACCCCATTTAGCTGAAAATGCTAGGAATTTTTAGATTACTTAAAAAGGAACTGTACTAAGAATGGCGTTGACCCGTAGGAAGAAACCTGTTCTAAGAAACATGTTTTCAAATAGCGTTGAAATATTGGCATGATCTGGGGTATTGACCTAAACTCATCTCGATTACATGTCTATGAGGATTCGAGAAAGCCTTAGACTGAGTCAACTCATTTGCCGACCAAATCATATCGTTTCTTAGTAAAGTATTCATCTAAAACTTTTGCCTGGTAAGATTCTGAGTTTGTCCTTTTTTTCTCCTCTTTAGCATGAACTATGTGACATTCTTCATCTGCCCTATTGGACTTGGACCGGGTCAACTCAAGCGCAGACCGAATGAGATTCTAAACTTCGTTTCGTAAATTTTTCAGTATCCCTTTTTTTTTGTTCTTAAAGCTGAAGGGTGCTCACCAAAAATGTGCACAAAATATTGGCATTGTTGTTACTTGAGCATCGACATTTGTCCATGTTTGCTAAATCATTAGTTAACATACACCATCATCGATATGTATTTCTTCCACTTCTATCACTTCCTAACTTTTCCTCTGGGTTTGATTCCAAACTAATGTTAAATCAATTTCTTCTTCGGAATAAGGTTCTGGTATCAAAATAATGTTTTAGGATAGCAAGTCGCATTGGATTGTACTCCCACATTAGGAGTATCAATATTGGAGGAAATATATTGTAAATCGGGTATTCATGCTTTTCCTTCAAGTCCTGCTTCTAAGATCCATGATAAAAATAGGGTTTTATCGTTTCTGGGGAAACCATGCACTTCATTAAACCTCACGAAGAATTATAGAAATTATTTTGTGTTACAAACAATCCATACAGCTAAATCAGGGTGGAGCTCATTTTATGTATTATTGGAGCTATATTAAAGCTCGAGCAACTTATGAGAAAAGCAAATAAAAATTGAAGACATATGTACATGAACTTGGAAGGTTTCTTCTTTCACATGTAAATTATAAAAATGAATCGAACAAACATACTCGCAAGTATGAAATGCGCTGTTCTTATTCATTGGCAGTGTAATGCTGATAAAAGGCAAAGTTGATGAAATGAACTTAACATAGACATTTTAATGGCAAGCTAATTATCTAACTAAGAAAAATCCAAACGTAAATTGTTGAAATTTGAAATAAATACTTGTGTATATGCATCTATTGCTCCCAGATAGTCTCCCCCTTTAAAAGATTCGTTTCCTCTTGATTTAGCTTCTAATGATTTCTCCTTTGCCTCCGGTGTTACCTGCGCAAAGGAATAAACAGACATGAGCAAATAAGTTTGTCTGTACCATTCATAAATTCGGAATGAGACAGGCAACATTAGTATATCCCGGAATAAATAGAATATCTTCAGTATATAAGCATTGTCAACGAGCCTATTTAGGTTTGGGATTCACGAATCCGCATTTCAACCACTGAAGGTCAAATGGTTTTCATTTTGACCAAAAAAATTGACACAGGTTTGCTACAGTACACGTGATTGTCCGGTCAAGATGAATTGAAAAAAACATATTTGATGCAATACAGAGAGAAATCAATATGAAGAGACGATGAACAGAAAATACACGCGAATCAGTATCCAAGCGCAAAAACAATGGGATAACACGTTAATGGGAACAGACCAACATAATTCTAACAATCCTCCAGTGAATCTAACTGCAAGCGTATTATAATGTAAATCGCTACATGAACGGATGATATTAATATGATAAACTAGAGCTATGTCCTATATTTAAATAACATACGATTTCAAGCCTTCTAGCTGGTTATACAACTAAACCTGACAATGCACAAGAATTCCACGTCCCTAGTTGTAGATATACAGATAGATACCTTCGCAGAATCAGCCACATGCAAGGGATTCTCCTTCTGAGCATCACCCTCAGTTTTTTCCTGCAAGATGCAAAGAATATCAACTAAAATAAAAGTAAATGAGTGATTTGCGTACAGCATTTCCTCACTGTTTGTTGGTTGGGAGGGGTAATGTACACCGCCATATGAAGGGAATGGATGATATTAATATGATAAACTAGAGCTATGTCCCATATTTAAATAACAGATGACTTAGTCAAAAATAAGCCTTCTAGTTGCTCATAGTTATACAACTAAACCTGATGTTGCACACGAATTCCACGTCCCTAGTTATTGATATATAAATAGATACCTTCACAGGATCTACCAGATGCAAGGGATTCTCTTTCCGTGCATCAGCCTCAGTTTTTTCCTGGAAGATGCAAATAATTGCAACCAAGATAAAGATAAATGAGTGGTTTGCGTACAGCATTTCTTGTATGTTGTGGTTGGGGGAGGGGGGGCGGGGGCGGGGCAATTTTATCATGTTTTTATCCCATAAGAAAATAATTACGAATTTAATACCTCTTGTTGCTTAAATTCAGATTGCATGAAATCAATTACTGCGTCAACACTCCAATCTTTGATTTTTTGAATAGGAAACGTCAAAGGCAAAAGGATCATGACAGCTTTACGATTGCTTCTCAGAGCAGCGGTTTGTATCGGCTTAAGACCATCCTGCAGTGAAAGGGAAATGGAGAAATACAAAAGTCTAAATTCAGCACTTAAAAATTTGAGGAGAAAACATGGAACCAACAACATAAAACTGTACGTGGGATTACTTCAGTACGCTCTGTACTAAAATTAACCACATGACCATCATCAGCATTTAAATATCTATTGCTATAATACTTTTGAAATGTTCCAACTAAATAATCACCAACGTAATGTCTAAGATAGATTGATAGTAATGCAAATGAATCACAGAATATAAGATATCAGGTCATGCAACAGCTGGAAAGGCCTGAGCATGATTTTACAAAGGGGTTGTATGCTCAAGGCAGAGACAAGACAGTATCGTAAAAGCAGTTATGCTAAGGCCAACAGTTTTATAGTAATTTTACAATAAGGCACTCGTACAAACACTTGCCAAGTTTTGACACAAGAGGGGTTAGTGTCATACTTGCACCAGTCATAAACCTTGCTCATTAGCCAGCGAGCTATCCCAATGTTCTTTCAATCATTCTATAATGACATCTTCATAGCAACAGTGTTTGTCATGTTTTAATATAAACAAGAAGGTTAGCGTCCCCGTGGCACCAGTCATAAAATTTTCTCTGGTTTCCAGATCTTTATGCTAATATGAGCTTTGCATGGGATAAAACTTGATAAGATGATTATTACTATTACAATGTTCGACAACACAGAAAAGAGAAGTGTGAATCATAGGTTGCATAGAAGAAGAGACGAGACGAAATGATGACAGCAGTTTCTTGTTTAATAAATTTGAGCACGACCGTCATTTCTATAATGTTCACGTATGGCACCTTTCAATTCCTTAACTATATTGTTCCCCACCACTATCCGTTCCATGAACTAAATGACAAAACGGCATCTCAAATTATCTGTTGAATGTGGCACGAACAGATCATTGGCAATCTTTCAAGCTACCATATTATATTTTTTTTCCTTTACACTTCAGAAAGAACATTAGTTTTTCACATCTAGGCCATCGGAATCGTCTTCAATATTTAAATGTAGAGTAACCTATTATTTCTCAAAGCATATACACCTACCTTACTATTATGCACGCACCGCAACAGATGAAACAGGATACTTCCAAGAGTAAGGGCATACGCGTGCAAGAATTGATTTCTTATGCTTTCTCATTCTTATCCTTGCTTTTCCAAAGTTCTCATATGTAGCTTGAGATAAGAGAAACAGACCTAAAGTTTCAACTATATACGGCCGGTAACCAAATAACCATCTCGTGCTGTCTTGCTAGGAAAGAATCCCATCTTTTCCAGGTTTACTTTCCAACATGAACTACCGACTCAAAAAGCTCAAAACAGCACACATGCAGATCAAGCAAAGGTGTATCCACGCCTGTTCCTTCTGTGAAAAGCTACGCCTCCTGATAAATTTAAAAAGCTGAAAATATGGTTAAAAATCAGCGTCACTTTTCAAATTAAAATTGAGAAACCAAATTTGAACATGAAGTTCTGGCAGCCAAGACAACAGCAGCATTTGGCATCAACAAATAACAGTAGATCGTTATATCAAATCAGAAATTGAAGCTGCACTCATAACACTCAACAGCAGGGCTACACCAATTGGCAGTCACTGATAGAAGCTACACACACGGTGTAGTAGCCAGAAAAAACCCAACCCAACAGTTGTAGTGGTCATCACCATCCCCACTGGTTAGAGTTGGGCAGAATTTGCAAATATGGCTATCAAAAGATAGGGATGGATGCATTTATAATTCTTGCAGCCACAAATTTATACTTTTGATTTGACAAGAGTGCAGAAAAAATTCCATGGTTTCAAGATGGCCTGCCAATTTCAACATATTTAAAATGAATCTCATCTGGATGAACGGTTTTTACTTCCACAGAAAGTGCAATACTGCATATTCCGCAGTTTTTTAAGACTAGAGCTATTCTAAATCTTCAGTCTTTACCACTAGGGGAGGCCTCAAGACATGAGGCATGTAGCAACGCAGATCTCGAAAACCCATCCAAAAATGCTCCGGATAATGGCAGCTTTGCATTTTATCGGGCAAAAGAGATACCAGTACTGTCAACAAGCAGCTTAAACGCACCTTGCTTCATTTAACTCGCTCCACTTAAGATGGCTTGTCCACAAAAGGATCAGATCAAGCTGCATAAGAACCTTTCATTCGGGGTAGAATCAAATAAAGGCTAACAAATTCATGATTGAGTAGTCTCAATCGTCACCAAGCAAGTACGATCAAGCTGTTTTATTAAACTTTCAAAAACATGGTTTGATTGTTTTCCCTACCATTTCTTTATAGAGCAGAGACTAGACAGGAACCTGCCATATTTTCCTCTCTTAGCTGCCCATTTTCATGTAATGGCCTGACATTTTCAGCCCAAGGTCTAATTTGGGAACCATCTATCAAAGGCTAGGCAAGTCCATGAGTTTTGATGTCACAAGCCATTTCAATACATTCACTTCATAGGCTTGTGAAAGAGTAGCACAAGACAATCTGAGAGACAGATTATCCAAATCACCATTGCCTTTCAATATTCCCATATGATGATACAAGTATTCATGTAATGTCAAAGTCAATTATCATGCTATGTGCAAGACAATGCCTAATTACAAATCCTAAGAGTGAAGCATTTGAGATTCCAAATAATGTTATTTCTGTCAACACTGGTACTGCCATGTAACCAAAAAATGGAAAGCAAATGTTTTGTTTCTTGTAAGCCCCAAAACCTGTGGTTAAACTATGAATAATGAAATAAGCAGACCAACCTCGTCTTCAGCATTAGCATCTGCACCAGCCTTTAACAAAGAATTGATAAGGTCAGTGCTCCCAATGTCAGCAGCTACATGCAAAGGAGTCGTTCCGCCAGCACTAACATTCACATCAGCACCAGACTGAGAAGAAAAGAAGTAAGACTAAATGACGCACATATAAGAAGGGTAATCATGGCACTGATACAAGATTTATGGGTAAAAATGCACTATCATTCTTCTGCTTAGTCATAAAACTAATTCAACACTCATCTAGTTCACATCCTCATCTTTAAAGGACAATTGATAGACATCAGCCAGACAGGTAGACAAGTCTTCATCATTAAATCATTTTCAATATATGATATGAATTCTGAAGTTCAACTACATTCACAAACTACACTAGTAAAAAACCAACAATTTGGCACCTATACTGCGCCTGGAAACTATAAAACTTTATCTTCGAAATGTAGACATATGTATAGAAAACTATTTCCTCGCAAGAAATCATAAATACGTGAATCATGTTACTAATTGCTCAGAGAAAAAGACAAGTAAACAGAAGTAAAAGCCAACTGGACCTTTTTTAGGCGTATCGACACTCTGTCAGAGTTCGAACATCATAAGCCAATAATGAAACATGGAGAGAGAAGGGCAGACCCACAGTTGACTTGATTCCAGAACAGAATCCTGGAAGCCCCAGAAAGCACCATGTTCTATTATAGAGATGGATATAATGGTCATTTATGGAGGATAACCGAACGGCTTTTTGTGCATTTACATATTGTCAGACTGGAGCAGGGATTTTTCCTCAGAAAACCCATAGCATGTCTGAAATTGTACTCACAATAACACTTAAATAAGTTGATGCTTGTTTTTTGTTTAGGCCTCTTACTCTTGAAAGAGTACAAAGGAACAAGGCTTCAATGCAATTAGGATTCATCAAGCATACAAACCATACAACTCTCCAGGTTGCCAGTATTTTTATTATTGATAGAGGAACCAAATAATCAAGCGAAAAACTAAATTTCCGTAGTTGTCTGCATGTAAAACTTTTTTATCAGTGTCTCTCCGTTAATGTTTACACATTTTCGGCTTTGTACAATTTTCTGGCATAAGGTTACAGGATAGGATTCGGATATGTAATAGGGCTCGACACATAATCTGTCTATTTCAGAAGAAACACATTTAATGGCATTACCAAAGGCTATGATATTACCGTTGACAACGGGAACCCATCGTAGTGATATGGGATTACGCAAAAGAATGGGTCAGAAATGACCATACCTCAATCAACAACTTCAAGCATGGCAATGACCCCGCGGCTACAGATGACAATAAGGGAGTTATATCGTCATCAGTATGGGCATTAGGCTGCAAAAGCAATGCATGTGAACATATCACATCAGTCTACAATCAATACTTTTACTTCAGTGGGATTGCATAAATGAGAAGACGGTTTGCATTTTAATAAGTTCTACAAACCATTTTTCTCTCGAAAAAATATGTTAATTTTAAAAGATGAGAGATTCTTGATGGATGAATACAAGTTAGCTTCCAAATCGCCGACGATTTGGAGAATTCTACAAAAACTCTGATAAATCACTGAGGATGGAAGTTAGCTTCCAAATCATTTGCCATAGTTTTTTCTTTCAACAGAACATGTACTTTAATGGAACTGGCAGAATTTCCTGCTCATGACAAGAACCAGAAAAAGCCCACACAAGTAAGAATCTAATTTCACTGATAGTTTACAAATTCACCACTGGACTTCTCTGTAAGCTGATCAGATGCTTTGAATCATCAGTTAGATATGAATTGTAATTTTTTGTTTATCACATAATCAATGATTAGACTCCAAGAACCAAAGAATCAAAAGGAAAAAATATATTATAATCACGGACCTCCCCTTCTCAAAAGTGTAAATTTCCCTTTTATTTGAAAAAGAAGACACGATGGGAACAAGAAAGCAACTGGTTGTAACAACCACTTGAGGTAAATTCAAGGAAAAGGAAACACTATTTGTCATAGAAAAATTAGTAAACAATCACTCAGGTGTTCAAAGAATTTACTATCTTAGAAAAGAGGTTCATCAGTGAAATATGTTTGCTCTTGCTTTCCTTTGATTAAGATACTAAGCTTTAGGAAAAAATAATATAGGAATAGATTCATAAAAATTCATCTCACAAACAAAAAAACTGTCTGTATAAAAATGTCATAGAGTAATGGCAAGATACATAAATTTTAACATGTCTATTTTTTTCAGGTTTCTCTGACTGAAGCACTGGAAAACATCCAGCAGCAACTTTTAAAGGAAGCTTACATTGGCATGGTGTTCTAACAGAACCTTTACGGCTTTATCTTGGCCGTGACCAGCAGCCCAAATCAGGGGAGTGCCAGACTCACAATGTGAATCCACATCAACGCCCTTTGCAAGCAAAAGATTAAGCAACTCAACGTTCCCTGTGTTTAGCCGGTATGAAAGTATTTAAATAGATAAATCAAACATTAAATTTAACTGATGAAGTAAGACACGTTAAATAACCAATACTGTTCGTGCACATAAAATCATAAAATAAAAGAGGACCTCTATTTAGCAGTGAAGCACAGTGCCCACCTCCCAATTACTCCATTGCTGGGGAAGAAACTAGGTAACATCAACAATTTCATATTTTTTTGTTACAACCTTCTTCCTTGCAATCAAGCATGTTAGTTTATCCATAGACTCCTCGGAACCTTCCTTGCAATTAAAAACATTAAATGAAATACTAGAGTATATCCGTTATTTTCTCTAAACTCTTTTTTTCTAGTGGCTATCGTGGAATATCATCATCCAAAGCAAGTGGTTCTTACTATTTCACTTAAAAAGAAGAATGTGTGGATCATCTAGGAGAATATTCGTAGTTTCGAATTTATTCAACAACAACAACCACGCAGGCAAAAGATGACCAGAATCAATGGCACCCAATTAAAAATCTTCATAAACATTGACGATTCTTGGATTGAATCTTCAATGAATACTAAATAAATACAGATAAAGGAATCAATAAGAAAAGATTGACTTTAAAGGAAATAAATGAACTTTGAATTTTATTCTACTTTTATTCTATTAAATATATGACTATTTGTCATACTCCATTCCACGGTTTATCTTTTATTAACTTCACTTATTTTACAACTAGAGTTGTCTTTAAGACCACTTTAATCTCAGATAAATCAAAAAGTCCAACCATACTTACTCATTAAGTTCATAGTCACATCAAATCAGAGATTTTTTTTCTTTGAACCTAAAAGTAGTCAGAATGACTCCAAAAAAAAGAAGTTGAATGAAAACACCAAAAGCTCATAAAAACACATTTCCAAACAGTTGAAATAATTTTTTCGTGCTCCTAGATGATAAATTCATCAGAATTAACCAAATTCATGTAAACCTGTTCCAGCAGAGTGATGCAATGAAGTAGCGCCCAATTCACTGCTAGCAGCAGGCTCTGCTCCACGCTCAAGGAGATACTTCGCTGTGACAATATGTTCTTGACGGGAAGCATGGATAAGAGGTGTCTCACCTGAAGAATATAAATTTCACCACAACATCACATGGTTGACACTAAACGTATAAACTGAGTCTTCAAAGAAAAACTAAGAAGTGCACTTGCGTAAGACATGAATTTTGATGTCAAAAGAGGCCACAATTTTGATATAAAATATTTTTGTACCATTATTAGACTTGCATGTTCGTCAAGACGGTTATAAGCCTATGGTGCACACGTAAAAATAGGTTGAAGGTGAAAGTATATCCAACAAATATTCCTCAAAGGAGCGAAACTGCTTGAAGAGGGTACCTATTTGGTTATCTCATGAACTTGAACAGAATACGATCCAAATGTATTCCATAACTGATTCAAGATAAAGATAGACTATACTGCATGGATGGCTTTAAGAAGAATTCAATTTTAGACTGACAAACACAGCACTGGCAAACAGTGCTATTTTAAGGAGGCGACAACTACATATGCACTTTTTTCTGGTTTAAGATAAAAAAAACTATATCTTTTTTTTCAATGTTTTGCATATAGAGAAACAAACAGGAAAGCAAAACCATTATTGAGACAATCAAAGAAATAGTGTGGTTAGACCTACTATCTTCGTCCCTGATATCGACGTCCAGACCCAGCTCCTCGATGAGATACTTGCAGATACTGGTCTTCCCCTCTCTTGCGGCAAAGTGAAGAGCGGTCCTCTTGTTCGCGTCCTTTACATCAGCGACCGTCCTTGCCAGCCCCTTATCACCCACGTCCAGCTGCCTTGCAAGCTCTGTCGCACCCAAGAAAAAACAAATTAAACGAAAAGGGAACGTAAAAAAGGAAAAAAACACATCGAAAACAGGGAACACGACAGTCTAAGAGCTGGAGATACTCTTGAAAAGGTCGAGATTTCCAGCGCAAGCCGCCTCCAGGAACTTCTGAACTTTATCTCTAACTAAACATCACATAAAAAGAGCGAAGATCATAATCCAAAACCACAAGTTCCTCCGCAGGAATCAAAAGAGTCATTCATAAAATGCACTCGAAAAGTCCACTGGTGAAGTTCTCCTCGCTCAGAACCTGCCAGAGCTGCCGCAGGATTGGAAGCCATTGTCATCAGCTATCCTCCCTAAGAGAAGGAGAAGCCGCGAGAAGTCGCGCCGAGTTCAGTGGCTTCCTCAACGCCGGCAAGGGTTTCTACTGCTCACAGAAGAGAGGGAAAGACAACTAGAGGTGACCCATCTGTTTAAATCAAGCTCTTAAACCCTTCAATCCCCACCGAAGCGCCCTCCCCGGTCCGGTCCAGCCGGTTTACTTCTTCCTGAACCGGTTAAGCTTCACCCCGATCCAACCGGTCTCCTCTACCATCCACTGCAAGTGAAACGGCCCTATCGAACCCAATTTTTCTGCATTATCATAATAATAATTGACATTAATGATTCTCAACATAGGCATATTTTTTAATAATAATATATATTCTCTATAGTTTTTTACCATCAATATGTTTGATAATAATAAGCTTCGACCTGGTTTTAGCCCCTCCCAAGTTGGACTATTTCCTCTACCATCCACTACAAGTGATAGATCAAATTGAACCCCTATTTTTTTACAATATCATGATAATAATTAGCATTTTTGATTCTCAACATACATATATTTTCTCAATAGTAATATCTATGTTCTATGGTATTTTTAGCATTACTGTGGTTTTACTATAATTAGGCATTTCATAATAATCTATGTTGTATGATATGGTTTTTGATGATATTATTTTTTTATATTATGATCATTTATACTTATATGGCACCAATTAGTAAATTCTGTTTCATATTTTTCATTATTTAGCACTACATACATGGTATTGTTTTTATAATATATATATATATCAATTTATATAGGTTTTTTTATTGTGGATTTTCATTTAATGCCACTCATTTAAATACAGATTATTGTGACCAAACCATCCCTCATGTTCTTGGGATCTCATAGAGTCTCATCCTTTCCAAATACAAAGTATTATATTTCAATTTCTTTAATTTTTTATTTTTCACTAATTATTGCAAGAAATTATGTTTGTCATTGTCAAGGTGCTAAAAATTATGTTTGCCTAAAAATCTTAGATATCCAATTTCCTATATGCACATATAATTGCAACTATACTTGATATTGATTATAAACACATAGGAATGGACTATGTTATTGAATCCGTTGACATATTCCATTCAAAATCGTTCCCTATAATAATTACAAATAAAAACTAAGATTAACGAAGATTGATCACCCATAAGGGTTGATATTTTCTACATAATAACATAGCAAAAATGTAAGTAAATTGAGCAATCATGTTCTATTTTTGGAAAGCTGGTGCCAGGTTCCTCATGGCATTTTCCAATTGTTATCTTAATCTAGCTATTTCTATTCATGACAAAGAAAATATTAAGAAAAGTGTAGATTGGCATCTCATAACCTTGTTATTTTCTATATTGATAAGGTCAACGATTTATTTCAATGCACTAAGTGATTATGCCACCATTTTTGGATGATTTTATTCCATTATATGAAGATCGTGTTAAAATTTCCACATTTTTATCTAAGTAAAAAAAGCAACACTTTTTTAGATAAAAAAATATTTAACTCCCATAAAAAAGATTTATGCTAAATTAAGTAGGTTATTATCTTAATATAAGTTTAAATAATTGGTACGAAAAATTCTCTATAAACAATAATTAGGGATCTCTGTTAAAATACACTCAAGTATTTGGCAGTAAAAAAAAACCCATAAATTCCTACCAATCTAACTCCATAGTAATCACACGTTGATGATAAATAAAATATTCATGACTTATTACGCAAAAAACATTTAATGAAAAAGGCAATGTTCCTTGTATACAAAAAAATAGTATGCTTATGATTTCATATTCTAATAAAATTTAATTATATCACAAAGGTGTACCTTGTATTCACAAAAAATAATATTACTTATGACTTTATTGCTAATGAAATTTAGTGACACGAGAAAAGTGTACCTATTTTTTTAAAATAAGAATATTAGTTATGATTTTATATACTAATGAACTTTAATTATATCAAAAAATGTAGAAAAAATATAGCAAATGCAATGGGTTTCTACATCTTATTGACTTATTTATTGAAATTAATGAGAAATCTGGTATAAAAAGGCGCCTTTAGATTGTGACACCTCAAAAAGAGGAAACCTAATATAACAAAAAATATAGAGAAAATAAATGGATGGGTACGTGGAAGCATATAAACACGCCACGATACAATATTGAAGGGTATTTCCGTCAGGGAAAGAGTCGTCCCCTTGGCGCCGCGGGTAGAGAAGATATCCGCCCAAAAATCTCTCTTCGTCGAGCTCCCTTCTTTTCTCTCTCATCCGCCATCGTTACCACTCATCTGAAGCTCTCTCTCTCTGCCCACTCTCTCTCCCTCTCCCTCCCTCTCTGCCTCTCTCTCTCTCGCTCTCTCTTTCTCTTGCTCTCGCTCGCGCTCTCTCTTTCTCTTGCTCTTGCTCTCGCTCTCTCCATCTCTCTCTCTCTTTAAGAATCGCGCTCTCTTCATCCCTCCTCAGCTGTGGCGGCAGGCTGTACTCTAAGCAGGTAGTTCTACTGGCTGGCTGTACTCTAAGCAGCTCAGAAGTGATGATGGGGGCCTTCGCCCCCGCCGCTTGCCAATTCCATGCCGGCGCCGGCACCACCGCCGGCGGAGCTGCGGCGGCGGCCGCCGCCACCACCACCTTCCTCTTCATCGACTCCCTCCGCGCCTCCGTCGCCTGCATACAAACCCGCCGCCGCTTCTCTCATTTTCTCCGCCACTCCCATTCCTCTTCCTCCTCCTCCCCATCGACAGCAGAGACCCACCGGAGGGAAGAGAAGCTGCCCAGGGGGCCGCCGGAGTGGATGGAGAAGTGGGGGAGGGGCGGCTTCCGGAGCTTCCGCAGGAGGCCCCAGGCCGCCCTGGACTACCGGGGGAGCTTCTCCAGCGACGACGAGGAGGTGGGGACGAGCCGGAGCACTGGGAGTAGCACGATGGAGAGGATTGTGGAGAAGCTCAAGCGATTCGGCTACATCGACGAGGGCCCCCCCGAGAGGAAGGACAAGCCTCCGCCGGAGAGGGGCTCAGTGGAGGACATCTTCTACGCTGAGGACGGGATCCTTCCCGACACCAGGGGGGGGCTGTCGTGGGACCTGACAAAGGAGAGGGAGGTCCTTTTTCCCTGGGAGAAGCGGGAGGGCAGCGGAGAAGCGGGGGACGCGCCGCCGGCTCGCCGGAAGCAGAGCAGGACCTCGCTGGCGGAGCTGACGCTGCCGGAGACGGAGCTGCGGAGGTTGAGGCACCTGGCGATAAGGACCAAGTCGAAGATCAAAATTGGCGGCGCCGGGGTGACCAGAGAGATCGTCGACAGGATCCACGAGAAGTGGAGGGCGGAGGAGGTGGTCAGGCTGAAGTGCGAGGGCCCGCCTGCGCTTAACATGAAGAGGATGCATGAAATTCTGGAGGTGAGCTCGCCCTACCATACCTTCTCTTCCTCCATTTTCTGGAAGTGATTGGGCATCATCATCTGCTTTTGATGAACAAACCTCCTGGTAATAATTTCCATGGATTATATTCGCTAGGAAGTGAGAACTAGAAGCCACTGCCATACATTGTTCTCAAGGATGGAAGATTTAATGGCTTGGATTGAATGGCTATTCTTCTAGGAAAGCTTGACGAGCCCAAATAGAAGAATAACAAGAAGATTCCTGTTCTGGTGCTGAAAGCGTTCTGGTAGAATTTTACCATCGACTTTTGCTCTGATCAGCAGTCCCTTTGGGAAGGAAATTCTAACGCCTGAAAGTGGACATAATGTACATAATCAGTGGGAGGGAGGAACTCAGATCTGCTCAACTGAACCTGCCATGATTATACTTTTAACATGCAAGAGTTTGTAGGAAATTGTATTTGTTGATCATTTATTTCGGATTTCTGAGCAAGACACAGATTTCTAAACGTTTTTGGAATCATCGTACCCTATTTTTCATGGGTCTTTTCTCTGATGCGTTAGACCTTCTATGCACGCCCATTGGTACAATTTTTTTAAATAATCATTGCCATCTGATTATGCTTTTAAGGTATTTTTAGATCTATATATGCATGTTCATTTCCCACTTTGATTAGTTTGACACATTTTCAATCATGTTTGACGACAAGGCTTAACCACTGGTTGTCAGAGAAAAACTGGAGGGCTGGTTATATGGAGGTCAGGGAGTTCTCTTTCCTTATACAGAGGACTGGGCTATGAACTAACGCAGACACAGAAAAAGCCAGTCCAGGATGCCCATGTGAGCAGGAATGGCTACAGTGGTGAGTCCATGGAGGTATCCTTGGAAAAGGATAGCAGAAGCTACGCACAACCTCTTGATGAAAGCCTGATTTCTTCCACTGAGAAGAAAAAGGCTAATGAATCAGCCAAAGAAATAAAATATGAGCATGAAGTGGACAAGTTATTAGATGATCTGGGTCCGCGATATGAAGATTGGCCAGGACCTGATCCATTACCAGTGGATGCAGATTTGCTTCCAGGGGTTGTTCATGGTTATAAGCCACCTTTTAGAGTTCTTCCTTATGGGGTTCGACCAGCCCTTGGAATGAAGGAAGGGACAGCTTTGAGGAGGCTTGCTAGAGTGCTTCCCCCCCATTTTGCCCTTGGTAAGTCTTTTATTCTTTTTAATACGATGTTTGATGATTTGATTATTATACTATACCATTAAGAAAATTTCAATGGTTTCTCACTTTCAGGAAGAAGCAGGCAGCACCAAGGGTTGGCTGCTGCCATGGCAAAGCTGTGGGAAAGAAGTTCCATAGCAAAGATTGCCCTAAAGAGAGGAGTGCAGCTCACCAGTAGTGAACGGATGGCTATTGATATCCAAGTAAGGCCTTTCATCCTTATTTCGTTTTGCCATGGATCTGGAAATGATGGGAAAAAAAGTCTTGGCATAACTGTAACTTGTTTCTTTAAGGTTGTACGGATCCGCCTTGCTCCGATCAGATTTAACTTCAGGAAGGTTGGATTCAAGTGGAAATTATGTGAAAAGTGTCCCATTGAAAAAAACCCAAAGTTAGAAGATATTATAGAGTATTCATCATTCAGTAAAATAAAAATGGTCTAGTAAGGATAAATTACATCAACTATGGCTGTGGGTAATATCATGTGTGGAAGAGAATTAGTTCTGTAGACCCTACTTTGAAATAGGATCAATAAGAGGGGAAATGACGTAATGTGGTTCATTTAATTCTCAAACCTACTCACCAACCAAGCCACCCTTGGGATTTAGTAGGTTACCTTTAAAATATTACAAATAGCATTTTTCAGTCGCTAATTCAGGCTTTACATGGCAAAAAAACCTTGCTGATAAGAAAAAAAAAAGTGAAACACTTGCAGTAACCTTCAAGAGAGGGAATGAAGATCGCAATGGCATAGTGAGCTTCAAGAGGATCCTTTTTCTGATGATCTTTGAACCCATGCGAGTGGAATATTCTTCTTGATTTCTCTAGTTTAATACTCTTTCCCAAATAATTTGATTCTTTTGTTGGTTGAACCTTTGGGGTTGGTGCTTCTTCAATTGTCTTATAGATATTCATCTCTAAAACTATTCCCAGTAGAATCTCTAACAGTTGTTGCAAAAAATATGCATTTTGAACTTAATCGACACTTATGGATGCCAGGTATCTAGACTTGATTCTAATGGTTATGAGAGGTGCTGACCCCTCAAAAGTTTTGGTCCCAACACATACTCGAGATTCCGTAACAGTGCTAATAGGTGTCAGCCTTTGAGGTATAACTTTCAAATCACTGGTTTTAGTGTGTAGGTGACGAGCCTTTGCCTATAACTGACAAAACTTTTAAGGGTTATCTTCTACTAAAGTTGTAGGTTTTGAGTCATTGTCTACTACATTTGCAGGCGTCAACCCCTTGCTTATGAGTGACTAGACCTAATCAGTCATCGTCTAATATGTTTGTAGGTTTCGACCCTTTGCTTGTTGGTATTGACCTCTGTGGTTTCTGTTTTTCTAGTTCAGGATAACCTTTTTCCTATTGGTGTCAACACTTACATCCTTGAATTTGAAAATTTCACTGCTTTATTGTATGGGAGATGAGACTCTTGATCCAACCTCCTTTTCAAAGGATATGCTGTCTCATAAAAATAATTCAGGGTGATTTTATGAACTGAACAGGTTCTAATTAGATAAGGTGGCGTCATTAACTACTAAACAAAGAAAAAAGTATAGGTAACCAGAGAAGGCTGGCGACAACTGATTTATGTCAGATTATGCTATTGAAAAATGTGTGGACAAGGAAATACATGAGGATGGAGACAAAAGATGACATTGAAGTCTAACTTGGTCTACATGTTGGAGGATAATGAAGTGAGATTGACGGCCTGTTGTGACTGGTGACTAGCTGATGAGGCATTGCAGCTATAAACATCGAAGCAAGGGATGGACCTTCCAAGATACCTTGTAAAGAATGAGGATTTGTTGATGCCACAATGAAGAGTGCGTGAGATTGGGAAGATGGAAACGTCATTGTAGTGATAAACAAAAACTGGATCAAGAATTCACAAAACTAGGATTAGACCGTAGGTTATAGAAAGTGATCGGTGATCAGAGATGTGCTAATTGAGGTTTCTAGAAATGATTTTGAACCATGGGTGTTGAAGAATGAATTATTTGGCTTTCTTTGATTAATTCAAAGGTCAAAATTTCTGCCAGCATCTAGGCAATCAATACTTTTCCCCCATGGAAAAACATGTTAGATGGGGCTTTGATCCATACAATATCTTACAGTTTTGATTTTTTATTCTGTATTTTTGATTCGCTGCTTCAGGGTTACATATCAGATAGGAACTAAAGTTTCCTCGTTTAAAGGGATTCATGCTCACTTATTCTTCAGAAGAATGAAAACTTTACGTAAGAGAACATGTGTATAATGCTCTCGTAGAAACTTCAATAGGTGAATAAAGAAATATTTTTGACTGTTATATGCTGATGTTTCGTTGCAGTGACCAGTCTGGGTTGATGTTTGAGGTATTCCAATCCTGGAAACTCTGTTTAGTTACTCATCAGTAACTGCTCAATTTGCTTCTGGGCTGTGAGTTTTCTATATCCATATGGATCATTCTACCATTCCATGAGACATTTCCTGTCTCTTGTACAGTCAAAATTCTTGACAACACTAGGGATTGTTTGACTCTTTCGATGATGAGATATTTACTGGTTTTTTATTCATTTCAAGGAATGTCATTTATTCAGTATTATTCTCTTCTATTTTGAATGTTCTGGATTATAGATTTCTCTGAATTTCCCTTCTTTTCCCTGCTTCTCATCGAATAAACTTGCTGCAGCAACTTCTTTTCTTTCAAATTCTTATCATGCAACTGTGTGTTTATACTTGATAGAATTTTTTTCATGGATTGTGAAAGCTGGGTACTTACACAGTTGTCTTATGGTTAATTGCAGAGATTGACCGGGGGTATCCTTCTTTCCAGGAACAAGGATTATATTGTGTTTTATAGAGGAAAGGATTTTCTGTCCCCAGAGGTAGCTGAGGCATTAATGGAAAGGGAAAGACTGGCAATGGTCTTGCAAGAGGAGGAGGAGCAAGCACGTTTGCAAGCGTCTTCTTCTGTGCTTCCAGGCATTGAAGCAGTTGAAGAATCTGGAAGTACTGGTACTCTTGAGGAAACGCTGGAAGCCAATGCCAGGTGGGGAAAGAAGCTGGATGATGATCACAAGAACAGGATGATGAGAGCTTCGGAAGTGGCAAGGCATGCACAACTCGTCAGGAAGCTTGAGAAGAAGCTTTCCGTAGTAAGCTAATAAATCCTGAATATTCGAGTGATTGCTGTATAAATAGTAATTTCTTTTCAAATTTCATTTATCGTGTTCCCTCAGGCAATATCATATTTTTCTATTGACGCATTGCCAAAATTTTCTTCAACAATATTGACTCTTCTGTTTCTTTTGTGTCTTATCTTCACTTTTAGTGAAAAAAAGAAGTTTTGCCTGGATTCCTTTAAGGTCAAACATCCCAAAATGCTGAGTTATTGTAGAATGATTCTTTTTGGCTCTTTCCTAATCAATTTACTTGTTGAGATATGTAATGTCCATACTGATCATCCTGACTACTGGTTCTGTGATGGCTGTGATGTCGTGCTTTCTGTTACTCCTTTAATGGAGTTTTACCGCTCTATAATAACAGTCAAAGTTGAGCTAGTTTGAATATGCTGCGCAGAAATTCAATGAAAATGGGCTTATTTGTGGGAATTTGAATCTGGGCTAAAAAATTTACGGAAATACCCACACATTTTTTTTAATATTTATCATAAAAGTTCTACCGATGAGGTATGGAATATTATGCCTATTTTAATTTTGTTTGAAAATTCCATTTTTTTGGTTTTTTCCTCTCATTTTACTAAAAGCTGGGCTGAATTGGCCTCAAACAAAATGCAGTATCTTATGATACGTAATATGTGTATATATCAGAACAGAATATCTGAAAAGAAAGACACTGGGATTGTATTCATAGTGGTGTCATGTAGCAGTAGTGTGTGAATGGATCTTGAATCTAAGAGTATTCTATATTCTTTATAACAATTTTTTTTTGTACCATGTTAAGCCTTTTCGATGTTGACATTTGCATATGATGAACAGGCAGATCGCAAATTAGTGAAAGCTGAGAGAGCTTTAGGTAAAGTGGAGGAATTCTTGAAGCCAGTGGAACCTAGATCAGATCCAGAAAGCATTACTGATGAAGAAAGGTTCATGTTTCGGAAACTTGGCTTAAGAATGAAGGCTTTCTTACTCCTTGGTAACTATCTATGCTTAATTCTGTGAAATGGGAAAATTTAGAGAAAAAAACGTAATTATTTATTTCCTTGAAAGAGAATCTAACTCCTTGATTTTCATTATTATTCTTTTGATTTTTTATTCTTCTCAGATTTTATTGATCCAAGTATACAATTCACATTAGCATCTTTATTTTCTTAGAAGTTCCAGGATCTTACCTCTGGAAAATTTCTAGGTCGACGTGGGATCTTCGGAGGAACTGTGGAGAACATGCACCTGCACTGGAAGTACCGGGAGCTAGTTAAAGTAATAATAAAGGCTAAGAACTTTGCCCAAGTAAGAAATGTTGCTCTATCGCTGGAGGCTGAGAGCGGCGGTGTTCTTGTTTCTGTGGACAAAATCTCAAAAGGGTTTGCTATAATTGTCTATCGGGGAAAAGATTATCACCGCCCGCCTTCTTTGAGGCCCAGAAACCTCTTGACAAAGAGGAAAGCTTTAGCACGGTCCATTGAGCTTCAGAGGCGTGAGGTACGTGTTGAGTTCAATCGAAATTTTTATTTTTAGTTACCATTTCTGCACAAATCCTCCAAAATTTCTGCACATGATCGTTTTCTTCTTCTGACTTACCTCCTCTGGATGATAAGAGAGAATATTCTTGTCGCCCATTTTGATCTCTGAGCTGATAAATGTCAACGTCTCCTCTTTTCGAGCAGGCTCTTCGTCGGTATATATCTGGCTTGCAGAAGAAGGTGGAGCAGCTGAAGTCTGAACTGGTATATTCTCCCCTCTAGCTTCCTAAATAGGATACATTGCCTTCCACGATAGTTCTCCTAGTAGTTTACCAGCCTTGTTATTTTTAGGATCAAATGGAAGATGCCAGAGATCGAGGTGATGAGGATCTGTATGTTAGACTCGATGCTGCTTATTTGACTGCAGATGAAGATTCAGAGGTGGGTCTTCAGCTGTTCCCGGTGTCGACTTTAATCAAAAGCTAAAAACATTTATGGTCTTGTGGAAAACCTAACCTCTTCAAAACTCATGTGCAATGGCTACCCAGGAGGAGGGCGATGAGGCTTATCTGGAAACCTTGGATGGGTCAATGGATGATGATGAGGATGATGATGAGGATGATGATGATGCTGAAGCTGAAGGCTATGGTGAGGACTCTGAAGAGGAGTTGGTTGATAGCTTCGACTCAGTATTAGATGATTACTCTGGTCAACTGATTGAGGCAAGCGATGATGAAACATACTCAAAAACGGTAGGAAAAGAAGAGCATCATCTTTGATACTAGCTAAAGATGTGAGTGATTTCTAAAAGGAGAAGGAAAGCTATGTATTGAGAAATCCGCATTGATGCCTGATTCTTGGGAAGCCATGGAGAAGACTAAAATTGATGCCCCACGTTTTCCTCTTTTGTGGGCGAGGCTTAATCTGCCTTCCTTCCTATTTTTGAGGAGATGGGTTGACTGACAGAGCGAGAGTTCAGCTACTCTTGGCCGCATTTCAAGTCAACTCATCGCGATAAAAGGTGGACATCAGCCTTTTCCTTCATATGAAGAATGTTAATGAGTCGCTTTGACTTCCTCTTCTGGTGGGCAAGGCTTACTCTGCCTTCCTTCCTGGGTTGACCAGAAGTGCAAGGGTTGTGTTACCGTCAGGCACATTCGAAGTCAACCCATGGACAGAATGAATAAATATCAGAATCAGAATGAATTTGCTTTCTTTCCCTCTTTCCGTGAACATGGCTTGGCTTGATCTGGTTCAAGCCCTCTTTTGAGGTGGTGGGTTGACTAAAAAAACAGGGTTTGACTTCAAATCCAGTTCATGGGCATACATAATCAATGTCTACCTTGTTAACAATTTTGCTTTATTTCAAGATCAGGGCACTGAAAATTGTTTCCACAGGTTCTGCAGGGAGGAGAGATGGTCATTTTGGCCTAGCACAAGAACAAGAGAACAAAGAGTGGGTTCACACTGAATCTTGCTAATTTTATTTTATTTTAATGCGCAGAAAATCTTGGTCTTTCCGGTGCCGAATTTCTCTAATTCTTTGCTGTTGATCAAGAGAAACCCATTTGAATGTGTGATTGACCATTCATGATGGCCCCATTTCTGTATGGTTTGTCTCCATCATCCACTCTGAGCTAGGGTTTTAGCTGATATTCTATTGATTCCACTGTGTTATTTAGATCAATGGGTTTATTTGACATAGTTGAGGGTTTGACTCTGGGCATTGACCAATCTTACCCTGGCCTAAGGTCATTGTCTGGAGAGATGTGAGGTGGATTGTAGAACAGCTGGAAAGAAGAGAGACAGAGTTAGTTGAGTAGAGAGGTGAGAGGATGGAGTGTCGATAGAGAGTTAATTTTTTCAATCATTAAAATGGTATTATAGAAGAAGGTTCATTCTCATCTCATCAATCTTATCTCCCAAAATGGTCTTCGGAGGGCTCATTCTCATATGTTTTATAATTTGCTTGATGAATTGGGATAGTCCTACTAACTGGGTTTGACTTTTCTTGCTGTTTTGAAACAATCAGCTGTTGTTGGCTGCTTTTTGATACGCAGATCTATCTATCTATCTATCTATCTATCTATCTATCTATCTATATATATATATAGTAGCTGAATTGGTCAAAGAAGACGCTATTAATGCTTTCATCTGATTAATTTGGCTGATATTAATTAATAATATCGTAAGATTCCAAATATATGATACACATGATCTTTAAGTATGAAGCATGTTGACATGTCAACATGATACGCAGAATCTGGACATTGATAGCTTATGAAGCATGTCGAGATGATCTTAAATTTGTGACATAATTATCATATAATTTATGAAATTCTAATTACATAATTATAGTTATTTTAATCCTAAATAAAGTCAATCATGTAAGAGACTATTACGTACTTGTCAAAGAAATTTGACTTTTTTTTTTACTATTTTCTCATGAATTCTGCTGTGTTTATTCTGAGCAAATAAGAATGGGTTGAATCTAATGAAATCATGTGAGTTCTTTGCTGAAATAATCGATAAATTAGACTTTTTATCACTCTAAAATACGATAAGTTAATGGGAGTAAATTTTTATTTGAAAAATATCCTGAATAAGTTAATATATATATCTTTGATTAAATAATAATAATAATCATCATCAACGCGTCATCCGTCACCATTTGATGATCAGATGCGAATGGGATGATTTTTTGATTGGACGGTTGAGATAAGATTCTTTCCCATTTCATTGGTCGTCATCTGCTTTCTTTTCTGTGGGTGAATGGTACACGAACAAGTTATAGAGAAGAATAAATAAATTATACCACGTGGAGATACCTACAGAGTGACCTTCCTCGAAGTATCACAAGACGTGTTGAAAAAAGTTTCCTCATCGGCCGACATCAGGTGGACCCAGTCGGAACATTTTCGTTGACTTTGGACAATTCCGAAGCTTCCACTCCACTTCAACAAGGGCCTGCTGGACCGTCGTCTCCACTTCGTTCGTAGTCATCTGCTATTTTTCCAAAAGAGTAAAATCACTCAGAATTATCCACTCGCAAGGATATGTTGACCTTAAGAAACAACATATATAGGTATATATTTTGTCAACGCGGGTTTGGAGAATATAATGTTTATAGTTCGTAGATAATGATAATTAACATCATATTATAGGCATTCTTATAAACCCTATACCATACAGAAAAAACCAATTTATTTATTTATTTATTATTAGTTATTGCATATTGGTGAACCTGGAAATACTCGAGAGAAGATATTATCAAATCTTGCAGGATTATAATTAAGCATATAAAGCAGTAATAGAGAGAAGATGATGATGGGAACTGACCTCGGTTTGGACGTCTATGACGGCGGAGAGCTCACGGTCGCCGGCGATGGAGCGGATGGACCTGGCCTTGACGTCCATGCTCTTGAGCCTCTGGAGGGCGGCGATCATGGAGTCAACGGGGGAGGAAGGGTTGCCGACGCGGAATCGGATGGTGGCGCCTTCGGTCCTCTCGTCGCCCATGGCTGCGGCGGCGGACCGGAGTTCCTGGTGTCGCCGATGGAGGGCGTCCCTCGTTCTCTTCAGTCCCCAGACGTACGACGCCGCCGCCAGGACGATGGAGTTCTTGTCAGTCTGTGAGTAATAGGCGGATGTTTATAGATGGAACAAGGCCGATTCATTGGGTTCACCCGCTGCCATTTTCCTCTCTCTCTCTCTCTCCCCCCTTCTCACATGTATCTATCTATCTATAATGGGAAGGAGAAAATCAGAGGGGAGGAAGGGATTGCCTCAGAAAGAAGGCCAATTGATGGGATTTTCCATCTCTAATTTCCCCTCCCCCCCTCTCATTGTCTTATTCTCTCTCCGTCTCCGCTGGGGAGAAAAAGATCAGATGGAACAGAGAATGAATGCCCTCATCAGAAAAGAAGCCCAATTGATGAGCTCTCTTCCTCTCTCTCTCTCTCTCTCTCTCTCTCTCTCCTCTCTCTCTCTCTCTCTCTCTTCACTACCTCCACCTACAATGTGGAGAAGAGAATCATCTAGAGAAAAGAAGAAATGCCCTCAGAAAGAGGCTAATTGGCGAGTCTCTCTCTCTCTCCTCAGATTCAAGTAGGTAATTGACAGAAGAAGGAAAGATGGGGGACCTTGGGCTGGGGGTGTATCATGTGGTAGAGGTCTGCGTAGCTCTGGCTGAGCCTCTCCCTCCGCTGCCGCTCCCTCATCATGTGCCGCATACTCCTGCTGCACTCCACCTCCTTCTCCCTCTTCTGCACCGGCATCCTCCTCAGATACTCTATCATCCTCCGGTGGATGTTCACCCTTCCGCCGCCGCCGCCACCCACTCTCCGTCTCTCCCTCCCGTACCTCCTAAAGGCGCTGCCTTGCACCGCCGGCGGCGGTGGTGCCGGTGCCGGCGCCGGCGCCGGCGCCGGAGACGACTCCCACCCGAGAAGCTCTTCTGCCATTGGGGCGGCGCTGCTCTCCTCCTCCAAGGCGAACATCCCCCACGGGATCACATCCGACCAGAAGGAGAGGTCCTCCATCAGCGGCGGTGGCACCGCCGACGCCATAGCTGATTCCTCGTAGAAGACGGGAAAGTTCTCCATCTCCATCATCTCTTCTTCTACTCCTCTTGGGTTCTTCTATCCTGCATTTGATGCTCTCCTTCTGGACCAGGAGTGGACTGGCTTCCCCTTAACTTCTGTCCCCAGCACTTTATATTCGGAACTCAGCACGTGGACATTTCCCCCAACTTTCACCACGTGGTCAAAGTGGGTTTTCTACGGCAAAGTTGACTCGGGAAACCCTCCCCCAAAAAAGGGGAATAAAACGTGACGATTTCTAGCACATGCTGGAAAGGAAGGCAGAAGGAAGGTTCATTTCCAGCTTCTCAGAAGCATCCTTTCCTATCACGTGCGCTATCCGCCTCCGCGCCGCCATTCTCTCAACCAATGAGAACTTGCCATTATTATTTTAGATAACGGTTGTCCTGAACTGACTGGGTCCACTCCGTCCCTGATCTTCATTCCACGCACATTTAACAAATACCCAGAAGAAAACTACCCTTTCTGGACAAAGACTGTCCGAAGTTGACCGAGTTGGGAAGGTTGAAGTAGTCAACTCGATTTTATTGGTGAATGAAACGTGCAACTGAAATAAAAGAAGAACAGCTTTTTCCACTATACGCGGATCACGTGACAGCGGGTGGGGGACCTAGAAGAGTTCACCCATCAGAGGGTCAACGCTCGTGCGGGGGAGGACGGGAGAACACTTCAGAGGTGACTGTGGTCAACCCACGCCCGTGGGGATATTATTAGATGCATAGAACATCTCTAGAACATCGAAAAGTGACTGACTTAGTCGGTGAGGAGATGGCAGGGCCGACCGTCTCGAGTCGTGGTCTTCTCTCTGGAACTAGAGAGGAGAGAGATATATATATAGGGTTCCTCCTCGCCAGCACCTTAAAGGCGAGGAGGACCGCCATGAGAGGCCAGCAGCTCATGCTCCTGTTCCCGCTGAGTCCGAAGAAACTGAAGAATCCGAGGGTTATGTACAGCGACAGAGAGAGAGAGAGAGGGCAAGCACCTCTCCATTTCTACATTTCTTCTCCGAGTTCCAGCCGTAGGGCGCTCAGAAGCCCTCCGTCTAGGCTGGGTTCCTCCTCGCCAGAACATTAAAGGCGAGGAGTGTCACGAGAGGCCAGCAGTTCATGATCCTGCTCTTGCGCAGTCCGAACAAACTGAAGAATCCGAGGGTTGTGTAGAAAGAGAGAGAGGGCAAGCACCTCTCCATTTCTACACTTCCACTTCGAGCTCTGACCGGAGGGGCTCTAAAAAGCCCTCCTTCTAGGGTTCCTCCTCGCGAGAACCTTAAAGGCGAGGAGGAGCGCCATAAGAGCCAGCAACTCGTGTTCTTGCTCCTACTCAGTCCGAATAAAGTGAAGAATCTGAGGGTTTCTTTCTTACTAGGGTTTTCTTCTGCGAGATCTGAGTCCAGGGACGAGAATCGCCCGAGCAGAGGAAACTGAAGGGTTTTCTTCTTTGGGTAACACCAGAGTTCAGAGATCACCCTGTTGCATCGGTGATCTCTGGCCACCACCGTCTCAGTTGAGCAAAGTCTGAGGGTGGGTTGCCTTCCATTCCAGCGCTCAGTGGTTGTACCAAGGCCATGTAAGGTTTACACAACAGGTGGATGTTCTCTGGGTTTTCTTTACTATTCCTCGACTCTAAGCTAAGCTAACCTGTCAGAAACAGGAAAGAATTGATCTTCTTGACTTTTTCCTTTCAGATACATTTTGGGTTCCATGTAAGAGAACCTGGTTTTTGTCATATCGCAGTCATGCGGGCTTTCACATGTAGACGGGCGCTGAACCCCTCGACTTGTTTTACAATCTATTGGTTCTGAGACAATCCGCAGGATCTAGCAAAACTTGGTCTCGTTTGATTTGTTTTTTTCCTCTGCCGAAGAACTGCGATCTATACTAAGTTGCCCAAGACATGACGATCAGGTCAAATCGAATCAAGAAAGGCTATGGACAATGCAAGATGGAAGACACATGGCGAGAGATCTTCAGAGTAGCTCCTAATGTGTTCTGCTTCAAATGGGAGGGTTTTTCCCATTATTCATGTTTCTATTGTATGAAATGGCCAAAATTTGCGTCTATGTACATCTAGAGTGGTAGAGCCAATGTACTCGCTCATTAGTGGGTTCGGGGAAGAGGGGGGGAGAGAGAGAGAGAGAGAGAGAGGAGGAACAAGGAGGAGAAGAAGACGAAAGTGGAGGTGAAAGTAAAGAATAAAGCTATAAGATCTTACAATAATTCATGGATAGGGAATGGAATACATATGTGGGTACCGAATCATCAAATAAGAAAGGGCAGTGATGACTAATGGAGAGTACTTAGATTGCCGACTAATGAAGCGAAAGACAGTGGTGATGATGCTTGTAGATTAAGGCAACAACAAAGGCAAAACTAATATGATAATCAAATCAGAGAAATTTATCAAAGTCTCTCTATGACCTATGAAAAATATACAGTCATGTGCGTTGCCATGTGCTTGAGGAATCGATGCGATTCCATTCATCTTGTTGGCCACCCTAGTAGTTCGTTCTTTGAACATATTGGAATAACAAAACACTAAGAAGCATATGGTAGTTGGATCATTTTCTAGATCACCTCTCAAGATGATCTTCTTGTGATATTAGTCCATGTCTAATAGATTTTGTTATACAATGCGGGAATCAAAGCAAACTCTTCAATCATGCACTAGGTGGATCTAGTGCCTTGCAAAAGGACTTTAGTATTCTTCGAAGGGAGGACTAACAAGAGTATTCTCCAAACTTCTAAGGTGGACTACCGCTATCATATTACTTCAATTCAAGAATGTACTAGAAGGATGCAAACCTTGCACACATTCTTATGAGCTACTCAAGGAGGAAGGACTAACAAGAGTATTCCCCACACTTCAAAGGTGGACTAGCACTATCATATAACTTTAATTCAAGAATGTACTAGAAGGATAAAAACCTTGCATAAATTCTTATGAGTTACTGATGGTTGAATCTCATTTCTATATCATCCTAGACTAATACTCCACTAGTCTATTAGTCTACTTAAAAGCCAATTGGTATCATTAGTCACTCAATGACTTGCTCCATCACATGAGTACTAAAGTCTACGATACATCATATAGTCAATTTATCATTGGAAATATTATTTTGAAAATTTATAATTTAAGGCGTCAAAATCTTATTAAAGTCTCAACTTTAAAAAAGAAATCATGTAAATAAAAAATAAATATGTACGATTATTTTTACAACATAATAGAATAAAATAAAATTCACATCAAAATTGAAAATATTTTTTACTTGAAAATATAAAATAAAATCATTAAGAAATTTATTGAAAATGTATCCATCATATTTATTGAAAATAAAATGATGGAAATAGTTGTCTTGCCATGTATTATTCCATAAGGGGAACATTTTGTTCGAATGATGAAGTTAAAATGAAGTGTGATTTTGATGAAGTTAATTTCTTTTCCCACGTCTTATAAATATTACAAATAAATTTATTTAAATAGGAAGAATTCATTATTTGTGTTGTATTTGAATGGATAAGACAAATCATTTTTTGGATTACTAGACTTTCAAAATCCATATGAATCCTCTAGTTGTTCAAACATATTTGCTAAAAATACACATTTCATCTAAAGTAAATTGATCCTTTCCTTGGGATCACAACTTACTCTAGTAAAATGAAGGGATACCAAACTCTTTCAGTTGGTAAGAGATCATACATACAAATGTTTCTAGCTTTCTTCATTGTATATGCATACAACATATACAAATATACACACATACATAAGTACATGCATGCATATTCATATACTCATATACACATCATACATACACACATGCATACATGCACATGCATACATGCACATGCATACACATACTTATACATGCATGCATACACATACATACATCCATCCATATATACATGCAATGAATGCATAGGATTGCATAGATCCATGGATATGAATAAATGTGTAGCCTAGATTCCTACAAACATGGATATGCATGTATCACACATAATGCATATATCAATGTAAAAAAATTGCATTAGATATGTATCTATGTATGTGTAGTAAATTTTGTGTTCTAAATTTAAAGCAAACAATTGATTAACATGACACCAAAAACAAAGGAAATTCATAGATTTGTATACCAATTAGTGCCTCATCAATGAAATCAAGCAAGAATCATGCAAGATAAGTTGAAACAACATGTAACATATCAAAGGAACTTGTAACAAAATTTCATGATGAACATGGAAAAATATGAATAAAAATTAGCACTAAATAATAACAAGAACGGCCGAACTGTAAGTCGAAATTTGACAAGAATGAGGTCAGAAGAATCATGAAGAAATCTGGCTTTTGGAACGCGGGTAGTTTCAAATACTCAATGTAAACGAAAAAGAGAAAGGAAAAAAAGGGAATTGAAAATTTTGAGCTCGTATTTTACTATGGAAAAGTTTGACCCACGCTTTGACCCAATCATAAATTTTCTATCAGCTTAATTTTATTTTATTTTTAGAAAATGTAGCAGATTCTTGTGTCCAAAAGATCTAGAGAGCCACATGCACATGCAGGATCTATGGAAGATGGACATTTAACATTGATAGGCCCAATAGAGCAAATCTTATGGAAAATGGACAAAAGTTTTCTTTTTCTTGTTTTTTTGCGAATCAGAGAAAGAATAAAAACCTTTAGGACAAAGTTTATTTCTTTGGCTTCCCAGAAGTTGGTTAATTTCCTACAATCAGTAAACAAAAAAAACAAACTTTTATCAAGCGATACAAAGGACTCTGAGCGGTCTTTACAAATCGATATTCAGGATTATCAAATCGTATAAAAGGAAATAAAGCAATAACTGAGAGAGAGAGAGAGAGAGAGAGAGAGAGAGAGAGAGAGAGAGAGAGAGAGAGAGAGAGAGAGAGAGAGAGAGAGAGAGAGAGAGGGAGAGAGAGAGAGAGGACACCTTAGGAGCACATACAACCATATGAGGTTCGCCACAAGCCTGCTACATCTGATCTCATCTCCTTGTTCAAGCTGCTTAGAACACAATAAATCATTTCCCACATTGGGTGGGTGTGAATCAGTATCCATTGAGTCAGTATCCATTGAGTCCTCCAAAGTGAATGGAACTTTACTTAAATAAAATTGTTGCTCCCCCATCCCAATCTACATAGTTCTCGATTCCAGTCCAACGTATAATGCCATTTATAGCCAAAATCTATCTAGATTATTCGAAATTTTATTGATTCAATTTCATAAAAGTGATTGACGCACCAACCTCGACCATGGTCTGGGTTTAGCTCTTCTCCTATTGAAATTTTTACTCGTTCCAGCTCCTATTTTTGTCCGATTTATTTTTTTCCAGAGAAAGATAAAGAACAGCACTACCGATGTAAGAATACAGAACACAGATTACTAATCAAACACACTAATACGTGCTGCAATGAGGGAATTGTTTCAAGAATCGTAAATTGATAACGATCATTATAATGGGAATTGGCCAGAGAAGATGGTGATTTTTCTAAGAACGTGACACAAGAGCGAAATTGTTCTTAAAAGCATCGGGTAAACATGATTCGAATGTTATATCGGTGAGGAATTTGGATTTGAAGTGGTGTTCTTGCGGTTCGTCGTATAAAAACTTCCCGAAATCGAGAAAGGAGTAAAGGAGACGAGAATGGAGGAGGCTAAGGAGAAGGGTCTCCGCAAAACCGGAGAAGGGCAGCGAGGAGACAGAAAAGATAAGGAACCCGTAACTGGCCGTAGATCTCCCCCGGCGACATACCTCAGATATCGGCGTCTCACCCCTTTCAAATTCCGGCTGGCGGCGCTTCCTCCCTCCCAATTTCTCTCCTTTCTCACTCTGTAGGAAACACCGGATCTCCGAGCAGTGGGAGGAAGGTCTCAGCCGCGGCATGAGAGGGAACAGAAACAGCAGAATGACGCGCTCTCTCTCTCTCCTCCCACTCTTCGCTCTTTCTCTCTCCGTACCAGCCGGGTCTTCGATCGGTGGAAGGTGAGTAGGAAAGAGGGGGCGGAAGGTTTCCAGTACCGGTCAGTCGCCATGTTTCCGGTCAGTGAGAATGAGGGTGGAGGGGGTCATGTTCGAGTTTAGTACCCTGTAAACGCCACGTGGTCAAATTAACCAAGTGGGAACACGATGACTGGTCTGCCGATCAAGACGTTGTCACGTGGAGGAAACCAGGGACTTGTCCACGCCCCATGGTCAGCCGTCCAAACTGGAGAGAGCCAACGAGTCACGATTTTCCGCGAGTAATCACAACTTCCTCATAACCATCACTACTAGCAGGATGAAATTTTGTATCCGCAGGAACTAAGATAAAGGTTGAATCTTTTTAGAAATAATAACCGACCCAAGTATTCGGTCGAGCCGTTTTTTGCTTGACGGCCAGCAAATTTACCAAACTTGGTAAAAAAAGATCCTCTCTGAGTTTGAGCAACCGATCATCAGAGGAGCAGGACAGGAGGGAACGATTTGTCTCTTCCCTCTTTCTCCCCCTTTCCCATGTCGCTCACTCGTTTTCTTATGCTCAAGACACTCTCGAAAAACAAGCAGCGAGAGAGAGAGAGAGAGAGAGAGAGAGAGAGAGAGAGAGAGAGAGAGAGAGAGATAAGGACGAGCGGAATCTGCCATTGACGTGGACGAAGCAGAGCGTCAGAATCGTGACATTTTAGGCACGTGAATCCTTTGTGGTCATGACGATAACATCCACACCACCGTGAAGGTAACCATCGATAATAACGTGGGACCAATCACGAAGACTCAGCTTCTTGAGGAGTGTCTCTCACTGGCGGAGATAAGATTGCAGTTCACACGTGGAGATTCGATCACAATTTTTATACTTGGGAGAAAGCAGAGTCGCACGTGCGAGTTGGTTCCCCATATCGTTCTCTAGGCTACCGAAATATCTTACATGGTCTAGGAGAACTTGATGGCTACAGGAAATTCTCCTCGAAACATTTTCTTATGAAGCGAGAAGATGTTCAAATTTTCACTCCATAAATTCCCCTGAAGCCATAGAATGACTTAAATTGAAACTTTAGCTCTTATTTTTTTTATATTTCTGTTAACATAAATTAGTTGAACTTAAATTGAGGGCAATTATTTACTAACACCGTGAGTTTTTTTCTATATTTTCCTACATCATGTACTTGATCTTATTGACTTAGAATTGTAGTTAACAGCACCAACCTGATATATTATTTCTGCTCATGATACAATGACAACTAAGGGAGGATATGTTTAATTAAAATGTAACTAAATTCATCATTAATATTTTTTTATATTTACAAATAATAACTATAATTTATTTACAAATATAAAAATATTTTCTCATATTTTTTGGGTTTTTTCAAGTTGGATTATGTATCACTTAACCCTAAGATTTATAGATTTGATTCAATAAGGCTGATGCGAGTGTTCAATAAAACAAGGATGGAAGCATGTTCCTGTGGCCATCTCCATCCTCTCCCACCTCTCTCTATCATTCTATGCTCACTACTGTGGTCGAAAAAATAATGTGCTTAACAGTTAAATATAATTTTAAGATGATAACTAAAACCAAATAATTTATTTGTCACTAGAATTTTTTTTCAGGACTGGACACTAGAAACATAAAGATCTTCTTGGTAATTTGGACAGAATTGTAAACAATATTCGTAACTAGAGGGAGTTATTCATCACTAAAATTCCTTTTTAGTGGGGATTATGAGCTAAAAATCTAGTTATGCTCGAACTTTCATTTTCTAGATTCCAATCAAGAATTATATGTCCATTAGACTTAGTTCTTCTTCTTCTTCTTTTCATTCTTTGAAATATCCAAATTGTATGTAATTTGTATACTTTTACAACGCTGCACTAGGATTCCTAAATGAGAGTTAACTACTACAAGAAACGCTCTCTCTCTCTCTCTCTCTCTCTCTCTCCCAACGCGGGCGAGATCAGTTGACTAAACAAAATTATATAAAAGTCCTGTTTAACCACACGTGATTTTTTGTGCTCATGGGTCACGTCCTCCTAGAAAGAGTCAATTTAAACTCGGCTTCAAAGTCATACACGCATTCTAACCTAGGAAAATGGTTCTGTAGAAAAGACTGAAAGTGAAGCACACATCCAAAACGTGATAAAAACACGGAGGTCTACATGTCTTGCACACTCAACAGCGTAGACCTTGACCTATTCAACAAACTAACAAATGAACTGGTTACCCCACGTGGGGGTTCTCAGATTAAAATAATTGGTATTTTCATGCCGGAGCCCACCTTGGAGCCCACCCTGGTCTGGGTTTCTCAGGAATTCGGCCTCAAATTGAAGTTATGAACCAGGGCTTTGATGGAGAGGCGCTCGACCGTTTGTTTTGGTTATCACGTGGCTGTCCCCTGATTATCCATGGGGCATATATGTCACTCTCGCTCTCTCATTGGTGAGTATTGGTCGCTAGATGGGTGGCTTGAATTTGATTAGAGTTCTGCTGAGAACTCATTGTCAGGGTTTTCTTTAGGAAATATGCTAAGCTCATGTCCTCATCAAAGATGAATATGCTTAGGCTAGGCTTGACAAGACCCTGATGGAGTCAGATCCGGGCGGGCGCATCTCTCTCTTCGGTGAAGGTCAAGACACAGTCTCATCTAGTCTGACTCCAGGTTCACATGGGTCTGGACCGAAATCCATGTTGGGGCTGGTCTGTGGACCCAAGTCAGGCCGAAGCCTTAGGGAAATGGGGGCCGAGACACCACGTGCGAAAACAGAAGCTTGACGGCTGCAGTGAGTGACAGTCGGATGGGATCCAAATCGGAGAAAGGGGTCGATTTTTTTCTTAAATTTCTAAATACTCTTCGTCCTGATCCCCGTAGTTGATGTTTTTGACCTCCCACGAGCCCCCAGTTCTGCCCTTCCTCTTGTATTGGGCCTTTCCATGTATGATGTTTTTCGAGGATGTAGGAGGCATACATGTTCATGCATGGATATCATGTCCTTGTGCCATCTCTGTTCGTCGCTCAAACATATGCTTTCCCATAAAATTGCCATGTGTTTTGTGAAGCCATAAGAAATAGTTTTTTTAAAAAATACTTCACTTGGAGGCTACTCAACAAATTGCACGATGCACAAGCCACATAAAATGAGTAAAATCCTTTATGAGTGGTCCATCCACTTAGAAAGTAGGGAAAACATTTTAAACGTGATAACATTATTTTCATTGCTTGGGAAAGAAAGTTGGGCCAACTAATGGTCCATGACACTGTTTAAGAGAAAGACTTGGACAAGTAGAATGAGTGGTTCCTTTTTTCTGATAAATATGTGATTTTGATGGGCTCAAGTCAGCTTACAAAACACATAAAACATGAGATAGATCAGATAGATAAGGCATGGTCTTTTTGATAAGACATAAAATGGGTGGTGTCTTTTTCATAATAAACACGTGATTTAGATGGACTCAAAAGTCAACTTTGCATACAGGAGTCATAAAACATGTGATTGACTTGGTCAATAAGATATACTATTTTGGAAAAGATAGAATGAATGGTCTTTTGTTCAAATAAGCATGTGACTTATAGTCTGAAAAAGTCAACATTTTATACAAAAGTCGTCAACATGTGATAAATCATGCCAATAAGACATGCTAGTTTTAATAGAATCCAACACATGACAGTTAGTTTGGATTGAGTTTTTTGAAGATTTACGCTTAAAATGAATTCCTACACATGACAATCAATATTCTTGTAGAATCAATGTTTTGTTTTTTTTAAAATAGAAACAAAGTGTGATGTATTCTCCTGATAGAAACATAGGAAAAGTGTGTTGGTTGACACCCTAATAGAGTATCAGTCCAATCTAAGGAACCGATTTTAGATTCTGATAAGAATTATGCAACTAGAGGGAATTTAAGAGTTTGGATATTTATTGTAGGTGAAAAGTATACAATCGTAACAAAGTGAGAGTTAAGCATATGATTAGGTGGAATTTATGATTAATCCATAGGTCTACTTCCCTCTCAAACTTATCTTTTATAATTCTTCAAAGACTTAATGTTGAACTCTTAGTTTTAGTGATGACGAGATTAAATTTTAATTTTTAGAATTAAATATTTTTCTATTTTTCAAACCATTCATCAATTAGATTAAATACTTTAATTGCTTAGTTTATCATATTTTCATGCATATTTTAAATTATTAAGTGAATAATGTTTAAAATACCTACAGCAATTAAATGTTATAATTTTTAACTTTATAACAGCTAATCAACTTTCCACATTTTTCAAATTAGTACGCATTTACTTGTAGACTCATTTTTCAAGTGAAAATATTTTAAATTATTCATACTAGTTTCACCACTATCTTAAAAGAAACAAGGCTGACTTATGTTTACATAGAAATAAATTCAATAGTGTTGGTTCCCTTATAGGCTAGAATAAATATTAAAAGGAGGGGGTAAAATACTTCTCTTCTGGATTTTTTATTTTAAGTGATTTTTTTATAGTTTTTGAAAATTCTAAGAGTAAAATAATGACATGAGTTTTTATAAGTCGACATAGAATACTTTGGGTAAAACAATTAGGTCAACACACAATGATTAGATGAACTAACACAAATGGTAGATACACTAATTGAAATAATTAAGTTGACACGCTTATTTTTACTTTGTGTTGGACATAAAGATTTATAGTTGTTAAACCTTTCCTTATAAACATCAACTTTCCAAAGGTCTCTACCTTTATTTCCATTATTCTTCCTCAAAGAAATACAATTGAATTCCTAAGATTAATATCTTAATTTCTACTAAAACATTTTCTTTTGCTCTAAACTTGATTCTTAGATTAGTGAATCAAAACATATTTCATAACAACTTTTTATTTTATCTCTATATGACTAATTATTAATATCAAAATCATTAAACCCAACTAGTTGAAGGTTTCATGCTTTATTGATCTAGTGAAAACTATGATATATATATATATATATATATATCAACAATTTTCCTTAATTTACTTTGATCATATATTGGCATGCCTATGTTTATAAGAAAGGCAAATGAAATGCAACAAAAAACGTCCAGAAATATAAAATAATTGATCTAATATTGCTTTTATAATTGTAACATCTATTTTCTAAGGTGATTTGACATGTGTATGGTGTGATAACTAATTAGATGAGTAGTTTCTAGTCATTACAAGTGAATATTAGAGGGTTAGAACCAAAGATTATGAGAGGAGGATTCCCTCTCACATTCATAGATGAAAAAAAAGAGGATCCAAGAGCCGATATCTAATACTAAAAGAGCCGATATTCTTCATATTCTTCAAAAACTATTTTTTTACCAAAGGCAAGTACACTATCAACTATAATTAGTACGAAATTATAGTTTTATTGTTATAATTTTATTTAACATTGTTTTTAAAGAAAATATAAAACTATTACATGAAGAATAGTTTCTTTCATGTGAGATCTCATTATAGCAGGTCTAAGTTTACCTCTGAAATATATTTTAAAAAGTAATGCCTCCATAGGAAACTATTAGTATTATTTTGTTGGTATTTTTAAACTACTTCTTAGTTTTCAAATTTGGAGCTACTTTCCTCAACTAAGGTGAGCTGACTTGCTTAGAGACAAAAAATTTCAATTTTCATTTTAGTCGCTCAAAGTCCATTGCCTAGTAGATTATTTTATAGGCCTAAACTTAATCTTCTTTAAACCTCTTGTTAATATAGTTGGTGAACACTTCGGCACCAATTTAAATAATAGCTCTATGGGCCCAAACCACTTGGTTTCCAACACCAACACACTCATAACTGTACATCAGTTTGAGTACACATAGTGTTCACTTTTATGGAAATCTTCCACAACTATAAAAGCTTTAAGTGGAAAATAATAAAGCCAATATGATTATTTTAGATCGTAGCTTCCTTGGGTTATGAGGTTGGGGGCTTTCAAGTGGAAGCTTAAAAGCATGGGTTGAATAGTTATTCTAGCGTATGTAAAATACATAAACATTCTCTCTCTAAGGTTGAGAGATAAATCTTGAGGCTTATGCTTAGATATATAAATCATGGAAGTGTCAATATGTAATTATATAGTACTGTTCTATTTAGTTGTGAGAAACCAACAAGTTATGTTATGGCTATTATATCTTGTGTAGCATTACCTTCCTACATAGCTGTTTCATATAGGGTGAATTTGTCTCCAAAGTTGACTTATTTCCTTAATCAAGAAAATTGAAGAATCTATATCTACATTAGGTTGCTAAATCTTGTGGCTCTTTTCCTATGGTTGCTATAAATTATAAAAGATAGTTATGATAATGAAAAATATATTACTTGTATATTTTGTTGATATCAAGATAGTATTGACTCCAAAATCTACTAGAGAACACATATGTCAAAGGGTTAGGCTTGAATAAAGCATTAAATAATCTCAAAGCAATGCTTGAGTATAACTTTTTACCATCACTTGCATTTTCCTCAAACCAAATGAGATTAGGTGACTTCCCGATGAATTATCCATTAATGTGCTGGGTGAGGCTGCAATTTTAATTTTGTTAGTGTTTTTATCCTCACACGAAAAAAAATGAACGAGTCTCACTAAGGGTTTATTCTACTATTGACAAGTAACATTTATGCCATACATAGGAGTTCCTATGTTCCCTCTTAGGCACATAATGTCTTCTTGTTCGAAAAGTTCTCTTAACACTAACAAAATTCAGAGCTAATGATTGATAAGCACTAATCCAGAGCTAATGTCTTCTTGTTCGAAAAGTCCTCTTGACACCAAGCTAAGCAGCACGTGATTGATAAGCTTATGTACATGAATCATTTAAAGAAAGAGGGAATCCATTCTCTCATAAGGCACGTTTCTAATATTACAATATTCAGAGCTAATGATTCCTAATCCAACAAGTGAGTCCAAACCCAGCCACCGTTACGTGGGTTAGTAAGAGATGGGTCAACAAAGCAGACCATTGAAAAAAAGATGGGAAATAGTTTCTAGGTGAGTTCCTATTATTTCACGTGTTTTTGTGTCCCTCCATAGTCCAACGAGAGTATTTTATTGATAATAGGATCCATTTCGACACGTGAAAAATGCAGCTGGACACAACGCCACGCCAGCGCCAACATGGAAAAGCTTTTTTCGGTCAGCGCCAGCCCCAGAAGCCCCCGGTTGACTTGGTGGGCCTTGCTTGATGAGTTCTCGTCACCATTACAACCACCGCAGTAGTCTTATTGAGCTATGGCCCGGGCTTCATAAAAGCCTGGTTCCGGGACCATTTTCCCGACTTTTAAAGTCTAAAATAAAAGTGAAACTCGTAAGAACATGGTAGGGCCTCATAGAGCAAGCCCACCTCGGCCTAGCCTGAGTCCGGCCATCTACAGCGTACTAGCTGTTAGGACAATCTTGGACTAGAATTGAAAGTCAGTGACTTCCGATAAATGTCAACTTATGAGCAAGGATTCTCGTCATTGATCCGAAGAGAAAATATGTTTTCAAGTGTTGGGAAATTTTGATTGAATCATTCAACATAATCTACTCGTGCTATGGTTGTTCTATGGTTGTTTTCGAACCCATCTATGCTTCAAAAGAGAGAGAGAGAGAGGGTGGGATAGGGGAGAGAAAGAAGAAGAGAGTGGGAGAGGAGAGATAGAGAGACAGACAGATAGATAGAGAGAGAGAGAGAGAGAGAGAGAGAGAGATGACGGATTATGAAGGTCCTAAGGTCTGCATTCCATTGTGGCTCGCCGGTTCGATCATATCCCTCCTCTCTGCGAGGTATCTTTGTCCCTTTCCCTACCTGCCGGAGTCAAAAACTGCTCTGCTCCAGTGGAGGCTCGTTTATGCGTCTGCGTTCCGCCATCCCCACCAGAGTTCTACTGCTGCCTCCTACCGGAGGAGGAAACGAGAAGAAGATTACAACATGGAGATGAGGATGACAAGGATGATAAACTCCAGTTTATTAGCTTCCGGTCAGACGACGAGTATCACGAAGCAGAACATCTGCTGAAAGCCCAAGACCTTCCGGCGGAGAGGGGGGTGACCGGTTCCGGCGACAACATAATTGTGAAGCAGTATAACTCCGATCTGCCGCTGCGGGTTGGACGGCAGCCTCTGTTGCCTTTGACCATCCAGTTCTAGCCGGCCGATGTTCCCTTCGGAGTTTGGCTGTTCGGAAACGGGTTCCCGCCGGCAACCGGATCTGTCTTTCTTCGAGTTTGAGGCGCTTGTTAACGTTCCCGGAAGATTCTCCAGTCAGATATTTCTTTGGAACCGTGGTGATTGCCCCTGTTGTATAACATGGGGGTCAAGGGATAAGGGTTCTGCCAATATATTTGTTTGTACAGAAGAGAGAAACGAAATTACAACAGGGTAGATAAGAATATAATAAATAAATTGACAAACTGTTACGGTACCCTGTGATTGATTGATTGTGGAAGAATCCTGGATTACATGCTATCCATGCATTGATCATTGGACCATGCTTGTTCACGAGGAATTCTTATGGCATCCCACTTACTGCGTTTCGGTGGTCTGTTCGAATGTCGAATGTCGAATGCAGTTGAATCTTTCATGAAACCACAAGGCTTATAAATTAGCCCTCCATATGGATTTTGATGACCAGATAGCTAGACGGTTGAACGAGAATCAGCCCAAAACCAATCCTCCCAGAATGACAGACGCTATAAAACCTTCCCTAGCTCTTACAATCCTCTTCAAACTGAGAGTTTTTCGTGCTGTGCCCGAGTCCAGTAGATGACGGGTCACTAGCAAGAGGGAAACCAGCATGAGCTAATCTCAAAACGGAACGAAAGACATATATTTAGTACAAAAAAGAGATTTAATGTTAAATACTAATGAAGAGAATAATTATCTCTACCATATAAATAATGAAGGACGAAGGTGTTCTATGAAAAGCTTTGCATGAAAGGTTGGGTGCGTACAGACCATGTGAAAAGGAAGTTTGCATTGCAATTGTAGGACAAAGAACTGGAACAAACCACATAACATATGTTAAATTTGAGAGCTCAATTTTTTTTTGACGATATGAAAATTATTTAGGCACAATCATCATAAGACAAAATTATGAAATTGACAAAAAATTAAAGAAACATTCAGACATACAACGTTCACAGCAAGTTTGTTATTAAGTTCTAAATTGTTCTGAATTAGAAACGAACCCTTTTTGTGGGAACTTTTATACTGAAGAAATCGGTGTAGAAGTATTCATTGGGAAGCTGAAATGTGGAGAAAATCGACTCATCAAACAGATCGTAAAATATTAAGTTCTTGATTTTAAATAGCTTTTACAAAACCTATGAATACTCTTCCGTGTGTATTAGTTTCAGGCATGGCCCATTAAAGGAAAAGGCTGTGAGGGGTAGTCTATTGGTGTCAGAAAGGTCGAAACCTGATAAGAAAGAGCCGTAAAGACCCAAACGTCATAGCGGGCCAGAGAGCTATTAAGACCTAAATCAAACAGCAGCCCATGTCAAAGGTAGCCATTGAAGAGGGCGATTCAGCCCATTAACCCCAAAAATAAAAAAGGGGTAATCTCTCCCAAATTAAGCCATGAGAAATCAAATCAAGAAAAGGGGTGGACAACTTCATCGTGTGCTCCCTTTTCCGCCTGCTCCTAACGGCGCCATTCCAAAGTTCATCTGCAGAAATCAGTTCCTGTAGCCTCTTGTTTGAAAAACCATCTCAAGCAGCTCCTCGTCCAAAGTCCTACTCTAATGAAATCTTTCAACGGAGAAAATGTACCCCTCTTCCATTGAATACGACAGTAAAAACTATTTAAGTTGCTCTTGGTATCTTCTTTATTGTGTGATTAAATTTGATAAGCGTTGGGGCACATGTAGTCTGCTTCCAATGAAGTTCCTTTAGGACAGTTATACCTTTGATTCAAGGGGGACAATATATGCTTGCGAGGTTTGGGCTGTATGATGAGTTCATGATTCCAATAAAGTTGGATGTATTATAGCAATAAGAATAGTAGAACTCGAGGTTGCAATCTCGAAAGTTATAGGTCAAAAGGTTTGGCTAAACTACTATAAAACCTTGAGCCTAGAGTATTTCTCCCCTAATATTCTAATAAGATTAGCTCAAGAGAACATTCATAAAACTTTAAGTTTAAATAAATAAATAAATATTAAAAGCTATCAGCAAGTTAATCAATTCACCGTCCTCTTGATTCGTCATGCTAGTAAACTAGGGCCCAACAAGATCTAGTTCAAAACAATAAAAAGGGGCACATTGTCATATATTCTTCTTGTATGCATTCATTGTATTATATTAGGTTTCAGGGTTGGCGGAGGAGGAACGAAGGGGGCACTGGACTAATTATGGACCAAATGAGGTTGCATGTTGACCTGGATCGTTTCATGACATTGAAACTTGATTTTATCATTTTAAGTCCCAAAAATAAAGTCATTTTTGAATGTCATACTCGATTCACCTTTCTGACACCCTTGATATATGGGATGTACTATCTATTATTTATGGTTATCTCCATGTAAGCGCATCCTTAAAATACTAGGTTTAGGGTTGTCTTTCTGGTAAATTAGGGTGAATTAGTCTTCACAAGGCAAATGCTCCAAAGTATCAAATCACAATTGAAGTAAACTTGAACTTTTACGTGGTGGTGGTGGCTGTAATATATTTCAGCATCTCACTAAGGAGAGCTTGCAAAGCAGAAATTTTGGTCTGCTAGACCAAGCAGGGCTCCTCTAGAGTCAGCCAATTCATGAAGTAAGAATTTGACTCATAGCAATCTAATGATATTCGGTCTCAGTACTTCAGGAGTCTTGAACAGGATTGAATTGGACAGGGTTGAGGCCCCAAGGGTTTAAAGCTAAATCTGACCATCTATTTAAAGAGTTCGAACTGTATTTCAAATACTAATATTATATGTATGTGTATATATATATGTGTGTGTGTGTTTGAGTGACTGTGTGTGAAATCTGAAAGTGCAATGACGTTTCTTTGTTGCATAAAAACACAACATGACGATAAAACGTGAATTTAGATGAGGATCCCTTCCTCCTCGTGCCTTGAGCATGGCACATGTGGGCAGCCGAGGATGGAACGGCGGCCGGCACATGTCACCGGCGGTGGCTCCGGTGTCTTGCCCGGCTTCTCCAAGACCAGACCGAACATGGCGAATGCCTGTTATGATCGGACAACGCTTCCCATGCGTAGAGGGAAACCCGACGCCTCTGCGGCTATGGGGCAAGTGGGCAAGTCCCTCCCTCTACGCATATCTGGGCTAGTGCCGCCTGCCTACCTGGGCAATTTCCGGCGCCTCTGCCGCTATTGGGGATGAATTAGGAAACCCAAATCCTGCAGCTCCCCCCACCCACTCTAGTCTACTGGAACGAGTGTTCTGGCCTGAAGTTCAGTTCCCGCACTGTCTCCAGCCTTGAGAGCGTCCTTCTTGCCGTTGACGGTCGGTGTCCGAACCCAGGCGGAACCTGCGGCTGAAGCAGTAGAGCTTCCAGGCGACGGGTTGACTTGCTCTACTCGGTCACAGGTTCAACTGGGATCGGCCACGTTCTACGACAGGGGAAAGAGATACACCGAGAAGGCCGCAGTGATTGGGAGGCACTGGGCTTCGAAAGGGGTTCTCTCGCTTGTGGTACAGCAGAAGGTGGCGGCGCCAACAGGCACGTCCTGTTAGGTAGGAACTCTCAATCAAACTAGTCGATCATTAAAAGAAACGGACGAAATAGACCTATAGGACCTTGCTTCGCAGTAACCTCTCACGCCATAAAATGAGGAGCTCTCTCTCTCTCTCTCTGTCTATGTCTGCATTCTATCTCGTAGAATGTGAAAATTATAAACCTTCCGGGCAGTCTGACGTCTGCTTCGAGCCTCGACAATCCCACTCCGTCCTGATTCAGAAATATGCTCCTTCCTGGAATCCCGCGAAGACCGAATCTGATCTACCTCAGCCTAGGAACGCATTAGCTGTCCGCTCTCAAGTTGGGCAGTAAGGGCCCGAGAAGCGCAATCACTCGTTCTTAAAACCAGCATTCTTAAAACCAAAGAGTCGGGCAGAAAAAGGGGGAGAGTTCTCCGAAACACGTATGGATTCGGGGAAGGGATCCCCCGAATATTGTTGGATTTTACCTGGTTCGTGGAAAATGACGTGAACTTCGAGGTAAAATCTGTATCGGCTCGGACATTTAGCCCTAGGCCACTTCTGCAAACCCCCGAGGTAGGGGAGGCTCGCCCGGAGATTGTTCTTCGTGTGAAAAACGTGAAAAAATTGAAGGCGCAGAAAACGAGGAGCAGTGGAATCTCCGGGCCTTCCCACTGTCCAATCCGTATACGTCTTTCGCCGAAAGAGACGTCTTCCCATGAGGATGTTCCGGCCGTCCAAATCGAATCTCGCATCGCTCTTGAGACGTGGGGAAAGCCCAGCTGCCCGATTGAACGGCGTCGGTAGGCGCCTCGACAAGCCTGTGCTGTACACCTATATCGCCTCAGACTCCATTTAAATTTTACGTTTAACATTCAAGACTCAGATTGATTTTAGTTTCTAAATGAGGCTTCTTCTGATGCCTAGAAGGGGATCTTTAATACAGCATTTGATTGTGGTAGGGTATATTTGAAAAATAGCTTTCTTCCTTGCCGGTCTTCGATTGTTCTCCCTCCTGGGGACGTTTCACACCCGAGCTACTCCCCCTCCTGCTGTAGCTGAAGCGGCGAAGGCCAGCTGACAAAGCGACTATCTAGGGTTTTACGCACTGTCTTCCTCCCCGGCCTCCCGCTCCAGCAGCAACAGGGCGTTGGTATCTCTTTTTCCTATGATCTCCGCTTCCCCGGTGTCTTTCTCCCGTCCTTCCGTCAGGGAATGAATACCATGGAAGAGGGTTCGCTCTGATCCTTGCGGGAGCCCTGTCGTCGGAGTTCTCGTCGATGATCTCCGCCTTAGCCTGTTCCTCCTGATATCTTCTTTAGCGGGTTTACCTTATTCCTGGATTTCCTTCTTTCCTCCTGGTCTCGTGGGGACCTTCCTAGTGACGGTCGCTTCTGGGTCTAGTGGGTTTTCCGTATCCTATGCTGGATTTTTTCAACAATGGCGCGCGTAGTTTCCTGGTTTTCGGGAACTCTTGTCTTCGTTGCTTCGCAATAAGGGCTTCCCAACACCGGCCTGTTCTTGCTGGCGTGGGTTTCTTGGGGATCAACCGCAGGCCATGGAGGAGATAGAAGATGCTATCCGGGGTTCGGTGGAGTCCTCAGAGAGACTCCTTAACCTCTTTTCTAGCTCCTCAGGACGAGTCCTGGGTAGTCATCTGATAGCGGAGGCCAGCGGCGAAGCCGTCGCCAAGTGGGGGATAGTGGTCTGCCTGCTCAACAAGGGTCGTGGCCATGGGAGGGTCAGGTTGCAGACGCCATCCCAGTGCCCCCTCCCTCACACCACGCCGACATGGAAACCTCTCCAGCTACTCAGGAGGAATCTCCAAAAGAAACCAGGCGGAGAGCTGGGTGCACCCCACACGGACGACAACAGATTGTTCCATGGAAACCGAGCTCTGCAAATGGACCCTACTCTCATTGGAGTTCTCCCCAGAGCTGCAGAGCTTGCACCCTGCCCACCATTTCAGTATCCCCTGCACCAGCCGCACAAGTACCAGCGGAGTGGGATCAACCTGAACTTCGAAAGCTCCGGCTGTGATCCCACCATGTCCTCCACCAGGTCATTCATCTCCTCCCCGATCGTGGATGGGAGCCTCACCGGCATGAACGGGCAGGGGTTCCAGCTCTTGGATTCTCTGCCGCCTTCTGAGAGGTTCGGCATCCTACAACTGCCGAAGAGGAGGTGCTGGAACAGTGGGGAGGAGGGGAACGGGAGATGTGCGACCAGTGGCAGGTCCCACTACTCAAAGAGAAGGTTAAAAACGTCAATTTCTTCTCTTTGTTTCTCTATTCAAGCGTTTGCAGAACTCTCCGGTGAATTAAAATGTCGTCCTTTTTTCTGCTCAAATTATAGGAAATTGAGAGTTAGGAGATCAATTAAGGTGCCTGCTGTTAGCGACAACCTCGCTATCTCACCGGATGAGTACTCATGGAGGAAGTACGGGCAGAAGCCGATCAAGGGCTCTCCACATCCAAGGTATGTGAATTCCTTTCATACAGATTCCAGGTGTCTGCTGAAATAGGTTGTTTCCTAAGTTCAGGTCAACACGGCGATATGGATCATATCTCCTCCTCAGAACTGAATTTATTTCATAATGTGGAGTTTCTAAGGAATGCCGGGAAGAGTTTTGATGGTGGATATATGCACATTTGGTTCTATTTCCCAAATCATTTATTGATTTTATTGATGGGTTTCGTAGACCCACTGGAGAAGAGCATTGTAGGGAGTCACATGAGCTTGAATTGACAGGATAAATTCGTCAGCTATCAAGAGCAGATGAATCCTTCTTTGAATCATTAGAACCAGCTTTTCCTCGAAAGGGAGAAGATTAAGCCTAGATTCAATACAATTCTTCCCGCCAAGTGAAGGCAAAATATTTCAACCGTACACATCTTTATTGTTCTCCGAAGAGGGTTGTCTGAACTCAATATTATCCCTCGAAAAGGGCCGACTCTATACGATTTCCTTGTAAATTTAATCAGATAAATCTACTGGGATTTTATTATCTCCTAATGAATTCCTGCAGAGGATACTACAAGTGCAGCGGTATGAGAGGCTGCCCTGCAAGGAAGCACGTCGAGAGGAGCTTGGAGGACCCTTCCATGCTCATCGTCACCTACGAAGGCGAGCACAACCATGAAAGGGTCCTGACGCAGTCGACGCCCTCAAGGAGAACTTCCATCACATAAAATTCTAAACTTAGCATCATAACTGATAGAGCCCTGTGCATGCAGAGAAGGTTTTTGTTTTTTTTTTCTATTTTTAGAAGGAGAAGAAGATGCTGGAGAGGAGGTGGTCTCAGAGTCACTTTGGTTTTGCCCAAGTGCTGGTACTTGGAGTGGCAAGATAGCGTAGAGAGGGATGGAATTACACAAGCCAGGATTGAAGGCTGAAAGCTGCAAAATATGGGTTCATCAAGGCATCTCTTCTGAACCCTGGCAATGTCTTATCGTTGGGAGTTTGGACTATTCAAATCTAAATTTTTTGGGAGGACATTTTTGAATGATGATGATCTAGGTTTTTGGATGATCCACAAATCGATTTTAGGAGAAAATAGTGATTGCGAATTTTATGTATTATTTTGACTCGTCCATACATCTTGTAAAATTCATCCACGCACCTGATCCCTCTCCAATATCTGGAGAATAGGCACTTAGCAAATTATAAGACCCTGATCTACATAACTAAAAAATCAAGATTTAATATGAGTATTTAATTTTTATAATCATATCAACTAAGCTTGGAATATAGAACAATAACTTTCATTTACCATTCCCAACAAGAAGGATGTAAATAAATACCAAGGATTTGGACCAACTGAGTGATAGTGATCATTCTAATTGATGATGGACGCTTTCTTAAATCTTCTAGATTCAGCAAAACTCGATAAAATAGTTCAATCAACACTGTTACTTAGTCTTTATGAATAAAGTTACCAATTTCTAGGTGTGTAATAATGCATTGCAATAATAGTTTATGAAAGGTAAATAAGATGTTCATCTCCATATAATGTAAATAAACCTCCTAAACCAAAAGAGATGAGTATGCCTAATTTAATGTGTATTATAATTATAATTTTTTATAAAATCATCTTTGCATAAAAAATAATAGAAAGTATATTTCATGACATGGGAATTTATAACCCTGAATATCTATTCAGAGAGAAGGTCATTTAAACCCAAATATTATAGATAGCAGTAATGTTATATATCGTAAGGCTAACACAAATTGCAACTAATTAATGCAATAGCAAACATGGAAAAATGAGTTGGATAAGAACAATGCTATCAGCCATCACCAATCATATTTCTGTTCCGCCCCAAACTTTTCGCATTCAGTTTAATTGTTTCCCCTCTGAATTTCCACATTTTAACCTAGTTCCCTTCTATTCACATTTAGAGAAGAGAAATAAGAAGAAAAAAAAAAATGAATTTGTGTTGATTTAAGATTGGATTCTTTGATGGAAGGTTCCCTTATCAGTTAAGAAAACATGAGACTGCTTTGTTGTACCAAATTAATTTTTTGATTTCATTTTCAAGATAGTTAAACTTTTGAGAAAGCATATCTTGCAATGGAAGAAAGACATTAGAGTCTAATACTCGTGTCTCATAAATATATACATATTGCAAGGGCTGCATAGATGTATATATGTATATCCACACACCAAGAGAGAGAGAGAGAGAGAGAGAGAGAGAGAGGTATTGTACTAGGGCATATATCTATTATGCAACTAGGACATTAACATTTGCTTATGCTCAATTAGAGCAGATCATAGATAAGATGAAGCATATAGCAAATTCAAAGACATAATTTTCATGAGAAATTTTCAACTTCTAAAACAATTGCATGATAAAATGGAAAAAAATTACTTTGAGAAATAAACATTATCATAAAAGGAAGAACTGAAAAATCATAAGATAATAAAAATCAAAGTTTAATGTAATTTTCAATTTTATCAATATATTAATTTTTAATACAAAAACCAAAAGTAAATGTTCTATTATAGGAATTTTTATGGTCCCTCGTATTCTTAACATGCCTCAAAACCTGAATTATTAAAGCATTAAATCTCACATGATAATAATTCAGTGAGAAACAAGCAGTGGACTAAACGCTGCTCGATATTACCATTGAGGGGCTTATTTACAAGCTTAGATTAGTTAGTTTTAGAGAGGTTTCACTCAAAGGGTTGAGGAAAATTTTCCATTATATAGACAAAGAGTGCATTTGAGATTAGAACAATTAGTATCTCATCATCCAATCTGATTTTTAATTAATTAATCAGATATAAAAACACCTACCATCCAATCTGAAAATTCGTCCTTCATTTCATCAAAATTTTGAAGTACCAAGATGTGAGGAGTGAGACCTAAAAGAGTTTTTTAGTACAATGTATATTTTATCACAAAGAAATTTTATGATCAAGCCAATTTCACGTATGTACTTGTAATCTTAAGGTGAAACACATGTTTTTGTTTGAGCATAGACTCATTTAGCTTGTGAATAAGCATTAATGGTGATCTGCCACTAGTAATTGACATATTAGTGCCCATATATTAAGCCACTAGCTGCAAAAAGTCACAAAGATGAGTATATTTGTCAAAGGTGTGAGAGGGTCATATGGGTAATTTATTATTATTTAAGGAAAAAAAAAATATTTTAATGGCTAACTTCTCATTGGTTTTTTCACATCACCCACACCATTCACATTACTCAAAGATTCTACTATATATGTATATATATTACATTACATTATTCAATAATTGATATTATATTTCAAGATTTTTATTCAAGTAAAAAAATTGTGTATTCGAAAGTTTCATAAAATCAAAGTTTCAATTCTTATCATTCTAAACATGCAATTCTATGAGATATTTACAAGCTTTAATCTCAATGAAAAATTTAAAAATACGCAACAAGATATCCTTTCAGTAGTAAATGAAAACTCATTTGAAATATTTATTATCTCTTGCTTGAAACAAACTCTTTAGAGTCATTAAAGTTTATATTTTAAATAATAATAATATGATTCAGGCTTTTATTTATTTATTTTAATTATATAGGAGATAGATGTAATCTCCCAACTAAATTATGATATCTCCCATTATCACTACCAAATTTCATTGATGTTAAAAACTATGATACAAATATATGATGAAGGTTGTCAAAGGAGCTCCCAAAGAGAAAGGCATTTTAGACTTGTAAGTAATGACCATCTAAATAGTAATAGATACCAATCTTTGCTAATTTAATTACGAATATGAGATGAGGGCATTTCTTTTAAATATGTTGTAATGAAATAGGAGTACTGATTTCTAGTTCATCAAATTAGAGCCTATTAGGTAAAATATTTCAAAAAAATAATTATCAATAATTAAGAACATATCAACTAAAAATATCAATCTCCAAAATTATAGTCTATGGTAGATTCTAGCAATGACTTTACAGAGTAATAAAAAAATTACATTGATGAAAAGATCACATGAAAATTTAAATCCATACAAATAAATAAAGAGAATACCAATCCTTGCCAACCAAATAAATTTTGAGTACTTAATTTCTTCAAATATTCCCATAAGACAAATAATGAAAATTTGAAATGCATACATTGAGGATTCCTTCATGATTAACTTCAATCATTTTAATTTCATGACAAGATGCTATACTAGTAATTTTGCCTTACCATGATTATTTCTAGCAATGTTTTATGGTTTTAGAACATCAACTTTCATTAATTATGAGTGTTTCATTAGTCATATTATTTAATTTTACTCTCATGAGTCCTTGTACTTTCATGCATATTCACATCCTCAAAGCTCTATTTATCGAATTTCAGCCACAATCATCATCATTTCTACCATATACTACATGAATATTTGACTAAGTTGGAAAAAATATGCTTTCTAAGGTTGGAAATTATCATTTTATTCTAATTGGGCCTTATTAATTTGAAGTCTTAACTTTTTGATGAGCAGCAAGAGTTGAACATCATTCTTTTCATTCTCCAAATGTTATGATCAAATAAATGGATATTCAATTTGAATACCATTTGTCTTTCCCAATGATTTCATGGTATTTTTCATTACTCAAAACCAAATTTTTCATCAACTCATTTTCAGGATGACTATCATCATCATTTTCGATTTTTACTTCATAATTGCCACGTTTTTTGTTCTAAAATATCAGCTTCTAAAACACATTTAGTCCATTTTTCATATCCTTAGATATTTGAAAATTTTGATGTATGTTTTATACTGTAATAATATACATGTACAAGTACAAAGTAAGGGATATAAAATTATTTTCTTTAAACAATTCCTTTGAAGATATTCAAATTCTTAAGCATTCATCAATCATAAGTTTAACCATGATTTATCTTTTTCATGTAATTCCAATGTCAATTTACATCAAATGTCATTTTAATATAGATAACTATGCATTCAGATATTATTGGTTTGATAGAAATCAAAAGCAATAGTAATATTTTAAAACCTTTTTTTGCCTCTCTATATTTTTATTTGAATATTAAAATTTAACCTAGAGTAAAAGTCTAGAAGATTATTCTCATTTATATAACTTTGCCTAAAAATTATTTCCATGGCCAATACGAATAAAATTTCTTTTAGGCATTATCATATGAGAAAATATTAATGTGTGTTGTCAATCATATTTAATGATGAGATTATGTGTTTTTTTTCAATGTTAGCTAGAAGATTAAGGTAGAATAACTAATTTATTCCACCAATATTATCATAATTTGCAAGACCTTTATGAATCTAGAAGGTTTACTAAATGATCAAATAAAATTCACACTAGAATTAAAATCTTCAAAAATTCTGCATTTTTATTGATGGAGGGCTCTATGATGATTAATTTGGAGAGATATGATCTTAGCCTTGTAATGACAAGACTTTGGGGGGATAAATTTGTAGATTTGATAACCATTGAAAAGATTCAAAGACATCATATCAGATTGGCCAGCAAGTTAGAATAGCTTTTAATTCATTGATTTATTATGTTAATGCTTCCCAAGATCGCCGCACCGGTATCAATTTTCTAATAATGTTGTCCTTCAATCCCTTACCCCAAAGGAAAGCCATAATTGCAAGCTCCAAGTTGAACCTTTACAAAAATTAAACGCTGATATCAAGTGGAAGGATCCAAGCAAAGTTGTCATGTTGAAGCTAAATTTTGACACTATTAATTTTACATGTCATCTAACTCCATCTCCACAACTCATCCCCCCAGTTTGGCATGTAGTCGCATAATAATCTGATGTATAGAATCGCCAGTGTTCAACCACATTTTTTGACTACTAAAATCCATAGTACAGTACTTGATGAAATAAGCCATTAATGTTAGCATCTCTCTTCTGCAATCACAGTTTTGACTACTTTAAGATGGAGTAATAATATTATTCATAATTAAACATTTGGAGTTCGCATTAAATGGGTAGCTTTTAAAGTACAAAGCGAGCGAGTTAGCATTAAATGGATATAAAACCTTTATGTAGTGCTTTATTTCGATTTCATGAAATAGCTAGGTCTGGGTTCAGTTCACGCGTGGAAAGGCGTCGGCAAATACAAGGAGACCCATTGGGGCAGTTGACCAAAGGCGGCGGCGGCGGCCCACAGTTCCTCAGAGAACCGGTGGCTGGCGGCCCACGTTTTGCTCGCCGCCGGACGGTCGGGGCCACCTATAATCAAAGCCACGCGTTGGCCCCATCAGTTGGGCCCACTGACTTGCCGTAGACATGGACAACTACCAAAGCAATTTGACCAAGCCCTACACGCTTTAACAACTTGCGGCGATTTGCCGGCCTACCGACCACGCCGCCGTCGATCCTAAGGAATCGTAAGTCGCTGCCACCGCCGCCGCCGCCGCCACTGCCACCTCAGAGAGAGAGAGAGAGAGAGAGAGAGAGATAGACAAGCAATTGAAATCTGGACTAGGTCCGGCCACCGGGTGACAGATTACCAAGGGTTGACTTAACATCGTCAATCACCCTGTTGGGCCGATATTGGATGGCATTCAGAGGGAAAATTGACGTATTTAAATTTAAAGTAAACTGTAAAACAATGAATTTTGTTTCTGAATTATGAATTTCCAGGTGATGGGGTCTATTTTACCATTTGAATAAGAAACAAATAGCTGGCCTCACGGGCAAATCATAACCACATATCGACAGGCTGCAACTGTGGCCGCCGGCCGCCGCCCTATCGTCTAGTCGCGGCCAGGTTTCTCCATCTTTGCCGGGGATTTCGGACGCGCGCCGCGGAATATAGAGAGAGAGATAGGTGGCTGGTGGGCGCATGTCTGAAAGCGTCCAGCCGTTTTACCGCCGATCCCGCTTCAATTGCCACGTTGGGCAGCCGCCGACTTTTTTTATTCTATATAAGCGCCGCATTTTCGGCAGCCCTTAAAGCTGGGTTTTTTTATTGAAATGACCCTCCCCCCCCTCTCCACTCGACAGTCTGAAGGATATTCTGGAGCTTTCACTCTGTGGCGTTTAATTCCATGACGGCCCTCGCTCGCCGGCGGCTGCCAGCGGATGAAGAACCTGATGAAAATCGCAAGAGTTTTCCCCGAAATATTCCTCTCCCAGGAAATTGCACCGGCAAAAGCTTTCCCTGAAATATTCCTCTCCCAAGAAATTGCACCGGCAAAACTGTACATGAGATGAAGACCGGATTGGCCGGAGAAAACAAGTCAGGAGAGCGGCGGCGCCACCACCGAGAACGTTAATACAGCGGTGGGGGGAGGTTAAGATCAAAGGCGAAGGGCTGCTTGGCGGCGCCGTCTAGGCTGTGCTGGAACCGGAACTGCTCCGGTTCCGACCGCCGGGAATATCCCGCCACCATCTTCTTCCTTGGGTAGAAGAGCTCCCAGCCGGTGGCGGCGGCGGCGCCGCCGTACTGAACCGGCCGCAGCCCCTGAGAGACTCCCGGCGGCGCCGCCAGGGAGGATGAGAAGGAAGACGGTGAGAGGGACAGCGTGGGGCTGCCGGGGGAGGGGGCCAGCTCCTCGGCGGCGACGCCGCCGCCGCCGAAGTTGGTCTTCGCCTTGGCCCCGCGGAGGCTCCGCGCCGCCTCGTCGTAGGCCCGCGCCGCCTCCTCCGCCGTGTCGAAGGTGCCCAGCCACTTCCTCGTCTTAGTCCACGGGTCCCTTATCTCCGCCGCAAACCTCCCCCACGGCCTCTTTCGTACCCCTCTGAAGTGCGAATCCTTCTCCGCCGCCGCCGCTGCCGCCATCGCCATAGCCGCCACCGGCTCTTCCACGCCGCCAAGACAACCATGGCTGCTGTTCAAGGCCTCAACCGCCATCTCTGAAGAAAGAAAGAACTCCGAGCTAAAGAGAGAGAGAGAGAGAGATGCCGGAGAAGATGCCCGCGGTGGGTTGTATAAGTAGGCGACTCGACAGCCTTGGTTTTGGCCGACAGGATTTGTTTTCCATTTATTTAATAAATTAATGCCCCCGAAATGCCGGCGGCTGTGAAGGATTACGCTTTGACCGCAGATGAGAGAGAAACAGCCGTTCCCCGTTCGCCGCCGCCGTTCTGGTCACCGGAAGACGGTCGGTCGGTCTTCACGCGGTAACATTCGGTGAATAAATGGTACCGCCGTCATTATAATTCACCGAATAATGTCATTTGCGGTCTTTAAATGGAATAAATGGAAACATTCAGATAAGTAATGCCATGCAAATGGACCCGCTAGCATATAAATAGATCCGCTGCCTGATCATATTAGCCCATTAGTATAATTTTAAAAAATAAGAATATGAGTTTAAAATTAATTACATATTAATGGAAAAAAAAAATAGTAAGTTTTGAACACATACCTAAAAAACGGGTTTTTATTAAAATTGAGGACCCATTTTAACTATTTTAATTTAAAATATTGTATTTCTTGTTTTTAATTTACCAAGGTTTTCAATATTTTAAAAATAAATAATCATGAGAAAACAATGGCATAAACTTGAAAAAATTATCTTTCTGATTTTTTTCATGGAGCTAATTTTTCTTCCATGTACAAGCCCTTTCCCGTTATGAAATGTGGCATCTTACTGCCTGAAAAATATATGTAAAAGCTTTATCGAGTGAAAGCATATCCTAATAGTTGACATTAATATGAACTTTAGAGGTATTTAAATATTATTATTCCAAGTATAGTACATTAAATAATATTAATTTGTACGAAAGGTATAAAAGCTCATTAAATACAAGTTCTACAATAAATGTTCTCCGGTTGTTCCTCCACTTCAGTGCCGGGCAAAGGCGCCTCCACCTTGCTTGGCGGCTACGCTAGACGTTGAGAGGTCAATATCAAAAAGGCGGCCGCCGCCGACCTAACGTGTCCGCACAGACTCCACCCACGTGGGCAGCGGGCAACATGAGCATCAGACGAGTTTCAGAGAAAGTCGTGTCATCCGCCGTCGCCGCAGCCTTCGTGGACCTGGGGGCACCGAATCTAACTGCGCCGCAGGAAGAATACATTTTTTACTCAAAAAGGTAATTAAAAAACATAACATATGTTCTTTTAACTATAATTAGATGCTGTTGTTCAGATGTTGATGTTCTATGGATGCTGGGCTCGTCACAGTAGATTTCAGATGGTAGGTATGCCAAGACGGTCGCCCGGGGGCGTTGCCTCTTTCGTCCGTTGAATCTATTAAAAGTTCTGACAGAAAGGCGGCCGCCGCCTGATATGGATGCGACAACACGAGGTGGATACATTTTCCGTACGACACCTGTTTGATTTGGCTTTCGTTGAGGGCTCATAGTTCAAGTTATTTACAGCCACGGCAGAAAAAATAGCGTTGTTTCCGTTAAAAAAAGGTTTTGCACTGACTTGTGCTTTTGCAGTACTTGCATCAAGTGGAACGACTATATTATTAAATTTTATTTCTAATTATAAAAAAATAATACCAAGGGAAAATCTGGTCGAATTCCACGTTGAAAATATGATGAATCTAAAAAAATGAGGCTAAGAACCAATTGAGTTATGAGGTTTGGACGATGTTCACATTGCAAATTATTTTCCTTGTATTATTTTACATTTCATGATCACACTTATTCCTCGACTACTCATTTACTTTTCCTCTGATTTTTATCTTTCAGGTATATATGCATGGAGAAATCTGGTCCTCATGAGGCCAAGACTCAACATCAACCTTCTTTATAACTTATTATTTGGATGTGATCGAGGTTTATCCAAAGTATGTTATCGTCTAGAAGGTATGATGTGATAAACATGCTGTTCATCTAGGTTAGGCTATTTTTTTTTGTTTATTTTGATAAAATATAGTGCTTATATAATATATCTAACATTCCATTCATCTAATGTCAATATATCTTATCCTGCAATTGCACTCCTATAGAAATTTAATAGGCTACATGTTTTATTTTATATATATGCTCAGAATCCCATAGCACAGGTACCCTCCGACGTCGGTGGCCCTTGACAGCAGAGACGTCATCAGACAATGGTAGGCAACCCTGTCTGGCTTCCTTCCTGACAGCTTCATCTCCTCAAAGCACGCGAGAGCTTTCTCTGGCAACGATCCTCGCCCAGCCCTCGATCAGGGTGGTGTATGTTTTCAGATTAGGCTTCACTCCGGCAATCGCCATCTCCTCCACCGTCCCTATTGACTAACTTTTATTTTCAAGAAGTATCTTCAATTTATTAATAATCTAGAAAATATTTTCTTGGTTCTCCTTCACATGGAAAATCAGAACTGGTCAAGTAAGGATATCCTTCTGTACTGTACAGATCTTGCTTACTTCCCGTATGGTTGGATTCTTCCAGTCGGATTTGTTTTTTTTTTTGTGAAAAAAGTGGTCATTAATTTTTTTAACAAAAAAATAATATAAATGAAGTATTATTATCATGGACATTGAAACCTATTTAATATATATGAATTAATACTCTAAATTTATTAAAACATAACTACTATATTCAGGCATTTTGATGAAATTGAAATGCAATTATTTTCTACTACTTTATATATTTTTAAGTAAAATATGAGTGGAAAAAAGAATGGAGGGGGTGAATTAGTACTTTTCAAATTTCTAACTAATATTTGGGTGTTTAAAATACTAGGAGTTCATGTTCCTATTAGTTCAACACATTGAGAACACATTGGTACAAAACACTGAATATTAAACTCAAATGATTGACAATATTCTCACATCTGCTCTAATATCTTATGTTATTGAATCCTTCTTCTAACTCAATGATGATTACTTAATACCCTTTTGTGTTAGCATTCTTAAAGATTTATTCTCATATGAGGTAAGAAAATAGAGTTCGTGTGTCTCATGATTATTATATTTGTGTGCATGCAAGAGTAAACATAAAAATTAAGAAAATGGATTTAGCTTTCATTCATCTTCACCCCTCAACTTAAAACCATCATTATCCTCAATGACATAATATGCATGAATTAAAAATATGTCATCTATAGATGTGAAGTACAAAAGATAGGACCTTAGACAATTATGGTTGTTGCACTTCTCTTTACATTCGTCTCTTTTGATTTTAAGTGGAATTCAGTTTGGTTGCTTCCTAACAAGTTTTGAGTTTTTGTCTTAAGCTAGACAAACCTTTTATCCCTAGATCACTCAAAATATATTCTATGTCTTCAACCATAAGTTCTAAGAGAAGTGACTCCCATGAATGTATTGATCATGAAATGCTTTCGTTTTAGCCTTATAGATTTGTGTATTTTTGTATGTTTCATTTTTAAGTTCTAGTAGTTTCTACAATGATAGGGTTCTATGTCGACCTACCTTAGTTAAATCCATGCTTAACTATTTTACTACCTAATATACCTTATATTCTAGTTTGATAGTTAAGTGATATAGTTTCCAAAACACTAGCTGAAATTAGGACATCAATTGGTGTCTTAAAAGTAATTCAATAGGCCCATAATACATCATTTAAGTGCAACGACTAATTATTCTGATCAAGTCATATTATCTTTTGCATGATATTTTTGATTTCTCTATTTGAAACTTCAGCTTGTTCATTAGATTGTGGATGATATGGAGTGGTTATCATATGATTCACTCTATACGTTTTCAAAAGATTTACAAAGTGGGAGTTCGTGAAAAATACTTATCTCAGTCATTAACGTGACTTAGTCATTGTATAGTAAATCACGTAAATTTAAAATTTATAAAATTAGATAATACTATTTTTTTAATATTTAGAAGTATTTCTGAATAAATATATCAATTATAATTTAATAAAAGTTTCAAAAGCAGTAGAAATTTTCCAAGTCAATTACATAGATGTAATATCATATCGAGTAATTTTTTAGATTTTTTTATCAAAGAATGATTTTTGATAAATTTTAAATTAAGAAATAAAAATAAAATATATTTAAAATTCACAAAAAGAGAAAATAAGGATGTGGATGTCAAGATGACGTCAGCACCCGACGAATACGAATCAAGCTAAAATAGAGTTCCGACATTGCGACGAACGTAAACTATTTCCAAAATATAGTTCGTCAAGATGACGCTAAGATTCTTACATAAGCGATTACAGAATATTTAATTGATCAAATTAAGATCTGTAAAAGCTAGAAGAATTATAATTGAATGAAAAATAGTTTGGTAAATTTAAATCATATAAATTATCACTAAATAAAGTGAAAATTAAGTTGAAAGTAAGAAAATAGTGTTCCGACATGCGGCGGTGATGTGTCGACGATGTACTAGAATCTTGAGCATTCGAGAGGATTGTCGTGTAGTATCTACGGCCTCTCATTGAACAAAGATGACGTGGGCAATCTCTAGATCTTTTTGTGAAGTCTGGAGATTGATGAAACGGGTTGTCGAATTATCTCTAGCGACTATCACTCAGTGGAGTAGAAAAATAACAACTTTGTGACTCTCCGATAGGTATCACTTGACAGAGAAGAGCTGAATAGAGGTGGAGCACGTGTCATAGACCTTCATCCTCAAGTCTGCACAATAAGAAGAGGTTCTTCATTGCATTTAGTACGCTCTCAAGAGGTGGCGACTCATCTTCCTATGAATCGTTTTCTTCTCGACGACGACTTATTTGTCGATCAATTGGAGATGCTTTACTCGATAGATTCATGATCTTTTTATCGCGAATCATTCAATAATTTTAGTAACAATACTCTACACATTGCGTCGACAAGATTTTTACCAATGATCAAGTGATTCTAGTGACTTAATCATTCACTAGCGATCTACAGAAAATCATGATTTAATTAGATAAAAATATGATTTTGGCTCTAATAAGATTTGAAATCACACCAGTCATCTGCCTACATGAGATAGATTAAA